TTTTTTTTTTTTAATTTTCCTTCTTTTTTTTCAATTTTTTGATTTCACGGTCAGATGGAACGGGCATACACTAGATGGACTAGAATCACGGGCTGGGACCAAGACGGATTATTTTCAGGATTGTATCTACGTAGAATATGTGCATTACATGGTGGATAACAGGATTGTTCTGAAAACCCGTAAAAATGTCCCAGGGTGTGGCAATTTACAGTTGTCCATCAGTGCCATCAAACCCCGAAGCCTAAAATGTCCGAAAATGCCGAGCCAGTCACGCCAGTGTCAATCGCAGCAGCGTCAATCGTAACCCAAGGTTGCAGCGGGTAAAACTTGGATGTCCGTCGTGCTCGACCCTCGGCGAACCAACCGAAATGAAAGGCTCTCAGCAGTGTGATGTGACCGGAAGTCTCGCTACGGTTGACCCGAACAAGCCAGACAAGTCAGAGTGTCTTTGAAAGAGTGTCACTGCCAGCGCCGACGATGGCACGATGGGTTGCGGTGGGGATAAGGTTTCAAAGTGTGGCTTCGTGGCACCATGGCAGCAGAGCCAAGAAAAGGTTCCAGAAGCCAGCAGGGTCAGCAAGGTCACCTGCAGTGCAACGCTGGAAGCATCGGAATCCTGAGAGATCTTAACTTCTATTTGCCAGAGTGCGAACCAATCCGGTTACCCGTTTCTTTGGGTGTTTGTCGATCCTCCCGCTGCAATATTCTAAAGTGACAACGCTTTGAGCGCTAACGTTCCCTTGGCCCTAGTGAGGTTGCACCCCGAGTCTTCTGCTCCAGGCCCCCAACCCCGCTGTAAAGTCCCTTGTGTACCGTACACTACATGGTCGACCCCCAAGTTACAGACATGCTTTTGGTACTGTAACGAACCCACTGTCACTCCGTGGATCCCTGCCCGTTGTGCCGTCTCGGCCCCTCATTCTCTTCACTTCCGTCCACAAACTGGTACCTTACAAGCAGGTACGCGGGACGATCAACCTACCTTACGCGACTGCAACAACCTGCCCGGGGTTCGCGACAATAACCTCCTCGGCGGGCGCGACAATGAGTTCCTCCGGAGCCACGACACCGCTGGGGTAGTGGGTGGCGTTGCGCAAGCCCTGGTACTCCAGTGCGGTGAGATGCTCATACACAGGCTGGGAGCCGTCCGCGAGCAGCTCCTCCAGCGGGCCGACACTAACATGTCGATCGGCCTTGTTGAAGTACACCAGACTCCAACGCTCCGGCACATCATTGCCCTCCATGTCCAGCGGCCGGTTGACGCGGTGCAGACCCGCGCGAATGCGGCCATTGGTCCAGCGCTGGAGCGTCTCGCCGATGATGACGACGACCTCCTCCTCCGACTCATACGGCATCGGGATGAAGGTGCCCGGGTTCTCGCGGTCCTCGTACTCCAGCCCCGGGGTCTCGTCGGGGAACACGAGCGAGATGATGCCGAAGTCGTTGTGCGGCCAGATGCGGCTGACGTCGCCGCGGTCGAGGATGGCGCGGTCGACGACAGGGAAGTGGTTGATGCGGATCGTGCTGGCCTCGTTGGTGCACCGCGACGTGAATATGTGCCGGTCCAGCTGCATCTCCTGCGCGATCAGGTCCAGCAGCACCAGCGTCAGGTCGCCGCACGACAGGAAGAAGTTCTCCATCGTCTGCTGGTAACCAGGCAGCACGTCGGCCGCAGGCCACTTGTTAGGGAACAGCTGGTCATTCGGGTGGCCGCAGTCGAAGCTCTCCTGTAGCGCAGTCAGTAAGTATTCCGAGTGAAAAGAACAAAACGGAAAAATACCAAGACACACCTTGCTATCGCTGAACTTGGGCTCCTTGATGGTCCCCTTGTTGCTCTCAAGGTACCACGTCTTCTCCTCGCCCGGCGTGCACCATCCTCGCTGCTGGTTCTTGGTGCGGTCGTTGATAATCGCCAGCTTATGCTCCAATGGCAGTTGGAAGAACTTTCTGATCTACGGCAATGTAAGCTCACTGTTTCTCCTTGTTTTTTACATAATCCTGATATCCTAAAACACAACACACACCTGATCGAATGTCTCGGCCACCAGCGGCAGTGGTACCGTGTGGTTGATGAGCTTGACAAACCCGTATTTCTTGAGCCCCTCAAAGAGCTTGGCCCGGAACTGCGCGAGCTCCTTCTCGTTGCCGCTTGCCAGGGCAGCCGCGTCGATCACCGGGATGGTCATGGTTGCTGAAGGGTTGGAATCCTTCGCGTGAACTTTTGTCAGCGCGTGACGAGGGCCTCGAGCTCGGACACGAAGCAGGGTGGATGGCTGGACAAATGGGGGCGAAAGCTTACAACAAACTGGTTGGATCAGTTGACTAGCTGACTTTGAGGTGTTGCTGGTGGTTGCTGGTGGTTGTTGTCGTCGTCGACGCGGTGCATTCTTCTCACACTCTCTGACCTCGAGACAACCGCGTTTTAATTATCCATCTAAAGGTCCGTCGTCGGAGCTTCCCTAGCATCAACACATGCCAATCATCACGTAAGTGCATAAAGAGTCTATATGCGGCTCTGATTCAGCTCACTGCCGGCTTCAAAATACGGAAATCTGACGACGCACGGTCACATTATGCCTCGCTTCCTGTGTGTGCGTGCATGAGTTACCTGTCACATACGCATCCTGTAGTACACTACGCAGTTGAATGGGAAGAGGAAGTACACAGTGCCAGTCCAGTTGCAGATTCGCGGTGTGCTCTGGTGTGTGGCACAGCTTGGTTCTCCGTCATGTAAATCGTCGGAGGAGTGTCACATCCGGATCGTGAAGCTATTGGTGCGGGCCCCGCATGCCCTGGTGGCAACGGGGGGTGTTTTTTATTTATTTACTCATGTCATTTGGTGGAGCTGTGCTTACATCAAGTAATGAAACAATACTCGGGAGGAACGAGCAAAAGGGAACGAAGGATTCCTTCGAATATTCTAGGCGGATGGTGAAGCCGTTCAGTGACTCCAACTGTTCAAGGGATCAGGCAGGGCCATTCAGGCTGAGCCTCCGAAGGAAATGGAGAGAAGGAGGGAGGGGGGGGGGGGCGACCGGGGTGATTATTCTTCCTGCTGCATATCCAAGTGTTAACATCGGGCCAACTTCTCCAATAAATGCTTCAGCTTAGCAGTCACACAATTGTCCGTGGAATGACGAGCTTTCGCGTATCGTCTGCAACATGCTCGTCACTACGACCGTTGCGTTTCTCGCCCGCCCCGAGGTGCTTGGCGCTGCAGCCATCCTCGCAATCGCCTACTTCTTGCTGCCGTGGGCCATCAACTACGTGCAGCTGCAGCGGCTGAAGAAACCCGCCGTCGATGTGCCAGTGCTCAACCTGAAGGGGAAAAGCTTCGATGAGGCTGCGGAATACTACTTGTACCACTTCAAGGAGATTCTGCAGCAGGGCTATGACCGTTTCAAGACCGTGTACAAGAAAGGGGCGTTCCAAGTCTGGGGCATCGACGGTTATATCGTCATTGTGTCGCCGCAATACTTGGAAGAGCTAAACGCCCTGGGCACCGATACGCTCGATTTCCACTCTGCGAGCCAGAAGCGCATCATTGGCGAATACGAATGGCTGCGTATTGCCGATGAGCTCGAAGCGCACACCATCCTGACTGACCTCACGAGGAACATTGGTACGCACTTGTCTCCAAAAGTTCTCCAACGCTCACAATACTAACAACCCATCTCTCCAGGCAACCTCCTGCCCAACATCCACAAAGAGATCGAGCATGCGCTCGCCACAGAATGGCCCGACTGCCCAGAATGGAGGCCCGTCAAGGTGTGGCCGAGCATGTTCCGCACCATGGCGCTGGTCATCTCGCTCATGATCGTGGGCCCGGAGCTGAGTCGTGACGAGTACTGGCTCAGCACCATGATCAACTTTGTGGAAGACGTCTTCGTCGGCGGCTGGCAGCTCAAGAAGTACTCCCTCTTCATGCGGCCCATCGTAGCCCGCGGCCTGGTCCCGGGCATCCGCAGTGTCTGGCGGCACCAGGAGAACGCTCGTCGGCTGATCGTGCCCATGATTGAGCGCCGGCGCGCCGAGAAAGCCCGCGCCGAGGCCGCTGGTGAGGACTACGTCAAGCCGCAAGACATGGTGTATTGGCTGGCCGAAGGTGCGGCCAAGACCAACCCGCCCCGCAGCGACGCCAACGTGGCCGAGCTGTGTCTGATGATGAACTTTGCCGCCCTGCACGCGGCCACCGTCACGCTCACCAACATTGTGTTCGACCTGGCCGCGCGGCCCGAGTACATCGCGCCGCTGCGGGAAGAATACGCCGCGGCTAAGGCCAAATACGGCGGCGGCCTCACGGAAAAGCAAGCGATTCTCGTCAACAGCCTGAGCCGGCTGGACTCGTTCATGAAGGAGTCGCAGCGGATGAACCCGGGGACGTTGACAACGTTCTCGCGCCTGGTCCGCCGCGACATCCATCTTTCGTCCGGACTGCACCTTCCCGCGGGCACGCACATCTTGGTCCCGGCCGCCATGATCTCGCTAGACGGCGATGTTTACGAGGACCCGCTGCAGTTCCGCGGGTTCCGTTTCCACGAGCAGCGCGCCGCAGCCGAGGACACGATGTACGCCAAACAGTTCACCACGACGTCGCCGCAGCAGATGCACTTTGGCTACGGCAGACAGGCATGTCCGGGGCGGTTCTTTGCGAGCGCGGTCATCAAGTGCATCACGATGCATCTGCTGGAGGAGTTTGATCTCAAGCTGGTCGATCCCAAGGCTGGGCGGCCGCAGAATGCGATTAAGGGCGCGATGAACATTCCCAGTGAGACGGCGGAGATCATGATGGTGAGGAGGCAGTAAAAGGTGTTAGTGTGGTCGGATAGACAGTAGATCTCAGAGATCAAAAAAGTTGAACGCAGTCTTTGGCAGTCTTTGTGTACTTTCCAGTTATTACCCCTTATTCCCGCTTGATTCAGGGGCTACGGTAATCTATGTAATAACATCCATACGGCAGTAATTAATTACCATTCTTTTAAGTCACTGTCAACAACAGACCACAGCAAAACGTCAAGTAAGAACCTAAGTCTTCACCTAACTTTTCCAAATGCCTCTGGGAGCTTCAAGCTTTCCCGAATTGATCTCTTTGCTTCCTGACACCTCCCTCTAAGGGCGAGAGAAACAGACTTGAACAAGCAAACCGTCATCCCATCTGCCGACCAAATCCCCAGCTTCCCCAGATTCCCACAACCCCCTTTCGCCCCCAAACCAGGAAGACAATCCTCAAGGGCCGAAAGGAATGTACGCTCCGGGTCCCGCGGCCTTCCACGGAGATTCCGACCACAAAGGGTTAACAGTCACCGTCCTGCAATCCCGAGTATCACTCTGTCATTACGGATTCACGTCGATTTGAATCCCACGCCAAGGCTGATGAGTGAGCACTTGCGCTCGCCTGAGGCGACACCTACGGAGTTAAGCTGACCGGGGTGGACACGCGGGATCCGGGAAGAGCGGAGAGGCTCCCCGATCCTTGCTGCCGACATGGGGCCGGCGACGCTGTCCCGGCTCGCCCGTGAGCCGATCGCCGGGGGGCGGAGCGGATCTGCGATTTTAACGTTATTCATCCATCCCCTGGCGGCTGGGGAAGAAGTTTCGCTTCACAATGCTCTGCTGAGAACCTCGAGCGGAAAAAACGTCTCAAGACTTGGCGGTGTAACACATGGAAGTCTGAGTCGAAACGCACTGTAATTAAGAATTAACTTCAGCAGGACTTCGGCGGCGATCTTGACCTTATACGGTGCCGTCGGGACGGACCTTTTTCATCCTGCAACCGGACAAAAACTCCATTGTCCATGGTCGCGATTTGGCTTTGCGTCGGCTCGCTTCCCCTATGCATAACGTGTGTGTGCATGCAGGGTGCACGCGCGGCCATCGGTACATGTACACTACACTAGTGAAGTGTATTTTCGCTCCCGCGACCCGCTGCAGATGGTGCTGCGATGCTGAGGCGCAGGGTTTAACCGGCTGACTGTATGATGCAATGGAACCTCTCGGACTCGGACAGCGCGGGAAGGCCAATGGTGGTGGATGGGCGTTGGAGAACATGTCCGTTGCTAACTCGCTAATCATTGATTCATCATGGTCATGGTAAGAAAATGTGAAACAGAAAAAGAAAACAGGAAATAAAACAAAAATAGGACCAATTAATGCGTGACAGCTTAACCCCAGCGAATGAATCCAGAATCCCTTGATCTGATAAACACGAACAGTGTCACCTGGCAGCTTCCGCATTCTCACATTTCCCCGACACGATGCTTCCTCAGCCGGCGCACCTACGCCACCGCCTGTACGATCGGTGAGTGGACGATGGGAAGCAGCCGCAGTCGCTGGTGGTGCAGCGGAAGTTCCTTGTGCCAATCCTGTGTGTAAAAAAGGTTGTTCGTCAGCATGAGTAAAGCAATAACTTCCCCAATAAGTCATCCAATAAACAAAAAATAAAATTGAGAAACCTATAGGGATTAGGGAGAGTGTAACGGTAACACAAAAACACGGGGGAAAACACGGGGCAAAACTGTAAACACGCAGTGTCACCTACCAAAGCAGCCGACAGCGCCGCAAGCAGAATAGCCTCCTCCTCCGTATCGGCCGTCTTGACGCCCCATGTGACTCGTTTCCCACCAGAGCACATGACAATAGCAATGGCCTGGGCGTCAGACGCCGCGAATCCTCCATCGCTCGCCACCGTCGCGGCCAGCTTGCCCAGCGTACACGTGAACTCGAGACGGCAGTCCGCAAACGCGGACAGGCCGAAGCGGACAGCTTCCAGGTTGGAAGTGCCGTGGCCGACGAGCTGGCGGGGGAGACCGTTGACTAGGATGACCGTCTCGATGCGGACGAGCCCTGCGGTACTGGCGGCCGAAGATGTGCTTGTCGGCGAGTCTGGTTGAAGCTCCCTCTTCACGAGCGAAAGCACGCGCGGATCGCGCTCGCGCACGGAGTACTGCCGCAGGAACAACTCGGTGAGCTCCTCCGGGAGGAGGGTACGGCCTTTCGCTTCGGACTCGGTCTTGACGACGGGCGAGAAAGCGCCGAGGATAGCCTTGGGGGCTTCGAGACGCAGGGCCTGGGACAGCACCCAGGCGATACCTCCCTTTCCGCTCTGCGAGTTGACGCGGATCACGGCCTCGTAGGTCGCGCCGATGTCTCGCGGGTCGATGGCGAGGTAAGGGACTTTCCAGATTTGGCTTTTGCTGTTGTTGTTACTGTTATTCGTATCGTTCAAGCCCGCCGTCCACTTCTTGAACCCCTTGTGGATCGCATCCTGATGCCCACCACTGTACGCCACAAAGACCGAGTCACCGGCGTACGGCGCCCGAGTATGCACCGGAATCTGCGTCAGTGTCTCGACCGTCTTGCGGATATGCGGCAGATTTGACAGGTCCAGGCCGGGATCGATGCCCTGCGTGTACAAGTTCAGTGCCAGCGTCACCAAGTCCACATTCCCCGTCCGCTCGCCGTTACCAAACAGACACCCCTCCACCCGCGTGGCACCAGCCAGCTGGCCTAGCTCAGTGGCTGCCACAGCACACCCACGATCGTTGTGCGGGTGCAGCGACACACAGACAGAGTCATCCCCGGCAAACCCCCTCGAAAAGATCTCGACCTGGTCGGCAAACACGTTGGGTGTCGACATCTCGACGGTGGCCGGCAGGTTGAGGATGATGGGGACTTCCGGCGTCGGCTCCCAGGCCTCCTTGACGGCGCGGCAGATCTCGATGGCGAAAGCCGGGTCGGTATCAGAAAAAGTCTCTGGACTCCACATGAGGGCCCAGGTGGTGTCCTTATGGGCCGGGTCGTCCTTGGTGACCGACTTGAGGTAAGCGGCGTGCTCGACGGCGGTGCGTAGTTGGGCCTCGCGCGTGGTGTTGAAGACGGTGTCGATGAAGTTGTCGCTGGTGGCGATGTACAGGCTGACGATGATGCGCTTGGCGCCGCGGACGGCCTCGACGGTGCGTCGGATGAAGTCCTTTCGGCAGGGTGTCATGACCTCCAGCCAGACGTCTGAGGGACCCTCAGCTACGCACTTTTGTGCGAACTGGAAGTCCATGTCTGACGACGCCGGGAAGCCCACCTCGATCTCCTTGAAGCCGATGTCGACGAGCAGCTGGAAGTAGTTCCATTTCTGCTCGGGGTTCTGTTGTTATTGTGTTAGCTGTATCATATGACCTCCTTTTTCTTTTGATTTTCACCCCTTTTTGTTCGATTGTACGACCGTGACGACTCGCAGTCGTGGTTCAGCCTCGAGGAGAGAGGACGGACTGACCATGGGGCTTGCCAGTGCCTGGTTTCCATCGCGGAGATCTGTCGACAACCACCTCGGAGGCTTGGTCAATTTCTTAGACGGCCATGTTCGGTCCGGCAGCGACGGGGCCTTGAAGGCCGCGTACTTGTCGGAGGCTTTGCTGAGCCTGAGATGGGTTCATCCGTGTTAGTTAAAGTGAACGTGGACGCAGTCCAGAGTGGGAATCGAGACGAAGGAGGGTTAAGACAGCTCCTACATCGGCATCCTGCTAGTCGTTCACCACGCAGGATCTCGGGTATCGTTGAGCGGGAAGGAATGGATCTGTCAATATTGCAGAAGGAAGGCCCCGAGATTTGCGCTTTTGCCGCGTGAGTTACCTCTTACCGAGTGCCTACAAAACGGAAACAGCACACAAGTCACCGAGAATACTGCTTGGGGTTTGGGCTAGTCCACAGATATCAGAGATCCGATCTATTGCATTACTATGTACTCTCTCTCTCTACGACTTGATGCAAGCTGATGGACATTGGGGGACATTGGGGGGTAAAAGCGGGTATGTGCGTATTTTGCGAGCTGCTCGCACGCAAGGAGGTTGATGGCTTGATGCAGAGGCTCGGTTGAGGTAGTAGGCAACCAGCTGGAAGAGTGCGAGATGCCCTCGGAGCTGAGGTGTGGAGGTGTGTCTGTCTACGTGGATGTGTGAATGTGTGAGTGTAGTGTACGCAGTATCGAGGTGTGCATGTGCACTGGGTGTGCTGCGTGCATGTGCAAGACGACCTTATTCGCGACTCAAAGGTCGAAACGTGTGATTTCCTTGGCTGACGTGGAAAAGTGTGCAATGTAATTACGAATACATTGTACATACATTGGCAGGTGAAGTGCAGGCTGATGTCCACAGTGCTAATTTGTTTTCCAGGGACGCCAGGGATGCTCACCGGTGAGGTTCTAGCCCTTGTACTGTACACAGTACCTGGTGGTTTGCTGCGGCTCCTAGGCTTACGTTAGGACTGACACGGACCGAGTAACATGGTTGATCTAGACGCCAGGGGATGACCATGCATTCCGTTCCTTCGGGCGGTCCGGAAATGATTGGCTCAGGTGACATTGACCGTGGTTGGCCCCCAAGACAGTCCAGGGCAAAGCTCCATAGCAGCATCCTATTGATCCCAACAATGCTAGCATCCAACACGGGAAGAGCAGGCGGAAGCAAGAAAAAGTTGCCCCCTTCCTCGCACTCGTGCATAGCCACGGAGATGAATTGAAAAGGCCCCGATGCAAGACCCCCAAAACCTCATCCCCATCTCGAATCACGCAACCAGCAAGCAAGCATCAACTGCACATGCAAGACCAGCTCAACGTTTCAACAAGCGAGCCGATCACGACCTTCTGATAAAGCGTCATGGCCACGACTGCGGGGCAGAAGCTGTTATTGGTGGATGGAAAGACGGGACAAGGTAACCCAAGCTGCAGTCTTCTACTAAGAACCCCCCCAAGACGACCCAAGATGCGGCAATACCCCTCGTTGTCCCGTGTGTCGTCACTGTGGTGCGTATCGCGGGGCTGGTAGGCGGGCTTTTACCGCGGTCTTTTACCAGAGTACCACGGTCGATACGCACCACTAGTGATTAGTTCTTTAGACTAGCTCCTTGGTACTAACGTGAACCCCCTCTACGCAGTTACCTTCGAGGCTAGTTGGAAAGCTGCACCGAACGCCACATTCGGCCAGTCGGGGGACCCCCACGAGCCGTTCGTCTCGCTTGACCTGCTGCTCGAGCCCGGCAAGCAGCAGGCTAACGGAAATGGAAATGGGCTGCACCATCACCACCACCAGGTCCAGCTGAACCTTGGACCTCGGACTCACGGAACCCAGGCCGCACCGGCCAATGACGAGCGCCTCGTCGTATCGACGCCCTATGGCGAGAGTGTGGAAGCAACCCGCACTTCGGTCGGCTCATCCGAGGCCCTCCAGTTCTTGGAAGACCTCCTCAAGGCCGCCCAGTCGACTCGCCGCGCCCAGCTGGCCAAGCTCATCATCCCCAGTACGGCCGGGTACATCGCGCGGTCGGACATCGTCTCGCTCCGCTTGAAAGACAGCGAGCACGTCGAGTCTGTCGCGACTTTTGCTGCACCTCGCCAGTACTTTGCTGGAGGCGATGTCATCGTCGAAGGGGCCGACGAATGCTGTGGATGGCTAAGCCATCTGCTTCGTCGGTCGGCAGCGGGCATCATCCTCCGCGATCATGACGACACGGGCGTTAAAATCAACCTGCAAAAGGCCTCCATCGCTTTGGATGCTCAACTCCACGACAGACTTTCCTTCCCCTGGCTCACCCGCAGCTTGCACCCTCGCAGGACACTCGCCATCATCGAGGCCGGCCGCTGTCACCCGCGCTATGGCGGGACAGGGCCCTCTGTCTACGGCGCAGCCAAGGCGCTCGGCATTGACATTGTGGCCATGGACAATGTCGGCCACTGGATGGATGACCCCGAGTTCCGGGACTGGCGCATGGCCTTTGTCCCGCTAGCCCTGCACGACCCCCCACAGGAAGACTTCGAGGACCGCATCGTGGCGACAGTCCGGTCCTGCGGCATCCCAATCGACGGGCTGCTGACGCTGTGCGAATCGTACATGAACCCTGTTGCGCGCGCCTGCCAGAGACTCGGCTTTCCCACCGAGAACCCGGCTCCGTATCTGATTGCTACCAACAAGTACGAGACGAGCGTCTTTGAGGGCCACCAGGCGCACCTGGCCAACAGCGCTGATGAGGCGGTTGCTATTGCGTCTTCCAATGACGGTGGGATGCCCTACCCGCTCATTATTAAGCCGTGTAACGGCTGGAGCTCGGAGGGTGTGAGTCTTGTGCATCATAAGTCCGAGATCCGGGCGGCCGTGGACTCGATCGACATTTCGCGGCACGGAACCGAGTTTGTGATGGAACCGTACTGTGCCGGCCCCGAGGTCGATGTCAACCTGGTGATGCTTGACGGCGAACTTTTGTTCTTCGAGGTGTGTGATGACATGCCCAAGACGGCCGAAGACGAGGATGATTTTGATGATGAAGAAGACGGTACAACCATCGACAGGCATGGGCATGTGAGCGGAGCCAGGAGTGATTCCTCCCTCAACACGTTCATCGAGATGTGCAGCGTCTTCCCTTCGTCGCTGCCCCGGCGTGAGATTGAAATACTGCGCGATTCCTTCCACGCCAGTCTCCTCCGGCTCGGATTCCGAACCGGTATGTTCCATCTCGAAGGCCGGATCCAAAACTCCACCACCGAATACGCCTATGACCACCAAAGGGGTGTTGTCGACCTGCGAATCAAGTCTTCTCCTGAGCGGGATGAAGCCCCTCAGGCATGGCTCATTGAAATCAACCCCCGCCCGCCCGGCATGAAGGGCAGCCTCGTGATCGAGTCAACCTGGGGCGTCGACTACTGGGCCACCACCCTCCTGTCGGCTCTCCGCGATGACGAGCGGCTGCGAGCGCTCTCCCAGCCCTTCGCCTCGGGCCCACAGTACACGTGTGCCATGGTGTTCATCCCGACCGAGTATGACGCCGACCGGTGCGAGGGTATCTTCGACTCGGACGATATCGTCGCCGAGCTGTTTGCGCGCCGGCCGGACCTCGCGAGACATGTGAGTCGGAGTGGGTGTTTGGTGCATCGGGGGCAGAAGATTCCCCATCCAGCGCGGGACGGGTACAATTCATTCCTGGCGTGGTTTAATGTCTTTTCGCGGACTAGCAGGACCGAGACCCTGCGGCTGGCCGCGGAGATCCGGAAGGAGGTGCGGTATCAATTTAGGTGAACAAAAATGTAATTCAAGTGTTGTGTCTACAGATTTCAATGAGCAATTAGTTCGGCCAAATCGGTATTCCTCTCTGTATTCATAATTATACCTACCTACGAAAAGTACCTCATACAGGACGATCTCTCGTCCTTGGATCCTCTGAATTGATCCTTCTCCAGGACGTAAGATATCGCCCCTTCTTCATCGGCTCGACCCTCTTCTCCTTAGCTTCCTTGCTTGCCTTCCGTCGCCAAAGCTCTCCTAAATCCATAGGGTAACAGAATCCGCTTCGGTTTCCCCCATCAGTGATGACTCGCTCATTCCGCAACGCATTAAACTTGACGCTCTCCTCTTGAAGCCCCGCAAAACCAACGTTGCGTCCCCCCCAGTCAACGTCCAAATCCATCCCATCGATGAAATCGGCCAGGTCAGCCGTCAGTTGCTGCAGCAGCAGTGAGCGCGCAAACTGAATCATGGACGCATATGGTACTCCGTTTCGACTCTTTTCCACGTGCTCCGTCAACGAAGGATCGACGAAGCAATCCGATGAGGGGACGAGCAAAACCCAAAAGTTGTAGCCCTTGAGACGGAAACATGAAAACACATGTCGGCGGGACCAAGGAACGGGAGGCGGTGGGCGGGCAGCCTGGTATTTGCCGTCGTCGGTGGAAATAATAACCTCCCGAGCTGTGTCTAGCATTGAATCGGGGATGCAGAGGTCCCATTCCTGGTCGTGGTTAGTGAGTGATCAAATATTCATCGCCGCGCGGAGAGAACCCCGTTACCCCGATAGAAGAAGAAAATAAAATGAATAAAGAAAAGGGAATCAACTACATTTGTGACCCGCCCGGCCCCATAGTAACGCAGCGCCCTCACACCGACCACACATGAAGGAACGTCCGCAGCGGCAAGTCGCTGGACGACATCGAGAATGGCCGTGACCCCATGGTTGTCCGGTTCTAGGCCAGTATCGTCGCGCGCCCCGGGGAGGAGGTCATGAGTGTCAGATGCGGGCATGTCGACATGTCAAAGTATTCATGGCATAATATAATTCCGGCTGGAAGAATATTCTAATTACCTATCCACGTAGCGGTTGCCGCAGAAGAAGAGAATGTCAAAAATGACTAAGCTTGATCAGGTGATGCCGCTGTGTTCGTTTTCCAGCAGAAGCGCTCAGCACACTCCAACTGTGCCAGGATTCAAATGAACGTTGATTAGTCAGCAGAGCTTCCTAACGCCCTGGCGATGGGGCCTTGAATCAGATCCTCGACCTGAAAATACTCGCCGTCTTGAACCTCTTCAGCCGCGGAAGTAATTAACTTTCAAACGGAGGACCCGCCCCGTCGAAGAAGTCCTCCATTTGATGGTTGAGTGCAGCTTGCTCCCAGCGACGTCCGGGCCATCTCGATTCTCCTCATGTGATGGTGCGTTTGTAACGACCGTCGCACGCACCACGAATTTGCGCGAGAGTCATCCCGACATAGTACAGTATAGCCAGAGTATTCACCTACCGGGGTAAACGCAGCTATATCCCTCGCTTGTAGTTTCTTCAATTGCTTTAGCCCCTCTTGACCTAGGGGCCCATTCTCAAGTCTCTTAGTCTTAGAAAACCGAATTCCCGGCTCATCACCATCCTCTTTAAGACTCTACCCATTTGTTTTTCAGCATTTCCGCTCAGGCTTGACTTCTTCAACCCTCGACACCAAAAAATGCCTCCTACTCTTGAGCTGCATCGCCAAGCCCATAACAATACATCTTCCACAAAAGATCCCTCCTGCTCCTCCGGCCGCTCCTCAGTCCGCGCACGCATCAACCTGATTAACTAACCGGAAAGTACGCTACTCCCCTTGAACGAGCTTGACGGATCGATCTCCTGCCTAAGTTCCGCCTAGGCCGGTTTTTTTTCTTCTGCAATTATTTATTAACCACGGGGAAATAGAACGTAGTGTCCGCGGGGAGTAGTGGGTTAATAGAACGCCTCCCATGTGAGAACGTGAGGAAATGCATCTACTCGGAACGGGACTACGAGGCCTGTCATCGAGATCTTGAGCGCGAATTTCAAATCTACCAGAAACTGCCACAACACGACCGGTTACTACAACTCATCAGATACTCTCCTGAAGAAGGCCTCGTCCACCCGTACATGACCAGAGGTAGCCTACGAGAGCATCTCCGCGAGGCTGCCGCCGCCGCCACCACAATCACCCTTGCCGAGCGGCTGCAGTGGGCTTGTGATGCCGCCGAAGGTTTGCATCTCCTCCATTCCCACGGGATCATCCACAGCGATCTCAAGCCCGAAAACCTCCTGCTGGATTGAAACTCTAGGCTCAAGATCACCGACTTCTCGGGCTCTTCTTTTGACGGAATTGTAGGATCTGCGATTGAAAGCACGAGGTTTTTTCTCCCACGGCCACTAAAGGAGCCGCCAACCGTCAGAACTGATATTTTTGCCCTCGGCTCTACCATTTACGAAATCGTGACGAGCAGACAGCCATACGAGGACCTCTCGGATGATGAGGTGGAGGCTCGCTACTCACAGCAAATATTCCCAAGCGTACAGGAATTGCCGTGCGGCCAGGTGATCATGGATTGCTGGCGCTGCGAGATACAAACGGCAGAGGAAGTCATGACGAGGCTCAAGGCACAGATGGAAATTGCCCTGAAAGCATCAAATCTCACGTGTTCACCCACACACTGGTCATCCGACCACGCTCCCCTGATCCACTATGTTCGCCTATATCCCTCGTCCCGACAATCTGGGCATTAATAGCGCCTTTTGGCCGATCCCATAGATACCTCATTCAACTCATTGCCAGTGCAATCGGCATCCCTTTCTAGTGCCGAACCCATCAAGGCGTCCAAGCTGGCACTCCTGAAACTCGGTCCATTGTTCAAGTTGACTCTACTGCTCTAGCTCTTCCATTACTCGTATATGACCGTCAAGCCCGTGACGTTGGCGTCGCCGGCGGGCCTTGTGGTCAAACGCTTCCACGCCAAATCTGCGCCTGATCTAGCGCGACTCGGCTTGGAATGCTCGGGACTCAAGTTCTTTCTGCTCCGTCACAAGCAGTGTTACGTCTCTGGAGCACCACAGTGCCCGCGTACGAGGAGCAGGGTACGTCAGAAAAGAGACGACGTGACCTTAACGCTGCCTGAAGACACGAACCCACAGTATTCAAGGGGTAGCTAGAACGGCCGAGGCCCAATGAATCTGACTGCCTGCCGCATATGTCATGAATCGCAGTTTGGTGGAGGGGACTGCTGTGACGGGGTATATTGACCATGCCGCAGACTAACTCAGAAGCCGTGAGTTCCGTCGGATTCCAACCCAACTTGGGGACTTAACACACGCTTTCCTCCGTCATCCTTATCATTGCAGGAGCGTGAAACTGAAGGAGCGTGAAACTGAAGCCGTATTAGAATGACTATGCCAGGGAGAGCTCGACATGGCGAGCATCGGACAACGTAGGGACCCGCGACCCCCAGTCCCTCCAGCGGACTTATTTGGCTCCTGTCCCAGCTCACGGCCCTATTCTAGTTTCTGTTGAACGGTGAACCATCACTAGATCGATTCCCAACTTGGTTTTCGTCAGAACAAGACCGTCTGGGAATTCTGACTGTTGCCTATATCATGCGGGATATGACTTCGGCGAAACAGTTATCAACGAATTACTAGATAGGCCCTCGCTAGAGTAAAATGATCAGTACTCGGTGTAGACTATCTCACATCCTGAGACGTTGATCTGCAGCGATCCCCGAGATATGAATTTCGAATATTTCTTCAAAGCGATGGCTACGAATGAGATTTCCCACATATGGAGAAGTGGAAACTGAAAAATAGAACTCAGAATCAACGCTACACCTGTTAGCTCCCCGTTGACCCGTTCAATCTGAGGCGGCCAACACGTCGGCTTCTCTTTGGCAATTCGATTTTGGATTTTGGCTATTAATTGGTTGTTGACTAGCTATTAGGCCGACTCAAGCATGGGAAACGGAGGAGGGGATATCAACGCAGCATGGGGTGAGATTTAACATGCTGCCGGCACCGAACAAGCGAAAATGTGATTCAAAGCTGGGCAAACCGTCGAGGCTGTACGTGTACGGATCTTGTGCTTTGTCCTTTGACGTCATTTTACCTTTTGGGGTTGAAGGATACCAAACCATTATCGTGATAATTATAAACCGCAGATCTCGAGGCGTTTTCCATTTTCGGATACATCCCAACAGGACGTTAACAGCAAGATTGCGACGGGCGGTTGAAGGTCAGTTGCCTGATAGCCAAGATCGCTTCCAAACGCTGACGTGAGATTTGCCCCAATCTTTCTGCATTTAACACCAGATAATTTCCTGAATGCCTTGCGGGGACATGTGCCGAGGAAGGATCGTGGCTAACGACCTTGGCACCTCCACAGCGGGCCAGGTGCTAAATATTCATTGGAGGTTTGGTGTGAAATGCGCAGACAGCTCAGCCACCGAGCATGGCGCCCAAGGCGCGTTGGCCGGTTGGCGCGGTATTACACGCTTGGCGGAGTTGCGCCGAGAAAGACGGCAAAGAATTGCAAAGGTTCAAAACATATTAAATACTCCTTGCAAAGGTTGAGGAGTGGTGCTTCGGTTCATATCAAGACATCCGACAATCTCTTATTCTTGTCACAATATCACTCTCTCGACCCTCGCGCCAGCCATTTTGCCATCAATCTCGAGCTCAGCTAACCAGACAACACGGCAATTCAACAATTTCTCCAGCACCATAATTAATAAGTGAAAGTCAACATTTCCGAGCCTTTATCATTCCCCACAAGGCCTGAGTCGTCATCAATCATCCACCAACACGCCCAAGATCAACATGCAAACCTCCATCCTCCTTACCGCCACCTTTGTGGTTTCAGTATCGGCACTGGCCCAGCCGGCCCCGGCCCCGACTCCGGCACCGATCCTAGCCCGCGATGACGCCGACTGCCTCCACGAACTCCAGCAAATCACGGCCGGTATGCCGCCGGCCCCAACAGGCGCTCTGGCAAGCTGGTTCAACGACAACGACCAAATGTCATCCGTCCTAGAAGTCATCAACGACGGTGCGCAGATCACCAACGTCGCGGATGTGTGCAAGGTCGCCATGAGCACGCCCACCCCCCCGGCCTCGTTGTCGAGCTCTTGGAGCGCGTACATGAACAGTCTCGAAAGGTGGCAGTCCACCGCTGCAGGCGATCTCAGCAGTGCCGCTGCTGAATGCACGGGAGACGGTGCTGCGGGCATCGCGGGGGCTGGGCTGGAGCTTATTGTGGCCACCGACGTTCCACAGTGCACGGCTGCTCTGGACAAGTACAACGATGCCGTTGACTCTGCTGGGTCAGCCACGCAGAGATTTGTGTCTGCCGCCGCGGGGGTCGCGACCCTTGCCGCTGTCTTTGCCTTGTTCTAGAGGAAGCTCAGCTGTTTAGGGACTGGGCCCGGCGTTGAGGCATGGAGGATACCGGTCACTTTAGACCGTGAGGCCCGCGTCTGTATTTTAATTAGCGAAGGAGGAGAAAGGCTTGTCTTGATGGAGATACCCGAATTGTACTGTACTTGCATGCAGGAGGCAGCCGTTGCGAATTAGTTGTTTACTTTGGATGTGAACCGCCAACCGTTTTTACTTGGGGCAATATCAGTAATTACCTACCTTACCCATTCAACTTCACTTGACTTGTGATCCAACGCATGGGATGACCGACCGGCACTATTCATTATAAGCCTGACCGTAGCATTGAGAATGATAGATGGAGCAGTATTGTCTGTAATTAATCTGACATCCTTGTCTTCAACCTCCTGGCTGACACAGTCGGTTAACACCTCCCAAACTCGCCATCCCCCATCCAATGCGAACCCCCAGCGCACCTATACCCCCCCGCCTGTCTAATCCACTCATACCCCACCGGACACCTCCCCAAAGCCTTCAACTTCGCCCTATCCTTCTCCTCCCTCTTCCTCCGTTCCTCAGCCTCCAACAACCGCCTAACAATCTCCTTTCTTCTCTCCTCCTCCTCCTTCCTCCGGCGTTCCTCTTCTGCTTTTGCTTCATCATCCTCGGCAATCAGACGGGAGACAACGGCGCGGCGGGCGGATTCTTTAGCTTCTTCTGCGAGGCGGTCGGCGGCGGCGCGGAGTTGTTGGTATTCGGCTTCGCGCTGGATCTCGGCGAGGCGGTCGGCTTGGAGTTGGGCCCAGGTTGAGTCGGAGACGCCGGCGTCGCGGAGGGCGTCGTCCAGGGGTTGGGGGGGTGCAGGCTGGGGTTTCTGTTGGAGGGTGAGTTGAGGTTGAGAGGGGGGGCTGGGTTTGTCGTCTTCTTCTTCGGGCTGGGAGACTCGAGGTGGGTCTTGTTGTTGTTCGGCCGGAGCTTCAGCATGAGCATGGGCATGGGCATGGGCATGTGTGGTGGACAGTTTTGGGGGGAGAGGCGCGTTTTGCAGCGGCGCTGGCTGGAGGAACTTCTGCAAGTCTTGGAGAGGCGAAGAAGTCTTTGCCTGGGCCCGCGACGCCCGCTCCCTGCTCATGTCCCGGAGCTGATCGAGGGCAATTTCCTCCGTAAGAACAACCCTCCCCGCAGCCACCTCCTGGCTGTTCCCGATCATCACCTTGAACATGTTCCTAGCCAGGGACTGCACATCCCGCGCGCTGGCCCAGTTGTCCTGTGTCGTGAGTTCTGTGAAAGCCTGGACCAACCCCTGTTGGAACTCCTCGCTGGGGTTGTCCAAGCAGGACAAGTCCATCTTGACCCTCTTGCTCTTGGCTTCCATGTCCGTCTTTTGCCTCTGCAGCACCTTACGCAACAAGTCGATGCACTCGTCCGGCGTCAACGCCCGGAAGTCAATCACAGCCGGGAACCGCGAGGTGAGTCCCGAGTTGACCGACATCAGCCGGTTGATATCAGCCTCATACCCCGCAAGAATAATGACCAGTTTCTTGAAGTACTTGTCCTTGGTGACCGAATCGACAATCTCATCCATGGCTTCCTTGGCGAAGTGCCCTTCCGCCAGCCGGTACGCTTCATCGACAAACAGCACCCGACCCAGTGCCCGATCAAACAGCTGGTGCACTTTCGGCCCTGTTTGCCCGACATACTGCCCGATGAGGTCCGAGGCAGAGCACTCGATGACTTCCGCCGAGGCAAGAAATCCCATGTCGTAGAACACCTTCCCCATCTTTTTCGCCGTGGTCGTCTTACCCGTACCTGGCGGCCCGCGGAAGAGGAAATTGAAGTCGATGGTCTCTTTGGGGTCCATGTCCAGGCTCTTCATGGTGCGGACGGTCTTTTGGTAGCATTCCAATCGCGAGATGACATCCTCCTGGCCGACTGTGCCCTCGAACAACTTGCGGACGTTGGTCTCAGACCGCGAGGCCCGGTCAAAGTGCTCGTCGAAGTCGATGGCCTCCAACACGTCGGGGGAGGAAGAGGGTGTTTTGGCGGCCGCCAACCGTGCCAACCGTGTTTGATGACGGGCCTTGGTCGTATCCAGCAGGATGTCAATCTCCCCGGCGTTGCCAAAATTCGGCCGGTTCCGCGCGCGGTTGAGGATCTCCATAGCCACATTCGCAGCCTGGTCGGTGACGGTGTATCCCTGCCCCTTGACTTTCATATTAAAAATCTTCCGCAACTCGTCAGCGTCGAAATCGTCAAACTGGAACCCGGAAGCAATAGGGAACCGTCGCGCCAGACCCGGGTTCACGTTCTGGAACATGTCCTCCATCTGCGCCGTGTAGCCGAGTAGTAGCACACAGCGGTCGTCGCCAGGCACGCTTTGTACTTCGGCCACGATGGTGTCGATCACGGCGGTTTTGTAGGGGTCGGAGGTACCTCCGCTTCCACCACCGCCGCCGTAGAGGCCGTAGGCTTCGTCGATGACGAGGACCTTGCCTTCGGTCGAGGCTAGGATGCCTTTGGTTTGTTGTTCGGAGCCGCCGAGGTGGGCGCCTACGAAGTCGGCGGGTTTTTTGATGATGACTGTGTGTGATTGTTAGCAGAATTAAAAGGCAATAATTAAAAGAAAAAGAAAAAAAAGAGGATTGAGTGAGCTTACCCTCCCCCTTAGACAACAATCCCAGTGCCACCAGAATCTCCCCATACAGCTTCGCCACTGTCGTCTTGCCGGTCCCCGGGTTTCCCAGAAACACTTTGTTTAGCGAATACTCGATCAGCGGCTTCTCCTGCAACTCGCGTGTGTAGTTCTGCTGGATGCTATCCACCAGCGCCTGCACGGCCTTCTTGACCGCCCCGAGACCAACCAAGTTTTGCACCTTCTTCCAGGCGTTGCATTTCGTCAAGGCATTCGCCGGCTCCGGACCGATGAGATCCTCCTTGGTGAAGAAGAAGTCGTTGATGTTGGCTTGCTGTTTCTTGTCCGGGTTACCCTTGAGTTTCTTCCTCTCTCGCCGCAATCGGTTCGACTGTCTACGCGCAATCCGGTCCAGGACATTCTCCATCGCCCGGGCATTTCCAAACCCCTCCGTCCCGCGCGCCCGGCCGACACGCCGAGCAACGATACGGCAGTACAAACCCGAGAACCCGTCCTCGCAGTCCATCGCGCCGTTGTATTTCTTCTGGACTTTAAACCCCAGAATCCTCAGCAGTTCGTCGTCGGTGTAATCAGCAAACTTCATCTCAACGGGGAACCGACTAGGCAGACCGGGGTTATGCGCGAAGAAGCTCTCCATCTGGCGGTTATACCCAGCGAGCACAAACACGACCTTGCCGCGGAGGTTCTCGACTTCAGCCAGCAGGAAATCCAGCACGGCGCCGCCGCCGGGGTTGTTGCCCGAGGTGAGTTGGTAGGCTTCGTCGATGAAGAGCACGCCGCCGCCGGCGTTGAGGATGGTGTCGAGGAGCTTCTGGCAGCCGTTGACGCCGGCGTGGGCGAGGCTGGCGCCGGTGGTTTCTTGGAAGTTGTTGCCGGGGATGACGCCGAGGTCGGTGAGGAACTGGGCGTAGAGGCGGGCGACGGTTGTTTTGCCTGGGTGTATTAGCAACATAGCTAAGAAATAAAAAGAATAATAAAATAAGAAATAACTTAAAGAAAAACAGAAAATGGAAAAGGGTGAGTGAGAAAGGCGAGTAACATACCAGTCCCCGGATTCCCCAACATCACACAACTATACCGCTCCTCCTTCATCGAGATCCCTTGCCTCAGCGCGGTGTCCACCCTACTCTTCACCCCCAGAAACTCCTCTTTCACCCCCTCCAGCCCAATCATGCCCATCAATGTATTCAACGGTTTACTCTCCGCTCCATCCGCCTTCATAGCCTCCCACTCTGCCTGCGCGCCGCTGGCCGCCCAGCCCCCATCCTCACCACCATTTATGTCTGAAGGCTCATCAGGTTTATTAGCAGTCGGCGAATCAACCTCATTCTTCTTCTGCTTCGCCTTCACCGCCCTCTCCCTAGCCTCCTCCACCCCCTTCCTCCTCTCCTCCTCCCTCTTCAACCTCCCCTCCTTCTCTTTTAGGGTTTTCAACTCCTCCCTCTGCCTCTTTAGTTCCTCCCTCCGTTCCCCCTCCAATTCCACATCCCGATTCAACCTCCTCTGCCAATCCACCTCATCCTGAATCTCCATCAGTTTTGCCGTATACTCCGCCTCGCGCCGCAAGCGTTCCCGTTCCAGGTTCAAATCGCGTTTCGCGCGGCGTTCCGTCTCGGCGTCTTCGGCCCGGCAGACGGCGCAGGTGTGTTTGGGGGTGGAACAGCGGGTTTTGGTCGTGTGGTGGCGGGGGCAGGTAAGGGTGATGGGGGCGTGGCAGGGGTAGGAGGAGTGGTTGGTTAGGCGGTGGCAGCGAGAGGGGCAGAGGTGGGTGCAGGGGAGGGGAGCGTTGCTTTTAGATGTTTAGTATCAGCGTCAAGAAAGAAATAAAGAAATAGGGGTTGAGATAGGGTTAGGGATGGGTGAGTTGAGTTGGGTGAGGTCAGGGGAAGGGTTAGGGTTAGATTAAGAGAAGAAAACATACCACATCTCGGTACACCCCCCCTCAGGACAGGCCGTGTCAAAGTCCACCGGCTGTTTTAGCAAGGCAGTCGTCTGGGGATGCTTCTGGCACTGCACCGGCAGCCCATCATACACATGCCCGCCCTCTCTCAAAATCTCAAAGAACGGATGCCAGGTGGCGTGCCCCTTTTTGCTTGCCAGGAAAGTGGACATGTTCCCGATCAGAATCATACCGTTGCGGGCACGGGTCAGCAGCACGTTGAGACGCTCGGGGGCAGACATGAAGCCGATGTCGCCCGAGTCGTTGCTCCGGGTCAGGGAGATGATGACGATGTCGCTTTCTTCGCCTTGGTAGTTGTCTTTTTTGTTTATCTCATTAGCATTCTCATCTCACTCAGGGTCAGGTTAAGCAGGGAGTATTAGAGTAAAAAACATACCAATAGTAGAAACCCTCAAAGGCGTCCTCCCCACCTTAGCCGCAGCCTCACTCACAATCCCCATCTTCACCAACTCATTCTTATCCGCCTCACTCAACACCGGATCATGCTGGTTCTTGACCAGCAAATCCCGCAGCACCCTCACCTGCCCCAGATACGGCGTCAACAGCACCACTTCATCAGGTGCGTACCCCTGCTGGAACAAGTACCGCACCGTCCGCAGCACCATCTCGGCTTCGAATTGGTTGCGTTTGCTGGCTTTTATCCCGGGGTCGGTGTTAGCTGCAGCGGTATGGTCGCGCCGGTCGCGCAGTTGGGTGTCGATGTCTTCCGGACGGGTGTGATGGAGGAAAATAACTCGGTCACGCAGGCCGAGGATGGCCGGCCGGTTAGCGGTGTTCGGTCCGTCGAGGAGGTTAGGGTAAGTCAGTTTCCGCGCAAACTGCGACAGCTCCGGCGCCATACGGTGCTGTTTATGCAGAGTGGCATGGCGGACATGCGGGTGATCGAGCAACACCAACCGCTCAAATAGCGAGCGGTTGAGATCAAACCCATCGCCGCGTTCGACAGACAGCGCGTAATTGGCGATTTTCGGGCGCAGTTGCTTGTGATCGCCGATGAGCACAATCTGCCGCACGGTGTCGGACAGGGCGGTTAGGACGTGGCTTTCCAGGATCTCGCCGGCTTCTTCGATCAGGATGACGTCTGGTTTGGCGGCGCGGATGAGACGGGCGTGTTTGGCGGCTGCGGTGGTGGTGCATCCGATGATTTGTTTGGCGAGGACAACGCTGGCTTCGCCTTCGGAGAATTGTACTGCGATGCGGGATTGGAGATCGTTGAATTGTCGGGCCAGACTGGATACTACTTGGACTTGTTCCTCGGCGAGTGCTTGTGTCCACTTGTCGTGGTGTTTTTGGCGGTCGGCCTTCGACATTTGCCAGACTGGTCGGCCGGTGGCGGGGATTTGTTTGGAAAACGCCTTGGGACCGTCACCCTTGAGCCAGAGCTTGTAGAGGTAGTCCGGCGTGACTTTGTGACCGCCTTTTCCCGCCATGTCCCAGCTGTCATCCTCGTCGTTGACGGGCACACGCAGGGCCTCGAGAAAAGAAAACCCGCCGTCGGCAAACTCGAGATACTCCTCGATATCATCCCACTTGGGAGAAAACGAGACAAACTCCTGGAAGGCCTTGTGCAGCTTGGGTACTAGGCCTGTGGCCTCGGATCGCAGGGCTTCGATAACCTGCCAGGCGGTCCGGGTGCGCCGGTACTCCCCACGCTGGCCCCAGAGGAGGAGGGATTCGGTTTGGGGGGTGCATTTTGCTTTGGAGCCGAGGCGAACGAGGGACTCGCGTGGGATGCCGGCTTTCATGAGGTCTTCGAGGAATTGATCGAGGGCGTGGTTGGTGTAACTCAGGACGAGGATGCGTCGGCCGGCTTCGGAGAGAAGGCGGGCAATTTGGGCGCCCATGAAGGATTTGCCGGTGCCTATTTCTGCCTTAGCACAAAAGAAAAAAAAAGAAAAAAAAAAGAAAGACAAAAAGGGGGAAGTAAACAAAAACAAAGAACATACCCGGCGGCCCCTGAATCAAACTAACCGGCCTAGTCAACGCCTGCACCAAGGCCCTCAACTGCGCCATATCCACCGTCACCTTCTTCCCCTTCCCCTTTCCCTTCTCCTCCTCCCTCAACATCACCACCCCCTCCGGCCCCAACTCCATAGCCTCCCCCTTCAACCGTTCCACCACCTCTCTCAACCGCCCCGGCACCTCAAACCCCTCCACCGCCTCCTCCATCCCCTCCGGGTTGACCAACACATCCAACAACGGCACATCCGCCAGGTTCTGCAACCCCATCAACACGGGTTCGTAGGTAAATACTGGTGTGTCAACTAGCACGAAACGGACGAGGTCCCGCTTCGGCGCACCGTGTCGCAGGGCTAGTAACGCCTTACCCAAGGCGCGCTCATCCGTAAACTGCAGCGAGACGATGGGTGGTGTTTTTATGAGTTTGTCCACGTCGCGATCAACAAACGCAAAAGCGATAATCTCTGACTCCCGACAGAGCACGCCAAACGACTGGTGCCGGAGTAACGAGGGCTGGTCTTTGAGGTATCGTTTGCGCGCGCCTTCGGTGGCCATTTCGTCGACGGCGTTGGGGCCGGGGCCGATGCTGACGTTGCGGAGACCGGGGATGCCGGTTTCACAGCGCAGGAGGAGTGTGCACTTTTTGAAGCGGGTGTTGGGGTCGCTTGTGTTGGTGGTGTCGGTGGTGGTGATGCCGTGGGGGACGAGGTCGCTGAGGACCGTGGCGGGACGGTGTTTGCTAGGCTTTTTTTTGGTTGTGGGGGAGGTGGCGTCTTGGATGTTTTCGCGGAGTTCTTGGGGGTCCCATTAGCACTGATCTGGTCCTTCGATTTCTCGATTCATGAGAAGTCATGGAAATCAAGGGGAGTAGGGAGATAGCTTACCCCCCATCATATCCTCCCTCAACATGCGAAATTGATTATCCAAATGCGTGCTCACCCTTACCCCCTTCTCCGTCCCCGCCACCTCCCGTGCCGTCTGATAATACGGCGGCTGCTTCGACAAGAACTCGTCAGTCGTCGGGTAAATCTTGATCTCCCGGAAATCGGCAAAGTCATTGTCGTGTCGACCCCCCGGCCCACCTGCGGCCCCGTCGCGCTGGTTTGGGGAGGCCCGCAGTTGGATTACTTTCTCGATTTTGTAGCCTAGCTCGCGCGCCGTGTGGTCGGTGGATTGGAGGAGACGGGAGAGGTGGGTATTCATGCTGGTGGAGAGGAGAGCGGATGTGCCGTCGAGGGAGTCGGCTGCTTGGGGACGGAGGGAGAGTAATTCCAGGACTAGCCAGGCGAATGAAGCGAGGTGAGCATCAGGGAGTTTGTGGCCTTCGAAGAGTTTGATGAGGGCAGTCAGAAAAGTAGGCGGGTTGGCGACAGCAAGCAGGACTTGTTCAAGCAGCTGTCCATCAGCGAGCGATTTCACGCCCGGATCCGACAAGTACCGGAGGAAGGAAAGCGTATAAGTGAGGATGAATGACTCGGCCAGGTTTGCCCGGACGGCTTCGCGGACTGCCGTTAGACCGGCCGGGCTGGACACTAGAATCTCGACGCATTGGGGGGCTGAGGGCTGGATGCGGACGGCTTCGAGGAAGAGCTGGGCGTCGTTTGGGGTACGTAGGGGGTGTTTGCCGGCGACAGTCTCCCGGAAGCGGGATTTGAGCTTAGCGATGCGTCGATCTGGTTGGGACATTTTGGTTGTTTGTTTGTAAGTGATGGTGAGTCGTTGGAGATGAAGTTGTTGGTAAGGAGAATCGGAGATGTGCCTAAGGGCTGATTCTTAATGGGGAAAGCTCGAAGAATCGCTAATTCCTACAGTTGGAAAAGGTCGAAGGAATTTCTAGAACTCCGGGGGCCAAAAAGTGAAAGAATCGTAGGATTCTTTAGAAAGTTAAGCCGGAAGAATTGCAGTGTCAAACACCGAATATCAAAAACAACTTGAACCCCTCAAATAATGTTTATCTCGTGCTCCAAAGCCTCGTTTACCCCAACTCCCCAAGCTCCAACTGCAATATGCAAACGCGCTGGTACTTTCTGCTGGTGCTCAGAAAGACGTCTTAGGCCCACCACCGCGGCATGCAGCATACGACATGCAATGAGGCCGACAGCCGCGTTGTAATTCGCCCACATGGGGCCTGCCAGCAGTGGTCCAGCACAAAGTGACCACAACCAACGAGATCAAATCAAATCAAATGCGAATGCGGGCAGCAGGCAGCGGGCCGACATGCGGGCCGGCCAAGCGCAAGGCGGAATGGTGAATGGTCTAATCCGGCCCAACATGCAGTGCAGGCTGACACGGGCTGTCGTAGAGGCCAGGATTGTTTGCACTTTGTAGTCAACCTGGCGTACTGTAGCATTAAGTTGGTTCACTTGAGTTGGTTACATGATTCCCGTCAGAGGCCACAGACCAATCGATTTGGCAAGCCTTACGGTGTTGGTTCCCGTTTGAGAAACGAACGTTGTTTACGTCTTGTTACTGAGATAACAGCATGTCGGCTCCCTGGGGCTGTGCCAATCCCGCAAATGAAATTCAGTCGAATTAAATCCAAAGGCAGAAACGTGCAGCCGTGTAAGGCGTACTTAGAATCCAGTATCCCTCAGTTGTGCCACGCATACTTCGCGGGCTCTGTGTAACACCAACTCCGTGAGGCCTACAGTCTGTTTGCAACAAGTTCGAAAGTGCTCTGCATTTTGTTCGAATATCAGGTGTACCATTTCCAACCAATATATAAACTGGACTGACCTCAATCTCACCTTGGATCTTCACCATACGTCGGCCACCATCACATCTCTCATTGCATCTCATTGTACCTATCATCATGGCGTCCTGGAATAGCCACCCTTTCGGGCTTCGACGCCCACACGAGCACATCTCAACTGCGCCGGCACCCCCCTTTGGCGACTTGATCCAGACCCTCAAGTTGAGCGACCTCAAGACGGACACCAAGACTCCTAGCACTCCCCAGATCACAGATTTCAAACCCCTCGGCTCGTACAGCTGGCTGGACAAGAAGCCAGGCCAGGCCGAGATTCTCATCCCTGGTACTTTATCTCTACTCAACTCCAAACCCAACTCGATAACAATGATAAATCCCTAACCAGGAAAAAAACAGGCCAACCCCCCCGCTGGACCCCCCAACCTTATCCAACCCCCCTTCTTGAAGACACCGGCACCTACTACCGGGACAAAAACGCCGCCCGCTACCCCCATCACCCAACCGAACCCGCCATCCTCACCGCTCTCACCTCCGACCCAGCCCTACCTGCCAACATCGACCTCTTCGCCTGCGGCAGCACCCTCGGCAATCTCCTCCGTTTCGCCCGGGACGTGGACAGTGATAGATCGTTTCGCATGTTGGCGTATAAATTGGGAGGCACGGTGTTTTTAGTGAGGAGGGAGAATTCGCCTACGGAGACGATTCCCGGGGTGAGGGGGTTTGGACATGCGTTTCCGGAGGCGAATACGAGTTGGGATGTGGGAGTGAAGGGGTCGGTGTCGCATCAGAGGGTGGTGGGGTATAAGGTGGGGGGGTTGGAGGTGGTGGTGAGGTTTGAGGCGGATGGGTATATTGCTGGGGAGAAGTCGGCGTCTGGGTTGAAGTCAACTGCGAAAGATAAGGGTGTTGAGGGTGCGGGTTCGCTGGATGAGCTTACCAACGCGTTGGCCTCGCTGAATCATGGCGGTTACAAGCCCAGCACCAACATCAGCAAGCCAGAAACACTGAAACTCACCACCGCGGGTACTCCCATCCCCCACAGCTCCCTCTTTGACCTCAAAACGAGGAGTATTCGCACCCGCCCGACGCAGTCCACCATCTTGGCTGGTGAAATACCCCGTCTCTGGCTGTCACGTGTACCGAAGCTCATTCTGGCTTATCACACCCGTGGATTGTTCCCTAAGGAAGATATCGAGATCCTGGACGTCAGGGAGGAGGTTGATAAATGGGAGGAACAGAACAAAAAAGAGTTGGAGCGGTTCAGTGCTGTGTTGGCGTGGGTGAAGGAGAACGTGGGACAAGCACTGAAGGGACAAGGGGAAGGGGTTGGGGTGGTTGAGATTTGTAGACGGGGTGGGGAGAATGGGTTGGAGTTGAGACGGGCTGGGGGAACGGTGTATGCGCTGGCCTCGGGGGGAGTTAGAGACCAGTGGGTGGATGTTGTTGGTGGGAAGAGCAATGTGCAGAGCGAAGAGAAGAAAGAGGGGGAGAAGGAGAGTGAGAGGGAGAGGGAGAAGGAGAAGGGGAGTGAAAAAGAGAGTGAAAAAGAGAGTGAGAAAGAGAGTGAGAAAGAGAGTGAGAAAGAGAGTGAGAAAGAGAGTGAGAAAGAGAGTGAGAAGGTGAAGGAGAATGACTCGGACGATGCCTACGATGTGTCGCCGGAGGACGGCATAGGGTTTGATGACTGGGAGGAGCAGGTAAGAGACAGGTTTGAGTATAGCCCGTGGGACTGGAAGGACCAACAGGACGATGACTTTACTGCGTGTAGTGCGGACCACTGCGGGTATTGTGGTCGGTGTTCGTACTAGGACCGGAAGGATTTAGCACGTTTAGTAGTGTTATTCACAGGTTCATGTAATTATCCCCATAAGACCGTTTCATGGTGGTTTATTGTTATCCGTCTCTCATACTCACAGTGCACTTAACTTGCATGTGTCAGAGATAACATCTGCTGATTCCGCTAAGTTAACTGATATAAAAATAAGGAAACCCGCCCCCAATCTCTCCAAACACATCCACATCAAGAAAAACAAACACTACCTCCCCGCCGCCGCAGCAGCCCTCCTCTCCCCCCTCATCTCCTCCATAACCCTCGTATGCGCGACACTCAACACCCGATAAATATTCGCCAACTCATAATCCCCATTCCACTCAAACCCCTCACTGGACCTCTTCGCCACATCCGCCAACCGCGCATGCGAACTCTCCGTCAAATCCGCATCAATCACCCAGTGCTCCGCCCCCTTCACCGGAAATCTGTAGACTACATGTTTCCACTCCGATCGACGAACCTCCATCTGCCGGGCTCGATCATAGGCGGAATCTGGCGTCGCGCGGAGTTGGGAGAGGCGTTCGAGCGGTGAGTCCGGGACCGTCCAGGTGGCGGCGTCCCGGTAGTTAGGGTTGGCGAGGTTGTTGGGGTTGTTGGGGGGGGGGGGGGGGGGGGGGGGGGGGGGGGGGGGGCAGGGGGGGGGGGGGGGGGGGTGGTTTTGGAGCGGGCGAGGGAGAGAGGGGGCACGGGGGGGGCTTGGGTTGATTTGTCGGCTGTTGTGGGCGCTGCTGGTGCTGCTGCTGTTGTTGTTGTGGTGGTGGTGGTGGTGTTGGTGATGTTGTTCGTGGTGGTGGTTGTTGGCTCGAGCTCGACCTTGCTCTCGACAATCTCTGGCGGGCTTTTGTCGGGCAGCGAAGAGGCCTGCGTCGACGGGTTAGGCTTCTCATCGGCTCCCGTAGACCGAGTAGCCGTGGTAGTCCCATGCGTAACAGTGTGATCACCCCCGGACTCCGGCTGCGGACTGTGCTTGGCCGACCCGGCCTCGGTCGACATCACGGGTGACGACCCGGCCTTGGTGTTCTGCCCGGACATGGGCGGACTCCCAGACATTGGGGGGGAATTATACAGCATCGACCCCCCCGGCGTGCCCATGGCGCTGTGCAGATTCAAAACACCATCAATCCCCATCACGCCGGCACCAGACTCGGGCGACATCAGCGGGGAGGTGAACATCGGCGGGCTGTCGGGCTTGATGGTGAATCCGGACATGGGCGAGCCAAACTGCGGTGAGCTGTCGAGGGTGGCGTGCTTTCGGAGCCGGGCTGGACTGCGAGGAGGGGATCGCGGCTTGACGTTGCGGTAGCGGGCGGGGGATAGACGGGGGGATGGGCGTTTGAGGGGGACCATGAAGAGGTCCAGGTCGCCGTCGGCATCGACCGGCGCGATGAGCGGTGCCGACTCGCTGGTGATGGAGTCTTCGTTGGGTTGGAACTCCATGTTACTCTCGGAGTGGGTGCTAGAGTGGATAGGGTTTGTGTAATTAAATTCGGACTGTTAGTTGGACTCCTAAACGAACGATAGTCCAGACTCCAAATTGACGGATTGTCTAAAGTTGACCGACAAAAGATAACCTTCGGGATCACCAGCCGATCCTTTCGGGTCCGCCCATTTGTTTATACCTTTGCCCATCACGAACGACGCTGTACTAGGCCATCTGGTGCGCAGCCGGGAGCCACATATGGCGGACAGGACACGGCCAGACGGTACTGTTTCGCGCCGCTGTCTGCCGAGCGGCCTGAAACGGGGAAACTTGGAGCCATTTTTCAGCGGAGAGGCAGACTGCCAGACCGTCGCGAGGAAAGGGTCCAAGCGGTGTGCAGTGGGCTTGCACAAGTGCGGCCTGTGTCTCTTGTTTAAGTCGGAGCCACTAATGGCTCTTAAGAGACGGCCAAGAAGGGGACACCTCGGGCACTGGCCGGGCCGGGGTATGACGTCGATGGATGTTTGGGGGCCAAAAGAGGTCAAAAATGGAGAAAATAAAAATTCATTATTGGCGCCGGCTACGAGCCCAGGCAAGCCGGGGCAGTCGGTGTCTCCATTTGTAGAGGTGTCGTATTTTCGGCTTGAGATGGCCGTCCCAGCCGGTCGGTCCCGGAATCCAGGCGCGAAACGGCCGGTTTGAAACCGTGCATCTGAAATCGGCTGCCCTGGTCAGCCAACGCGTTTGGGCTTTGCGCCGCGCGGCCGGGCCCTCTCTTAATTCTGAGGTTTCTGCACAGCCTGAGTATTGTTTCTCGTGCATCTGTTTTTTAGTTTTGTTTACGATTTTCAACATGGTGCTTTTGGTGCAGAGCTGGGTTGATATCCATTTATGGCGCTTTGATTTAATTGGTGTTGAGAAATAACTATCCATTTGTGGCTCTTATAATGTAGGAGCTAAAAATGACTTGACTAGCGTTTCAGTGGAGCATGCATTCTATTATGATTTTAGCAGAGCCATTTTCGGCTCTTAGACTTGGAGCCATTTCCGGCTCTTGCATCAACCTTTGTTGCATCTGAAATCGGATGTCCTGGCGAGCCTGGTCAGCAAACGCGTTTGTTCTGACCTGGCTGCGCCGCAGCCGTCATCTTGGCCATATTTCTTAATTACCGGTTTTCTGAACAGTTTGACGTTTGTCCATGATAAATTACCTATCTATCTTCTTGTTCAATTTCGTGGTTTGTTCATGATTTCAACAAGGTCTTTGGCGGAGACTACACAGCCCGGTTGACATCCATTTGTGGCTGCTCGGATTTAGGAGCCAAAAATGGCTTCTCAACGTTTCAGTGGAGCTTGCATTCTATTGATTATGACTTGGGCCGACTTCACTTCTCAGATTTGAGTCGCCATTTTCGGCTCTTGCATCAAAGGTTGCCCTGATTGGGTCTAGAACCCAACGTAATGCGCTCATGCTCTAGAGATCATGTTTGAATCCGAAATCAGAATGGAGAGCCGATTCTGGATCTCAACAATGTCAGTCAGCATCAGTGCATAATAAATGGATCAACAGTCAATTGCTTGATTTTCATTTTATACTCAAAACTAATTACCACATCAATCGCTTCCAATGTGTTCTTGTCTCAAGCAACCCTCGGCCATACTATTGCTCCTCGTTTGGGTTTCCCCAGCTTTGGTAAGTATGCCTCATTCCCCTTTCTATCGATTTGATGTCAAGCAGAGGTTGCAGAAACCGTCAGGAACTAGGCCGAGCCTTTCCGCAGACCCCAACCGCTGTGCCACGGCCCGGCAGCACCGCAGCGCAAACGCAACCGCCCATTCATCCGCAGCGGTTTCCCGTTCGCACCACCGAAGGAGTTGATCCCATGCATGTCTCTCGCCTGGGCAATTGGGCCAATCGGGCGTTTGATGCCACCACAACATCCCACGCGCCCAATGGCCCCAATGGCCCCAATGGCCCAATCATGCCTGGTCACTGGTGCTCACTTTCGTGTTCTTCCCCGCGGGATTTGCACCCCCATTCCCGTTCAGGGACTGTAACCCAACCAACTGACGACTCGAGGGGTAAAGAGCGAAAAGAGAAAAAGGGATGTTTGGCTTCAACCTCGAACCTATAGTTTCTCAAACCTATTGAGACCACTGAGACCAGGTCTCGCCCAACGGGCACCGGCATTAGCACCATGGCGCGCGCTCGATACCCCGCGCCTTACGCTCTGCTGCATCTGGTCCTGCGGTTCCTGTCCATGGGCCTGTGTATCGCCACGCTGGCTTGTGCGAGTTATGCTTCGTCGCGGGGGTATGGTGTCGGCATGATAGGGGCGTTTATTGCGGTAAGTCTCATCTCACCGACAACCATCTCATACTCAACACCTAAACCCATCTCATTCCGCATCGTTATGAGATCCAACCCGACCTTCTCACACCCAACCCACCACTCACCACCCTTACCCCCCAACCCATATACACAGTTACTCATTTACTAACCCCCCCAGATAATCCTAACCACCCTCCTCGACCTGTCCGAAGTCTCCGCCCTCCTCGACCCCCGCCGACACGTCCGCCGCCTCTCAGAACCCACCCTCCTCTACCTCGAACTCCTAGCCACCGCTCTCTGCGGTATCCTCCCCGTCATGTGTCTGATGGCCTATTTGGGGTTGAAACCGCCTGGGGGGTTTGAGTCTTGTGGGCCGGTGGGGGTTTTGGATCATGCGGAGGGGAGGAGTCTAGCAGTGAGAGATGGGTCAGGGTCAGGGTCAAGGTCAGGACCCGGGTCAGGGCCAGGATCGGGGACAGGATCGGGGTGGGTGTGTGAGGGTGGGGAGGAGAGGATGAAGGGGGTGTTGGCGGAGGTGCAGGAGATGAATGTGTATTTGTTTTTGGCGTGGGTTTTGCCTTTGGGGTTGGTGTAAGTTTTTATTTTCTTTTTCCCCTATTTCTTTTTCCCCTATTTCTTTTTGTTTGGTTTCCCCTCCCTATCAGGTTGGGAACTAGGATCAGGATTCGAGCAGCCGGTGGCCGTTGATATTGGCTCTCATCCTCTACTCTGAGACGACCGACTTTATCTGTATGACTGACATACCACAGCGGCGTTCACCTAATGTTATCCGGCCTAGCTTGCTTTGACTGTCTGAGACGCAGACCACGGCCACCGTCCATGACAAGTCGAGATGGGGATTAAAGCGCAACTAAAACTAGTTGTGATAGAGATGTAAAAATAGACCGTCCTTGCATCGGGTTCCGGGCGTGTGGGAATGTGATATGAACCAAAAAAATGTCGAGCGTCGGGCAACAGTGATGCTTAAAGTATGGCTCAGTCGTGTGCCTCTCAACCATGAAGACAACACTAGGCCGTGATGGTCAGACCGTGTTAACGGGCTTCGAGGGGAAGGGCTATGCCAACTTTCGTGGACGAGACCTAAACTTATCTGTTGGCCAACCACAGGGAACACAAATTGTGACAGGTTCACCACAGTTAGGCAACCACAGTCAACATGATGCACGATGCAATACTCATTGAAACTATTGAAACACGCTATGCCAACCTACAGCTCCTCCTTAAAAAACTCCTCTTGCGACCCCTCCTGATATTCCTCCTGCCATTCCCCCTCTTGACCCTCCTCCGCATCAGCCGTCCGACCCTGTCCCTTATTTCTCCCCTTTAGCCCCTCCTCCTTCTGACCCCGTTTCTGCCCCTCCTCCGCCCGCTTCTGCCCTTCCGCCCGTTTCCCCTTCCCAGTATCCTCCTTGCCCTTCTTCTGCTTCGGGTTCGGCACCCCTTCCTCCCCCTCCATCGGCTCCAACCCCCCGTACAGATCCTCCTCCTCACCGTCAAAAACCCCGTAGTACTCGACCTCATCGCCGTCTTTAACATACTGCAACGACCAGCCCCGGTCCCCAGCGACACTCTCCATCTCCTCCACGCCGTCCTTGACCAGCTTGGGGTCGAGGTCGAGTTTCTCCAGCTCGGCGTCGCTCAGCAGGTCCACCTTGGGGGAGCCGGGCTTTCTACTAGCGAGAATCTTCATCACCGGCCCGACCAGGTTGCGTGCCCCAGTTCGAGGCAACGGCAGCTTGTCGGCGTGCGCATCGCGGACGTGCTTCTTAGACCCCACCACGACCCCGCCCACGGTAAGACCGGCGAAGTGGTTCGGCGGCAGTTCCTTGCCGGCCGGCTTGGCAGATTTGGGTTTCTGGCTGAGCAGATCACCGGTCGCGATCAGCTTGTTGTACCGCCATGCGAGTTCCTCCTCTTCGTTGCTGATGATCTGCCGGCATCGGATCGGGTGGGCACGGGTCGGCTTGGGTGGCTGGAAGGCCACGTCGGTGCAGAGCCGCGGGGTGTAGACCACCATCATGTACGTGCAGGTGGTCACCTCCTTGACCCAGCCGATTCTGTCCCCCGTCGCGCTGGGGCTGCAGTGGTACTGGATCTCAATGGTGCGTGGCCGGCCCGTTAGATCGCAAATCGTCCCGCTTTCGAGGCGCTGTGAGAGGTAGCGCTGGTCGCCCTTGATCTGAAGTTGCGCATCGGGTGGTGCGAGGCTTTTCGTCTGGCCGTCCGCCTCGGCATCATCATCCCCAGTCCCGCGTTTCGATCTCCATGTTTTGTGCTGGACTTTCCCCAGGACGTATTCCGGTGTGGTCTCGTCTCGGACGGGTGGCTCGCCTGGCTTGGCCCCCGCGATAGCGTGGTACTGCACAACCGTATCGTCGTAACAGAAACTGTAGCTCCACCACCCCGACATAAAGTATAAGCACTGCCCGTCAAGACCGCTCATGAGTTCCCAGCCCTTAGCCGAAGCCCTAGTTAGCTCCCGGGCCTCCTCAGCCTTCGCCAACTCGGTGGCCGTTCGGTTGAGTGTGGGCGGCGGAGCGATGACGGGCACGGAACAGAGGTAGCGCCATGGATCATGGTTGATCAGCTCGTATGTTTCCGCAATCGGGGCGTCGTCATCGTCCTCTTCCTCCCCATTGTCGCTAGTACTTGTGCCACTTCCGCTTTTCGACGCCGAAATCTCGGCAGGCGCGGATTCACGCACTTTACTCAGACCAGGCTCGGCGGTGTGCGTGGGCGGGGACTCGAGAATCGCAAGGGCATCGGCTTCGGAGATGAACTCATCAGAAAAGACCACCTCGAACTGGAAGTACAATTCTCGTTAGCGGCGGCTTCTCAACATTCCGTGCCATCCCGGCTATCCGGTCTGTACCTGGGGATGCGCAAGCAGATCCTCGTGAACACTGAACGTGGGCTGCCGAGCTTGGCATAGCTGCAGCGATGCTAAGAGCACCAGATTGAGGCGACGCATTGTGTGTTGACGGTCATGGCAAGTTGGTGGTAAGCTTGTTGTTCGTGACTTTGTTTCCCTGGCTCTTGCCACATTGGGAATTGGGGACACCTGTTGGCTTGCCTTCTGGCGCGTGCGCGCCCACATCCCCGATTATGTCATCCTAGATATGGCTCGTGCGTTTACTGCATAAAACTTATTTGGCCCTCACAATCAACAACCCTTTCACAACAATGAAACTGTGAGTTTCTCTGCCCCTTTGTTGGTTCAGTTCACGCCCTCATGTTTGTCTCCTCTCAGATCCACACGTGAAGACTAACTTAGTTACTTGTTTCGATTGAGAATGACTCCGCAAGCTCCGTTTTGCAGGTACCTTCATCAAACCCCAAGGGAGGTTTAATTTCAGACCTCCGGGGTCTTGGGTCTCAGACCACCACCACATGGCCTGAACGCCAACTCCACTCAAACGGAGATCCACGGAGATCGACCGAACCCCTCGATCAAGGTAAGGACCGTCGTGATTAAGTTTTAGATTTACACTACGTGTACAGTCATGAAATCATCGACGTCGTCGAATGGCCAAATTGCGCCGTGTCGGTTTTACATGCCCCGCGCCACTCGAAAACTTAGCGAAGTACGAAGTAACCGGTGACTGGCTCAGTTCATCGAAGGAGAGGACCTGGTTGCCGGCGCTTGAACGGCGAACCACGGGCCGGAGTGGGTCCCATCGCGGTTTCCTCACCCTGGGAGCCCGGGCAGATGCCGGGCTGAAGAAAATTCCTTCTCGGTTCTCCCGCTCCAAGTAGGATGACGATTCGTGGCAGTTGGCGTTGACGTGCAGGGCGTTCTTGGTGTGCATGTCGTCCTGGTGTGCCTGTCGTCCTGGTGTGCATGCCGTTGATGACTTGGTCGGGTCGTCAAGTGTCTCGTCTCGGTCCCTGCGAACAGGTTGGCGTCGCCTGCATGTAACCCACTTCCAGGGACCGACGGTTATCACGAAGACTGCCTGTTCCCAGATGCCGACAGCCCCCGAGGTGGGAACGGAGCCCAACAGTGCCAGCCCAGGTGAAACCGCGGTGACCGGCGACGTGTCGTTGCGAGCCAATGGACAACGCATCAATCATCAATCTCAAAAGGGTCACGCACCGCCGCTGCTGCACCACACCAGGCGGCGCATAGGCCATCAAGGCCGGCGGTCAGGGTGGGAAGATTGGAGCCCAAGCCAAGGGTGCCGCGCCCGGCCAGCGTGGCTTTCAAGCCTCGTGGCTGTGAAGAAGGTGTGGTGGGGGCTGCCCAAAAGGCCGGGACCTTCGCAAGCTGCTCGAAGCCCACTCAACAGAGGGGCAGATTGGCGATTTACGACGACCGAGATGGCCCCGCTGTGCCGGCCATCCATGTCCAGTCAACACCGGCCGCCTCACTCTCAGGCCAGACAGGCCAATGGCAGCGTTTGTGACGGGCCTGCAGAAGGAAAAGGGATGGGCGGGCCCAATCGACAACGGGGCGATGCATTGCCAGCCAACAGCTGTCTTGGAGAGAGGGTGCAGTGGCCCGTTCTGCATGGGAGCGATTCCGGTCGTCGTTGTTGAGCCGGCGTTTCAGAGACTGAAAAAGTTGATTCGGTGGCTTGCTGACTCGACGCCAATTGCGGACAGCAACTCGAACACTCTGTGAGTGACAATTGCGACCCCTGGAGGCACGAGGCCATGCTTTTTGGCGCTGATTCGGGAATCGCGCCGCATCCCCTCCTGTGTCGAAGAAACCCATTGGGGGACAGGTTTGAAGTTTGTGAAGAAAGCAGTGCACAGTGCATGATTGTGAGAAGAGATCGAGTCATCTCATCGTGGCTCAGTGGAACTCTTCGAAGCCACAGCAAACTGGTCTTGACTGGCTCAGTACGGAGTAACGTTAGTTAGCTCTTTCCTTGCGGAAAGGCATGTTGTTGCCTGCCCAACAAACACCATTTGCGACTTCCGTTTGGTCTCTTGAGGGCACGCAAAGGAAGGAGCTCTTAGAGCTCGTTCGCTCCTGCTTCCATCGCTTTCGGGAATGTCGCGAGCTCGCAACTGGTACTGGAGGGACTTGGTCAATCTGCAACCACACATCCTCGCTTTTCCAGACCTTTCTCATCCCGTCCCCCAGATTTGGCGTGTAGGCCCCGAAATTGCGCTCTGCCAACTGGCGTGTCTCCAACACAGCACCGGGGGATCTCGGACGAAGTGTTCCAGAACAAGCCGATGGCAACATCCCGCGCAATTGCCCTCGTGAGCAGCGCGGCCTGATTGCATGCGAGAAGCGCTGTGCCCAGGCTGCTCAATCCTCACTGGATGGGGTTGCGCAACCCCCGGGCGATTCCAGTTTCGACGATCCGGTTCGCCGTCAGCGGCCCTTCCAAACCCCCCCCCCCCCCCCCGCAATGGCGCTGTGGGACACGAAGGTTTCCCACGGCAAGCCACTGGACCCCTCCGCCGGAAAACCGATGAGCGATGAGCGGAGTTTTGCTCCCCTTGCTCCCTTCCTCCCCGGGGCACACATCCAGTCATCGACCGCTGGCCACTGACGATTCACGGGTGAGCCAACGGGCCAATGGCCGACGTCGTGCTGGAACACCAGACTGCGAGCTCACCCTTCCAATCCCCTTTCCAGCCGGGCACCGGCTCATGCATTGGCCGACCTTGCTTTGGCATTCGTTCAGTTGGCTGACTGTTGCAGCGGGGGATCGCAAGACGGACACACCACATGCTGCTGTTGCCCTGCAACCTCGCAAAACGAATGCCCCTCGATCCCTCGATGGGTCTTTAGGACCAGCTCAATGGATAACGAAAATGAAACGGCCGGGTTAGGACCTACTTTGGAGTCAACGTTAACTAACAAACAAACCATGTGCTGGTGAATTGTTCGATCCCCGTCCGTCCCTTCTTCTGCTCTGAATCTCTGTCACTCTGATGAGAACTTCGAATGGGGAGCTGATCTCTCTTTCGGGGCACGTTCTTGGCGCGCTTCCAGGGCCTCAGATTCGTCACACAGCTCGCTGGACCCGCTTGGGGGCGTCGAGACCGGCTGGCCGATTCCAATCCGGGGTCGGTGGGCGGTGCCGGGTTCCAATGCATCAATCAGAGCTGCTCTCGACCGCCCCTGTCAGTAACACCGTTGATCCATGGATGGGCCGTCACCTTTTCGCTCGTTTGGGTGTGAGTGGGTTGTGTGCCTGGCACCACATCAGAGCCGCCAGAGCCGTCTCGTCCCAACTCGCCCACCATCAAGTTCGATCGGGAGTGCAGCTTGCATCTCGACCTGAATTCCCGAATTCCTGAAAACTGTTCACTGTTCCAACTTCCCGTCTGCACCTTGGCTCCCTCTGGCCATCCTGCACACCCGACTCAGGTCCTTTCAGCAACACCTCATCCCGCATACAGTGTGCCGAGTCGAGACTTTTGAGTCCCAAGGCCCACGACCTGCGCACTGAGACTGCGCACTTGAGAGAGAGGCCTCGTGGAGTCTTGGAGTGGATAAATATCGTTTTCTCTCAGGAACCTCCCGAGCTTTTCTTTCTGCTCTTTCCTGGTTTTCATTTTCCACACCCACACACCCACACCAAAAAACAACAACTTACTTCCTCTGCATCTTCGACCTGCAAGCAACTGCCCTCGACCTGGTCCCATTTTCGAGAAGCTCGTTGCCGGTTTGTCACAGGCTGACACCTTGACCGTGGCAAGCTGCCAAACGTTCAGCCTGCTTCTTTCGTCGCCCTACCCATCAACGCCCCCCCACTCGGAACCAGAGCGTCGGGTCGACCCATTTTTGCCAAACCACCCCGACATCTGCAAAGCACTTGTCTCAGCATATCAGCATATCATCGACGTAGGATGAGTCAACCCAGTCAACCCCTAGAGCTCGAGCTCCGGGCTGCCATCGAGAAGAACGAACAGGAGAAGCTCGCTTTGATGGAACAATACGAGACGGTACTCCGCCGATCACACTCCGTCGGTGGAATCAACTTCGCAGCAAATGCTCCGGCTACCAACACCACCAGCGCCGCACTTTTCCGTAGCATCACAAACGACAGTCTCCATGGCAGGATAGTCCCACTGGTAAGAAGCCATGCATCCCTGAGGCATGAGGAACACGGGAGCTGTTACCACTCATACTTATCTGCGTCTAGGATCAGAGCCGCCAGATGAAGCGCGCAAAAACGACACACGACGGGGTACCCACGAGCACAGCTCCCATGGCACGGTCCAAGTCCACGATGATGCCCTCCCGGCCCATTGCCACCTCCTTTGTGCCCAACGGGCAGAGTCTTACTGTACCCCCATCACCGATATCAGTTCCCGGCTCAGCCGGTGGTTACCTCTCCCAGACGGCTCCGGCCCCGTTTATTCCTGCCCCGCCCCCATTCCACCTCCCTAACTTCGCTCCCGGCCCTGGTTTTGTCCCTGGCCCAGTTCCCCAGGGCGGGCTTGGCCGAGAGCTCGGGGTGGACGAGTACCTCTCGATGCAGGAGGATGGCATGCTCTCAGGCATCTCGCCCATCGATATTCCCACGTCGACATTCCTGCCAAGGCAAGACGCTGAGCAACACCCATGCTCGAGCTTCCCGTCCGCCTTCGGGTCTTTGACCTCGGGTCCGACGATCGACACGGCCCCGATGTCGCGGTGCAACAGCAATCTCAACGATGGCGCCTCCATCTCCAACCAGTTCAACGAGATGGTCCGCATTCAATCGCAGCATTCGGTCGCCAGCTGCCGGCCGAGCCCCATCGCCACGCAACCGCCACCGTTGCTTGGGAAACGTGCCTCAGAAGACTCTGGCATCATCGTCATGCAAGGGGGCGCGTTCTCCTATGCGTATCCCACCGCAGCCCCGTCCCAGCCGACGGTCCCTGGGCACCAGCATCCCATGCAGCCGTCGCTCTCCCAATCCAGCATGCACTCGGCAGTCTCGTCCATGGCGCCGTCGCCCCAAGAGGCCAGCGTTCAGTACTCGGCTGGGCACCTAGACATGGAACGGTCGGTGTCGCACGATAGCATCAAGTCGAACTCGTCGCTTAAGTTCCGGGCTAAAGAGGCCCTTGCTCGGCAAAACTATGCGGCCAAGTCTCGCCATCTTCAGCCCAAGCCAGCGACTGGATCAGCTGACGACGATGACACCGCGGAGGCCGCCCTCAACAACAACAAGGACGGAAAGGCCGCCATCGCCAAAACCAAGTACGAGCGCCCCAAGCACCCCAAGGTGTTGTGCAACCAATGTACCGACCACGTTGAGGGATTCCGCGGCGAACATGAACTGCGCCGACACACGGAAGCCAAGCACAAGAGCATGGTCAAGAAGTGGATCTGCCGCGACCCGGCGCTCCATGGCATTCCGCACAACGAGACCGCAGTCAAGCCGCTCCACGAGTGCAAGCAGTGCTCCCAGAACAAGCAGTACGGTGCCTACTACAACGCGGCTGCCCATCTCCGTCGCACCCACTTCAAGGTCAAGCCCCGCAAGAGCGTGGCCGGTCCGGCCAACGGCAAGAACGGAGGCCAACCCATCAAGGTCGAGGAGGAGCGAGAGAAGCGCGGTGGCAAAGGTGGTGGTGACTGGCCGCCCATGACCGAGCTTAAGCAATGGATGGTCGAAATCACGGTGCCCATGGACCAGGCCGGCGCTCTCCTCGCCGACGGCGTCGAGTCCATCGGCAACAACATGGACGTGGAGCCCGAGGGCCTTGGCCCCGAGTTTGCCGACGCCTCCTTCCGGCGGTATTCCAACGGTGCCGGTCTAACTGTGACTGCGGCTGCTCGTGGCCATCCCATGCGGATGATGACCGCGGACGGATTTGACGCCACTGCTGCGTTTGCGGGGATGGGCGAGGCATTCGGTGGCCAAACGATCGACTTGGCCACATTTCACGGCGATCTCGACGCGCACCTAGCTGAGATGTACAGGAATACCAACAACGGCGACGGTAATAGCAACTCAGTCCCGACTATGTTCACGCAGCCACCGATGCCTGCTCCACTTCCTGGCATGCCGCTATCATCGTCCGGGTTTGACTACCGCGCCGGGGCCGTGGAGAATACCAACGGTGCTGGCGGCCAACCCCTGCAGCAGCAGAACAGCATCACAGCCTCGATTGCCGGCCTGGATGGCAACAGCCAGGGTTCGTCTCAGGGCCAGGGCAATGGGCATGGGTACACCTCGCCGGTGTCGTCGACTGCGACGGTCACGCAGGCAAGCATGTACATGGACCAGCTGCTACCCCCGGCGAACTTGAAGGCTCCGAGGGACGATGATGTGCCGGATATGCCGTTCGACTTGACGTTTACTGCGATGGGACAGTAAACGTGGTTGACGCCGTGCTGATCGACTACTCTTTACCAAAACAGAAAAAAAAACAAGAAAAAAAAAGAAGAAACAAAAACATTCTTCTCTTTTTATTTCCTTTCTCGTCAATTCTTCACCGAATTATAGTATTCTCAACACATACAGACTTTCCCCCTGATTTCTCATTTCAGGTACCACCGCTTTGGTGTACCTCACTTACATATTCTCGCTTCATCGCCAAACTTCGTGTCCGCACCAGATTTTGTTCATTTTTTCTCATCTGGGTATGCATGCTCCAGTGTGTGTACTTCATGAAAGTTATGTGCTCCATTTTGTGTCTTTCTTCACTTGTTTATTTCTGGACATCACCCGGCGACCCAGTGGCGCCGTTGTCCCAGTCAGTTCTCATTCTCATAAACTGCCAAGTATTTTTTTTTCCTTTGGTATACGTTTTCCGCTTGTCATCATACAATAATCACCACGTTGGACCTCGCCGTCACACGGCAGGGGTTTTGGACAGGCTTGCGAAAACCTTGAATGGGTTTAACCGCAAAAGTCTCTCTATTATTATCTTTTCACTTTATTTATGGCTTACTGGCGTTGGCGGGATAAAAGGTTGGGACGGCGCACTGGTGGTTTTTGGTCAAGGAGCTCGGCCTTGGGCAAGGGGGCACAGGCTTGATGATGTTATGAGGCGCTGTCAATAATAGGTTTGGTGGTTACAGGACTTGGGGTATAGGCAGGAAACTGAGGCTGCATCGGGGTTGGCGGGACCGCATCGTTAGAAAGTAGTAATGTGTATATCAAGAGGGGGAGTGCTGTGCTGCAGAGGGCAGCCAGTCACATCGGCATTGGTAATAGACTCTGCCATGAACCAAACATTGTATTCCGTGTTTAAAATCCTCCTTTGCGCTCCCCATTCGTGGCAGTTTCCCTTTGCCTTGTCAAGTTCGGTCTCGCGTCGTCTGTGATGCCCGACTTACACGGAGATATCGCAGATACGAGCGTTCGGCCGTCACTCCGTCCTCAACTTCTTGTGGTGAGTCCCCGCCCACTTACCACAAAAGGAAAGGTGGGGCTGACTCTCTCCCGGCGCCGAAACCGGCTCCGAGCGAGCCCACCGGGATGGGCCCCGATGACTCCTTCGTTGAGTCTTTAAACTGACCAAGTAACCCCATTTGTTCCGCTCGGATTGCGCAACGGCCGGCGGGGCTAACGCGGGGATGGGTTGAGGACGGAGGCCAGGCTCGGCAGCTCAGGCTTCTTTTTTTTTTTTTGGAAAATTTCGTTGGAAAGAAAATAAGAAATGGGAAGGGATAAATAAAAATAAAGATCTCTTGAGCCGACCGCTTCGTTTCTTGGTTCATTTATTTGTTTAATAGTCCAACGGATCTCAACTTATCTCTCTTCCATAAACTCGCCAAACACCATTTCCTCAGCACCCGGGAATCTCTACAAGAGAAAAAAAGACAGAATGCCCAAACTAACCACCCTCCTCCAAACCCTGCACCACGAATCCGGCCTCCCCTCCCTCACCACCACAGGCCGCGACGCCTTCCTCATCATCCTAGCCCGCACCTCCCGCATGTTCGCCTACGGTGCCAGCTCCCTCGTCCTCGCTCTCTTCTTCGCCGAACTCGGCTTCACTGACGCCCAGATCGGGTTGTTCATGACGCTTACTTTGCTCGGAGATGTCGTTCTCTCGCTGGTTTTGACGCTCGTGGCCGATGGGGTAGGGCGAAGAAGGACGTTGGTGTTTGGCGCGGGGTTGATGATGGTTTCCGGGACGGTGTTTGCCTTGTGCGAGGGGTTTTGGGTGTTACTGGGTGCGGCGGTGGTTGGGGTTATCAGCGCGACGGGGGGGGATTTTGGGCCGTTTCGGGCGATTGAGGAGAGTATGGTGTCGGAGTTGACTACGCCGGGGACGAGGGCGGATGTGTTGGTTTGGTATGTTACGTTGGCGAGTTTGGGGAGTTCGGTGGGGACGGAGATGGCGGGGAGGATTGTGGAGGGGTTGGTGAGCGGGAAGGGGGGGTGGAGGCTGGTGGATGCGTATCATGCGTGTTTTGGGTTGTATTTGGTTATGGGGGGGGTTAGTATGGCGTGTGCGATGGCTTTGTCGGAGAGGTGTGAGTTGAGGCGAGCGGAGCCTTTGGATGTTGCTCAGGACCAGAATGACGACCACAGCGACGGCCAGAACGACGACAGCAACAACAACAACAACAACAACAACGGTGAAACAGAACGGCTGCTGGGTGCCTCTGAACCCTCCACGACCACCACAACCACAGAAACACCACCAGCCAAACGCAGCTGGACCTCCCAAATCTCCCGGGACTCCCTCTCCATCATGTCCATCCTCTGGTTCCTCCTCATGGTCGACTCCCTCGCCGACGGCATGGCCAACATGTCGCTAACAACCTACTACACAGCCCGCAAATTCCCCCACCTCCCCAAATCCGCCCTCGGCGACATCGTGTCCACCAGCTACCTCCTCGCGGCGCTCTCCAACATCTTCGCCGGCCCCCTAGCCCGCCACATCGGCCTAGTCAACACCATGGTCTTCACGCACATCCCCTCCTCCGCCGCGGTACTCGTCTTCCCCCTAGCGCAAACCGTGCCCCTGACGTTTGGGCTGTTGTTACTTCGCGTCGGGCTGAATAACATGGACCAGGCGCCGCGGGCGGCGTTGATCGCGGCGGTGGTGAGAGCCGAAGAGAGGACGGCGGTGATGGGGATTACGAGTGTGGTGAGGACGGTGGCGTCGATGACGGGGCCGAGTATTACGGGGGTGTTGGCCGGGGGTGGGAGGTTTTGGATTGCGTTTGTGGTGGCGGGGGGGTTGAGGTTGGCGTATGATTTGGGGGTGTTTGCCATGTTTGTGAATATTAGGTTGTATAAACATGAGACAGTGGAAGAGACTCAGAACGAGACTCGGGAAGAGGGCGAGCAACAGGAGGCATAATTAGACGGACCAGAGAGGCAAAGATATAATTGGCTTGTATGTAATTACTTACGACCGGGTTAAGATTTAGACAATAAAGTAATCAGGCATGAGTTTGCAACTTTGCATCGATGCCGTAAAGTCAAGGCGTACTTAGAAACGATCCACCCGTCATTTCTACATGCCAAACACCAACTCAACACTCATTCCACAGCAACCAACAAACCCAAACCCCAACCCGGCTCCCTAGATACATTACAAAAACATCACACAGGACTGCCCAAAAACAAAAGGACGAAACGCGATTTGAACGCGTGACCTACCGGACTGCAGCCGGTTGCTCTACCCCTGAGCTATTCGTCCCGGGGTTATCGATGCAAGATTACCCGGTAACCCGGCTTTTGTCAGCCGTGCCACAGCCACGGTTGTGTGTCAGAACAGCTTAGTGAGTGTAACAATGCGAGTGTTTAACGGTAAGGGGATTCCAAGCTTCGGAAACAACAGGTGAACTGTCACGGTCAGTCGCATGAGATACAGCAAAGGTATCGTAAGTCGCGGAACGAACTTAGGGTTCGCAGAATGGTGGTGTACTGGCCCCTTTTATGACAATGGCAAATGCAGTCACGCAACACACCCAAGAGATCACCTAACAGTAACAATCTGGATTTCTGACACAATGTAACCAATAAAAAAACATGCGGCGCCCAAATCGCCCCTTGCAATGCGCAGCCGCGCTCGCTCGCTCTCGATCAGCGCAAAACGTAAATAGGTTTGTTCCTCCACCTCAGCGTCGGTGCTCCCTGAAGAGAGCCAGTCCACTTGTTCCTTTCTTGCCTCTCCGTTATTTAGCCAACACGCTAATCCAGGTGTACGTACACACTCTACATGGTGGTAGGTGTGGTGTCGACCCAGACGCAGGCTAGATCCCTCGTCAAATCGTGATAGCGTAGATAGAGATGGAGATCGTTATGCACCCCCCCAAAACCTTGTCCGTCCAACAATGCCGTGCTATGCCAAGACCCAAGAAACATAAGAATATGCAGCACATCATCGTGCAGAAAACGTTAGTCGGACCCAAGTAGATGGGTCGATTCAAGCAAGGAAGGAGTGCAACTGAGCCATTTCTAGGCCCGGTGCTTCCCCTTGTGCTTTCTTCGTGGAAACTCTTCTACGGTCGGCTCGTCAACGGCTTCGACCGTCGTAGGCGCCACGGCAGTCCAGTTATCCGGGACTTCTGTCCCGCTCCCACTGTTGCGGGCGACGGCTGGGCCGTATGGGTTCGTGTAAGGGTTAACATAGTGCTGCTGTGTGTCACGGATTAGCACTACTGAATTGAACTTGGGGATTTGCAAAGCGTAAACACGAACATGGTATCCCCTCGGGGCATCTGCGCCGTCCGCCACATCTCCATAGTGACCCTTGCTCGGCCCTCCACGAGTACTCATGTACGACTCTTGGAGCACGCCACTCAGGTACGGCTCATAGTACGGCATCTCCGGCGACGTGACCGCGCCGGAGCTTCCCGAGCCAAACATCAGGCCGGGCGTGCCATCCTGCAGGTTCAAAACGTTGGAGAAGTGGGCGTTCAGGTCATCGCCCAACTCGTCTCCGCTCGTGCTACCGTAGCTGTCCACGCTGGCTTCGTCATCGAACTGACCGTCGAGGATCGCCAGCTGCTCTGTTGCTGACGGCCGCTTCTTGGGTTCCATGCTAGCCATCCGCTTGATGTTCGCGTAGTCTTCTGTCTTCGCGAACTCCACCAGCCAGGCATGTAAGTTGAGGGCTCCCATCTGAGAGCACCTCTGTCGAAACGTAGGTGTGCGAGTCCAAACAATGGTGGCGAACAGCGACCAAATGTCGACTTTCGTGGTTTGGCGCTTCCTGCCAAAGACCTCGGGGGCCATGAACGGTTCTGTCCCCGCAGCGGTCCGGGCCAGTTCCGGGTCGTTCGACAGCCCAAAATCACCGAGGCAAAAGCGGTAGGTCCCTGTCGACTCGTCCAAATCCCAGAGAATGTTCTCCGGCTTCACATCCCGGTGGATGATCTTGTGGTGGGCGATGCACTCCAAGGCAAGAAGCATCTGGCGTAGAACCAGGTCGGAGATCCCGCGGTGGTCCTCTCTTGGCGTGTGTTTATCGATCAAGGCCTTGAGGTTTCCCTTCATGAGCGGCATCATGATCTCTCCCCAACCATCGCCCTTTCCACCACCGAAGTAGTCCAAAATCTGCAGAATGTGTTCCTAGTATGCACAGTCAGCTTCAGTGCATCCAAAGGCCAGGGCGATAAAAACAACTCGGCCACAATCCCGTCATGCCTTACATGTTTGATGGAGTCGTCCTTGGTGATCCGAAACAAGTTAGCAATCTCCCGCGTTGCAAACTCGAGATTCTTGCCAGACAGCTTGTGGAACTTTTTGACGGCAACGATCCGGCCGTTGGTCGCATCCATGGCCCAGGACACGGCACCGTACGAGCCAGCGCCAATGTCCCCTCCGAACAGGTATTTCTTCGTCCGTGAGCTCCTAGGCCCCATCCTATAAGGCTCGTCCTTGGGGAAGTCGTACAACCCCTCTGAGTGCCATTGTATTTCGAACTGGTACCATTGGTCTTGGCCCAGGGCTATCCTGGGGTTGATGCCTTGCGCCACGAGGACCGATTTGGAGTGTCGGAACTTGACGGTGTAGGAGTTGCTGGAAGAGAGCGGCTCGACCGTGTGGTTGTCGGATTCGTCGAACAGTAATATCGCGCCCGTTTTTTCCACCAGGTTAAACGATGCATGGACACCCGAGATATGCGGTGAGCCCTTGCTGCTCGATTTTGTGTCGGGTAAATAGATGTCGACGTCTTCATCGCTACCCAGGGTGTAGACCGGTTTTCCTTGGCTGGAGAAGCTGCACCACAAACCGATGGTGTCGTTGACGAGGGTGCGTAATGACTGGTTGTTCTCGTGGTTGACCACCTTGCGGGCTGCGGCGTTTAACGGGGCCAGGAGAAACTCGGGATTCGGCTGCGCGTTTTGTTGCTCATCCGCGGACTCGTCACCATAGTAGCCTGTTTCCATGGTCGGCGTCGGGGCGGTTCGCCGATGAGAGAGGGAAACAGCATCCGGGAGCGATAAGTGCGGGGGTGTGTTCGAGACTGGACGGTGGTTGCAACGTTGGCCGGCGATGCCATGAAAGCCCCTCTTTCCGGCTCGGTCGTCGTTTGTGTCTCGCCGTCGTCCTCGGAGCGCAGCAGCTGGCGAAGTCCCTCAACCGTTGATAAGGCTGCACCACTGGGGAATGGGTGTTGACGAGAAAAGTCCAAAGCCGGGGTCGGAATGACGCTGCAAACGGGCGTGACTGCATGCCAACCGACAACTAACGCTCGCATGCTGCCACGCTGGACAGCGCGGGGGAGCGAACGGGGGGGTTTGCCGCAGAGACCCCGTGTGATCAGGCTCTGTCGCGGCCGGCCAGGCGGTGCTCATTGGTCCCGGAATGCCACAAGCAGATCCGGGTTCCACACTCAGGCAGATCGAGCTGCTGTTCGTTCGAAAGCGACGGACAAGGCTGTCTCCTTTTTTCTCTCGTGGCCGCCGTCTGCCAATGACGCACGCGGCCCCCAGGTTCTTTCAAGCCTGACCGACATCCGCCGTGTCGGGCCTGAATGCAATGGGCTTTGATGGGTCAGCCCCGTTTCGGAAAATAGGCAATGTGCTGGTTTCGACGCCTTGCGATAACGGCGGTGGTCACCAACATCCAGAGGCGGCCTCCTGTGTAACTACGCAGCACATCCCACAAAGATAGTCGCGGCGACATTCTTGTTATTTTCATCAATCATCGCTCATTGGATGAATTCGAATTTGGCTGCGAAAAATGGCCGCTCCGACGCGCCACTGGTCGCCACCGGTTATGACGGATGGCCATTGGTAAGATTTATGACCAAGAAAAGAAGACAACGTGAGAGAACGAGGAAAAAGAACCTGGAAGAGATGAAAAGAGAAACCTTCGAGTGAGAATGTGAGATGCAAAAGCGCTTTCCCAATCTGGCAGGGATGCGAACCCATGCGCCTTCCCAGTCTCTGTGTCCAGGCACCCGGGACCGTTGGCCGCGGCCGCCAGCTCTGTCTTCAGCGGGAATTCACCGGCTGCCAACGGCCCGCTGCGGCTTTCCACAGAGCGCTTCCCAGGGGAACACCTGAGCGGCGCCACCCCCGCAGTTCCTCAGGACAAGACCCACCGTGTCTCAATCAAGCATCAAGTTGTTGTTTCTCCCATCTCTCACCTGACGGTAGATAAATGGTTTAAGAAGACTCTCATCCGGCAGCTCAAAGCTACACTAGTTTTGATCTCGGGCTAAGTCGCGCACCGAGATTCTTCCGCTAGTTTGGGTACTTGACGTTTTGCCGGAGAAAATCAACCGAGACCCCTGAAGCATCCGCCAATCGATCAGGAAGCTCATTGCCGAAAGAGAATATAAACGACGGGAGGCGCCCCGTGATTGGCACGCATATCGTGACGGGGACTGGTTGCAGTGAACAACCATAACGACCACGATCTCGAAGTTCCGATTCCTGGAAGGCGGTTTTTACGTCCGACGTCCTTTTTTGGACAAACTTTGAGAAAAAGAGATAAATAGGGGCGATCAAGTCGATTACCCCGGATTTTGGACTTGTATCCTCGTCCTAAGCCAAGTCTCTCTATTCCTTCAAAACCGTTGAAATGACAATTAAGGCCGGTATCCTCACCTTGGCCGCGGGCCAGCTCCTGGCCGTCCACGCGCTGGACGACGGCATTGGCCGAACGCCGCATTTGGGATGGAGTAGCTGGGTAAGAAATGCCACCTGAAACCGCGTGTTAGTCCAGGATCCAGGATTAAGCTATTAACACAAACCTCAGAATGTTGCGCAGTGTAACTCCGCCTCCGAGAAATACGCCCTCGACACCGCGAACAAATTCGTCTCGCTGGGTCTCAAGGACCTTGGGTATGAATGTACGTCGTCTTACACCCAGCATCTTATTCAAATTACCATTTTGCTAAAAGCCACCCAGACGTCAACATCGACGACTGCTGGCTGACCAAGTCCCGCGATGGCAACGGCAAGCTGGTTCCCGACCCGAACAAGTGGCCCAACGGAATCAAAGCCGTGGCCGACCAAATCCACGGCATGGGGCTCAAGTTCGGTCTGTACGGCTGTGCCGGCCAACAGACATGTGCCGGCTACCCAGGCAGCGACGGCAGCACACACGCTGCCTCTGACGTCGCCCAGCTCGCCGAATGGGGCGTGGACTTCTGGAAGTACGACAACTGCTACACTCCTTGCTTGGACAACCCGCCGCCGCAGACCTGCGGGCGGCCGTCCGGCAGCACCAAGACGTGGTATGCGCCGATGCGCGATGCTATCATCGCCGCGCAGGAGACGCACCCGATTCACTTTAACCTGTGCAACTGGGGGCGTGATAACGTGTGGGAGTGGGGTGCAGAATATGGACACTCCTGGAGGTGAGCAACTCACAGTTCCTTGAACGACAGTTACAGTTCTAACCCATTGATAGAATGAGCGTCGACAACTGGGGCGACTGGGCCAGCATCGAGCGCATCGCCAGCGCAGCCGGCTCCATCGCCCAGTACAGCGGTCCCGGCGGCTTCAACGACCTGGACATGCTGTACCTCGGCTCATCCAAGATCTCAGCCGCCGAAGGCCGCCTCCACTTCGGTCTCTGGGCGATCGCCAAGTCCCCCCTCGTCCTGGGCCTCGACCTCGACAACATCCCCTCCGACATCCTCAAGCTGGTCAGCAACAAGGGCCTGATCGATATCAACCAGGACTCGCTCGGCAAGGCGGCGGCGCCGTTCCGGCCGGCTAACAGCCCGGAGCCGGTGAATGGGAAGATTTACCCGTACTGGGCGGGCCCGTTGAGCGATGGTGTGGTGATTGGGTTGGTTGCCGGGACGCAAGGGGGCACCTATGCGGTGAACTTTAAGGATGTGCCTGGGCTGGAGGACGGTGATTATTCCTGGGAGGAGGTGTACACCGGCCAGACGGGCACTGGGTCGAGCGTGTCGTTTGATATTGAGCTTCATGACATTCGGGTTGTGAAGGTCACGACGGCGTAGGAATAGTTAACCCGGCTGGTTTGATTTTGTGATGAATCGATGATCGTAACTCGTCTTAGAGTGGGCCCCGAAAATGATTCCAAAGACTCTCCAAATGTAACGGTCAGCAGACGCTACTGTGTGGTGTAAATTCATTCCGGTGCATGCTTACGGCATATGCTGGAGCCGACTTAAACTGAGACCGAAGTGCAAAAGTCGTATGCGATTGGTACAGCACGCGCTCCGCCGCAGCGATCTGCATATCAAGTACCTTTAGGGAGTGGCCGACCCGTCGGCAGGCACTGCCCGAGCTGTTATCTAGTGCATGTTTACCCTCAACACTTATGAGTGGCTTGGGCTACGACGACGCTACGTGACGGCTTTTATGAATCGGTGTTTCCTTGTAGTCTGAGTCAGAAAAACTATCGCATGCCCAGCTTGGCGTCTTGTGGGGTGTCGGAGAACTACCTAATTTGGCTATTAGAGTGCAGTTGCGAAGTCTCAAGCAGCAAGCTGTCTAGTGGAATCATGGATTGAGAAGCTAGACAATGGCCTCGGCAAAACTAGATGCAATCAACACTAGGAGCGAAGGAGCTGTGAGAGGACCAACCAAATACTATCCTCCACGAGTTGACGACGATCTTGTGCCAGATTGAGTCCGTGTGACAACTTATGTTGTCAGCTATGAGCGAAAGATTGCGACGGACGACTTGAAGGTGGAGGCGAAGTAGGAACAAGTTGTGGAATCAGGAGTCTCCATCAAGTAGGTCCCTTGGTTACGTTGTCTCTCTCGAAGGTGATAAATAGAGCGCCAAAGCCCATCGAAATATCCTCTTCACTCCTCAACCCAATCGTCCCCAACTCAACCATTCCTCAACCATTCCACAACAACCACCACAGTACATCCACAATAAATCAAAATGCAGCTCACCAACTTCCTCACTCTCGCATTCGCCGCCACCCTCGCCGTGGCCAGCGCAGTCCCGCCCGAGGTAAGCTATTAACTCCACCCAGGACTCCTTTCCTCCCCGTCCTAGGGACCCCGTCACAGTGAACACGATAAGAGATAAATACTAACAAAACACCACCCCCTCCAGCTCAGCGAAAGGGCGTGTGTCGGCAACCTCGGCTACTGCAACAAAAAGGCCAGCAGCGTCCTCGGCAAACAGTGCTGTGGCGGCCTGTACTGCTGCGGTGTCATTGGCGCCAACAATGTGTGCCAGAGCCACAACACTTGCGGCGAGTAATTAGCCTTTTGGGGTCACCATTGATGGATCGTGGGGTTATGGGGTTATGGGGGCTCCCGGGGCAGGTTGAACGACCGGATGGGTGGTCAGGACTCAGGAGATGGGGTGGAACTTTTGTTGATAGGATGGGGTGATGGGTTCAGGGGTGGATGTGTTTGAGCAAAGCCATGTCTCTCTTTTATGTCCTGGCTGAAGAGATAAACTTAGAAAATTTACAGAAGAAAATTTACAGAGTTGGCCACTGTGAAGTTTTTGAGACCATGATATTACGCTAGTTTGATATTAATTACTGAATAATTAAATTTTTGCTAGGTACCTATTAGTTATCCGGGCCTGGGACGGCCGGTGTTCATTTTTCAGAACCACGCTCATCTAATCTCTGAGAGAGAAACTGGAGGGTGTTCATCTGACATGTAATTACTTGATCAGTTACAACATTCACTACAGAAATGGCAACATCTCAAAGCTGCGAACCCCTTTAACACGACCACAAGAGCTAGGGTTAGGGTTAGGGTCCCTCCCGACAAATCGGCCCACACCCCACCAAGCCGGGTTCCGTCATTGCCTCGGGCCCTGGATTTTCGTCCGAAGCCCCCCCGAGTTCGCCGCTCAACTTTAATCTCTCCGACTCTCTTTGACTCCCACTCAGCCACCTCACCAACCCATATCTCTGAGAAACTCTCAGGCCAACCGCCATACTGCTAGTTCAACAGTCCGAAATACCCAAAACACCAAAATGTCCCGCCTCCTCCGCCTCCTCCGCCTCATACCTTCGCTCCGCGGCCTCCCATCACCACCCCTCACAAACATCCAACACCAAATGGTCCAAACCCGCCTCTCCTCCTCCTTCATGCAATCCTCCCCCTCCCCACCCCGTCTCCCCGCCGACCAACAAGCCGAATTCGAGCGTCTCCAGCGCGCCGCCGAAGCCGCTCTCTCCTCACACACGACTATCTCTACCGATTCTGCTGCTACTACAGGCGCAACAAGTCCCCTGACTACCTCCCGCCATGTCACGACTCCATCTGACACCACCCAAACCACCCAAGCGGCACAAACAACCAAAACCACCCAAACCCAACAGACTGCAGTGGAAGACCTCGCCTCCCCCCCAGAAGCAGCAGCAGGGACCTTCAGCGGGGGCATCCGCAAGGGTGCGCCGCCCGAGTTTGAGGGGGATGTTCACCCGAAGACGGGCGAAGTGGGCGGGCCGAAGAATGAACCGTTGCGCTGGGGCAGTGGGGGGGATTGGAGTTTTAATGGGAGGGTTACGGATTTTTAGGGGTTTTTAAGGAAGAGTTTTAGCTGGTGGAGGGGTGTTGAGAGTTTTACGGAGGAGTTGGAGTGGGTGGGTGGGTGTTGTTGGAGGGACTGAGGTTGGGAAGTGTGACATGGGAGAGTGGTGGATGATGGGAGACTCTATGGCTATGGGAAGCTTACATTGTTGAGGGGGTCATGGGCACTGTAAACGGACATGCTGCTCAGATTGCATCTCCGAGCTCCTCCCACGGTCCGTTGTAGCGCGAGCAGAGAAGGAAGACTCGCACTGCTACTAAGCATCAGACCCCTAATCCAGCAGTCAACAACCCCCACCATCCACAGCGCACTACAACACACCCACAACACACCCACAATCCCCACCCAACTCAGTCACAACCGAACTCAGTTAAACACATCGCTGTTGTATGTATTAATCTTGTACCATACCATACACTATCACGCAGCAATTGTAACTCAACACTGCACTGCACTGCACTGGACCGGACTACACCGTGACCTCAACTCAGCGCAATCGCCACACACATACACACACATACACCGGATTCTCTCTCCTTCGGCATAATCGACCCAGATGCCCCCCCAAACCAGGACCGACTGTCTGTCTGTCATTCACCCTGTCCTTGTCCTGTATGTCCCAAACGCAAGGCAAAGTGTAATATCTCCCCTCTCCTCTCGTTCCCCTTCACTGCAAAACGTTCCACTGCAAAAGCACATCGCGCAATCCCATATTCCCAACACAGTCAGCAATAGCAAACGCATACTTCAAAACCACTGCGAGCTAAAGCTAATGAACCACCTGTCTGTCTGGCCTTGAATCTGCCGCTTTAATCCCTAGAGTGAAGCGAGGGCCTCTTTTAGCGGCCCCAGGTCAGAGAAGCAGCCGTACCCGACCGGCACCAGCATCAAAATGAGGCATGCACTGGCCAACAGAGTCCAGTTATACAACACTTTCAACACTTTCAACACTTTCAACGTTTCAACCCTTCCCCATCAACTCATCGCCAGTCCATCTGCACCCAAAGAAAAAAACCCTTCTCAACCCCCTATTCTCAGTAAGGCAAATACGCCAAGGAACAACCCAGACGCGCTCCTCAAGCGTCTGCAGTCTTCTCAGGCTGCGCATCGCCCATTTCTTCGTCATGGTCTGCGCTTTCCGCTGAACGATCCGTCGTCTTGTCCTTATCCTGTTCTGCGGCCTCGTTGGCGGGTTGTGGCTCGGGTTGCGGTTCCGGTTCCTTCTCCTTCTCCGTTTCCTTCGCTACTTCGCTTGTTGTCGGGGTTTCGTTGAGGTCCTTGTCCTTATCGGCCACTGGCGTGGTAGTATTATCGGTAGTTTCCTTTGGGGGTTCAGTCGGTGCCTCCTCGGTAGCCTTAGGTTCCTGCTCCTTTTCTTCGCTCATCTCCCCCCCCTCTCCCGTTTGGCCTTCCTTAGCGACCTTCTCATCCTTCCCTTTCCCAGCCGGATCCAGGTTCTCCTTATCCCCCTCACTCGGCGTCCGACTCGTATTCTGCTTCCACCAGCCTAGCGCTGCGTCTCGCTTGTCCGGGCGGATCTCGCACCCGGACCCGCTGACCGGCCGGCTGATCCAAGCAGGTGTCATCTCTACCTCCGCCAGCGCCTTGCGGATACGCTCCCGTCTCGCTTTCCCACGCAGCCGGTTCTGCGGCGCTCCGCCATTGGTCACCCACCGCACGCCTACTACCATGAAACTGACGCCGTCGTGGACAGCGCGCTGGCGTGGGTCTTCGTCGTTGGTGGGACCGCCAAACTCGCGGGACTTGATGCCGAAGCGGGTGGTCGAGGCGTACTTTTCTAAGCGGGGCAGGATGAGAAGCGTGACGTGCAGGTCGCGGTTCTCCGGAACTGGCATCGGGCCATCCTTGGGAGGCTCAGTTAGTGAGGTCGAGTTGAGGGATCCCAGCTGAGGCTGCGACTTGGCGCCTTTGCCGTTAGCCTGGCCGCTGCTGAGCACGTTTCGGACATCGGACGCGCTATATCCTTGGTCCAAGCCCAACATGTTAATATCCACCTCCTCCGGCCACTCGCCCCGAATCCACCCAGCGTGGATGCAGGCGGCGATCACATCAGAATCGTCCGTGTACACATCTGTGCCCCAAAGCGCGCGTCTCGACGTTATTTCTTCGCGAGCCGCGGGTGCCAGATGCTCTTTACCAATCTTGACGGTCAGCGTAGAATTCTCCTTGCCCTCAATAAGAGCCCAGGGAAGTGGCACAGGTGTCGACTTGTACCCGCTTCGGGGCGGTCGGCCGGTTCGGGCATCTTGTTGTCGAGCCTGCTTAAGCTTGACCTCGTACACCACATCGCCGAGGTGCAGTCGCGGGCGGTCGGCTACGCTATCCAACACCGCACGGGACGAGATAGCCTGGCTGGGCTTCGGCAGGATAATAGGCGACGGGCTGCGGGGAGGGGGAACTGGGTGCGTGTTAGGCTGGGAACGGAGAGGTGCGTGATGGTGATGATGATGGTGGTGGTGGCCGCCGGGCAGATCTTTCGCCATACCAGTAGGGGATGCAACTGGGGTGGACCCCTTGACATTTCGGAACGCAGCACCGCCTTGAACGGCCGGCGAGGGCGCTTGCTCCAGGTTGTGATGATGGTGGTGGTGATGATGACTTATTGACGTGTTAGTTTCTGGAATATCACGAACGCCCAAGTGAACATACTGGTGATGGTGATGCCCCTTGGGCTTCTTCGCCCGTCCACTCGCAGGCGTCGGCGCGGAACTCCCCTCTTCATCCTCCTCCTTCAACTTCCTACGCTTGCCACGGCCGGGGGCCTTTGTCGTCTCGACTGGAGGCTCGGGCGCAACCTCTGGATCTTCTTGACGTATCAACCCAGTGTTGGTATACGCCAGCTGGGCGCCAGCGGGCACAGGACTCGAGAGAGTGCCGACTCCGGTTCCTATACCAGAAAACATACGGCCAAACTCGCTCTTGATGCCCGGCTCCCCGGCTGGGCCTGCCAGCTGTGGTTGCGCACCCTGTACCGCTTGCGGAAGTGGAGAGATCCGTCCTTTGCGGTTCATTTCCTGCACAGCCAAAAGGTTGCGCTGGCTCGCCTGCGTGGGTGTACCCGAGTCCTCAAATCTTCGCATTCTCGACGCTGGTTCGTGGCTCATGGGCCCTAGGCTGTATGCCACCGAAGGCGGTGGAACCGCGGCCTCATCTCGGTTGCGCAGGGGTCCCTGCTGTGAGTGCGCGCGGTCCATGTGTATCGGCCCCATGCGCTGGCGGTCCGGAGACTCGTAGGCCTGCTGCGGCTGAGGGGGGGCTTGCTGGAGGCCATGTTGGTGATGCGGGTGCGGGGCCGGGTGATGTTGGTCCGGATGGCCCGGCCCGTACCGAGGAGCTCCGTTATAATGTGGCGCTGCATTCGGTGGGTAATCTTGATGTCTCTGCGGGTGCATGGTCGGGTCGTATGGAGCACGTGCTGGCTCGAAGCCAGGCCGGGTCCAGTCTCTCGGGTCGGGCGGGCGACTGTACTGCTGCTGCGCTGCTCGTTGGTCGATCGGACGTGGATACTCCTGCGGGTGCCCCCCGTGCCCACGAGACGGGTCTGCGCCGCCCATGCCCATCTCTCGACGCTCTCTTTCGCGAAACTCTCTCTCGCGGAACTCCCGCTCGCGAAATTCGCGTTCACGAAGGTCCATTTCACGCTCTTGTCGTTCCCGCTCTTGCCGCTCTCTGTCGGATAGATACCGTTGGTCTTCGTATTTTATAGCCCGGATAGGGCGCTCCGGGTTGTACTCTTCTCCCGAAACTCGAACTTCTTCTCTGTGTCCGTATACCTCTGGCGGCGGCCTCGCTGACTCACCGGGCCGAGGCCCGGCGGTGTTTGTGTACTGTCTCGGCGGGCTCATCGGCCTTGGCCCACCGGCACCTCCTGACAGACGCCCTGACTCCCTGCCTTGCTCGGGTTGTGTTATCGGGGGTCCTCGTTGCCCGTAGGCCTGCGGCGTGCCGTACCGTTGTAGCTCCGGTGTCGATTGATACGCACCAGGCGAAGCAGCCGATGCGGCTCTCGGATCGCGGGGGTCACGGTTGTCGTAAAGGCGGTGATGCTCAGGTGTTTGCGGTCGTCGGTAAGGATGATGATAGTCGGGTGCTGTAGACGGCTGCGGCCGAGGAGACGCATGGATGGCCGGGTTATAAGGGGAGGGTCCGGGGCCACTCGACGCTGGACCGGGAGGATATTGTGAGGCAGGCGCACCCGGGTCCCGGGCAGGTGGTGGTCCACCCAGCATCGAGGATATCGACATGCTGCTTCCTGAGCTGGCGGCCCGCGAGAGCGAATCTAGCGCCGGAAGCTCCCGACCACGTGGGAATGTCGTCGGGGGCCCAACAGAGACCGGGGGCGGCCGCGGATGGGGCAGCCCGTACGGCCCTGCCATTCGATGGTCGCTTGGGCCTTGACCCTGCTGTTGTTGTTGGGGTGGCGAGTTGGGCGGCGGCATGCCACGCGTCATCGTCGGACCGGACGTGATCGAGGATGTGCTTTGATGTCGCGAATGGGTCGAGTTGGGCATCGGCCCAGCACCGTGCTCGGGGGGGTATTGTCGGCTCGGAGGGTAGTATGACGGAGGATCAGACGGTTTGCGCGCGTGCGCGTCGGCATACGGGGGATGCGACCCGACTGTTGACGCATACGGTGGTTGAGATGCGCCCGTGGTCGGGGCCGGGGTGAAAGACGGTCGGCCAAACGGTGACGCGCCGTTGCGCGAGTACGGATGTTGTTGAGGCTGCCTCGAGTCCATCGCGCTGGTTTGCTGGGGTGGTCGCCTGAAACAGCCTTAAAAAAAGTTGATGGGGTACCCGGGACCCGGCAGTGCCCGAAGGCGACTGGCAGCAAAAACGGCGTCGAACTCGGCTTCGGATTCGCGGGTTGTTGCCCTCAGCGGCGCGACGAAGAAACGGCGCGACTGCGAAATGGATAGGCGGCGCAGTGCGGCGATCGGCAAGGCGGTGATGCACTTTTTCCAGGTGGGTGGGAGAAGGAGAAATCCAAGTCCTGGGCCTGGCAGGAGGATTAAATTTTGCGCCCTGTTCCCATCTGGGCTTGCGGTCTGGGGAAAGAAGGCGGTTGGATCATCCGACGTGCAGATTTGGTCCCGCAAACCGACCAGCTCCAAGTGGCCCGAGCTTGCAGGGCGCTGGGACCCTGTGGGTCCTTGCGTATGATTGGGCCGCCGCCCGCGCCAACCGGGGAAGGTGGAACGCGAAAAAGAACAAAAGCCGGCAGGACAGGGATTCGGACCTGTCGCTGGCGAGTTGCAGGGTGCCAAGGGCACATGCTCAACACCATGAACAGTCGATTTCACAATGACGATCCCTCGCATGCCACCAATTTTGGGGTGGGGGAACATGCTCAGTTTCTCTCAACACGCAAGGGCCGCGCACAGAATAACAACTCCCATTTTTAACACGTTGAAGACACGTGGCCTCCAAAGAACGCTCTACACTCGACGATAACTTACAAATCGAAATGCCCATGCTTTTCACCTCATGTGCTTTGTGAATGACGAGCCGGGCCGCAAAGGCCAGCGTGCCAAACTACATGTCAGTTGCCATCGCCTTTGACACGATATTCCGAATAAGGAACAAATATGGGAAAGCTCAGCTTCACTCTGGTAAATCATTTTTGACAGGCACTACACTACATTACTGTGTAGTGTGATGTCAAACTTTTGTTAAAATAGCAATATGTGAACGCTGTATATTTTTCCTACCCCTGGGTTTTCTGTCTTGCATGGTGAATCCGTTTCACCGCCAACATTGCGGTCTGCCCCGCAAGGCGCCCGCGCCCGAATCGCGGTCGGGCAATCGAAGCAACGGTCAGGACCAAACCAAACAAGCACCCATGGTTGGTTGCACCGAGTCGCACGAGCTGCAATTGTAGAGGGGCACGAACCGCTGGCCCTGCATGTCCGGCTGCTTGGCGGCTATAATCCGGCCGTTCGTTGGGCTTTCCAAGTTCTCAGCTTGCTGATGCCCGAGACATAAATCCCACTTGTTCTTGGTTAGGTCGGCAAGGGATCGAGAGTGTTGTTGAGCTGTTGGCAGTCTTGTTCCAGGCTCTCGCCCGGGTCGCCTTTGATGCCACATGCAGAAGCCCAAGAAAGCTGCGGGGTTGAGCTTGGGGCATTCACAGCAGCAAAATATCAAAGTGGGGCCCCCAAGTTGCCCCTTTTTAGCGACAACAAAAAAGGGAACACCAAATTCCCTTCGGTCTCAAGCATAAACAAGGCTCTCATAAATACATACTGCAGGTGTAAAGAATTCACAAATCAACGATTAACATTGTGAGGGTTATTCCGGGCAGTTCGTCAGCCACACGGGCGCCATGAACTCGACGGACTAACACACAATCTCGGGATAACATGTGTGAGCAACACTAGGAAGCTCCGTCTCGTACACCTTTGAAGGGAAATGCCTATCCGTGCCTGCCTAAGGTCCTTCACTGACATACGAGTATGATCGAGGCACGGGTCACTGCTCCTGTCGGTAGGCCTGCGGTGGAACACCCCGGAACCCCGATCGTCCACCCCTTCCTCAGGCACCGAAGGTAGGCTAACCAGGTACCGGGTCTCAACGAGAAAAGCCGGAGATATTCCGATTTTCTAGAACCACTGGCAAGAGCGACCATCAGGCGATAGTTCATGGCTGAAAAGTCGCCTGATTATGTCGGGTGGTTACGGAACAAGAGGGGAAGGAGTCAGACTATCTCGACCCATGACACACATGAACACAAGCAAACCATTGTCGCTCCTTCTAGAGCATTCTGCTTTGGATATCGAGCGATTGCTCAATGGAAAGAACGACGAGAATCAAGATCACGAGGCGGGGGAGAAGAGGGAATTTTGCAAGAATTATTAAGGGAAACATTCCCACTACTGCCTGACATTGTTCCCCTTCTCCTCCTTCAACTTCTTCTCAACCGAGACCCTCCACATCTGAACTCTACCTTTGTCACTCTTTTGAACTCACTTTGGCGCTTCTTTGACGCTCCTTCAACTATCTGACCTGGTTAACCCGAGCAACATGGCGCCTCTCGTAAAATGCCTCGGCTTGACGTTCCTGCTCGCCTCGGTGGTATCGGGGCGTATCATGGACCGCCTCCACGCCACCCCCAAAGGCTGGGTACAGAGCAGAGAAGCCACACCGGATGAACCCATCCTTCTCCGGATTGCCCTGAAACAACAGTCTGACCGCGTCACGACGCTTGACAAAGCTGTGCTCGACATCGCCACTCCTGGGCATCCCAACTACGGCATGCACATGACCCGAGACGAGCTCAGATCCTACACTGCTCCGTCCCAGAAGAGTCTGACAACCGTCATCGAGTGGATTAGGAATTATGTCGTTAAGTACCACGTCGAACACGACTGGATTTCCTTCCACACCACGGTTGAGCGTGCCAGCGAGCTGCTAAACACCCGGTTTTCGTGGTACCAGTTAGCCCAGGGCGGCGGCCAACCTGTTCTCCGGAGTCTCTCATATAGTGTGCCCGACCATGTTGCTGGCCACATCGACCTCATCCAGCCCACCACGCGCTTTGCCAACCTCAATGCCCAGAAGTCGTCCATCTTTGACATTCTCCCCATTGCCTCCAGCGATGAGATTGGAGGCCCTGGAAATAAGGCGAACTTTGCGGCAAACCCGCCCGACGATGACCCCGACTCGTGCGCTTCAACCATCACCCCGGGCTGTCTCAGGAAGCTGTACAACATCCACTACAAACCAACGGACGCTTGTGACAACAAGGTTGCCTTTGCTTCATTTCTCGAGGAGTACGCCCGCTACGATGACCTGGCCGCCTTCGAGGAGCGCCTTGTCCCGGATGCCATTGGGTTGAACATTTCGGTTGAGCTTGTCAATGGGGGCTTGGACACCCAGGACAGCGAAAGTGACAGTTGTAAGTCCTGATCTCCAGTTCAATCTGTGCTCACCTAGCCAAGCATGCGTCCCATGTCCCTGACGCTAACGTGCCATTCATTACCAGTTGAGGCAAACCTTGACGCGCAGTACATCCTCGGCCTGGCTCACCCCATCCCCGTTGTCGAGTACAGTGTGGGCGGTCGCGGCCCTCTCGTTGCCACGCAGACTCAGCCTAATCCACCGGGTAGCAACGAGCCGTATCTGGAGTTCCTGCTTTACATGGCCAGCCTCCAGGACGCCGACTTGCCGCAGACGATATCCACCTCGTACGGTGAAGAAGAGCAGTCGGTCCCCCGCGACTATGCGATCAAGGTCTGCGACATGTTCAAAGAGCTCGGAGCCCGCGGCGTTTCCATCATCTTTGCCTCTGGAGACTCGGGCCCTGGCAATGTCTGCATCCGGAACACGGATAACCAAACCTACTTTGAGCCCATCTTCCCCGCAGCCTGCCCCTGGGTCACTTCTGTGGGTGGTACTACGGATCCAAGCGACGAACATGGCACTACGTTCTCCAGTGGGGGGTTCAGCATCTACCACGAGCAACCTGTCTGGCAGAAGGATGCGGTAGGTAAATATCTGGACACCATCGGTGATGCCTACTCACCCTACTTCAACCGCAGTGGGAGGGGGTTCCCTGATGTTTCGGCTCAGTCAAACCGGTTTGTCATATGCAACAGGGCATTCTTCTCGGGCATTGGAGGAACGAGTGCTGCGTCCCCCGTCATTGCTGGCATCGTGGCGTTGCTGAATGCTGCCAGGAAGGCCCAAGATCAACCTCCGCTCGGGTTCTTAAACCCTTGGCTGTACAATAACTCGGCGGCCTTTAAAGACATCACCATCGGTTCCTCCTATGGTTGTATGGCAAGAGAGGAAATTGGCAACTACGGTGCCAAGTGGAACACCACGGAGGGATGGGATCCCGTGACGGGTCTCGGTACGCCGCTGTTTGACAAGTTACTGGAGGCGGCCGCCCCGGGCACGAAAAACGCTTGAGCGGAAAATGGGTGTAGGCGGAGTAAATTCGACGACGAAAGGCATCTGCAGTTAAAGTTACATGTTTATTGCAGATTGCTTGCTAGCCCGGAGCGGTGGGTCAAGTGATGGAAAATATGTATAGCTAGCTAGCTGGCTATCTATCTAGTGATTGCTATCCTCGTTTAACGCAATACAATTTGATGCAACTACACTGTTCGGTTGACCTTTTCCTCGTGGCTGTCTCTTGCCATATCCCCGCGGTCAGAACCGCTCCTCCTCTTTTCCAATTTCTCTCCACGATCGTCAACACCACGGCTGGGTCGTCCGCTCGGAACAGCCGTGGTCCGATCATCCAAATCGTCATCGTGCCCAGCCATACCCGCAGCACCAGCACCAACGCCGGCACTCGAACGCCTCCTAAAGTACCCCTCATCCCGCTGAAGACGTGTAACATAGCCTTCGGGCACCCAGCCGCGGCTCGTCCAGGGTTTGAGCTGAGGTTGGGCATACATGGCGTCGACATTCTCGAGTGAGAGAGAGACGGACTCGTAGAGGAAGAAGTAGGTCACGAGGGCCGCGGCGATGTTGGTGCCGACGAAGACAAAGCCGTAAGCGTAGGAGATGCCGGAGGTGGCGAGGGGGGTTAGGAAGGAGATCATAACTAGGGATGTTAACCTTTATTTATCCTTTGCCGAAAAGAACATTTTGGAGGGAGGACAACTTACAGTTACCCAGCCAGTTACCAGCCGTGGAAATCGACGCCTGCTTCGCACGTGTCCGCAGCGGAAACGTCTCGCCAATGACAACCCAGCAGATCGGACCCCAGGTCATGGCAAACGAAGCAATAAACAGCGCCGCCGCAACAATCATCACGATCCCCGCCGTGCTGTTGTTCTCCGGGTTCAACGCCGTGCCCATAGACGAGAACACCGCCAACCACGCAGCCTGCCAAATCGCCCCAATGATCAGCGGCCAGCGCCGACCAAACCGTTCCACCACGTACAGCCCAAAGAACGTCATGGCCACGTTGACGGCACCCAGGATCAGCTGCGTCTGGATCGGGTCGTCAATCCCCGCCGACTCAAAGATCGTCGCGCCATAGTAAAAGAAATAGTTCACCCCCGTCCACTGCTGCAAAAAGTGAATCGTAACCCCCAACAACGTCCGATACACCTGTTTCGGCACGCCATTCTCCCTCGGAACAAAACACTCCCCCCACGTCCCCACCCCCACAGCCCGTTCCTTCTCCAAAATCTCCTTCATCTCCCGCATATCATCCTCCACCAGATCATGCTCCGGCTCATCCTTCATCCCCCTCAACCTCGCCATCGACAACCTCGCCTCCTCCCACCTCGCTCTCGCCGCCAACCACCTTGGCGATTCCGGCACCACAAGGATCCCCAGCCCCAACGGTAACGAAAACGCAATCCCCAACCCGACCACCACCCTCCACGACGCGGCCTGCTCCTGGATCTGCCTTACCCCGAGGTTCACACAGTTCGCGACGAGAATCCCCAGGGTGATGAGGAGTTGGTAAGAAGCGACGACGGCACCGCGGATTTCTCGGGGTGAGCATTCCGACTGGAACATGGGGACGCCGACGGAGAGGTTGCCGATGCCCAGGCCGGCGACGAACCGGCCCATCATGATGTGGACCCAGGAGGAGGTCGCGGTGAGCTGGATGATGCAGCCGAGGATGAAGATGGTTACGCCGAAGGAGAGGGATTTACGGCGGCCCCACCAGTCGGCGGTGCTAGATACCACAACAAACCCATGGTTAGATAACGGGGTGTTCTGATGAGGGTATTTTAGGGGGTTACGGGGGACACATACTACGAAGCCGTCAAAGCTCCACACAACGTCCCGATACTCATAAGCGAGACCACAAGCGACTCGATGATGGGCGTGAAGTCGCGGCCCGAGGGTGTGTCTTCCTGGCCGAAACGGGTCTTGAAGTCGCTGAAGAGCAGCATGCCTGAGATCTGCCCGGTGTCGTAGCCGAAGAGGAAGCCGCCGATCGAGGTCATGACCCCGAGGATGAGGGCCTCGACGCCGCAGTCAGCGCCATTGATGCGGATGGATCTAAAAGGGGGGTTGGGTGGTGAGTTTTGGGGTTATCGAAAATGGCTGAGGGTTCTGGGGGTTGAGGTAGAAAAATGGGGGTGTTGGGGTATGAGGGGGGGGTTGTTTACTTTCTTCCCAGCATCGCGACAACATGCAACAAGTCTTCCAAGACAAATTACTCAGGTACTATGGCGTGTTCATCCGATAAAACCTACAGTTTAACGAAATGCTCGTAACAACAGAGACAAAACCCGCCCATTCTAGCGGATGGGGAAAAACATATATGAAAACTTTCCCGCCCCTGAATCAAGTCCATGAGCGATGCCCGCCACGACAACTCATGATGTCACAAGCCCGGCTGACCCCCGAGACCACGCCGAGAGCATCGCCGGAACTGGGGTTCATTTGCTTCGCCCGCTTCGCCCATGCCCCATCTCAGCCCATGTGCACCTGCTTGACGTGTAAACCATGCCAAACAGGTGGACATTTTGCCCTTTTCTGCCAATTTTCTGGAACAAAAACTCGGGGAAAAGGTGGAAAGAGTGGCCAAATGTGGCTCCTCAACTTGCCAATGATGTTGACGAAGATGGCGACCTGTGACGCAATCAGTTTTCTCCCCCCGCCAAAGGGCCCCCACACTAAAATTTTACCCCAAATACCAAGCAAACCCTTGTCATTGGGGTGGAATCCAGACGACTTGCGACGGCCTGCAATGGTTTCAACTTTTGATGTGTCTCTTGGGATGTTCGGATTCTGCCCTCAAACGGGGAATCTAAGCTTAACATTGAGTTGATGGTTTTTCCCTCATCCCCCATCCCCGTATCATGGAGATGAAAGGACGGACTTACTCGCGGCCTTACCCCGGCAAGCCCGGGTGAACAGCAACGTCTGGTCCACCATGAAGTTGTCGATCGTGAGGTTTAAGGCATGATGAACCGTTTGCGCGACGCGAGGCCTTGACCCATCTTGATGATCCGATTACGAGCCTATGAACGCTGTATGGTTGAGGGATAATCCAATTCCATGCTACAGAGCCTCCCATCTCTCTCTTACAGCATCCACCCTCACTTCTAACGTTGTTATGTACGCAGTGTGGGAGTACATCACAAAAGCCCCTCCACCAACCCCCCCAACACCCCACAAACCCCAAACCCAATAAAAATCCCCGCCTGCGGAAACCCCGACGGCCCAAACTCTGGATCAATCCCGTCTGTTCCGGGGTACAGAATCGACGCCAGCCCGGCTAGCCAGTAGATAGTGCCTGTGAACACGGCTGTTCGGAGGGAGTCGAGTTTGTACGCCCGCGCCGTTGTTGTGACGGCGGTCTGCGGGGTTTTATTAGAGGTAGGAGAAGAGGGGATGCGCCAGGTGTAGTACAGGGTTGCGAGGCCGAGGATTACGGAGAGGGTGATTGTTTGGGCGCCGTGGAATCTGGAGAGAGTTGTGTGTGTTAGTTTTAAGGCTGGATTTCCTGATTCGGAATGACTTCGCACTGGGGGATTACGGACTTGGCATGGGGCGGCCAGCGCGGGTTAAAGATGTGCGTGTGGTTGTAGTCGGCGATGGGGGCGCCGAAAAGCAGACCGATCGCATCGATTGTGAGGAGGAGTTTGCCGAGCATGGTGGAACTAGTTGCGTTTGATATGGTTGATAGTGGTTAAGCGCTTGATACATGTATTTTGGCGGGTTGTTGAGTCCCGGGAGTCCGGGTGGAGGGCTCCATTTTATTGTTGAGTGTTGTTTGAGCCTCCGGATTTAATCGGAGTCCGAGCCTGTGCACAACAGATGGCTGATGAAGGGCGCGAGGCTCAGTCGGACGTCGCGGAACCGCGACGCCGTCTTCCTCTCAGTTTAGAAAGAATGGTCAGATGCCGGGGGAACATTTTGCCAATAACTAATTTCTAACGCTTACACAAGCAAGTCCAAATGTTAGTGTAGACGAGTTTCGACAATTTAGGAAACATTTTTCGAGAGTTGTGAACTTAGACTCGGACATACGCTTTTCAGCAGCGGCTCAAGACAACAGAGTTTGTTCCGATGACCGTTGCCGTCTAGCCTCGACACATTCATCCTCGTTTACTTTTGAGACCCTCGAACCTCTCTCTAGCCCGGCCAGGGGCGGGCGCCCGTATAACTTTTCTTCATTCCCGCATACGCAATGGATGACCAATTATTGGCATCACTTGGACACTCATCATTAATTATCAAAACCGGTAAGGTTGACCATCGCTACATTGTTTAGTGCTGCCCAATTTGAGGCCAACTGGTATGGTAAATGGTAGACTTCTGTTCGTCGAGGATTGCTATTGTCTTTTCTCGGCGTAGGGACTTCGGTTTCATTTTTTCAGGCTTAGGAACTAATTAGTTAACGTTACTCACTAAAGTTGGGCACCGGGACCTAAGATACCATAAGAAAGTGGCTGTGGAAGGTATTTGACACCTACGTAGCATATGGAGGTTTAAATTGATGTAAAATCCCCTACTTGTCACACACACGAGTTCTCTTCCAACAACTCTTCTTTTTGAAGCACCCCTTGAGCCATTGTGACGGTTTCATCACGCCATGTGCACCACTCACATGCCCCCGACGCCTAACTATGCCCCACACTTGGCCAAACCCTCAGGGCCACCATTTTGCAAGCGCACTCAGACCTTCGGCGTCTCTGGGCCGTCCCAGAACCTAAACCACCGCACTGGAATGCAACAGCTAACGTCAACTCTCTCTCTTATCATCAACTGACACCCACGCCCAACCGTGACTGAGAGCCAATTTGAGTCAAACCTCTGCTTTGCTATCCCCAGGGCATTCTGTGTTTAGACATCCTCCAACATTTTTGCTACCGTTTTTCGCCCTGGAAGTTGAAACGCAGCACCCCGCCCCCGCTGACGGTTGAGAGCTGAGTCGCAGCCCGCTCCAGCGGGAGTGGAAGACAGACGCCCTCTGGACTTACCCAAGGCAGCCGACCCCAGTAGGTTGCTTCAAGGACATTATTGTGCGTCTGCATCGAAATTTCCTTGCGATATGCTAACCTGAATGACCTACCCAGCATCAAGCCTACCTCTAGGACTCTGCGACGAGCCCAACAGCGGGGGTTGTTTCGCACCTATCGAAGCGACCCGACCCGCTAGGTCCTGGAACTTCGCATCCAACCAGCAACTTGGGACCTTCGCGATCTCACCCATCGTTTCCTATCGTTGCTCTATCATTTAGCAGAGCATACTGAGAAGACCTACACATTGGCAGCGGTACGGAAATGCCGCAAAACTGCCGGGCGGCCAGCCTCATTATGGCCGATGCTAAACGGCTTGGACGTCCGATGTTCATCACTCACCAACAACCTTCCAAGGCCGACCGACAGGGGTGCGACATCCCCGCCCACAATCTTCAGGGGCCGAAACCCATCAACCGTCCACGCCTATCTATCGCCTTCCAAAACTCAACTCACTTCACCACTTGATTACTCGGCTCGAGGTCGGACGGGCCGTTTTCAACACGATCACGGTTTGGTCCAGCCAGCAGATTAAAAAACAAAGTTTTACTGACACTACGTAATAGGCACGCAATGGCTGCCTGTGGAGGGTTATCTATCGCCCGCGGCTACAGATAAGCAAAGCGACACAGACCTGCCGAGTGGCCAGTGAGCCTGGGCTTCTTTACCCCTTCCCCAACCACATGTCTGCTCTGCCCACAGACACATTACAGGACCTCTCTACACCATACACCATACACCATACACAACAAGCAAATACACGACCGCATCATGCGGGGAACGATACTCTTATTCCCTGTCTGTTCTCTTTTTTCTTCTTCATTCATTCTGCTCACCACCCATCTCCTTGCGTTCGCGCTCAGTCCGCCTTCCCAGGCATTCTCAGATCCCCCTTCCTCCCCGCATCAAACGATCGGGGCAAAACTCGCACCATAGCCGTCCCTTGCACCACCCCAAAACTGCCTTCCATCCTTTGCAAGTTGCAGAGACCCCCAAGGGGAGAAAAAAAAAGCGGCAAAATGAGGCAGCCTGTGACACCTCAACTCCTACTTTCCCACGCGGTCGTCGGGGAAAAAGAAAAAAAGGAAAAGAAGGCAAGGGAATGCCTGAAAAGAAGACGAAGAATCGGGACTAAGACCATGCAAAAAGCCAGGCGAACCATGCCAACTTCTGGGGTTTGTCGTCTGATTCCTTAAAAAAACATCCTCTGCCTTCCCGGCATCCATCCATCCGCCCATGATCATTTTGAAAATTGCTCAGTGAGCTCTCTTTATCGATTGTGATCCTTCGGGGTGACGAAGCCTTCCTCAAAATGCAGCTTGCCAGCGTAAGCGCACGGAAATGTTGAGGATGATAAAACTACCACGCGATGTACGCATGACAGCCAGGCGATATCTGGGCATATTCCAGCGGATAGCCCTCTCTTCCGCCCGCAGTTAACCCACGGGCCAGAGCGCAGGAGCGCAAGGGACATGTGCTTCCCATTGCATCCGTAAGCCGGGATGATGGAAGCCGGGATGAACGCAGGCCATCCTTTCTCCATGATACCCAAACTCCAGCCCCGAAACGGGGAATGAAGCTTCCATCCTCACTACGTTCTTTCGTTTTCCCTTCCCTTTTGTGAGAGCCCGCCCGATTATCCTAATTCCGCAGTTAACGAGCTCGCTGCCAAATGACGCCCCCGAGTCGGGGCGCCCGTGCTGTCGGAGGTCCGGTGCGGTGGGCTAACCCGCGACCCATCTTTGTCGCAGGTGCTGCTAGCCCCGAGAGGGAGGGGCTCAATATGTTTACACACACAAGTCGTCGAAATATTCCTACACGGCGCCGAAAAGTGAGAAAGAAAGAAAAAGAAACCGAAAAGCATCGAAAGTCGCGCGGCGGAGCAACGGCAGGAGTTTGGTGGTGATATTGCCGTCGCTAAGTGGCGATGGGCGACGGGCGATGGGCGAAGGGCGAAGGGCTCAAAGCCAAATACAGGGCATGGAAAGGCAAAACAGGCGAGAGAACACGCTGGCTTAGTCCTCCTCCGAGTCGACCTCGTCCTCGCTATCGTTCTCCTGTTCCTGCTGCGTCGGCAGGTCCTGGCCGTTGCCCTCAATGGACTCCATCGGCTCCTGGCTTCCGGAGGCTTGGCGACCCGCTTGCGCGCGGAGCTCATTGAGCTGCTGGATGCGGCGCTCCTGTTCGACTTTGCTCATCGGCTTGTTTTTCTTCGACTTGGTTGGGGCCTTAGCTTTTGGCTCAGGCTGGGCATGCACTGTCGCGGTGAGCCCCAACTCCCGTTCTTTCTCAGCACGGGCATTGGGGTTCGCCTTGATGGCAATGTCGTAGAGTTTGACAAGGGCCTCCTCGGAGATGGCCTCGATGTCTAGCTCAAGCTCACCATCATCGTTTTCTCGGTGACCGGTGTCCTTCTTGATCAAGTCAATGGCCCGGTCAAGAAGAGGACCGTCAAGCGAGCTGAGGGAAGCGATAATAACCTCCTTTTCGACCTGACCCATCTTCTTCCTCGGGGCAGCTTTCTTGGTGCCGCCGCCCTTCTTCGCAGCACCACCACCGCCAGCATTAGCCTTCTTGCCACCCGCCCCACCACCACCACCGCCAGCCTTCTTGGACTTAGCGGGTTTGGCCTTGGGTGCCTTCCTGGCCGGCAGGGCGGCGAGCTTGGCCCGCTCCCCCATAAGTTGCTTCTGCAGCATGGCGACTACGGATTGGGCGATCTCAACATCCGTAATGTCGGCCGTGCCCGAGTTGACCATCTCGTTGACTTTGTTCTGCTCATCCTGGAGACGTTTCTGGATAGTAGCCATGCGGTTCTCGAGTTGCTTGCGTTCGTCATCGGCCTCGGGCTCCGGCTCAGACTCGGCGTCTTCCGAGTCGGATACGTCTTTACCAACGGCGTGCGAAGCCGCCGCGGTGGACACTGGCGCATGTTTCGCCATCCACTCGTCCTTCTTGGACATCTCAGCGCGGTACAAGTCCTGGAGTCGGAGCGCTTGAGCATAGACGATGTGTTCCTCGCCATTGAACGTCTTACAGTTCTTGATGATGAGGTCAAAATCCTTCTCGAAGTCCTTCGACGACTGATACTCGCCCGAGTTCAGCTTGCTGGTCATGGTCTGCAAATCCATCGGCTTCTTGATAATCTTGTGATACGAGGGGATATTAAGCGCCACCGGATCGACGGGCTGCATGAATGGGGTGTTGATCTCGTAGTGCTTCGTCTTGCGGAGCTCAGTGAGAACCTCATCGCAGAATCGAAGGTCAAGGGGTAACTTCTTCTTGCGTTTCGTATCATAGACCAGGTCCTTGGGGTGCGCCGGCTTCACGGGCCGCTTGGCTCTGCTGTCAGGCTTCGTTGAATCACGGCGGATAAGGGGCACGCCATTGCTGCCCGGCGGGAGGGCGAACGCGGGTGACTCCGGCACAGGCTTCTGTGATGGGCTAGGGGCGGCAACCTTGGACGCACGCCCAGCGCCGGCATTCGCGCCGGGTGTGGAAACTGCTAGCGGGACACGCGGCTCAACGTGACGGGTAGTGTGAGCTTTTACCGTCTCCTTGCGCTCGGGCTTTGGTGGCTCGACAGCTGGGTACGTGGCCATACGTGCAAGGATGGCATCGCGACACGCTTTGGCCTGCAAGGTGACGTCGTGGCCTTCCCCGTTAAACGTAACGGCGTTTTGCACCAGCAAGTTCAGATCTTGCTTGAACTCGCCCATGCTCGCATAGTGGCTCCCATCACCGCGCAAGCGCTTCTCCATCGTGCTAATGTCGGTAGGATTTGTGATTCTGAGGGAATAATCGGTCCAAACGGTGGGCCAGAGAGTCTCAACTGGAAGTCGGAAGGGGTTTCCGACCTTCGTCTTCTTGACACCAGCAAGCACAGTCCTGATCTGTTTATTTTGCCATTCAGTCATCGGTGAGTCGTCGAGAGAGGGGTCGTCGAGCTTTTTGGGTGGCGCGCTGCTGGAAGCGGTTGCGTTGACGACGGGTTTCTCATCGCTCGGTGTGGAGGCCTCTACTGGGCCGGTCTTCACATGCACCTGGTCTTGCGCTGCCGCATGCTCCACCTTCGCCCTCTTTGCAGCCGGCTCATCCTCACTGTCGATGTCCCGCTTGATCGAGGCCTTAGCTGATAGCGGCGCGGCATCCGACATGGTTGCGTCGACGGTCGCGTCGGGGGACTGAGCTTTGACAGAATCGACAGCGGCAGAATTCGCGTCGTCGGTAGTGGTGCTGGGCACGACCTTCGTGGGGGTTGTTTCTTGTCCGCCGTTCGTCGACTCAACCAATCCTGGCGCGCCATCGTTGGAATCTTGCGCATCCGCCATTGCGACATCTTCTTTCCGCTCACTCGTTTGTTCTTTCTTCAGCTCTTTTTTATCCTCTTCCTTCTTCTCCTCACTCGCATTAATTGTTGATGCATCAGCCGGGGCGACGCCTGTCTCCTCGTTCCCGGTGGTTGGTTGAGTTTCCGACTCTGAGTTAGGCTTGGACTTTGGTGAGAGCTCGACTGTCTTCTCGTCCTTTTCTTCGGATACCAGCTCAGTCTTGAGGTCGGGGGCAGGCGCGTCGGGCATGTCGGTATCGCGAGCGGCCGAAATGTCCTCCATGTTCACCTTGTTCATGTCGCTCGCAATGTCGTTCTCGGAAGCCCCCTTGGGTTTTGCGGCTTCGCTATCGACATGCGCCGCGTTCGGTAAAGCTTGGTTAGCCGAGAATGCCGCGTCGTTCTTGCGAAGCGATTCGAGGTTTGGCTCCGCTTCGCCGTTCAACTCCGGCGACTTATCGGACTCAGATGCTAGGTTGGGAGAGGTTGCGGGGTTGTGGCTGTTTGTGGTGCGCCGGTAAGTATTTTATTGAGCAATGTGGAACAAAACAAGCGAGCAAAGCGATAAAACAAGCTGGGGCCTGTTACCTACCCATTAACTTCGAGCTTCCCATTCGGGCCTTCCTTGCCAACCGGGATGGCCTGGAGCGGCTTCTCTTTGAGAAGCGCGCCTTCTGATTGTTGAGTAGTCATAACTGCCATTCGGGTTTGCGTAGTTTAAACGCGATGCGACATCAAATCGGCTGAGCCCGGTGGGAGTTAGCGCTGCATGGAACGGGCGATGCAGGGACGATTGATGCAGGGTCGCAAAACGGTGCAGTGCGTAGTTCCCGAAATGCAGGGTCCAATTTGACGTTTGCGGTTTGTAGAGCGCACAGAGCGCAGCGCGCAAGTCGCAGGTCGCGGATAATGTTGGTCGCAAAACGTAAATCGCGGGCCGCAGTGCGCTACAAAATGCGCGTGCGCACGATGTGTAGATTTCGGTTTGTATCGTAGGGAAAAGTCGTAGCTGTTTGATGGAAAACACCAAACTCGGAGTCGACGATAATTATTTGGATTGCGGCGAATGCGATCCGGTTGGCGGGGAAGTGGAAGGGATGTGGGATGTGGGACGTGGGGAGGACCGTGCACACGCGTTGGGTCGCGAAGGAGCGAAATGCGAAAAGGAAAAAAAAAATTGGCAACCACTCACAGGTTGGCGAAAAATAGTGCGCTGGGAAGGCTGAAAATTATAGACTTTGGGATGCCAGCCTCGCAGACTCGGCACAGTCGGCGCTGGAAAAACTCGCTCGCGAAGTGTTTGGTGGCTGGTGTGGCGAGAGCAAGGATCAAAAGTGGCGGGGGAAGGGAGACAGCTTTGGTCCTTGCGTCGAAGGAAGGCGTTATTATTGGACAGAGGTCGACAAGTTGTGGGGCAATTATTTGGCTGCCAGCGTCCTGTTCGAGAATCGGGGTCGAGAATGCGTGTCAGTCCCGGTCGGAAGCCGGTGCCTATTTATCAGGAGCCGCGACAGGACTCCTGATCCAATCCGCGCTCTCCGCCGTGAGTGGTCGGAGAGGCTTATCAGCCGCCATCGCCACTTTTGATTGGGTGGCCGTCCAATTTGCGGGTCAGATGCCCAGACCACTTCTTTGTGAACACACCACCAAGTTCGTGAGGCAAGAACGGCCTGGATGAGTCCGAACGACCACCTCTTCTTCGCCATTGTTGAGCTAGAACGAAAGGTTCAAGATCAAGACAACTCTTTCTTTTCTGCCTGTCAATACCAGCAAGCACCACGCCGGTTTTAAACTCCGTTCTAGGCATACGGCCGAATGCTACGCGGCTTCGCCCAACACGAAACTGGAATTGCCGGACGCAACATGTATTTTTTCTGCGCACGACATGCGGGAAGCATCTTCAGCATCCGTACCCAACACCTGCGTTCGAGTTCACGGAAGTTGGGCAAATGGTCGAAGCGCTGCATCTTGACTCATAGCGCATCCCGTCAAGTCCGAACAAACGGAACGATGAAATAGGACAGGCGGCAGATGTCAAACCGTCCGGATATGAATCTGCAAACGGGTGTCGATGAGAACGATGCCCCGAACGCGAGCATGACGCGGATGCGGATCTCGCGACCCTGCATGTTTGTGAAATTATGTCATCGGAAATTCCCGCTCCCGTCCTCGCATCACATGAGTTTCTGTGCTCGCCCAGCCACACACTGCGCTCCACAGACCGCCACAAGCGCCACACTCAACTCCAGCGGCTCATCCTTGCTTATCCCAACGCCAAGAATACCCACCTCGAAAAAAAGTCTGGCAGCATCCTGAAATTTCTACTGGCCAGCGACAACCCGTTGTGATAGTTTCTTGAGGAAAAGGTGACGCCTCAACCGGTCCACCGCCTTGTATTCGCCGAAAGCGATTAATATTGATGAATTGGGGCATAAGGCCACAGCAGAGTTCAGTCTTCGGCAGATTCGTCCTTTTTCCTCACCCCCAAACTTCCAACTTCCCATTGACACCAACGGCCCGCCATGTCGACAAAACGCAAGGCGACCACCACGATCGCCAAACCGGTCGTGAGACAGAGCGCGAAGACGCCAATCCGTTCTAAGATTGACGAGACAAGGACCTCTGTCGCAAGCGGCCTTGCGACAAGAGAAACAGCGAAGCAATTAGCCGACGCCGAGATCCAAGACGACTTTGGCTCCGACAGCGAAGAGGGCGATAGTGAAGATGAAGCCACCAACCAACAGAACGGACCGATCAAGTCCTCCCAACAGCCGCAAACCGGCGGCGAGGTAGACCACGACGACGCGATGCAAGACTCACCAACATTCGGCGATCTCATCCGCGGCAACTCAACCATCGACGTGCCCGCCTCTCTTGCCGCCCAAGCCGCCGCCGCCAAATCATCGTCCCGCCTCGACACCCTCCAACAACAGCCCGCCGCCCCCATCAGCGCCACCTCGCTCGGGACAGTCCTCAACCAAGCCCTCCGCACCGACGATGCCGACCTGCTCGAGTCCTGTCTCCAAACGACCGACCTCAAGATAATAGAAAACACCATCAACCGCATGGACTCCTCCCTCGCCAACACCCTCCTCTCCAAGCTCTCCGCGCGCATGCACCGCCGGCCGGGCCGCGCCTTTGGGCTCATGCGCTGGATGCAATGGACGCTGGTCGCGCACGGCGGCGCGCTGGTCACACAGCCCGACCTGGTCGGCCGCCTGGGCGAGCTCAGCCGGGTGTTGGAGGAACGTTCCCGGGGCCTGTCCAGCCTGCTGGCGCTCAAGGGTAAACTGGATATGCTAGATTCACAGATGAAGTTCCGCAAGTCGATCAAGTCGGCCGGCGCGATCCGTGATCGGGGTGCAAATGAGGAAGGCTCTAGCGATGAGGAGGAAGACGACGTGGACGAGCCGGCTGTGGTGTATGTGGAGGGGCAAGAAAACCTCGACAAGGCACTTCCCAACGGTACGGCCAGGCGCGGCGGTGGTGTGGATGAGGACGATGACTTCCCCACTGGGCCGATAGTGATTTCCGATTCGGAAGACGATGATGACGACGAGGATGACTTCGATGATGGGTTGGACGAGGAGCTGGCGGATGCGGAGTCGCTGGATGAAGACGAGGTCGACCATGACGATGTAGAGGAGGATGAGGAGAGCGAGGCTGAAGAGTCACGGCCGCCCACGAAAGTACGGCGGGTGTCGGATAGGATTTCAAAACGGAAATAGGGAGATCAGTGGAGATACAAAGTATTATCATGTTGGCTGCTAGCCGTTAGATTTGGATCTTACCCTTCGTCTTGTCCAACTCTGAAACGGCGTTTTGTCCCTTTCACTGCCCGTGTTTGTCGAGACGCTTAGGGCTATCATCTTCCCCGTCCTGGTCCAAAGTTTCCATGTCATGTTCTTGGATCACCCATCCCCTCGAACCTCATTGTTTTTGCTCATCCGGCTATGTAAATCCATGACGCGGAAATCTCTGAGGTCGTCGACCCTCTAAGTCAAACGAGCCTAGACCAAAACGGTTCAACGCCCGATCTCTGTAGCTGTGATGATTTTTCATAAGAGACGACCAGTTCATCGTCGTCCTTGTACCCACGAGCGTTATGTTGTTAACCTTGTGAAAACGGTGGTAAGCGTACTACTTAGGCGCTCGGGGTCTCCCAGGGCCATATTTCTTTGACATCAACGGCCTCCTTAGTAATATTTATCCAGATCGTGAAGATGAACTTTGGAGTTTCCTCCACTTACGACGAGCGTGTTCTGTTTGTTAAGAATACTATTTTACGAATTAGGGTGGAGACGTCTTAATACACTGTAAATTATGGGAATTCCCCCACCCAGGACAATGTCATTAGTTTGTTTATATTTAGATACAATATTGAGGAATCCGTTATGGCTGTCTTCTGTTCTATTCTGTCTCGCTTATTATTATCACGCTGCTACATCTCTTGTTATTTATATTTTCCCAGTTCATTATTATTAGTTCAACCGTAATTATTTCCTGATTTTTTCCGGTTTCCTCTAAATTATTTTCCCTTTTATTAACAAGTGCAGGATCTGATCACCCAAAGCGGAACATCGCGGAGAACGAAGGTAACTACAAGATAGGACACAACAAGAATAGACACAGCAGATTCTCAAAAATTGAGTTATTTACTAAAATTAAGCTTCATTACTATCAGGGCAGATTCTAAGACACCACTACCTGGATTCTCATCAATCATAACCCTCTTCACACAGCTCGTTCTCACGAGCCGGGGATAGCCATGATCCTTTAGATCGTGGCACCACCACCGCAAGGCCCAGCATGGTTCACATGCGCGGCCGAATGACCGTGGACACCGACGCCGCGCTTCAGCATTTGCGCGCGGTCCGCATCCCAGCGGCGCGTCTTCACCTCCACAGCAGGCAGGGTGTCAAAGCTGCGCGCATACTTGGCGACGGAGTCAGCAATGGCCAGGGTGTTGAGCAGGTAGGCGTCGTTAGCCAGGTTGTGGATATCGTCGCCCTTCTTGTGGTAGTTGACGTCATAGGCGACGCCGGCCTCTCCGCCGAAGAGTTTCGCTTCCTCCTCGGTCTTAAGCGCCTCGGCGCCAGTAAACAGACCGCCGGACGGGATGCCGTTCTCGATGAAGGCCGCATAGTCGGAGCGGCCGTTGAAGTCAGTGGGAACGGTGGGGATGTTCCTCTTCTTGAAGTAGGTCTCAAAGTCCTTCTCAATGACATCAGAGCCGGCGGGGCCTGTGAGGTTGAACGCACTGCCATCGCCGTCGTAGATGGCGTAGACATAGTTAGGGCTGGCGATCTGTTTTCCGGTCTGGTTAGCCGTGCTCCCGTACTGACAGAAAAGGGTGGGTTAGGTGAGAAGAATATACCATGTCAAAGTTGAGGTAGGCACGGATCTTGGCCACCTCAGTCTCGGTGCTGTTGATCGACTTGATGTAGGCGTATGAGCCAAGTAGGCCGAACTCCTCAGCACTCCAGAAGCCGAAGCGCACGGCGTTCTTGAGGCGGAACTTGGTGAGCGCCTTGGCTACTGTGAGAATGCCAATGGTACCAGAGCCATCATCGCTGAGAATTAAAAGTTAGCAAGCAAAGCTCGAGTGCCTAATCCCATAAAGACGGTACGACTCACTTGATACCCGGCCCAGCAGGCACAGAGTCGGTGTGGCCACCCAACACCAAGACGTTGTCGTGGTCACCCTCCTTAGTCTCGGCGATGACGTTGAATGTGACACGCTCCTCGACGCGCGCATCGATCTTGACCGTCGCAGTCACCGCGCCGGCAGCCAATTTCTCCAGCAGAGCTTTGCCATCCTCCTGGCTGATGCCCACAATGGGGGCGTACTCCAAGAAGGGCTCGCCCAGCGTCCCTGCGAGCTCACCAGCCTCGTTGTTGTACACAATGGCCGCGGTAGCGCCGGCAGCCTTGGCGTTGATCGACTTTTGGCTAAAGGTGCATGTGCCGCGGGAAATCAGGGCGATGTTTCCTGACACCTCGGCGGGGAAATCGGCGGCATCACAGCCCAGGTTGGCAGCCGCAACGATGGGACCGGTGGCATCGCCGCTGGGAGTGTAAGTGAGGGCCGAGACCTCGATATCTGCGCCGTCAACGCTGAGGGTGCCGGTGGCGTCCGCATAAATCTCCTTGAACGCCTGTTTCTTGACGTCGAAGTAGTCGAGGTTGCTGAGGGTGTCGTAGAGGAAGTCGACGGTGGCGTTGTGGCCGCCGCTTCCAAAAGCGCGGTTACCGCCATGGGCATCCGCAATCTCTTGGAGCCTTTGCGAACCAGCAAGCAGGTCCTCGAGCTTGATCAGATCCTGGAGCTTGTTGGAGGTGACGAGGGGCTTCTTCCCGCCACAGTCATCATGGCCTTTGCCTTTACCCTTGCCTTTGCCATCGGCCGAAGCTAGGATAGGCAGGGTGAGAGCAAGGAGCGAAACGGCGGCGGTCCTCATGTTGAATGTCAACAATCGCGAGAGAGCCAAGCTGGGGGCGGTAAACAGATCGTTCAACACACTGAACTCGCCAGGGGAGGAAGGGCGACCATTTTGTAGCTCACGGTCAAGCTTCCCCTCTCCTTGTTTGTTCCCTTGTCTTGCCTGGTTGTGAAATGCAATGTGAAATGCAATGGAACCGGGTCATCTCAGACCTCCGCCCGTCGTCAACCACGCCGATCACCTCGGAGAGACCTGTCACCTGCAGCCACAATATCGCGGCCCCAGCCGCCTTCTCGATCCAAGCTGAGCGCACATGGTGCACGCCATGAGACCGCACAATCGCGCCTGGGCATGCCGCCCGTTGTGGCAGTTGGTGCAACGCTCAAGCGACCAACTGCCTTGTGCAGTAAGCGTCGTGGCTCGGCAAAAGGGATGTTTCCCCAAGACACTGGCGAGATCCGGTGTGGTTGGTACCGTTGGTACCCAGATTTTGGAGCGTGGCAGAATGCGAGAATGCGGGAAACCGGTCGCTGGGAGGGTGCGCTGGCTTGGCTGGGTGCGTCAGTGGTGGGTTGTCCCTGCCGTCTCCCGCCGCTAAGTCTGCAATGGCAGGTCCAAATGGCCTGCAGCTGGGTGCTGGCTGGAAGGAACGGCTTGGCAGTGACACGGCAGGGGCTTTGGAGAATGGCGGGGAACCAGAAGCCCAGAGCGGCGGATTGGCCAATCAGCGCTGTGTCAAGCTCCTCTTCGGGGAATGCAGCCCGGGGCTAAAAACGAAGTGAATCTCAACGCCTGTGGTTCGCACCTTCCCGAACCCCGCGCGGCCTGGAATTGGGATGTTGAATGATTTGAGGACGCTTCGATGGCGGTATCCAAGTAATTTTCCCGGCTTGGGAAATGGAAGCAATATGTTCTTGCCTCCTGCTTATCCTGGCATGCCGTCCGTCTGGGCAAAGCTGACGAATCTCTTATCGGGCCTTGCGTGATCCGCAGAAAGTGTCTCCAGCGGACCCAACCCTTATCACGCCGGCTATGGTTTTCGCCAACTCGGATAGCTTAACCGAACACCCTTCTCCCCATGCCTTTTACGATTCGGGCATGAGCCGTTGAGATCGGAGAAGACTTCACCCTATTTGTCGCCGCCCCTACATGGACGACACGTGCTGTGAGCGGGAGATCAACAAACCTGTCTCACTGTCATTCTCGTGAACCAAGCCGTCGGATCTTCAGATAGCCAAGTGAACGGGACACGTCTTGGTGCTTATGCACCCTGCCCACGGCTCAGTGCTTGTAAATCACACGGGCTCCCACTAGGTACTATGTACGTCGGTAAATCGTACCAGACCCAGGCCGTTACAGTCCCGCACCTCGCCGTTGACACAGGGGGCTGAGGAACTGGTGGTTTTAAGCCACCTACCTGGCAGAGCATCACCAAGGCACCTGAAACGCCTTGGAGGATATAGACCTAGGACTTCTTTACGTTTTTTTCACTTCGTGGTTACTCAAGCTTTTCACCGTTGGTATAGCAGAAGTGGGCGCCGACGTCAGCGCGTAAGGTGTGATCGCGCGTTGTCATCCTCACCGACTCCTGCCTAGTTGTATGAGTGGATCGCTTTCACCCTCTGATGTGTCTTGTTTACTTCCAGAACAAAGGAGCCACGTGACCACATAGCCTACCTCAACAAGAAAGACTGAAAGATAATAAGAAATTTAAGGGCTTTCTACCGGTCGTCACCAACCCAACTCCCAGTTCCCAGGTGCTTAGTCCAATACCGAGAGGCCAACCCATTTGGACCACGCAACGCGACGCGTCTTTGCAGGAGAGGTTGCATCCTGCCTTTTCACCTAAGGCTCTGCACAACCGAGCCGGCCAACAACGACCCCTCCAAAGGTTTCTCAGTGCGCACTACCGCAGAGATGCGGCCACTGTGTATTGCCCTTCGACGTCCTGGCAACGGCATCCCACTCCAACCCAACAAGTTCTATCGATATTATACGAGAGGGCCGTCTTCGACGCCGCCTACCCATGGAAACACGACGAGATACGCTGCACTTGTCGGTGTAGCTAGCGCAGCAGCAGGCTTCTGGTGGATGACGACAACACGCCGCGATCAGGTCCCGCAGCTCGACAACCCCCTCGCTACGCACCTAGCCATTCAGCCGGGTCCGTCGGAGGCCAGCGTCTCACGGATGCTGTCCCAAGGCGCATACTCATTTCCAGTCAAAGGCGTTCCCGGCGTCAACAGATACGACGGCGCTCAGGTGGCCTCCAATAGCCCTTGCGAAGACCGCTTCACCCATGGCAAATTTCCCTCACCGCGGGGCGACGGCAGCCAGTGGATGGCATGGGCTGTCTTTGATGGCCACGCCGGATGGCAGACAGCGGACTTGCTGGAGAAGCAGCTCCTGCCCTTTGTGCGATACAACTTAAACCAATCCAAGGCAGCCATGGACGACGAGTCCGCAGCCGTAGAGGCGGTGCAGCGCGCGGTCACACAAGGGTTCCTGAGCCTCGACAACTCCATTATGAAGACCGCCTTGGACATCTCTCAAAGCGCCGAGCCGCTACAAGATAAGGTGAGGAGGTTAACGCCGGGCCATGCAGGCTCCTGTGCTCTTCTATCCATCTACGATCCGGTGTTGAGTGTGCTGCACGTGGCGTGTACCGGAGATTCAAGGGCCGTATTGGGACAAAAACGGCCAGACGGAACGTGGGAAGCGATAGCCTTGTCAGTGGATCAGACGGGAACGAACCCCGAGGAGGTTGCCAGGCTCAGCAGGGAGCACCCAGGGGAGAAAAACATCGTCAAGGACGGACGGGTCCTGGGTATCATGGTCTCCCGAGCGTTTGGCGATGGCCGGTGGAAGTGGCCGCTGGAACTGCAAGAAGACCTAAAGCGAAGATTTTACGGCCCACCACCATTGACGCCAAAGTACGACATACGTACGCCGCCATACTTGACTGCCGAGCCGGTCATGACGGCGACAAAGATCGAGCCCGGCAAACCGGCCTTCTTGATCACGGCAACGGATGGGCTGTGGGACAACCTTTCCAACCAGCAGGCCGTCGAGTTAGTCGGGAAATGGCTCGAGTTGAAGGAGTCGGACAAGGGAGGCACGAATCCGGTCTCGACTCGTGCACAGTTTGACTTTAGCCAGTTTCGAACTGTGGTTAGTCGGACTTTTGTCGAGGAGAGAACGACTATACAGGACAACAATGCCGCGGTGCATCTGGTGCGTAACTCTCTGGGTGGAAACCACCACGAGCTGGTAGCGGCGCGTCTAGCCTTTGACTCTCCATTCTCCCGGAGAGTCCGGGATGATATCACAGTGCAGATCGTGTTCTTCGCAAACAACCAAGACGCTGCCTAGAGGCTACTAAGCCCGGCATTCCTGTTCTTTTTTCTTTGTACTGCTTTAGATGCCGGCGCCCACTCACCTGTATCTGTCGGCGGTGTACTTTTCAAGAATAGGTGGGTATGTGATGCAATGATCAAGCCGTACAGCTGTTGGCTGATTAACACACCAACGCGGTAAATGGAACACCTGATCCTTCTTGTCTTGGCCCATCTGTTACTCGCCACTGTGATGGCAAACTCTCGGCAAGACGGAATGTTCTCCCATTTGGAGTCTCTTGTTCTGTTGCGGATACGGTGCTTATTAACGTTTGTCCTTGGCGAATGATTATCAAAAGCGGGTTTTATGAGCCTTGGGGGCTAAGAAGAGTCTGAAGTTCAAACCCATCCCATGATCCGTCTGGTATTATTGTTAGAAACCCACGTTGACTTAACTATTTCATTTTCAAAGGTAACGTTCCTTAAACAACATGACAACAAAACACAAGTCCCAACAGAACCAAAAAATCACACCGACATTCCGGCTTACCCGTGAGCCACCCCCCCATCACGTCTGTGGTGTCAATGCTGAATTGCTGACACTCCCCCCCAATAAGACTCAAGATTCAGCCCACGAAGCAGTCCCCAGAATCTTCCATTGTGTAACCCCAAACACGTTTTTGCGGCTCTGTGCTCCCACACGATTCCCACGATTCCCACGATTCCCACGCGACGGCTTGGGCGGTGGCTGGATTGTCAGATGACCGGGCTTTGAATGGGCTTTGGATGGATTCCTAACTCGCGGATGCGAGTGGTGACACGGGCATTTCGGGCCGTGGGGGATGGGAGGGCTGGTTGGTCCGAATGGTCAGGGGCTTTGCTCTGCTTCAGCCTTATGGTGATTATCGAGCTGTTGAAATGGGGGTGGGTCGGTGGGTGAGTGTCAGCTGGAGACCCGGGTACCCGGTGCGTGTCTCGGGCGAATTGGGGCCCTTGCAGTCTGAGCCGCCTCGAGTTGACACTTGACCTGGGTCTCGCGTTTGTTGGCTTTGAATGGGGGTGGTTGTCCAGCTGGAGGGCCGGGTACCCGGTGCGTGGTTTGGCGAGCTGAGTCGGTGAGTTCCTTGCAGTTCAAGCCGTTCCAGGTTGACTCTGCCTCGCATTCGTTAACAGACATTTCGTGTCTCTGGGTTACGCAGACGTTGCTGAACTCATCCATGCTGCAGCAAGTAGGGGTTTCCCCTTTCAACCACGATTAACAAATCAAAACTTGCCAATGAACCCTGTGGCCGAGCATGAAAAGGGCGACTGGTCCAGATCCCGAACAGTTTTGCGTACCCTACACAAGAACGAAGTTACCAAAGTCCAAACCGGTTCCGCCACGCCGATAGTCCCGAGACGCGAGTTGTTGAATCGCTGGTTTAGGTCTCAACATTTGACTTGGCGCTGGCAACAGACGGTTTCTAGAGTTGTGATAGGCGGTACCAGATTGCAACAGACTTTGTAGTCTTCTCACATCACAATCCTTCTTGTCACAATCCTTCGTGGCCCCCATGACAAGGCTGGGGTATCTGGTGACGAGGCAGAGTCTGCGGTGTGAGTGGGTGTGCTGCTGACATGCCCAGGTGACAATATTGGGACCGAGCTTTGAATCTGGAAGAGATGAGGAGGGTTTGCTTGGTAACAGAACAGTGAGTCTAAGGCGAACGGAGATGTATAAATACGCTGCTTCTCCCCAGAGTTCTCTGATCAATATCACACACTCAGAGTCACAACTTACAAGACATTCACACACACTTTCACACACACTTTCACACACACTTTCACACACACTTTCACACACACTTTCACAGCACACTCTCCAACCTTCAACATGGTCAAGTTCACCGTCGCCGTGGCCCTTGCTGCCATCACCGGTACCCAGGCTACCTTCACCAAGCCATGCAACTTCCCCTACGATGTGTGCGGCTTCACTCTGGCCAACCAAGAGTTTGGTGCGTTCTGTCCCTATCCGCTAGCCTAGCTCTCCAGCAAATCAATGTTACAATACAAGACCCTGAACCTGACATTCCTCGTAGGCTACACCCAGGCCACTCTTGCCGCCGCCGCCGTGGCTGCCGGCCAGGACCCGAACAACGGGACCATCCTGTACGACACCATCTACAACTGCCTTGCTGACGGCGAGATCGCGTGGAACCACCACTGCGACAATGGCTGTGATGCTGCGCAGACGGTCCCGAACGCCAACTGCCGCGCTTGAGCGTGAGAGCTGGAGCGTTGATTGGCAAAATGGATAACAGGAGGGGAGATGGTGAAGGAGAGATGGTGAAGGAGAGATGGTGAGGAGGAGATTGTGAGTGGGCTAGATTAGTGTGGACTCAGGTCTGGGTTTCGTTTCTGTGTGGTTTCCTAGCTGGCCAGCTGTTCGTTCATTAAACCAATTTGATCCAAGTTCCTGTCTAAGCTGCCCGTTGACATGCCTATATGATCCCAACTAAATCACAACCCATCACACTGCTCCCACATAACACTCAACTCCAGCGTCAAATCCGACACAGACGCTTCATACGCCGTCCCGTTCTCCCCTTCCTCTTCCTCATGCGACGTGCTCAGCCCGAACCGGATATCTATCTCAGGCTGTTCCGTCGCCGTAGCACAGCTCGTCCTCCCTCTTGCCTGTGTCCCATTGGTATTCTCCGAGAACACATTCAGAATCAAATTGATTGTACCACTGTATCCCCCTGGGTATTTCTCTCCCAGGTCCGTTTCCACAGCGCTGTCCGTCACAGCGGGTTTTGTGTCCGAGGGATTCTGATATTGTCAGCACCATCACCTCCCCCCTCAATTCCAAAACAAGCCCAGAAAGGAAAAGGAATAAAAGAAAAAAAAAGAAACTCACATCAAAATACCCAACCCCCACCCTCACCTCCCTCAACCCCGCCTGTTCCCCCAACTCTACGTTCCCCCCAACGCTCACAGCCAAAACCGTAAACCCCCACCCCGCCGGCAACCCCTCAAACACCAACCGATGCCATCCACACTCTACCGTCCCATCTACAGCGCCAACAAACCCTGCGCGAGGAAAGGAGAGGCCGCCGCCTATGGGGGCGAGGGTGATGCCGCAGGGGTCGGTGGGGGGGATGGAGGATGCTGTGGGGTAGAGGGTGGAAGAGCTGGCGTTGAGGGAGGAGAGGGGGTCTGGGGTTGGTTGGCGGGGGGCGATGGTTGCGAGGGTTAGGGGGAGGATGAAGAGAGGGGGAAAGAGGGAGAGGAGAGTAGCGGAGAGCATGGTGATCGGTCCGGAGGTTGTTGAGGGGGTTATTGCTACCGAGGCCGGATTCTTGGAGTTGATACTCAGAGTCTGCTAGGGTACGGTCGGTAATGGTTTGTTTGTTTGTTAATTGGGTTTGAGAAGCTCCGAATGAAAGGATGAGTTGGTTGCGACAATTCAGCGAGGACAGAGGACGGTATCCTTATACTGTAGGATAGGTCCTATATACCTCCGAGCTTACTGCTTTGTGTGAACAGGCTAAAGTCGGCGTGGCATATCAGACCATCAATACGACCCAAGACATCCAGGACAACCCTGGTTGTTATTCAGATGTAGCCAAGAAGACAGCGGAAGCTGAGTATTTATTTAATGTCATCAACCCCTATCCCAAGTATCCAAGTATCCCGAGTCATAACCCAACCTCCATCCAACCATCGACCCACCAAAACATACAAATATGCAAGTAACTAAACATCCGGCAACCCACTCCCAACGCCCTCCCCTCCATATTCATTCCCCGCTCCTCCCCCCCACTCCCCACCTCCCGTTCTAGTACCACCACCATGGCGAACATCACCAATCTCCAACTCCTGCACCCCCTCCAGAACCCTCTCCAGACTCCTCCCCGCAGGATCAATCCACCGGTACACAGGCCACTCCATGTGTACGTATTCGGGCTTGACCTCTGTGCCGCGGAACTCGGCACGGATGCGTGCGAGGTCTGTGGCTAGGTTTTGGAGGGATGTTTCCTTCTTTTTTGGCTGCTTCTGGGTTGTAACATTACCCCTGGTGGGCTGTGGGTTGTTGGGTTCTGTCTGGGAAGGGGTATGCGGGTCAGGATGGGAGCGAGACTGGGAGTGGGAAGCCGAAGTATCGACCAGGCCGGAGAGCATGTTGAACATGAGCGAGCCGAGGTATTGGTTTTGGCCTTGGTCGTGGAGACCTTTGGCGCAGAGGAGGAAGGTGGAGGCGTCTCGGACGTGGGGGGGTGGATGGGTCGTGTCTGGTGTTGTTAACGGAGATGCTGTTGTCGATGATGATGTTGATGTTGGGTCAGGGCTAGGGGAGACCTCGGTCTCGTCCTCAGCCGGCGGCGCAACGAGTACACGCGCGGTAATCGACCCGAGCAGCAAAAGAAACATGATGAGCATCACATCCAACGCGTCAAAGCTGTGCCTCAGGTAATACAGCCGGATGAGCGTCTCCAGACGGGCACGGGAACGTGTGCCGATGTCGCGGACGGTCGTATTGGTTTCGGTGTCTACGACGTGGTCGGCTTCGGGACCGGCCATCCACGGCTCGAAGAGGTTGATGAGGACGAGGCAGTATTCCATGCTAGACACTGGTCAGTAAACTAAGTAAAGAGGTTGGGCCATGGGATGAGTGGGCATACTGAATCTGCAAATGGTGCGGCATCACCACACGCCCCGGGCTGAGTTCCGCCGGAAGGGTCCTATGCCAGTGCTCGACCTTGTGGTAGAACTCGAGAGCCTGGGATAGTGTAGGCGGGGATGTGCCCGGCGCTCCAGCATCGATTGCTGTTTGGGTGATCTCCATCATGACTAGATTGAGGCCTATTTGGGCCCGGAAAGAGAGTCCGAGTAGAATCGGGGTTAGGTACGGCTGCAGGGGGTACTTGACGTAGACCTCTCCGGTGAGCTTGGTGATGGAAGAATAGTCGGGAAGGGGCGTGGCGGGTGGTGCGGATAGAATGGGGGCTTTTTGCATGTAGTAGTATGTCATCCTGTTGAGTGTTAGCTCGTTGAACCTTACGATACTTGGGGATCACGGAGACAGAGTAGACAAACCCGTGGTAACTGTAAATACTCCACGCCGTAAACGCCCGGGCCAGACTCATCTTGGTGTCGCCCGTCTCGACCCGGGTGAAAAGCTCCATCTCCTGGGCAATCTCGAGGGCCTTCAGCATGAACGGTACCCCAATCTTGTCAGCACCGTCTGCCCCGTACCGCAGAGTCAGCGACATGGCCGCGTGGATGGTCGTCAGCTTGTGTTCGCCGGGCAGGGCCACTTCGATATCCCACAGCCTCTTAGCCTCGGCGAGGAAGGCATACGGGAGAGATCGGGGGGTCCAGAATTCGACCCGATGGGGGTCCGTTGTCAGGCCGTGCTGTCCTCTATTAACATTCTGTGTCAAAGGGGATAGGGTGGGATTTAACGGGAGGGTAGACTCACAGCAGCATTGGCCAGAATACAGTTGACCAACAAGGCCGAGCAAAAGTTAGTCTTCCCCTTGACCAAATCGTCCAAAAACAAATCCTTCAGAAACAGCCGCGTCCGGGAATACTCAAACTGAAAGTAAATCGACAACAGCTTCGCCACCAACCCATCATCCACCGTCACCGACGTCCACCTCGACGCCTTGACCGACGACAGCCTCGGATCAACCATCTGCGCCGCATGATACGGCATCTGATACACATGCAAGTGCGGATTCCCCATCGCACCAGAGTGACCAGCCTGCTGCGACCCACGACTCCCCTCCGCCCAAGGCCCCGTCTTAAAATCCAACAACTGCGTCTTCAAATACGGATCCTCCGGATCCCGAAACACCGTCGGCCAGCTCGCAAACTCCGGAAACGTATACCGCAACCTAGCCTCCGGCATCAAATGCAACTGCAGCAGCAAATCCCCATCGCGCACATACCGCAGAATCGCCTCGACGTCGATCCCGGCCCGGATCCGCCGTACGATTTCGGTCACTTCGGGCTGGCTGCGCGTGCGGAGGAGGTTGTAGAGTTGCTCGTGGACGGATACGCGGTCTTGGGCTTCGCCGTACTTGCGCTTGATCGCGGAGGAGCGGGATTCCGAGGGGTCGGCGCTGAGGTAGGTGCAGGGTGTGCCGTGGGTTGTGCAGGAGGTGCAGATGGGGCGTTGGCCGTCGCACTGTTTTTGTTTTAATTATTAGAAATTTAGAATCAACGGTGTTGGCTCGAGAGGTTGAGGGCCTGTCTCACTTTGATCCTCTTCCGCCGACATCCCTCGCAAGCAACCCTGGTGTGTGCCTTGCGAGGTGGGAGCTGCGTGTCGCTGTCTGATGGCCCCGAGGGCTGTGCCCGCGGTAGAAGCGGTCGAAATGACCGCCCGGGAGCATTGTTGGGGTTCATGTTTGGTTGTTGTCGTGCACTGGGATTGCCCTTTTCGGCCCGGGCCCCTGAAAAGCCCCAAAAGGGGGATCGATGTTTGTGCGGTGACTCGGTGGCTTGGTGTAAGTGGCTATTTAGGTTGATTCCGGGTTAGGGCACGCCAAGAATACGAATACAGAGCAAACAATTTCGGGATCAACCTGAACTGGGCTCGATATCTTAAGCAAAACCCTCTTGAAGATATCAAAATATCAAAAATTTTCCACCAGCGCAAAAAATATCCAAAATGGCCACACAAACCCCTATCCTCAGCAACAGCAAAACCCTCCCTCCATCCAAACCGATGACCGGCTCTCGGCGGCAACTCGCGCAACGCAACGCACGCACGCATGCATTGGCATCTCGACAAGCCAACCAGAACCCCCGATTTTCACCAGCGCCAACTTACTGGACGGAAACCTATCCGTCCACTCACGCCTCGTTCCGGAGAAAGCCCATCGCCCACCGCGGGGCGGGGCGCTACCAACAGCGAATCGGGGCGAGCCCGCCGGGACGGAGAACCCCTCTTCGGCTGGGTCGGGGGTCTCGGGGAAGAAAGGGAGAAGGGGGATAAGGGGGGTCTGCACGCGAGCGGGCTGCGGGCTGTGGGTTGTGGGTGGAGTGGGAGAGCCACGACGAGATCCACGACGACAATTTTCATGATCTCGATTCCGAAGCCCCGAGCGGTGAACCAGGGGCTTCGTCAGTTTCTGCCCCCACCCGCAATCCCACACCGGCTTCGACCCCCGGTCTTAACTAGCCTCCTAGGCAAGCTAGGTAACGATCGAAACCGGCCAAGATCGAAAATCGGCGGCGGTTGGTCCGTTCTGGGCCTATTTCCGGGAATGGGAGGGTTTAAGGAAAAACTAACGACGAACGTCTGAGACCCGGGCCGTTGCCGCCGTTCCCTCGGTCGTGTGGATCTGAGAAAAAAAAAAAAGGTCTCAGATCGAGTGGTAGGGAGGACAACGAGGAATGACACAGGGATGGGGTTCGTAATGGGGGTCTTTTTCGAATTTGCTGCTATCCTTATCCGCTCCGGCCCGCGCCAAGCATATGTTGGAACGACATACGACACGATACAACGGTGCTGAGCTGGCTCGGAAGTAACATGAGTCGCCCGCCGGTGTCTCAACGTAGAAGAGAAGTACAAAACTCCACGATAGCCTTGGCTCGGTGGTTTCCGCCCCCGCTTTCAAGCACCAACAAGCCAACAAGTGCCAATGTCCCTGTAGGGTCCGAGTACGACGACAGCTACGGCCCGGGATCAGCATGCAGCCTTGGCTGAAGCTTTGAAAATAAACCAGAATTAAAACCGGCATTGAAACCGGCATTGAAACCGGCGACAACACACCAACGCAGTTTGCATTGCTCAGGTGGCTAAAAGTTACAGCTGGTGCACGTCATGCTGCATTCTCCTAGCCTGTCAGGTCTAGGGATCAGATCAGCTAAGGGCCAACAGCATTCAGCCGGGGCGAGAATTTCGTTTCCTTCGGCTCGAGGGTCCGAATATCTGCATGTTTGCTTCCGGGTTCATTGCCGTGTTTCACCGAACATCCACGACTGACGCTCGTTAGTTAGCTGGTGTTGTGATCGTGAAGCTAGATGTTGAGCTTAGTACAGTTGATATGTTATTACCCCCAGCAGATACACCAGGTACCATGCCATAGACGAACCTTAATTCCAACGATAAGCCGTATCTTGAATACCTGACGAGGTAACAAACAGAAAATCATGAAAACGACATGTGACTACTTCCTATCCATCCTACCTTGGCAACATTGTTGGTCCCCAACACCACACACCCACACTGAGAATCTGAGACAAACAGGCCTGCAGCTTGGGCAACATCGGGCACAAACTTTCCTCTTACAGCAACAGCAGCAGCAGCTGCCGTGTTTCTTGTCTCGTCGGTTTGCCTATGTCTGGTCGTCTGGTTGGCTTGGCTTTGCTTATCCCACCTTGCCTGCCGGCAGACGCCCCCACGCCCTCTCCTCATATCCCGCCCATCTTCCATCCCGCTCGGTTTCCGCTTCCGATTGGTGCTGCAGGAAGACAAGATGGCCATGACGTGATGTGGGGGGTTCAGTTCAAGGTTGGATGGAAGCCCCAAGAGGGGGGCCGGTTGCGAGGGTTGTGAAGACGGTTTGGGTACGGGGAAGTGCGGAGATCGTACGGTTTAGGAAATACAGTTTGAGTGTCTTGTGTGATTGGGCTCTGTAACAGGAGATGTGATATGTGAACTGGTTCTGGAGCTAAGAAAGAGGGGCTGTTAAGACACCCTGACGTTTTGGCTAGGTTTGGAGGCTCTGTACAGGCACGTTATCACCCCTAGAGTGTAAGACAGTAAGATGTGTTGGAAGTGGCCGTTCTTGCCCAATTTTCCGTTTGCTTTGCGCAGTACTTTCTGCTTGTACGACGGGGATCAAAGTAATTCCCTCCCCGTGCAGCCTTGCAGCCTTTGCAGCTAGAAAGGCATCAATGGAACCCCTCACCGGCGCCCAGCGTGTCGGGGAGGAAGGGACGCGCGTTTTGTTCAGAATTGCAACTGTTGATTGCCATCTACAACTTTAAGTCTTGACGACTCACGGTCTTACTACGCCTCGCCCCATCACCATGGATCATGTCACTTTCGACCCCGCGGACTGGTCGGAAATACCCCTAGCGTTACAACAATGTACCGTCCCCAGTCGTGGACCGTCACCCATCAATCGCCATTTACTACCCCTCCAAAACCTCGCGGAGCGCCTCGGTGCATCGGAATACGCTAGACGGAACATGGAGTACTTGGCCACAGGTTCCGGTGACCTTGCCATTATCCTGATGGAGCCCAGCGACAAGGAGGAGGATGTGCTATACACCGATTACGATGACTATTGTGAGACGATTCGACTCCTGGACGACAGCCTTCGTTTCGCATTCCAGAATCAACGAGACGTCAAAAACACGGTTGTGTTGGACTCGCGGCCCCTTCGGAGCAATAGAATTCGTGAAGACGAGTTTGAAGAGCATCAAAAAGTAAACGATGCCGAGGCTTACCGGGCAGTCGAAGCGGCCTTGGAACTGTTGCGCCCAAAAGTCGTCGTGGTCTGCAACTGTAACCGCGACGGAATCGAGGATGGTATGCCCGAGTATTTGTGCTCGTCTGTGGCTACTGCCGGTCACCTCAACGTCCGCAAGTTACCAAAGGGTTATCACTACATCAGCGTCTCAAGTTTCCATCCCATGTACTTCGCTCGGACAGCAGAAGAAGAGAGCATGGAGAAGGAAATGCGCGAATATCTCTTCGATGCTACCCTTCTGGTGGGCGCCAATGCCTTGGTTGGCCGGTGGGTGTCAGGTTTCGGCATCCGCAATCTTCGAGCTTTTGCCAGACCTGATCCCGATGCATGGCTGGTTTTAAGCGACGTTACTTCAGAGGATATCATCAGTCTCCTAGACCAGTTGGAGATCCCAAAGACAGATGGCTCCAAAGATTTAGGAAATCGTGCCCAGCTAGTATCGCCGCAGGAAGACGGCCCGCTCTACAATCTTCTGGAAAGCTACCGAAGGAGGAATGGGCCATAGTCACACCGTGGATATGGGAGGGGCTTGGGAACAAAAGTTAGGTGTGCTTGGAACACCCGGAGGTTTAATGACCAAGTTGTCGGGTGGTATTCTTCCGAGACTGCTCTCTTCTAATATTAGGCCGTAGAGGCTTAAAGTGTTTGACGGACCGAGACTATAAGTAACGTTGCTGGTATCTTTTTGATAGCTAGTATCACTGTATGATCCTTCTTGAAAGGAAGCAAGTTAGAAAGTAATGGAGAAGTGGGAACAGTGGATGTTGGGGGCGAGTGTGAAGGCGCGGGGAGATAACCACACTGAGTCACTGACAACCTCGTGTAATTTTATTTTAATCTCAGCCCAACATAATACATGAAACTTCAAATCCAAACAGGGGCCTACGTAATGATACTGCGCTCCCCACTGAATAAAACAAGCTTGTAATTACGTTTAGTTGTTCGGGGTTTAAGGTGGTAGTTCAGGTTTTGGTTTCCATTTGCCTCGAGTAATTAACAACAGGTTGCGATCTGACGGTTACTGAGGATAATGTGGCGGTCTCTACACCTGTTAAAACGGGGTCTGGGGTTGTCTGTACCAAGCGGCTTTTTCTGATCGGCCCCCGACCTTTGGAGCACGACCTGGGGTGAAAATCGTTAAGAGAATACCATGCGTGTTACGAAGAATTGTCCCATGTTAATTACGGGAAATTGACCCCTTTGAATATGGAACAAGAGAATTTTAACACCGGGAGAAAGTCCAGGAGCTGTGAATATAGGGTGGTAGCGGGTCACAGGTTGCACCTGGAATCCGTAGTGGAGGCGGGGATGGGGAAAATAGGGTATGGGAAGCAAGAAAGGAGGGCCTACATCAGCGAACAGTCTCAGCGGAAAGGGTAGGGGTTTAATTAGGCACAAGGCCAGGTAGGAATACCTGACTCCCGCTGGGCAGTCTATCACTAATCATTTATATCCCCTTGATAGGCCTACCACTAAGCTCTTCTTAATGTTTGGATGCTACTTGTGAGAGGGAGGGAGAACGAAGACACTTAAGGCGAGTAAATCACTTCTCCCTCTTTAGAAGTTTAATCCTTTCCAGCGATGGGTGTTGCCTCGCTACCCGTCTGAGTCTTAATTATCGCATGCCTTTGATTACAGGTAGGGCCGGCCGGCACATCATCATGCTGCCTCGCTCGCACAGCCGAGTTGAGAGGCCGCCCCCGCAGCAGCAGCAGGACGTCCTGGGGCTGTTCCTTGCCATGTTCGTCCAGTCTTCGTGCCTGTCGGACCGCCATCTTGTTAATTGGCTGAGGCGTTGACGTGGGCCTGGGAGCGCCAGTCCGAGGAATGGCCCCCCCTGGGAAGTGCAGACGAGGACGGGTTTGATGTGGAAGTCGGTGAAGCGGCTAGAGTAGGGTTTTCAGGGGTAAAGCTAGGGGCGCAGTGGAAATTATATGTGAAAACGAGTCATAAGAAGCGACATTCGTGGATGGTGTGTTGGGTGTTGGGCGGACTAAATATTTTAGGTTGGTTCTGAACCAGAGCTTGGTACATACATCCACGAAAGAAGATGAGTTTGGCAGCAGATATAATTAACACAACGATACTAGGTACACTTCTATTCTGTCTGCTTCACCCAGCTAAACGTTCCCATATGATTCAAGCCTCGAATTATAACCTGAACTGACATTACACTGTCCAGGGACTTTTACTTCCCTTCCCCCTCCGCTTCAGCAATCATTTTCATTAGAAAATAGTTTTAAAATGCGGAATTCTTTTTATTGTTTCATTCACAGAGGAAAAGGATACTGAATAGAGTACCAAGGCTAGGCAGACCCAATTAGATGCGGGCATGATTGGGACGAACGCGAACATTTTCCTGCAGAGAAAGATAATGCCAACATAGTTCCCCAATGAAAGTTGGAACCCAGTCCAGTCCCATGTTGTCAGCGGTGAATCGTGAATAAGAGTTTGACAGGGTTTATGTTCCTGGCATTTTGAGTGCATGAGCAGCATTTACGAAACCGTTGTCTTCATTGGCCTTGGTGGGAGTTAAGCTGGACACAGCCGATGGGTAGGGGGATGCAGAACCCTGCATGCAAAGCTTAAATTTCCAGAAACATGCTGCAGCGATCTTCGAGGCTCTGCTAAAGACCAGTAGCTTTCGCACGCCGCGGACAACAGTTAACGAGATTCGCGGGTCGCGAAAGCGACGAGCCTTACGCCTCCTGTCTGCATCTTGGGCTGAGATCTGAGGCGATTTTCTGGGAAGGCGCCAAGGAGCACCAAGACGGGACGGGCGTTGCAGTTTCCCACGCGGGCGGGATTCCTCTTCCAGCGGCTCAAGCAAACGCTACAAAACCAAGAAGCCCCCCGCCCAAACGGGTAACAAATTTCATTTGGACTTATTCTTCGAGAAGACTTTTCGTTCCGTCGTATCCCAAACCACCACGACAACTTGTTGGTGTTATTCTTCATTCTTCAATTAGGCTCAACCACCCGAGACCAATTTAGCAGCCGTTGCAGCCTTGGCGATCTCAAGCCCAACTACACTAACAAGTTCCCAACGTGTCAGTCTGCCGCTGCGGTGCCCGAACCCACATGATTGATTTCCCGAGCCAGGTGCCGACATTTCCACAACGGAGACTGGTTTTACGAGAGAGCAAACGGCCGCTCCTCTCCACAATATTCTTACATCGTACAGCGCATAGGAGAACTCGGTTCACCATTCGAAGAAACATTCACCAGAGCCAACGCATAGAACCCTAGTAACCCCACAAACCCAAAAAAAATCAGATGATAATCTCTTCTTCAAGCGCGCCAAGACCTAAAATGTGGTTGCCTTCGAGAAATCCCGCCCATTTCGGCCGGGGCTGGGTCCGGGCCCCAGGCCCCATTCCTTCCCGCGTTCCGTAGCGAACCACACGCCATTGCGCAGCAGCCAGTTGGGCGACGGGCTGAGCGATTCCCCAGTCGCCCCGTTCCAGGGGCTGAGCCCGCGCTGCAGGCCAGCAAGTGATCGACGTCTTTTTTTAACAGAACTGTGAGCTTTTCTTACTTGCTGGGACTCCACTCTTAGCTGAGCAGACCAGCCAGCCAGCATTGAGAGAGTGTGAGTGAGTGTCCAGCAGGATGACGGGGCAGGGTAGGGCTGGGCAGGGATGCTTGCTCGTTCTGGCATCATGTTTACTGTCTTTGGGTGAGGTCGGGGGGGACGAGGCTTGGCGAGCGTGGAGAGAGAAGAGGATGAGGATTTGATTTAAAGATTCGGGGTTGCCCCGTTGTAGAGGACGGGTTTCGTGATTTGAGTCTCAGTATCCGATCAGGTTTCGACGATTTGACCGACAACAGAAGAGAGGGTTCTGTGTGCTTGGACTTCCATCTGGGTTTCTCGACTTCTTTTCGATACCTCCTTTTTCCAGCCCTCTCGTCAAGATGGGTCAGTGGCAGAGCTCCGAGATCTGCTCGACGCCGGCGTGTGTCCATGCGGCGTCTCATGTGCTCTCGAATATGATTCCCGACTGGTCCTCGATGGATCCATGTACAGACTTTGACAAGAGTGAGTGCCTTGGCCCTTGGTAGCAGCTCGAGCTTGGTTAGTTGGTGAATGTCTAACGCCTTTTAGTGGTTTGTTATGGCGCGTTCGAGAACGATGGCGACAACGGCGGCACCTTCGCCGACCTCCAGGGGCGTACCAGCCGTGTCCTCCGCAAGATTTTAGAGAGCAGCACCACGAAACAGGCCACCGACTTCAAGTCCACCTTTCTCACGGCCCGCAGCGCCGGTGCCAACGTAGCCGAATACAACTTTGACATGCTGCGCACCGCATACGACGACTGCATGGACACCACGGCGATTACCAAGGCGGGGGTCACACCTCTGACGAACGTGATTGTGTCGATCAATGAGATCTGGTCAGTGAGTCCCACGGATCTGACCTCGACGATCAAGCCCGGTGATTACGACAACCTGCACGCGGCCGTACTCGCGCTGGAGCAGCTGGGAATTCCCATCTTCCATGACCTCTGCAGTTCTACAGACCCGGTCATGGCGGACCCTCTGAACTCGGTGGGTTTCTTTCCTTGTCGTCTTCTCTCCGCCGGATGTTCTTAGACCTGTAATTAACTAGAGTGACAACGATAGAAACGCAACACGATCTGCTGGACTGGACCCAGGCCGTATCTGGCGTCTAACACGACCATGTATTTCGACGAGGCCGCTATGGACTGGTACAGGGCGCGCATAGGCAAGGTCTTTGCGATGGCGTATCCCGATATCAGCAGCAAGTCGGCCCAAAACTTGGGCGCGGCCGTGGCTGACTTCGAGGCAAATTTTGTGAAGACCGCGCTCGAATACCAGAAAACCCTGCCGAACCCCGGTGACCTTTATGTACGTCTGCCGTTCCAGAGGGAACAAGGTCTGTTTGTGGTAGCACAAGAAATGATTTACTAACACTTCAACAACAGAGCACTGTCAAGAATGTGAGCGTGGCCGATATCGCCAAGCAAGCCCCTGTTTTCGGGTTTGACACGATCATTGCTGGCTTGACCCCCGCCAACGAGGCCCCCGCGCTCATCCTCCTCGACTCGCCCGCGGTCTGGCCAACTTTCTCCAAGCTCGTGGCCCAACACTCCCCCGCCGCCATCCATGGGTACGTGCTGTGGAGGGCCATCAATAGCCTGCTCGAGGACGTGTCCGACCCCCAGCTCAACGCGGCACTGAACATTGAGGTCCAGCAACCCCGCTGGAAGATCTGTGTGGCCAAGATGGACACCATGTTACGGCACATCAAGGACCACTACTTCCTCTCAGCGACCTACACGAACCTGACGATGCAGGCGGCCGACAAGATGACGACCAATATCCGCGCGCAGCAGCGCAAGCGCTTCGGCGAGCTTGCCTGGATGAGCGACGAGTCCAGGGCGCGTGCGATCAAAAAGGCCGACAATATGATCCAGAACATCGGCTTCCCGACCGAGAACCCGGACATCCGCTCGTCCGCCTCCATCGCGGACTACTATGCTGGACTCAACTTCACCGCCGGGGCCGGGCACTTCTACAACAGCCTTGCCGCCCGCCGCCATGCGACTGCCAAGAGCTACGGCGCCGTCTCGACCCCGCCCAACCGCCGTGACATCATGAACGTCGCCGAGGTGAACGCCTTCTACACCCCCAGCGCTAACGCCATGATCATCCCCGCGGGCATCTCCCAGCTGCCCATTTTCCACTACCACCTGCCGGACTACGCGCTGTACGGCGGTCTCGGCTCCGTCATCGGCCACGAGATCTCACACGGCTTCGACAACAACGGCCGGCTGTGGAACGAGGACCACGAGTACAGAACCTGGTGGGACAACAACACCATCGCGGGCTTCGAACAGCGCGCGCAGTGTTTCATCGACCAGTACTCCGGCTACACCGTGGATATCCCCGGCGGCAAGACGGCCCACGTCAACGGTGCGCAGACGCTGGCCGAGAACCTGGCTGATGCGGGCGGCATCCGGGCGGCGTATGCCGCGTGGGTCGAGGAACGGAAGTCGATGCCCAACACATGGAACCAGAAGCTGCCCGGCCTGGAGGACTTCACGCCGGAGCAGTTGTTCTTTATTTATCAGGCGAATATGTGGTGCAGTGCCGTCACACCGGCGCAGGCGGCTCAGTTGTTGGCGACGGATGTGCACTCCCCGAATCTGCTGCGGATTAAGGGGATGATGGAGAACTCAGCCGATTTCAAGAAGGCATTCCAGTGCCCGGATCAGAAGCCCAAGTGTGAGCTGTGGTAAAGGAGTTTGGGGTTCTATTCTCTGTGCATAGCGTTGGCGTTTGGTCGTTTAGAGGAGGGAGAATTTCCTGTCAAGCTTAGAATTTCAGCATAATTTGTCAAGATATCATTCATAACTTTTTGCCTTTCTTTGATGGTATTGGATGCCCCTTTTCATGATCGGTTTGCCCTTCGGTTTCTTCGTAATTTCTCGGCGGTTGTGTCCATACAGCAGAACGGGATGTGGACTTGATGAGTGATGAGGAACTGTTCACAAAATCTCCCATGGTAACTGGGTACCACGCTCAGAGAAATTTCGTTGCGGTTGGGTCCTGCCTGCCTTGAAACCTTTCTGTACCCCATGTGCAGACACAGTCCCCGTACTATCTACGCACGGTGCATTTCAGGGACTGTGGGGCAAAAAAGTCGCGTCCATCAATTAAACAGCACCATCGGCGCGTCTCCCACTCAAATTGCCTGCAGCTCCAAACCTCCACTGCGTGCAACCTGATGTTGACTTGCGACGCCCGCTTTGCTTGAGCCGCATTTGCATTTCGCCCTGATTTCTAGCGTTTTGGACACACCTCACACTACCTGATTACCGGTTGCTTCATTTCTCTCCAACATGGTGGTCTGCCCCGTTTGCAATCGGGGCGTCAAGGCCGCCGAAATTAACAGCCACCTCGATTCGGACTGCAAGACTTTCCTGCTCGAGGAGCAGCAGCAGCCAACAGCATCCTCATCCCCACCAAACGGGACCCAAACCAACAACCCCTCCCAGAGTCAACTACCGCTGAGCTCAACACAAAAGAAACGATCCGCATCGACCTTCTTCCAGACACCCGCCGCAAAGCGACAACTCACGACGACGGTAAAACCACCGACACCAACACCGTCGCAGACAAATGGGACTGGGAGCAACGGGCCGAGAGTAGGGACGAAGAGACGGTACGATGAGGGGCCAGGCGATAGTCCCGCGGGGGAGGACCCACAAGAGCAGCAGCGGCCACAACAACAACAACAACAACACTCAGCGAACAACAACCTGAACACCACCAACGGGCCTCTGGCAAAACGATCCAAAAACGCCCGCACGGCCCCGCTCGCCGAGCGCATGCGGCCCGACACGCTCGACGACGTCTTCGGCCAGGATCTCGTCGGCCCCAACGGCGTGTTGCGCGCGCTGATCGAGACCGACCGGGTACCGAGCATGTTGCTCTGGGGCGGCTCGGGCACGGGCAAGACGACGATTGCGCGGTGCATTGCGCGGCGGGTGGGTAGTCGGTTTATCGAGCTGAACGCGACGAGTACGGGCGTGGCGGAGTGCAAGAAGTTGTTTACTGAGGCGGGCAACGAGTTGAACCTGACGGGGCGGAAGACGATCATCTTTTGTGATGAGATTCATCGGTTTAATAAGGCGCAGCAGGATGTGTTTTTGAAACCGGTCGAGGCAGGGACGATCACGTTGATCGGGGCGACGACGGAGAACCCGAGTTTTAGGGTGCAGGCGGCGTTGCTGAGTCGGTGTCGGACGTTTACGTTGCAGGCGCTGACGACGGAGGATTTGCAGAGAATTCTGCTGCGGGCGCTGCAACAGGAGGTGGAGCTTGAAGGGTTAGAGTTGTCGCCGCTGATTGACGAGGAGATGCTCCGGTATCTGTCTGCCTTTGCAGATGGTGATGCCCGCACAGCTCTGAACCTCCTCGAGTTGGCGCTATCCCTTACCAACCGCCCAGCAGCAGCAGCAGCAGCCGCATCCGACGGCTCACCCGACAATCCCGAACCAGTCACCAAAGAATCCATCAAAGCCGCCCTAACCAAAACCCTCGTCTACGACCGCGCAGGCGACCAGCACTACGACACCATCTCGGCCTTCCACAAATCCGTCCGCGGCTCCAACGCCGACGCCGCGCTGTACTACCTCGCCCGCATGCTCCAATCAGGCGAAGACCCCCTCTTCATCGCCCGCCGCATGGTCGTCATCGCCTCCGAAGACGTCGGCCTAGCCGATAACTCCCTCCTCCCACTCGCCACAGCAACCTACACGGCCACGCAACAGATCGGCATGCCGGAAGCCCGCATCCCGCTCGCCCACTGCACCGTGGCTCTGTGTCTCGCGCCAAAGAGCACGCGCGCGTACCGCGGGTTGAATAATGCGCTTTCTGCGCTTCAGGAACCGGGGATCGCGTCGCTGCCGGTGCCGGTGCATTTGCGGAATGCGCCGACGAGGTTGATGAGGGATCTGGGGTATGGGAAGGAGTATAAGTATCCGCCGAATTATCGGGATGGGAAGGTGAAGCAGGAGTATTTGCCTGATGGGTTGTTGGGGAGACATTTCTTGGAGGCGAGAGATTTGGGGACGGAGGTGGATCCGGATGTTGAGATGGGGGAGGGTGATGCGACGTGAGATGGGTGTGTTTTTGTGCTGGTTACTTGGGGTATTGGGTATGGCGTAACTTGGGTTTGGGCGGTTGGATGGCGTGGGCTCAACTGGATATCAAGGGTGACTCTTTTGGCCGTTGTACCTTGATGGAAGAAGAAAGGGTTATAGACTAGGCGCAGGCGCTTCTCAGTTGGCCCGCGGCTAAGTTCCTTTGGCCGTCATGTCAGATAGCACTGCTTCAAACTCGTTGGAATGGGGCCCACGACTTACGGGTCGTGCCTTTTGGATGTCCCGGGCCAAATGCGAGGATATTTCCATATCTAAGGGCGTATTCCAGAATCGTTGGCCTCATCATGTCACATTGGGGTTATCGAGGGTCGGGCGGTAACGGCTTCGACCACCTGCAGTCTCAGGACAATCATTGAGCATAGCTGTCTCGGTATGGCCACGGGGCACATGTTAGAAACAGGAAAACAGAACCAATAATTACCCTCTAAAACGTTTCATGCCTTCACTGGGAATCCCCTCGCTCAACTTGGCTTACTCATTTGAGTTCTAGTTACCCCAATGTTGTCTAGAGGCTCCTTTCCGCTTGATGATTCGAAAGTGCAGGACACCAAGACGCCCACAACGGCCGTTGTTTATCGACCCTGCCGATAAGTGTCAAAGCGCACCTGTTCGCCGAGAGGCTCTAGAGAGATACAGAGTTGGCGATTGCCCCGACCAGCAGCGTAGCTGAGCATTGTTGGAATTAAACCGTTACGAATATCTATAGAGAGTGTGAGAGAAGATCATTCATGATTCGTATGGCGATCGTTAATCTACGGATAGAATCCAGCAGGCTTCATGAGCATATGCAACGCCGGTCTAATGCACCAAATGCACACCCCCACAAAGCGGCTTACTCGGCAAGCGGAGTACAGCAGTTATCGCCCAAAGCTTCGCGTCCCATCGTCTCATCCCATCACGCATCAGACCATAAACGACTCGCCACACCCACATTGCTCCTCTGCACCTACCGTTAGCTACTTTCCCACCAAGACACACAAATAGGAAGGGGGTGAGGGAAAACTTACTAATATTCGGATTCCGAAAAACAAACCTCTGGCTCAACTTATCCTCCACCCAATCCATCTCACTCCCAATAATACTAAACAGCGCCTTACTATCAATCAACACCTGCACCCCGTCCTGCTCCACCGTCTCGTCAAACGATCCCGGCTTGTCGACATATTCCAGGTGGTAGGCCAAACCCGAACACCCGCGGTTGCGCACGCCAACTTTGATGAGTTTGGGCTCCGGCTGGTCGACTAGTGCGCGTAGTTGGGAGACGGCTTGGGGCGTGATGGTGATGGCGGCTTTGCGGGCGCGGAGGCGGGAGCGTGGGCGGGAGGTGGGTTTGGTGGGGGTTTGAGCTGTTGATGGGGATGTTGATGAGGCTGTGGTCGTTGGTGGTTGGTTCTCGGTTTCTGGTTGTTTTTGAGTCTGTTGTTGCTGTGTTTGTTCTGGTAGCCCTTGCTTGCCGGTGCCAGCAGCAGCAGCAGCAGCAAACTCCCTCTTTGACTGCTGCGCTTCCCTCTCCGGGACAGAAGCCAACCCTTGTTGCGCCACCGACTCCGTCTCTTCCACCGCCGGACTCGGTGCCGGCGGCCGTGTACTCTGGATCTTAGGGATCGCGATCGGTGAATCTATCGGCGTGGTGATCGAGGTGTCGGGGACCGAAACATTGCGGGGCGCCGGCGGCGGCTGCGACGGCAAAGTGTACGCTTGGAACGCCGCGATGAGGGAGGCCGGCGAGGTCGAGAACGGGCGCTGTCGCAGCAGGTTTCGGCGGCAGGAAAAGCAGACGGACGCCGCTCGGCGGGTCAGGAGGCTCGGCGCACTCATTGTATCGGGTTGTTGTGCGGTATTATCTGTCGGTTGTCACAGTGTCCGGGACGGAACATCCCAATTGTGCCGTGGGTGGTGTGGTGTGGCCAGAGTTTAGTCACCAACAGAGGGCCATTTTTTTGTTGATTTCAAAGGCAAAAGCACCGCAATGGAGCCATGACATGATGCCAAGCCTCGGTGCTGCCCGGTTTCCGCCGGGCCAATAGGCGCTTCGGTATTAGGGATCGTTGCGCACGGACCAAGTGCTCGGCCTGCACATGTGCACAGGGAGGTGAACCCCTAGGGTCGGGTCCAGCGAGGGGTCTGCTGTGAGAGCCCCTGAATTCAGCAAACAAAGCGCACCAAGCAACAGGGGCAACTTGTCTGTGACTTTGGGGTGCTCAACCGCGAAACCACACACAAGGTCAACTTTTACGCATGTAGCAAAGAAACACTAGAAGTAGACCCCTTAGTTTGCAAGTCCTAGCAATCATTTACCCGCCGCCTCAAACAAACAGCCGGCCGGTAGCAAATGTATTGTACAGTACAAGGCCAACATCGAAGCAAACAACACCATCTCTTTCACCCCCTTACTCCGCCACCATCTCCCTTACATCCTCCACCGCCGCTCTCGCCATCTTCTTCAACAACATCCTCTCATCCGCCTCCCTGTACTTCTCCCAACTATCCAGCCCCTCCTTCGCCTGGATACTCAACGTCTCATACCCCTGCTTAATCACCTCCGCGACTTGCAAACTCGTCAACTGCGACGACGGCGTCCCTTTGCCAGAGGAACCACCGTCCTTCCCCTTCTCTCCAGCTGTTCCTCCCTTCTTACCACCGCCCCCATCTACCAACATCTCCTTGTAGTGGGTACTCACGTTCACCAACGTATCAATCGAATTACTCGGCCGATTCGCCAGCTTGTAGGTATCCCGGAACTTGACCAGCACATCCCCCGTCTCGACAATCTTGTAGAACAAATCATCGTATGCCGCTGGTGTCGGCAGGAACGTCTCGCCCGCTGACAGGCCCAGAGCTAGCAAATTGACTACGTGGTCTAGCAGCACATCCATGCGTGGCAGGTTGAGGAGATCAGGCGAGTAGGTTGTCAAGAACCGGATGAGAGAGAGCAAGGAGCGGAAGAAATCCGCCCAGTGGTAGTCGAGGCGCGTTCGCGAGCGGGACATGTAGCTGATGATGCGCAGGAGGATGCCGACGCTGAGGGTGTAGAGACGGACGTCGAGTCGTCGGCGCAAGTTATGGTTGATCGTGTCCAGCATGGTATCCATGACGGTTGTGGCTAGGATGCGTTCGGTGCGGACGGCGGGGAGGTATGGAGAGCGCTGGCGGCAGAGGCGCACGAGGGTTTTGCTGTCTTCGCTGCAGATGCGCTTGCAGAGGACTGGGTCTTCGATCAAGAGGCGGAAGATCATCAGGTTGAGGTGGGAGTAGAGGGTGGTGCGCTGCGAGAGATGGGCGTGTTGGAGGAGGTAGGAAGTCAACGAGATGAAGCTTGCGATGGGCTGCTCCTCGCCTTTTTCAGGGGCCCAGGTGACGAGTTCGAGGCTGAAGAGCTTGTTGGCATGCGTAAAATCGTACGTGGCGAGGAGAACAGCTGCTTCTTGGCCCGGCCTAGCAATTCCCGTCAGTGTTGCTCACCTTACCTCGGGTAAAGGAGTAGAAAACATACAACTCGGCAAACATCTTCTTCGCAGTGTCGGCGTCATACACCGGTTTTGGCGGTGGTTTCCCCCCTGGCGCAATAGCTCCTAGCCCAATCTTGCTCAGTGTGTTGGCCAACGTCCACCCCTCCGGCAGGTCCTCCTGCACATCAATGTACTGTGCTCGTAATCTCTGGCACGTATACCCGATGTTCTTGACAATCCCCCGGATCACCCGCTCGTTGACAAAGTCGTTAAGTCGCATCTGGTAGGGGTTCTGAAACTCGAATTTGTTGTAATTGGCTAGTAACCCAAGGAGCAGGAATGGCGAGGTTATGCTGGAAGCTTGTGACGCTATTTGGATGTGTATGCACTGTGGCTGTCTGTCAGCTGGGGGATAGAATACGTAATAGCCGCATTAACCCACGCTAGTTATCGCTGGGAACAAGTCCCGCTGAATGAAATAGGTGAGCAGGCTGGTCTGGTACGCCCCAGATGTCACCGCCAGCGCCACATCGACTGCCCTCCTCTGCAGGTCTGCCGTGTACGTGCAAGTGACCCGATTCCCAACCTGCTGGGCCTCCTGGCCGACATGGCCAATACCAGAGGGACAACATTCCTGTGTCGCTCCTCTCCCATTCCGTATCAACGACTCCAGCGCATTAACGAACTCGGCAAAGACATTGTCGATGTGATCCAGGCCGGCGAGCAGGTCGATTATGTCGGAACTAGGGTTCGTGTACTTCTTGGCCAGCACAGCAAGGAGGAACGTGCTTAGGGTCTGTAAACTACCAGCTTAGAAAGTGTTTTTGCGAAGCTCAATATACCATGATTACCCACCTCTAGCGCATGGAGGTCCGCAACTCCATACGGGCGTCTCAGTGCCGTCGTCGCTTGCGCAAACAACTGCCGAGTCTGATGGTTGAGTTGGAGAAGATCGTCGGGTGATTGGTCGTTCAGTATTTTCCGTAACGCTGGTCGGTCTGGTCGCAAGAGAAAAAACTCCTTCCAAAACCCCTCTGAGTGCTCTACTTCGTCCGAGTCATCCTGTTCGGAAGCTGACCGTCAGCCATTGCTCGTCGGTCACGGGTGTGCTAGTTCGTCCAGGACAAGGCTCGAGAAATCAAGGTCTAGGTAATAAGAAACTAACCTGTTCCAAAGCAGTACCAAAGGTTAGCGACGGTGTCTCTCAACTAAAAGTCCCACGACAATGCAGCGCGGCGCAAACCAACAACCACTTCCCTTCCGAAACAAGAAAACAGGGGGACAGCTCAAACCTTGAACAGCGCTTCATACAGGCGGACAATCTTGGGCTGAAAGACCTCTGGCCGAGGCTGGTGTGTAAGTGGCGACGGCTCCATGTGCGAACACCCTCGGCTCCGTGCCGCGGAGAAGTAAAACAAAGAACAAAGTGTTGCTGGGAATGCAAAGCCAAAGTTGATCCCTCGGTCCTCGAAACGCGACCCAGATCGGGTCGATAACGATAACGCAGGGGAGGCCAGCGACAAAGGTGCCCACTGTTTTTGGCGTGGCACAATTAAGCACAGTCAGATACAGTGCCCAAAGCACGGCCTCTCGAAAATTCACAGCTTGAGATGTTTGTCCATCCCAACAATGGCTCGCTCAATGGGACTGCGGTGAGTGGCGATAAAATGATGCTCAGACCATATTCTGGGGATGTACCGGTACAAGCAACTTCTCGAAACGTCCCGGTCGATCCGAAACACCGAAACAAGGTCACGCCCTGAAGAAACCGAAAAAGGGGGGTTGTAGTCTTGTGACGGGCCTCTCGCTCCCTTCTGTCTCTAACGAGTAAACTTCTCGATTGTAAATTTACGAGTACAATGGCAAGAATGGGTATCTTGATTAGAATGGCTGCCAAGCTTGGTTCATTATCCGGCACATAAGGTGACTGAGAAAAGGAGGCATCATAACCCGCCGGCCCAACAACACCCAGGGGAACGCGACAAGAATACATGCAAAGAGGAAACAAAGTGCATCGAGATTTACAAGTAACAATAGGCGCAATACCAGTACTGAACGCGTCACGTCAGAACGGGATCACGATGACAGTAGTAAGATTACATAAATAATATCATGACACGCCCTGTCGTACTCGACAAAAGCACTGCTAAACAACACATCAGCCAAAACGCCCGCTCGCTTGACCCGCCACATCCTATCATCCCATCACTCTGAGTCTCCATGAGCCCAAATGAAGGACCCAATGAGGCAACCCCCGAGACGGAAGCAGATAGCAAATAGACAAACAGACGGCGTAAAAGTAAACAATAAGCTCGACACAACTCCCAGTGGGGAGTTGCAACATGCCCGGCCAGTCTTCCTTAAATGCCCCAACTGCCCCTCCGCTCTCGCACACCCCATGCCGCCGGGCCGATGGCATTCAAATCCGGGTGTTGCCTCGCCCACTCAAAGATGTACAACTTCAGGGCCTTCCACCGTTGACACCGATCTTCCTCTCTCACATCGTCCTTCTCCTCACTGTCCAGCATGATATGTCCCGTCGCGCCCGACCGTCTCCTAACAGGGTGGCCGTTCGGTTTCGCCCCATCGATGTCCATTTCCTCGTTGTCATTATGGCGGTTATGTGTGTCGGCCCAGACCCCGTCCATGATTGCTTGGTCTTCCTTGCCCAGCTCGGCGACATCGATCCGGCTGATCTTGCTCAGTTCATCGTCGTATTGTCGGCCGGTGGCTGGGTAGCCGAGAGAGAGGTAGTTGTAGACCTGTGTGATGAAGTGGTCGTCGAATTCGGCCGCGATCTTTTCTTCCAGCTCGGCCGCGGCCTTTTCCTTCTTGAGCTTCTCGTCGATGTTGGCGAGGTTTTGGAGCATGTGGAGACCCTTTGGGGCGCTGGGTTTGGTGTGGTGTCCGGGCATCTGGTGAGTGTTGTTGGGTGGTACCGAGACAGTGCCTGGGATAGGACTGATGGAGCTTGGTGAAAACGGCGTGGGTTCTTCACTGAACGTAAGGTCGGCCGCGGGAGCGGAGGTGAGCCCGCCGAAGCCTGCGGCGAACGGGTTGTTCTTCGCGTTACCACCGGCGCCAATGGCCGGAGTCGAGAGCATAGCCGGGCGGTCGACCGGTGCCAGCTTCTCGCTTGACACGTGGGCTGTATAACAGTACCCGCGCCACAGACCGTGTTGCTCAGTCGGGTCGCGGTTGTGCTCCTCGTAGGTCGTGCCCGTGGTGATATCCCACAGATGGTCAGGCTCAAGCTTGGTCTGTTTCGGGGATGGGCATCGTCGGAATGTGAGGTCCTGGCCCAGCATGGGTGGGGACACCTTGAGGCGTAGCTTGTGCTGTTGTCGTGCCCGATCCAGAGACACGTCCCGCTCGGCTGGGAAGGACATGAATGGGCCATGGTTCCGAAAGCCGGTCTCGGGCGGGATTTGCGAGGCTGAGGCGTAGGGTATATCCCCGGCTTTACCGGCGGGGGCCGAGGGGATATGGGCTGTGTGGTTTTCGCTACCGGGTTGGTGGAGAGCTGGCGATTCGGACGGGAAGGGGATAACCGACTCGCCGATGGTGGGCAGCGGAGATTCGGCACGGAGCAGCGGCACCGATGGCTCTCCGACTGGCCCGAGGGAGCTGGAGGATAGACCCCGTGTTGTCCATATTGGAGAACTCGCAATGGACGACCTCTGCGTCCTGGTCAGCCCCATCGCATCGCTCGGGGGACCATCGATGCTCATGTTGTCGAGGTCCAGCGTATCGATTCTACTCCTGGTCCTGGTCCGGTGAAGAACCTGGGCATGCTCCTGCATCTCCTTGAACGCCCAGCTAATATCCTCTTCCGACGAGTTGCGCCTTGTCTGTGAAGCATCCCATGGCCCTCGCGTCAGCGGCCTCCCCCGCTGGTTCCCATCTTCCGACCCTGAGCCCTCCCGGACGTAGAAATGTTCTGCCCCGCCTATCCGATTCCCGAAATTGGGGAAGGCACTCATGGCCACCTCTTGGAGTTTTCTCTGCGCATCGCGGGCCACCAAGTCGAAGACTCCCCCAGCGATTTCATCGTCGCATGATTCCCGCCGGCCGTGGCCTCGTGGCGTATCCACCGCGTCCAATACCGGAGTATGGCCATGTTTCTTGCGTGCTTTTGGTGCGTAAATATGATTTGTGTATGGAGTGATGTCGGTTCGATCGGTGTACTTGGTAGCGGGGCCTTCGTCGCCGGCTCGCTTAGCTCGGCGCACCGAAGACTCGACTAGTTGGGGGGCAAACTTTCTCTTTTCACGTTGTTCAAGCGGCGGCGGGGCCGGTGAGCGCGGGGAAGGGCTGGGAGTCAGCTCGGCGCCGGGGGGAATGGTCTTGCGGTACCGTTCAAAGGTCGTTTCGATGGGAATAGGAGCAAACCGCGCCCGCGGTCGCTCCTTTACGTGGGTCATGCTGAGGGTTGACCCGGATTGTTTTGTGATTGTTCTTTCTGCTTGTCCCGATAAGATGTGCGGTCTGAATTGGTGGTGGTGTCGGTCCCTCGTGATCAGATCGGATCGGATCGGTAGCGGGGAAACCAACTTTCGAGCCAAATTACGCCGTAATATTCGGTTTAGTTCGGTGCGTGTTAGTCACGATGTATTGTTCCGGTGTTGTTCGTTAACCTTGTGTTTTTCTTGTCAGTCGACACCCTAGGTTGGAAAGACTGTAAATTGAACTGAGAGAAAAATGCCCACTGCCCCCCCAGCACCTACACAGCAGCACAAAGTGGTTTTGTATCTTGCGAAATGTGCAATGTGCCAGGAACCAGGATGTGGGGGGGCAGGCATTGAGGGCGGTCACCATGAGCTGAAGCGGGTATCGCGACATCGCTGACAACTCGCGCGCCAGCGCCTGACCGCTATCATTAGGGGCCGAAAGCAAGTGGGATGGCAGGTGGGGTTGTTCTAGGGTACCTGCACCGTGCGAAACGCACGAACTTTCCTTGCCTCACCGAGGCCAGTGTGACCCACCTGCAGTAATTCCGCATTGTCTGCCGTTGGCAACCGAACCAAGGCGCATCGGGAGTGAGCGAAGGAGGAAAACAGATTCCAAAGCCTAAAAAAAACGAACCATGAAATGCAGCGTAGCTCGAAACATCTTCCCCCGGCCTTGAATTCCACTCATCAGTGGCGGCAAGCACCAGAGACAGTTCTGGGGACAAACAGACGTACCGTGTACTTTTCTTTTGAACACACGGTAATTCTACTTATGAAACTTCCAGGGGCCAAGCCAGAGCGTTGGACCAAGCATGCTTGCCGATGTCACCGGGGATCAAATCCATCGGAATCGTCCAACAACCTGACATCATCGCCTTCACATCACTGGAAGCTCCTCCTTCGAATCGCCTTCCTTGCCCGTCCCAACCGCGGGCTTACAGGTCACATGGACTACACTACAGCGGAGGATCAATCCTTATTCAGCAATTCGGGGTCCCTCCGCCCTATCCACAAATATCTCGAATCACTCCTGTCAAAATCGCTCGACCCCTTTCTCAAACATTACTTTTCGGTCACTGTCACAAAAGTTTTGATCAAGTGACGACACTTACGAATACCCTAGCATGGCCCTCGCTCGTATGTTTTACGAGATTGAAACAGCCAATTCCAAGGTTCCGGGTTTTGGTCCCAGTGGAGACCAACGCACAAACTCGCAGGCGTCCCCCTCTTCGGATCATTATCGTCCACGTTGCTGACTCTGCTCAGCGCATAACTCCCCTAAAAGAATGATGCTGCCACGCCGGGGCGAGTAAACGCAACTTCAGGTTGTGCTTTAGAATTCTATCATGGAGGGCTGACCCGGCGGCTTGAACCGCAACAAGCGACGTTGAAAATTGTTCATCTCAAAGGGGTGGATCAGGTTTTCGTTTCTAGTGGAGAGCGGGACGGTCCGCCTCGGCTTCGAACTCGAGGCCTGACGGTCTGCAACTGCACTTGTCGTCCACATAACTTTGCCCCCCTCAACTTCCTCCGGACAAGACATGCTCGTTTCTTCTTGTGTATCACCAGTTCCCAATTGGAGCCCGAAGATGCCGAAAATTCCTTGCTTCTGCACCCAGGAAAAATCACGCCCCCAATGGATTGGATGACGAGGCCTCGTGAGAGCTTGCGGTGGCCCCACGCCACATGCCAGCCACATGCCGCACGCCGAACCCCCGCGGGGAACCGGGGCCCGGGGAGCACCAGCCGGGGGGATCGTCACCCCACACTCCGCCGGGCTCACCGCTGTCCGCCTCGAACTATTTGCCATCGGGGCTTTCGATGGCAAGTGTCTCGACGTGGCAGTTCTCTGGCAAAGCTCATCGCGACGATCTTCAAGTCTAGGTGCTGAACTATGGCAAGATGCACTCTATCTCGTGCACCCATCTCCGTGTAAGTAACCACCGGCCTCGGGACACCGCTCCGACCACCGTCATCGCTACCAATCCCCAAAGCCCCAGCCAAACATGTCTAGTTATGTCAGACGGCAAACTCGAGGCCAAAGTTTGCCGCCGTGCCGTGTGACCACTTCCTCAATCCCATCGTCAGATTGTACAGGACTTCACCATGTCGGCGGATTTCCCTCCCCGCTGTCGCTAACTATTGGATCCTCCTGTCTGCGTGGCGGCCAAACGCACTCGAGGCCGATGCACGTGTCCGGAAGACCGTTGACCGCCTTCTGCTCTCCTCTCCCGTTCGATCATTCCGGCCTCTTCAAAACGAAGCTACCGGCTGCTGTGGCACCGATCGAAGCGAAGTCCAACATGGGGACCGGGTCCATGTGTCGTGGCAAAGCATACACTAGCCAGACGTTAACGGCCTCTGGTTAACGTCTTTCTCAATGTCAATGCGTCAATTAGGTTTCCGAGAAACTTAATTGATCCCTGATCACACCACCACCACCACTCCCGTTTCGTTACGCTGCAGCCCGCACCCGACTAGGCAATGAGTCAGTTGCACAGTTGCTGGAATTGGATTTTGCCCAATAAAGTTTCCTCACAGTGTCCAGTCCCTCTGTCCCACTCTCACTTATCCCTTTTACCCCAAGTCAAAGTTTATGTGGTCATGTCCAATCCACGAAGGGGCCAGAAATCGCCACGCCCCATTCATCGTTCCCCGGATTCTCTCTTCGATGCGGAGATGCTGGCTGAACATACCCTTCAGATGCAAGTACAGGGGTCAAGTTTGTTCACCGTCTTCAAGTCCAGACAAACCAGGCGGAGACAACGAGATCGAGATCTCTTGGCATTCGGTGTCTAGACCGAGTATTTTGCTCCTGCGTTCACCGGGTCGTAATTAATTACCCAACCCTCACCTGGCATCCAGCTCGACGAGGGGTTGGTTGGCACCTAGAACAAAATGACGGTTGGAAACTGCAAGGCGGTCGGCACTTGGACGGCACCCTGCCCAACCAATGATTTGCCCAACCAATGCTTCGCCGTGGTCCGTCCATTGGAACGGTCATCGGCCAAGTAAATGGACTGTGTAAGCTCCGATGTCGCTTTTTACCTCGATGTCCCCAGTTAAATAATTCCCAAACTCCAAGAGCAAGGAAATCAACCCGACTGATAGACCAATAGTCAAGATAAGTGCCTGAGCCAAGTGCCCGATCGATCAGATTGTAACCGGGGACGTGGCATGGTGGGGGTCCGGGGTTCGAAGATAAGGCGCGCCGAACCGCCGAGATCGCCGGCCCGTTGTTTCATCGGGTTGTTGTTACTTGGGAGATAGGCGTGTTTATCGTTCGGAAGGTGTTGATATCTCGGATTGGGCAGCAAAAAAGGGCGGGGATGCAACTTGTAAGCGAAAGTAGAACTGGCAAGGTAAATTTTAAAGAGAACGTGCACCTGAAAGATAATCATGTTTCAGTGAGCCGAATGGCATACCCTGCGATATAAACAACAATGCAACTCATCCGATGTTGTGCTCCCCCAGCCTCGAGCCTGTAAGCGTTTAACTAAACAAAATTTGGTCAAATATCAGTCACCCATGCAAAGGTGCCCTCCTTATCTACCCACCTAGTATCGGGTGCGGTAGCAGATTGGTCACTCTCCGGATGATGGTACCATCAGTGATTATCTTCTCCGTGCTGTGGTTGCCTATCCAAGGACCAGATACCCTCGAGGCTCAACACAGGCATCGAGTTGCAAGGAGTGCATCGAGGCTCAACGCGAGCATCGAACCACGCGAGGTACCACGCGAGGTGCAACACAACGGTCTAGCCGTACGAGGCCCAAGGAGGATATCAAACGGCCATCGAGGCCTCGAGGTTAAGCCTTATCCAATCTTCGGAATGTCAAACAGTGCGCCTGTGGCCGACCAACCAATACAAAAGCTTTTCCCTTTGCAACGCCACCAACTCTTCACTGGCAACCCCTGTCGATGATAAATATGGAGATTATTCAGTCCGCTGAAGCATTTAAGGTCGTCGGCAACAAACTTAAGTTCCATTGTGTTAAAGGCGTCGTACGACACAACGACAGCGTGTACTTCGGCAAGTGGAAGCATCGAAGGCGTTCACCTGTTGATCTCTCCGAGCTATACGACGTCAAACGAGTAGAGACCGACGACAGAGGGCCCAGGGTACAGCCTTCTTGGACCATAGTGTCGGAGCAGAGCTGTTACATCAAGACACCGAGCCTGCTTGACTATGCTGGTGCACCGGATCTCGAGAGGCGGATCCTCCGTGAAGTTGAGACATGCGAAATCCTTAGGAGCCATCCTCATCCACACATCGCCTCCTACTACGGTTGCCTAGAAACTCGAGGGCGAGTATCCGGCCTCTGCTTCAAAAACTACGTCGCGACATTAGCTGGCAAAGTCAACCCTCAGCATCTGAACAAATACGCCTTCCTGCTCAGCGGACGGCCGCTTGTCGAGGATGCGATGAAGGCGCAGCTGGGCGGCATATTGAGTGGGATCCAACACCTCCATTCACTCGGTCTGGTTCATAATGACATTACGCCCGCCAACATCATGCTAGAGGAGGACGGCACATGGGTCATCATCGACTTTGACAGTTGCCGGCATATGGGGGAAGTGCTTCGTGACACGGGGACCAAGAGAACACATGGATGGCACGACCCTGGCGTGACGGTTTCATTCGAGAAGAACGACCTCGACGCCTATTTTGAGTTGCGAACCTGGCTCTTTGGATCGTCGGTTGATGAGTTCATGTTCCAGTAATTCGTTGTACCTGTTAGTTGATGTAAGACTTCACCACGGCGACATGTCTTGGCACGCAGCCGTTAACGTTAATCGCGCCGCCGCAGCAAATCAGATCGAGTGTGAGGAGTACGACACTTTGTCCAGTCGAGGTGCAACGCCGGCCAGACAAGTCGGACAACAGAGGTGCCGTGCATCAGTCGAGGTTGAATTTGACCTGAGATTGACTTTGAATACGACGGCACTCTATGTACCTTATATCACATAGCTCCCCCACCATGCCGTTGGACGTGTCCCGAATAACCACAACCGAGCCAGTTGCGTCCGCGTGGACCAGCCGCCCTCGAGACCTGGATACACATACGACGTGGCTCGCCGCGGGTGGGGCAAAGGGGACCCTCGGAACCAATCTGTGATCTAGAGATAAGTGATTATCAGCAACGCAGATACCCGTCCCCCATCCGAGGGGAGAACGAGACTTAGACACCCCCTTTCACCCGATCGAGCCGTCTTGTCTCTAAGCTGTGAATATCATCCGTCTTATACTCTTAGTCATCAGGAGCCGGTTTCTGATTTCCCGCCGCCGCTGTATTAGCCGGGACCTCGGGCAAAATATTGGAAGGAGTTGGTTTTCACGGGACGGGACGATAGTGGCGTAGTTTGGAGTTCGCCGTCTTGGCCCGTGTGCGGATTGGGGCGGTCCCGGCTTTGGTTGTTCGTGTGGGCTATCTTAGTTGGTCTTGTGGCACATGCTGGGTACTTGAAACGTGGAATGAACTCAGGGAGAGACCGCCTCGGATTCAATTATAGCTTGAAATGGATAATGACAGCGCCAGTAAGTACATGTACAGGCTCCCTGGAGCTCTGGACGAGGGACATTGAACAAAAGCAGGGACCCGGGGGATGGTTACACCAGAGATAGTCACCCTTCGGCAATCGACCTATCTCGCTCCCTGTCGGTACTCTTTTCCCGTTTCGCCTTGAACGGGGTCACAATCGTTTGACTGGATGCAACGCTAGGGATCAATTTTCTCTACATTTCTTGGGGCCGAGGCAGGGGCTGGTGAGAACCGATAACAATGGAGAGGAAAACAAGCGCGTGGTATCTCATGTTTTGTAGAGCGCCCCAGCGAGTGACGACGCCCCGAAACCTGAAAAGGGGTATAAACTTCATCAAGATTCAATTTTTGGGCGGGCGGGGGGGGCGATCCTGGGATCGACGGTGAGATTCGGGGCCTTCGAAACTTCTGACGAGACACGGTTGGGGTATTGGGCCATCAGAGGCGGGACAGCATTCTGAGGACCGTGGCGATATGATTCTGGATGGACGACCGGTTCAGAAAGAGTTATTCTTAAATACTACCGCAAAGTCGTCCTGACGTGTCGCGTGGTGAGAGGCTGCCCACGACGCCGCGGCGTGTTTCCTGGGCGCGCACAAACGTCGGCTAGGAGGTAAAAATGGATGACCACAGTTTCCGTGCATCGGATGCGAATCTTTACGGTCCTGCAAATGTCGATGCCGGTAAGAAATTTAGTGGAGGGATGAGCCACTGAGAGCCCAACGACGCCAACGAGAACAGCAATGGTTGATATCATGCCCCTGCCGTGTTATCCGATCCCACATCAGAAGCCGTTCGGTAGATTCCCGGATTGGCGTCTGGAACAGCGGCTCCCTGTGCTGTCCGATCGAGATGTCGGGATCTGCAGGGGAAAACCGGGATGGTTGGTTGGAGGAGAGAACGCCTGTTGCGGCACGCGGGATGGCGCGCGTTCAGCTTGCTGCTCAGTCCACAAGAAGACTTGCACGGGCCAGGCTTGGTCGAGCCCGGCTGAAAATGAGAATCAAGTTTCTCAACGGCGTTTGTGCCTTCCCCATTGCCCACTCCAAGCCAAGGCAGTTGCGATATTGATGGTAATGGGAATGGGTTGGCTGCAGGCCTCGCGGGCTTGCAGCTGCGCTCAGTGGATCCCTAGGAAACGGTGACAAACAGGGGCTTTCCCGGACGGCCCAGCCCGTTGTGGACTAAAATTGGGAGCTGCGAAGAACACGATCGAGCTGCCATGACCGACCGTGCGTGTTGTGTTGACACAGCGGGTGATGAGAGGACGATAGGCGAACTGAATGAGACAGACACCAGAATGGCCTCACGCTGAAAAAGGGGGGTGTGTGACCTTGTGTTCAACAGGTTTCGGTCACAAGCTAGAAGTGGCCCGGTTGAAGGAAAGTGGGATGGGAAGAAGAGGCAGCAGCGCGGGGTGCCGTTGGAAGGAGCACACGGCCCCACCGTGCCACCCGTCAACGCTCCCGCAGCCCAGCCGGCAAAAGCAACGCAGGGGCCCAGGGGCCGCTGCTGAGATTAAAAAAAAGGATGAACCGACAAACGGCCTCCCTGGAACAAACAGCGCAGCGCACGAGAGCGGCGGGGCGATAATAATAATAATAACGACGGGCCTATAACCCCTGACTTGGCTATCTTCCCAGGTTGATAACGTCCGGGTCATGACAGCTTCCATTCAGGAGATCGGGTCCAAATCTTCTTCATCTTTGCGTGGCCCCTTTGCGCCTGTCAAAACCCGTCACGCGGGGGATTCTTAAGGGAAAGAGTCAACGTCATTCACATCACCTTCCACCTGATTTTGTCCCACTGCCAGCTTCCAAGATTTTCTTGCCAACACACCTCGCTTCAAGGTTGCCGAGTGCCGTTGGTGGCATCGGGCCAGATGCTGTTTGACTAAGGTCTAGCGCTGGGCTAGATCTTGATTTTCGTCCACCGATACCCACCACCTGCCCACCACCAGGAACACCCCGGCAGAGGCGGGTCCTGTCCCTTCGATTGGCCGCTGGCCATTTCCACGCGGACCCGGGTTCATTAAGGCGTCGATTTCGCTGATTTCGCCGATTTCATTGATCCCACTTGAAAGGGAGCGCTGGCTTCGTTGGGGCTTGTGTTTTTCTCGCCGTCTGAACTGTCCATGCCGTTGGAGAAACAGAAGCAGAAGCACCCGCGGCAGCAGCAGCAGAAGAAGCAACAGCGACAAGAGCTGGCTTCGTCTTATCGCGAGCTGCACTCCCCTGCAGCACCATGACGACGCGGGAGACCATCGCCGTCGATGGTGACCCGTCCGGCGATGGCAACAGCCACTCTGCAGCACCAGGTTCCCTTCTGGCGGACTCGGCGTCGCCTTCTTCGCGGCCCTCGCTTCCTTCTTCGCCCTTGCCGTTTGTAGCCCTTGCGGAGCAAACATTCACGCCGCTGTCCATGGACGCCAGCGACTTTCTCGACGCCCCTGAACACAAGCGAATGAACGGAACGACGTCGCCTGCCATGTCCGAGGGCCGCAGGTTATTGAGCACGTCCAGGAGCATGGAGCAGATGCGGCGCACCGGGAATCTCAGCCGTACCAGCAGTCGTAGCACGGGCCCGGCTGCGTCCGCTGCTGCAGGTCCGACCATCGTCAGCGCCATGGTGGAATCGTTCGAAGCCCTGCACGCTACCTCGTCTGTGGGATACGAGCTCGTCCGGACGAAAAGTGCTGGTCAGTCTCCAGCGGGGCTTATGTCACCTCCCTCCACGCTTTCGCCCTCCCCTGCCGGCTCAAGCCCACCTTCACCTGCTCTGCCGGCCGCCGGAAACAATACTGCGAGCCCATCGGGTCTAGACGCGGCGCTGGTGGCCGACGGGCTTGGCGCTGCAGACAATCAAAAACCACCACCGCCCGTTGCGGCCCAAGATGCAAACAACACTCCCACTGTGCCGCAAACCGCCGCAGCAAATTCGAATCCTGATCCCTTAGCATCAATTTCAAACGCCACCGTTGCCGTTGTCCAGGCACACGATGCCCATGCCCCGAGTTTGCCTTCGTCGTCCGCTCCTATCCCCTCGACCTCTACCGTTGTCGCCGAGACCAATCTAATCCGGCCGACCCCAACCGCCAACCAACCACAGCGAAGCCGCGCTCTTTCCAGTCTCAGCGGAACGTCGGTTGTCCGAAATTCATCCAGCGCGAGTCTCTCCCTCAGCCACCCGGCCCCCGATCCCAACAGGCTTTCGCAGGCCGGGAACTTCCTGGGAAACATTGCCGCCCTCGAAGCCAGCGCGGAGAGGCTGTCGATGACTAGCAGCATCGAAGACGCCATCCGTGAAGAACATAACGAGCTCAAACGGTCCGAAAGCAGACGGTCCTCGATCCTACGTGCACGCGCTGCCTCGACGTCGGACGCCGGGTCCGTGTACGGTCAACCTCAGTTATTCATTGCTAGCCGACACAACTCGATCCTGGGCACGAACAACGCGGCTCGTTCTGGAGGATACTCACCTGGTGGTTTTATTATGAGCCCACACCATTCTATGTCAGGAACTTCAGGCCGTCTTCGCTCGGGTAGTAAGGCTAGTTCGATCGGCATGCCGTCCCATCTCCCCGGGACCTCGGAAATCGCCACCGCGCCGGCGGACTTGGAGCACACACAGGAATTTCGTTTCCTCCCGCGGCACGGTCCCGGTAAGGCCTCGACCAGGAGTGTTGCTAGCCGCCTATCGCTTGCCCAGATTGCCGAGCTCGAGCCCCCCACGTCCCTGACCAAGGATGCTCTAGATGCGGCTGATCGTGCCGCTGCGGCCGGCGAAGACGATGATGCCGAGGAGGATAAGATCCGCAACAAGGCTCATCAATTCATAGAAGATGAGTTTGCCAATGAAGCAAATAACCCTCTGACGGATTACGACTTCGCCGGCGGTGAACCGGCCCCTCGTCTCCAACTGCACCAAGCAGACCAGTACCAGCACTATGGCGCGCCGCGTCCGGGCGACGACCGACCGACAACATCCGGCTCCGGCATGACGTACGAGCAGGCTCAAGCCGCGTTTGGAGATTTCGACGGCGTGCACTGCGACCCTGACACCGGCGACCTGATCTTTGGCCCCGGGCCGGATCGCAAGGAGCCTGCACCGCGACCTCGTGCTGGTACCGCCCCCCGTCCGACGACTTACATTGACCCTGCCACCGGGCAACAGATGCTTTACTACCCGGCCCCGGTCCCCGCGATGCTCAACCTCCCACCTAAGCTGTCGAAGAAACCGAAGGCCTCGCCCCGGGAAACTCGCCGCTCGCAGGTTGTAAGCGGCGCCCCTAAGTCAGCTCGAGAATCCAGGTTCCTACTCCCCGACCCCACCAGAGGGCTGCGTAGGAGCGACGAAAACGCCCCCTTCATGGGGGATCTTCTCGGGGAGCATACCAATGATACAGACTTGACACCCCAGCCATCTGGAACGGCCCCCCCAGCGTTAGATTACTTGGCGCATGACAGGCATCCGTCCGAGGCGAGCACTGTCCACCCACCGGCAGAGCAACGCGAGATCCGTCGGCCGCAGCGTTTGGCGGATGCTGATAACCGCAAATCCCGCCCCGCTAACACCGACGGGTTACCGCCACAGCTGCGTGCAAGCGCCTTCTTCGACTTGCCATCTCAGCCCGTGAATGTCGAAGTTAAGGACGGATCCGCGATGAGCACCCTGGACCACCTCCTCGACGCATCGGCCGCGGCTCCTGTTAGCGCCTTTACCGATCATGTCTTCGCGGGGAAGCTTGGGGCGGAAGTCTATGGCCCGACAAAGAAGAAGAAGAAGGTGAAGAAGAGCCCGGCCACGCCAACGCCGCCCGCTGTACCCGACGCGAAGGTCAAGCGGAAAACGCTTGTTAAGAGAAATTCGAGCAGTAATATCCTGGATGGTCTTGACGACAAGCCGAAACGCAAAACACTGGTGAAGAGAAATTCCAGTGGCAACTTACTCGACCCTAGCGTGGAGAAGAAGCGGGCTACACGTTTCTCGCTCTTTGGTCCCAAGCCCGTGGAGCAGGCACCGGAACAGGAGGATGAAGCTAGGGACAACCGGCACAGCCTCGACAATGATTCCCAATCGGAGAGGAGCCTGTCACCGAACCCGTTAGCCCCAGAGGAGGGCGACTCAACGGACACGGAGAGCGAGGAGGAAGAGGACGAGGATGAGCCGGTGTATCAAGGCCCACCGACGACACTACTGGCGGAACTGCAGCTCCGTAAACAACAAAACCTTCAGCGCACTCGCCCGACGGTGCGCCCGGATGGAATGCGCAGCACGCTCTTGGAACTGGATGCAGTCGCCGAAGTGGAACGAAAAGCCAGGCACGGGAAGCGCGTGACACTCGCATGGGAGGATCCGGCCGCTGTTCCTCGGGATGAAGATGAGGACGACGATGAGGTTCCACTGGGCATGCTGTTTGCTGCCAAGGCGGCCGGCCCCGCTGGTGGGAATCGGGCAACCATGGACATCAGCACTCTCATGAGCGAGATGCACCGGCCTCTCGGCCTGATGGAGCGTCGCGAGATCGAGGAGAACGAGCCACTCAGCCGTCGCCGCGAAAGGCTGCAGGGCAGAGTCAACGAACAGCTACCGACGTCCCTAAGCGCGCTACAGAAGCGGATGAGCCACATGCCTGGAACGCCGGGCATGCAGATGAGGTCACAGTCCCGCCTCACCCTTCCTCATACTCAGGGCGGGGCTTCTCGTTCAGGCTCCTTGCTAGGCTCGGATGCCGGTAACCTTGCAGAAGGCGACGACCCGGAGGTGGAAGGGGAGACACTGGCCGCCCGAAAAGCCCGTCTTGCTTCTGAGAACCCACTGCCTCGCGCTCGTCCCGTGAGCAGCTCGTTCTCGGCTGAACTCCTTCGTGAATTTGGCCCTGATGAGGAGGAAGCAGCAAAGAAGCCGCTCGCGAACGTTGCCCACAATCGCACTACCTCCCGCGATACCACTACGGGGCCTCCCGACAACGGCGACGCTGTCCCGGAGGAAGAGGAAACCCTCGGCCAGCGACGCCGGCGTCTACAGCGTGAAAGGGAAGCGCGTGAGCGCGAGATGGCATTCAGCGCCCTCAACGGAACCGCCGCACCTCCTGCTGGGGGCAATGCTGAACCCGCCGCCCTCGCCATTCGTCCGGGCCCGGTGGGTATGGCCGGTCTCCTCGGTTCCCGCTCTGCTGGTCAGATGGTGGCCGATCCTCGTGAAATAGAACGACTCCGACGCGAGACCGAGCTAGCGCGCCATCACCACGAGAACAACATCAAGATGGCTGCGCTGCGGGCGCAGATGCCGACTAACCTCACCTCGCCTGCTGTCGGCGCTCGGGCGGGCGGGTACATGAACGGGCGGTTTAACGATGGTGGGGGCGGCACTGGCGCTCCTTCTGGCCTTGCGTACGGTGGTGCCGGGACGCTGCTGGGCATGCAGGCGCAGCAACAGCAAGCGCAGAGGGCTAGTACGGTACTTGGGGCGCAGGGGATGATGGGTGGTGTTTACGGTGGATCAACGCCTAACCTCGGAATGTATCCCAACGGGATGGCGGGTATTGGGGGGATGGTGCCACCTGGGTCGGCGGGCGGGTATGGCATGCCGATGGTGGGCGCTGGTGGTGCGGGCGTGGGTGTCGCTGGGCAGGGGCACATGGATATGGTAGAGCGATGGCGACAGGGGGTGATGCCGTAAACAGCGTCCTGTGTCGCATGGATAGCGGATCGGGTTGGGGGGCCGATGGAAAGCCTGATTGTAATATTGAACTGCAACTTGGGAGGTATAAACGGGGTATTGCTGTGATGTTTGGGCGTAAGAGAACGGCCTCATCGTCCGACCTAGCTCGACCGCTTGGTCTAGACAACTTTGGGTAACAAGGAGCATAGCATAGCGTTGCGGTGACTCTTTTTTTTTCGTCCCTTGCCGCTCGCTTGCGGTCCTTCGTTTTTGGTAGAGCTAGTTAGACTTTTTTCTCCTTGTTTGTGATAGACGGAAGTACTTGTTTAATTATAGTTTTGATCTTGCATTCTTTTACGTGTTTGTCGCTTTCTACAATGTCGATGGAATGATAGGCATGAGCAGGGGGTTAGGGTTGCATGGGGGTCCGACACTGCGCTTTCCGGACCCACTTCGTCCCAAACAGGGCAGGGCCTCACATGCTCTTTGGCCTGCTGACCTTGACTCGAACATCATCCGTTCTTCGACTCTTCTTCATCATCTGCGAAACACCACATTTACCACCAATTTTTTCTCAGTATCCCAGGGATCTGGGATTCATTTTTATTCCTCATAGACAATGACTTTACAATTACCCGGTTTAACCATTCTTTTACACTTTTGACTCTTTCTTTTGAAGAGTCCAGGAATCGCAGGGACGCAGACGATGAATCGCTCACCATCATCATCGGGGTTGCTCCCGCTCCCGGGGACGCCAGCCTCGTCGTGGGCCGTGTATCGCGCGCGGTTGGGCGGGTTGGTGAAGGATGCGGGGGTTCGGGTGGTTGTTGCGTTTTGGCTGTTTGGTGAGTTGGTCTTTTGTCTTTTCTCATTAGTCACTTCATTTCGCTCTGTTTCGTCATTCCTGCTATTCATTTCTTTACCCATACCAACCCACCCTAACCCCCATCTACGACGTGGTGTACACAGTAAGGAAGCATACACTAACCCCCACCAGGCCTAATAAACAACATCCTCTACGTCCTCCTCCTCTCCGCCGCCCAAGACCTCGTCGGCCCCTCAGTCCCCAAATCCGCCGTACTCCTCGCCGATGTCCTCCCGTCGTTCTTCACCAAACTGGTTGCGCCGTATTTCATCCACCGTGTGCCGTACTCGTTGAGGATTCTTGTGTTTGTTGCGTTGTCGTGTGCCGGGATGTTGGTTGTTGCTGCTGCTGCTTCGGGGGGTACCGCTGATCAGGGCGATGCCGGTAGTGGTGGCGATGGGAGAGGTGGAGGGACATCGGTGGCGGTCAAGTTGTTTGGGATTGTATTGGCGAGTTTGTCGAGTGGTGGCGGGGAGTTGAGTTTCTTGGGGCTGACGCATTATTATGGGCATGCGAGTCTGGCTGCGTGGGGGAGTGGGACGGGCGGGGCCGGGTTGATTGGGGCTGGGTTGTATGTGGTGTTGACGGTGTGGGTTGGGTTGAGTGTGAGGGGGAGTTTGTTGGTGGGTGCTGTGTTACCCGGGGTCATGGTGATTACGTTTTGGGTGGTGTTGCCCCGGGCGCCGTTGGAGAAGGGGTGGAAGGGGGAGTATGAGCCGCTTGGGGAGGAGGAAGGGGAAGGTGTGGTTGGGCGGTATCCGGGTAATGACCACCACGGCAGGGATGATGACGCAGACCGATATCATGAGCAAGACGACTTCAACGACCTCCCCGCTGGCGCAGCATCCGTCAGCCTCCTGGCCCCCGGCCCATCCGTCGCTTCTACAGCCTATTCCCACAACACCTCTACTACAACCCACTCTCCCCACCAACCATCCCACCACCCTACCGCGACAACCTTCCTCACCAACCTCCGCCGCGCCCGCGCCCTCTTCCTCCCTTACATGCTCCCCCTCCTCCTGGTCTACGTAGCCGAATACACCATCAACCAAGGCGTGGCGCCCACCCTCCTCTTCCCCCTCCCAGAATCCCCCTTCTCCGAATTCCGCGCCTTCTACCCCTTCTACGGCTTCCTCTACCAACTCGGCGTCTTCATCTCCCGCTCCTCCACGCCCTTCTACCGAATCCACCACCTCTATTTGCCTTCACTCCTCCAAATCGGCATCTTGGTCCTCCTCACACTCCACGCGCTCTGGGGGTTCATACCATCGGTGTACGTGGTGTTTGGGATTATATTCTGGGAGGGTCTGCTCGGCGGCGCGGTGTATGTGAATACCTTTGCGGAGATCATGGAGAACGTGCCTGCGGAGGATCGGGAGTTTAGTTTGGGCGCGACGTCGGTCAGTGATAGTGGGGGGATTTGTATTGCTGGGTTTGTGGGGTTGGTATTGGAGGTGTGGCTGTGTCAGTGGCAGGTTGAGCATGGGAGGGATTATTGTCGGAGGATTGAGACGAGTTGAGGTTTGATGATTACGTGCAATATGGCAGGAAGAGGTTGGTTATGTGGGCGGTAATGATGGAGTTGGAGAAGAATGTGAGGCATGAATGAATCCTCGTTTATGTTCATGTGATTTTGGATCATCGGCCGATAAGTTCTCGTTCCAGTAATCCGCTGTGCGAGTTAGCCGATGTAAGTCTTCATTACAGCGGCGGCATCACGGGACCAACCAAAATCCGTGCACAGCCAGTGCAGTGTGCCATTTCCAGCTCCATTTCCGGCTCCCTGGTTACAGTTCCCGGCCTCCTGGGCTGCATGTTCCTCGGCTCCGCTCGGGCTCAAGGCCGACGACGCAGACTGGAAACGTACGAATAGGCTTTAGGCTTTTAGGGTATGTGCCTGTGGGGCCTACTAGGTGGGTATATACTAGTCCCGACGATAGGCATATTGCAAGATCTTATGGTTGGTTGCAGCGGGGGAGATCGCGGGACAGTTGCTGTCCGGCAATCTTGGATGCTGTGCAGTGCAACTGGGGCGAGCAGGTGATGACCATAATGCACCATAGTCGTCTTACGGTCAGGAGGCAGCGAGCCACCTCTCGTCTAGACTCGAGTGGAGCAAAACGCATTAAGCCGGCCCGACCCTGTACTTTCCCCGGATAACATGAGATTTCTACGGAGCAAGCTCCGTTCCAAAAGAGGCTGTTGTTTTTGAGCCTCTCTTAGGCGCACTGGTCGTGAGCTTGAGCCTTGATGGATGCGACGTTGCCCGCGCATTAAATGTGATGCGTGCCAAAAGAACCAAGATGCGCCGCCTGATGAATAGACTTTGATTATAGCATCAAGAGAGGACATGATGCTGACATGACTTGAGCCTCGCTGGCGCGGAGGGACCGCGAAGATGGCCTGCCAGGATACGAGGACGAAGTTTCAGAGGCACTCGGTAGGGCTTGTTGGCCAAACCCCTGCCATGAGAATGCGGGACGAGGCGCTGAACCGTGACGGCGGATTAATTAACGCCCGTTCAAAACTCCGATTGGAGCGGTTCAGGAACCAGAAGAGCAGAACCTCACGGTGAGCATTATGTAACCCTCGGATGGTGACATCGCCTTGCAAATACATCACTAGCCTTGCTTCGGCTCCGCGTTGCCCTGGAGCTTTTCCCAGTGCAGTCCGGCGATCTAGCTGGCATTACTGCATCCGGAAGTGTTGGGGCTTCCAAGAATAGCGAATTTTTGTGACCGGGTATTTGGAACCTCATGACGGTTCGGGGGTGGCCAATAATTTCATTGCCGGCCAAACGGGAGTACACTCTCCGTCTTGGTATCTCGCGACAGGCATCTCAACCACCAATTCATGCTCCATGGAGACGAAAAGGGCAACAGCAACACTCGCCAAGGTACTCTAGATCGAGGCCTAGGCGCTTGGCTCAGACGCTCGAGGGATTCTCGGTAGCGCTGCCGGGCCTTGCCTTGAACGCCTTCAGTTGTCCGTGCTTATACGAATCTGTGTATGTCCCGTTCGCACGCAGTGATAAAAGGCGCCGGGTAGTCTTTGTATGTTCCGGCTCTGTGCAAGTATCATCAGTTTCGTATCTTGAAGACATGGCCCCCGTTCTCTCTCTTGTCCTGGCCCTCCTAGGCGCCGCCCAACTGGCCGAGTCCGCCTCGGCCGGCTGCGGCAAAGCGCCCCCGTCGTCCGGCACCAAGTCCATGACGGTCAACGGTAAGCAGCGGCAGTACATCCTCCAGCTGCCCAACAACTACGACTCAAACAAGGCCCACAGGGTCGTGATTGGATACCACTGGCGGGACGGGTCTATGAACGACGTGGCCAACGGCGGTTTCTACGACCTGCGGTCTCTGGCTGGCGACAGCACCATCTTTGTCGCCCCCAATGGCCTGGATAAAGGGTGGGCCAACAACGGCGGCGAAGATATCACCTTTACCGACCAGATTGTGGCTCTGCTGAAAACCGATCTTTGTGTGGATGAGGGTCAATTCTTTGCGACGGGCTGGAGCTACGGCGGTTCTATGAGCCACAGTGTAGCCTGCTCTCGGCCGAGTAAGCTCCTCCTTCCCCAACACCCTATAGGTTATCACCATCTGACAATAAATGCGTCTCTATAACAGATGTCTTCAAAGCAGTGTCAGTCATTGCCGGAGCCCAGCTCTCGGGTTGCTCGGGCGGTACCACCCCCGTCGCATACCTCGGTATCCATGGCGCGGCTGACAACGTCCTGCCTATCAATCTCGGCCGTCAGCTGCGCGACAAGTGGTTGCAGACCAATGGGTGCGCCTCCAAGAGCGCGCCGGAGCCCTCGTCGGGCCAGCAAAGCCACATCAAAACCACGTACAGCTGCTCCCTGGCACCAGTCACTTGGATCGCGCACGGCGGGGGCCACGTTCCCGATCCCTCGGGCACGAACGGCGTCAAGTTTGCGCCCGGCGAGACGTGGTCCTTCTTTAACGCGGCTGTTTCCGGTGGCGACGGTGGCCCTAGTACTTCGGCCCCGGCATCAACTACCGCTACGACGAGCCCGGGGACGCAGCCGACTACCGATCCGACAAACTGCTCGCCTAAGTATGGCCAGTGCGCCGGGAACGGGTGGACTGGTCCTACGTGCTGCCAGAGCGGTAGCACTTGTCGTTATTCCAATGATTGGTACTCGCAGTGTCTCTAGGCACTGTAAGGGCTGGAAGCGCTAGGGGTACGTTGCCTTGCTTCATGTACATAATTAGCAGTTGAGGCCATTGTCTGGCAGATGTGATAGACATTTGCAGGCTACTCGAGTATATTTCTAGGTTCCTAGCATTGCATCCTTCACCTCCTCATCTAGCGGTGACATACAAGATCAGTTAATTGAGTAGAAGATTCGGAGACGGGAATATGCTAGTGCTACCGAGGATCTCTTCATAATCTCTTGTGACACTTTTAATATAATTCCAACTCGACGTTAGCCCGGATTAGTTGTAAGAGGGAAACAGTGCAAAAGCTCACCAACTAGCCCCCTGCCATGCAGGGGTAGATAGCTACGAAAACCACCGAGGGCTTTTTTACTCCGGGCCGGGATAGAGGCGATTTGTATGTGAGAAAGATGGTATCAGATGGATCGAACGAGATGGGAGAGATTGTAAGTGAATATACGACAACCATGCTATCCAACTTCTCTCTCCGTAAGCGACAGGAAAGCCCTCGCCTTCGCCAAACTGACAGTGACTACCAGACGGCGCCTACGTCGTCGGCGGGTTACCCAAAGCCAGATCCGTTTCCTAAACCAGTATATTCTCCCAAGTCGGCAACCTCCCATAAGCCTTTGCCTACCTCAATACCAATACCGGCTCACGATCCGGCACGTGTAAAGTCCAAACCTATTAGCTCCCGATCTAGTCTCCTAATACCAACTACATCGATGGTCACCAAAGTGACCGTTACTCTAATGAGCAGTCGGCTAGTCTACCCACTATACAGGTATATAGGCCATATTGATAGTCTGAGGTGGTCGCACTGGCGGATGCGCCCCGCTATGAGGCCCTGTAGTACATTTGGGGAGCTCCCACGGTGCAGGAAAGGGTCCAGCTAGGCGGCGAGCTGGTTGACGCCACAGATAACCTAGTGGTTGCCCTGCAGCATCTCCGGCGACCCAGCGATGTACGTGTCCTCTTTCCGCTTGCTACACAGCCGCAGCCCGGGCGATCCTAGAGTCTGGCAATCTTGACCTACTCGACTTCTCTAGCCCGCCATATCTAGTTGGTCGCAACCGGAACCCGCAACTGCCTGACTAGGTGCCTGACTGGAACTGCTATAACGCCGTCGCACCCTCAAGAGAGGCCCAGCAGGCGGCTCCCTCGCCTTTTCACCCTTTTAACGCATGGAGGAGACGTCGAGGAACCTGATTTCGATTTCTACTGCCTTGGTAACCTCATCTACTTCGAGTGGTCAAACTCGCAATATGCATCACAGTCCCGTTTTAGCTGGCTCTTGAACACGGCGATGTATTACAAACTTGCCCTCGCCCACATCATGAACGACGATGCCACCTATTTCATCCAGAATTTGGTCAGCATGAACTTCGGCTTGCGTCTGACCATGACACGCTACCAGTGCCTTTGCCTCACTCCGTCCACGTGCTGTGTGGGTGACCGAATTGCGCTCTTACGTGGCGGGAAATGGCCATATGCCATTCGGCCGGGTGAAGAGGGTCGATGGAGAGTGGTCGGGCCGTGTTATATGGATTGCGACGATGTGGAAGCCGTGCGTTTATGCTGGATGGACGAAGGAACTGAGGAATTGGTCTTTGAGTAGTTGAATCCGTGTAGGAACGGCTTTTTGTCACTGCAGGTCGGGAAATACAGTTAGGAATGACTTGATATGGTGCTGTTCCTACCGAGGTTGACATAACAGAATGGCGTAGGTGAAGGATGCGATGATTTTGATATATCATAATTAGGGTTTAAAGTAATTTGATGAGATTCTTTTGTTGTGTTATTACATTTTTGACTAAGAAGAAAACCTGCTTTCCCAAACCGTCAAGTGATGTATGTTCACGACGGGACGAAGAGCACCGCATCGTAATAATCACGTAATTACCTAACTACCGTAGTTTCATGATTCAGACTCTTTTTATTCATAATCACACGTTTTGAACCACCACCTTGCGCCGAAGCTCAGCACCATCACCGGTTTCGACATCACTCGCGATGCACGCCACCCTGAAAACATTGGGATAAGAGTTTGGAGAGATGATGATTTCATTCGCCAGGTTTACCTGGAGCTCCTGAAACATCCCTAGTCGAACGACCCCGCGCTACATACACATGTAGTTGACGCTGCATTTGAATCATTCACTAGTCCCTCAACTTTGACAGAAACAGTCTAGCATGGTGTCGCTGTTCATCAGCCCTGCAAGCGAAGACTTGGGTTTGGCCCAATCGGACCAGAGCCTTTGGCATCAAAAAACTAAAGCAGGGGGCCTACATTAGCCGGACATCCACTACCACCCTCGCTTCCCGATTCCAGCGGGAGGGGGCCATGGAAGAAGCAATGATTTTCGAGCGTCAAGCTGACCGCTTGGCTGGCCGCATGTGTGTCTCCTGTTGACTTGATGGAGAATCGGCACGCCCCCTCCAATGCCGACCGTTGAAAAGATGGGTACACAATTAAGAGGTAGTTAAGGTCAAGTGGGGGAGGTTGGATCATAAATCAGGTTAACTTGTTACCTGTGATAAACAGTTTCTCACTCCTCATAATTACTTCTTGGACTCATTCACCGTCCAACTGACCCTCCCAACCAAATCCACCATGGGGTCACCGTGGTATGTTACTTTCGCGTGGATCGCGGTTCTCGTCTTCGTCCTCAAATTGAAGGATGTCGGCCGAAGACCCAAAGGCTACCCCCCCGGGCCGCCTACCCTTCCCATCCTCGGCAATCTCCATCAGATGCCCTCCAAAAACGGTCACGTACAATTCAAGAAATGGGCGGAGGAATACGGGCCGGTTTACTCCCTCATTATCGGCACCCAGGTCATGATTGTGCTGTCTTCCGATACGGCGATCAAGGACTTGCTTGATAAGAGAAGTGGGATTTACTCGTCGAGACCGGATATGTACATCAGCAGTACGCTGGCAAGCGGGGGGATGCGCATGCTTCTCATGGTAATTAGATTTCCACCATTCCCCAATTCACTCTTTTAACAAACATATGCCGATGCCAATGACCTAAACAAAAAAAAAAAACAGGAGTACGGAGAAACCTGGCGTCGCATCCGCAAACTCTTCCACAGCCTACTGCGCGTGGGAGCATCCAAGTCATACGTGCCCTACCAAGACCTAGAAAGCACCTCAATGATGGTGGCCATCTTGGACGAACCGAACCTTGTATTCGACCACATCCGCCGGTACACCAACTCCCTAAGCACCCAAATCATCTATGGATTCCGGACAGCCAGGATCGACGACCCAAGACTTCTCCAGTTGTATAAGAGCATTGAGGACTGGGCTCTTGTTACTGGAGCGGCGGCCGCGGCACTGCTCGATGCGTATCCTATACTGCGGTCGCTGCCGACTTTTATTAGGCCGTTGTATCATCATGCGTTGTCGTTGGGGGAGTTTACTTTGTCCTTGAACATGGGGCTGTGGCAGGAGGCGAAGAAGAAGGTGGAACGGGGGACTGCTAAGGTATGACCATTTGTTTTGTTGGATACAGTCCAAGAGTCTAACTGAGAAAAAAAAAAACACAACAGCCATGTTTTTGCGTCGGTCTAGTCCAAGCTCAAGATGTCGAGGGATGGACAGACAAACTCTGCGCCATGATAGGCGGTACAGCGCTAGAAGCCAGTTCAGATACGACAGCTTCGACTCTCGTCGGCTTGATCCAAGCTCTAGTTCTGTACCCCGAAGCTCAGAAGAAGGCCCAAGAAGCAATCGACAAAGTCTGCGGCAACAGATTTCCCACCGCCAAAGACATGGAGAACCCGGACGCGCAGTATATCCGGGCTTGTGTCAAGGAAAACCTGCGGTGGATGCCGACTGCCATTCTGGGTGTGCCACACAGTGTCATTCGGGATGATGAGTACATGGGGTATCACATTCCCAAGGGGGCCAGCGTGGTTTATAATGTTTGGTACGTGAATAAACCTTTCCGCTTTATTTTCTCTTTTTTATTGTTCTTGACACAGATCTGACGAATAACAGGACCGTCCACATGGACGAAAAGAGACATCCCAACCCTCGTGTCTTCGACCCGTCTCGTTATATCGACGACTTCAAGAACTCCACCGAGTCAACCCAGAGTCCCGACGTATCCAAGCGTGATCACTTCAGCTTTGGGGTCGGGAGACGTGTCTGCGAAGGGATGCACGTAGTCGACCGGTCCATGTTTCTTGTCATTGCCCGTCTGATGTGGGCATTCGACATCCGACCCGCGACGGACGCCGATGGAAAGGAGGTACTGCCCGATCAGGATGACTTGGTGGGTGGCTTTCTTGTGCAGCCGAGACCGTTCCCAGTTGTGATCAAGCCGAGGAGTGGAGTTCGCGCGGCCAAGGTGCGTGAGGCGTGGGCAGAGTGTCGGGCGCTTCTTGATGAGGAGCAGCAGTGGAAGGAAGTTCCTAAGGGGATGCCGTTTATAACGTACGAGGTTGATGGAAAGAGTGATTTGGTTTGAGCAACGACAGGTCACTGTACTGGCGGAGGGGGCTGCGGAACAAGATCTTGATAAAAAGCAGGGAATAATTTAGTAAAAGACCAAGAATGGGTCACGTTAGGTATCAATGCCCTGTTCTTTAACTGAAGTGACCACTCCTGTCTCGTTTACCCTTTTTGTGCCCCTGAAATCTCCGACACTCCACTGGACCCCATTCTAATCTTCCAACTGGATCAAATTCCCACTTCGTCGCAATAACATTCACATCACTCTTAACAGAATTTAAACGACAGTCTGATCGTCTCAGAGTCTGGTGGTTTACCATCCACTTCGTCTTACCCATCAGAGTTGTGACTTGATGGGCCACTGGTTCTTCATCACTGACGATGCTTCAAAGGTGAGGAGCTCTTCAACTCCCCCTTCTTCCCCAGTGAGGACAATATGTTAGCGGACTGAGCACTTAGTGCAATGATGTTACCCGTCATCCTTGTGAGGGATTGGGGCCGGGGGGGCATAGGCGAACAACAGGACACCGGTCTCTTTTAACCCAGTACCGCATCGGATTGACCGCCTGATCGACGGTGCTCTGATGTCATCACGCTGGACGCAAGGAGGTCAGTTCGTTGGATTCTAGGCTTGTTGTGGAGGAATGCGGGTGACTTCGGAATTAGAAAGGGGAGGTGCTTTGATAGTGGCTGAATTAAAATCATGCATGAGCTCCTAATTAACAAGTTTTTGTTGCATGATTATGTGCTGCTCCTTGTGATGCCTTGAAGTCTGCGGAAATGTTAACGCTCTGGTCGCTGAGGGAAAGCTGAATTGATGTCAAGTGACCTACCTCACTTTTACTGAATCAGTCGTCACTCGAAAGTGTCAAACTCGTCACATTTCTGAGTCGAACCCTGGGCCAAGGGGTGCGATGTTGACAGATGCCACGTAATTAAGGAATTGCACGTTGTCATTATTGATAACCTGAGTTTCGCTGATAGACTCCGTTGCAACTGGAACTCAACGCTGTGAGATATATCCTACCAGGGGCTTAATTATAATAACAAAAGGTTTTCCTTGCCTCTGATTATCTTCGGCCCGCTTTGATAATCCTTCACCACCAAGGCTCAGTTCTGGGCGTGTTAATTATTTGGCCCAGCTGTATCCGTAAAGTTTCGAATGTAGATACTCGCATGTGGAAACACCCCGTCGGGTCCTACGAGGTCTGCGGAGATGCCCGGAGCGTAATGCTCGCTTAGCATCGATATGAAACCAGGCGTTACGGGATCGGGGCTGCGTAAAGGAGAGCGTTTAGCACCTGCCGGTCACGGGGGGGGGTGAGGAGCCGGGACACCATACTAATATTGTTGGGAATTGATCCACTCCCGTATGTCCACGTCCCGTTGCGGCCATGTAGCAGTGTTGCAAAGAAAAACAGCAGGCATCGCTATATCGGAAACAATCTCGCGCACTGGTAGGAGTGGATCGAGGGAAATCACCAGCGTCGTGTCGTCGATCTCTAGGAACCCCCAAGGGTCCGGGACCACGGTGATCCCTACGGCGGCCAGGAACCGTTCGTCGGACTCGGAGTATAATGGGTTTTGCACGAAGCAATTCATCCGTCCCTGGGAGTCGTTCTGGCGTGCTTGATCTCCTTGTGCGTTATTGTCGTTTGCGCTAGTAGCTGAGTTGGCGGCATTGTCGTTACTATTGCTGCTGGGGGTGGCCTCTTGAGGGCTGATAGGTCCATCGACGATGGGTTGACTATACAACCGCTCGCGCCACAGTCTGATAACTGTAGGCAGACCTGGAGTGTTTGTGGGGTCCTCGGTACTATCGGGGCTTGGACTGCGGCTGTTCGCAGGTAAATCACCTTCGGAGCCGCCACCATGAGGGCCCGGGGGCCCTCTTTTGATTTGGTCGTACAATGGCGGCGGGAGTTCTTGGTCCTTCTTGTAGCCATGGCCACATCGTAGGAGAACGTCCCGGATCGCAATGATTAGAGCATGTACTTTAGTCGGGCGTACGAACATTTCATGCGTCGGCTGGCGCATAATGGGAGGCAGGCCGATGGCAACGATCTTGGTAATCTTGGGCATCCGTCGGCCCCTGAAAAGGGATTGGAGGTGTTTGCAGGCTCGCGTCCGTTGCCATGCACTAACTTCGTTCTTAAAGGTCTCCTTTGCGGTTGCTTCTTGGGCGGCCGATGGCCCCAGCCATAACTCTAAAATCGGCTGTATCGAGTACGCCACGCGGATGGGGCACATCGCAATGCGCGGAGAGTTCTGTATGTTCCCTGGTCGCATCAGGGTGGCGATACCGCAGTACTGGAGGTGTGGTTCTCCGCTGTTGCTTCCTGTCAGCGATAATCACAGATGACAAGCAATGCCTCGGAATGTCTCATTATTTACACTCGTGACTGACCCCCCGTCACGGCACCGGTCTCCAGCTCCCAACGGACCATGTCCCTACGTAAGTCGGGGATGTGGACTACCGGCCCACCCCCAGGCGCTTGCGGATTCAACGGAAAGCGAAGGATGCATTCCAGCTGCCGCGCGATATTCTGCAACATATCTCGTGAAAATATCGGCAATCCCGAGTAGACATGGTATAGGAGTTTGGAGAGATCGCACGAACATGCCTCCGGGGTTGGCGGCAGCCTTTGCTCCTCGCGCGGCAGGGGTATCATGAAGCGATAAGGGGGTTCTTCTTTAGGGTCATCGGTTGGGGCCATGTTGGACGTAATGGGAAGGGGTAGGTTTGACAACAAGAGACGGCCATTCGGGGGCTGAGAACCGTGAATAGGTGAATAGGGCGGTGATTCTTCTGTGCTGGTAACGGTGAAGAGAATACAAAAATAACAATGTATTGATTGGGATAATTAATGAACCTGTGAGCAAGATGCCAGGGTTAGATCGCAGAGAAATATAAGATAGCACCGAATAGCCCACGAGTCCTGTGGGGTTAAAGGCATGTTGAGAAGGAACCCTCGGCGAACCTTGTGTCTCGTCGAGATGGTAAGTTGTGGTATAGTTTGGGAAGTCGCAGGGCAAATCTAGGCCGGTGAAAGAACGGCATGTGATAATTAATTGATGACCCCAATTTAGCGGGCTTAAGATCTGTAAACAAAGAAAGGTGCGATGGTATAACGAGGGCAATAACCTATGGGCCCATACGCATGCTACCTTCCTTGCTAATAGGTACTTCTCAATACCTACAACGTAAAGTCTCCAGGACATGCTGAAAGCGTGGCCGCCTTTCAACTTGGTCTGAGGGATCAAGACTCGCTCGCGAGGCCAGGCTCCCCGACCTATTTCCCTGGCCACTCTCTGTTCTGCCCCGGAGCGAGAGCTGCCCTCTTAGAAACTCCTGAGCACGCTCGAGCTGGGCAACCCAAAACCCTCTTCCGGCCATTACGGTGTCCTTCACATGGCTGTCTGGAGTACAACCAGAGTGTCCAGCATAAAGCTTTCCACTGCAGAGCAATACCGTTGGGGAGAGAGCCGTCGTCTCGCTGTCCCACTCCTGAGCTCCGGCTGTACATTCCTTGATTAATTGTTGGAGAGAAGGCGGAGTATGCTTGAATTCCGGAAAGCCCTTGACTCTCTCAGTTCTCTCCGCATCATAGTGCAAACTGGGGTCACGTAGGAGCTCATGGTCGAGGCCACATCGGACCCGCGGCTGTCCCTCAAAGATGCACCACAACAACTTGCCGAGCATGAAAACCTGGGCCTGTTCCAAACGGCGGGATCGAGATCCTGGAAGCTTCCGCTCCTTCAACAGAGCCCGCCACGGTGAGCTGAACCCACCTTGTGCGTTGCTGTATCGTTGGTTGTTCGGCGCGGGTAGCCATTCGGGGTCGTCGTAATACTCCTTGAGCTGCTCGGTAATCCTGTTCTTGAGCTCGCCGTCAGGTAAACCAGAGTCACTGACGAGAACCTCGAGATATTCCAGATACGTCACCTCGGGCGGACTCCATGAGAACCATCCCCCTCGCTGCTCCAGGTCGATGAGCACCGCATCCAACATCCCGCTGTGGCCGTCCCTCTTCAAGACAAGATTGTCGGGCTTGAGGTCGGAGTAGAAGCCTGCGTGTTCCAGGCTGTTGACGTGAATTAAGGCCTCGGTGATCTGCGTTGCCCATCGCAACTTCTGAGGCACTGACACCCTTTCGTGGTAATCATCCCGGAGAAGCATCCCCCTCAGAGATCCAAGCGGAAACCACTCCAGAAGCAATCCGCACACGCCCCTCTTGGCTCCAAACCGCCCCCTTTTCGTCACCACGCCAACCACACGAGAAATGACATTCGGGTGACGGTCCAGCAGCAACAGCATCTTGAGCTCGTTGTACATGTACCGCTGCTCCTGCAGGACACACTTGAACACGGCCTCCTTGCTGCTGCCAGGCTTCTCGCCCGGTTCCCGTTCGGCCCCATCAACATCTACCGTGACGAGAGATATCACATCGTGGACCTGGCGCCGAAACCGCAGCCTTTCCCAGTCCACAATCTCCACAGCCTCCCATGCCTCGTCAGACACCTCCCCTTCCCAGATCTTTCGCAGCTTCTCGACGCTCAACATCCCTTGTTCCACGCCATACCGTGGTACAAGCGAGACCGACACTTTTTCTCTCGCCAAATAATCACCACCACCACCGCCTAACGAGGCCTCAAAATTCACCATAACAACCGACCCAAACGGTAACCTCCACCATGCCTGTTCCAGACCCCCACCCCCTACTTCCCCATCGTCCCTATCCTGTGCCTTACGCTGCTGACCCTCCCACAACCATAAAACCCTCCCCAACCACCGTCCAATTTCGAACCCATCCGCCCCCAAAGCGGAATCCGAACCCCAAATTGCCTTTTCCGGCCTGAGGACTTCCCGCAAAGACGGGGGGAAGTCTTCGACGGCGGGGATATACACATCAACCCGTAGTGGGGGCTGGTGTAGTGCGAAATGCGGGACGGCGAAGAAGCGCCGGCCGGTGGCGTCTACGCCGTCGATTTGCCAGGGTGGGGGGTGTTTATACCCTGGGTTGTTTGTACCTGAAGCGAAGTGGTTCGTGGGTGGTTGAATGATGGGATCGAGACTGTCGAGGCGGGATTGTGGGTTGAGAGGGGAGGTTTGCCAGGGTGTGAGAGCTGTTGTTGTTGGGTCGTCGTTGGGGGGTGGTGGGTTGCGTAGTTCGTTGTTCGGTGAGGGGGTAAGATCGTCGGGATCTGGAAGGAAGGCGGCGAGGGGACTGAGGATGGTGGCGAAGATGTCGCTGGTGAGGTCCATGATGCCTGGTTGTAAGTCACAGGTGTGCTGCTAGCATGGATAGACGCTCGAGTCCGGGGATTTCCGGAGTATGGGTTGGGCTCGCGACGTTGAGAGGTATTCGGAGTAGCTCAGTCGAAAAGATATAATTTAGGAACTGATTAATTAGGTTAGGCAGCCACCTTACAGAGCGTGAGCACTTGGTACACAGCTCTTGTTGTTCTTTTCTTAGTAACCATCCAAACTTGCCAGTTCTGCCGTTCTCCGTCCTTCAGACCACTTCAGCCCAACCAACGTGTACAGTACCCAACACACCTCAAGCCCCCTTCACAAAAATCCACAAAAAGTCCCCAAACCCCCTTTTCCCCTCCATCATCGATCCCAACGTCAGGTCGATCCCTGATGTCCACCTGCGGGCTCCAACCGCACAACCTGCAGGGCCGAGACCAACCGCAATACAACCTTTTCCCGGGTGGGTGTCCCGCGGACCCCACCCCGCTGCTGCACGCCCTAATGCAGTGAGCAACCGGGCGGGAGACAGGGACTTTTCTGTGACTCTTCACGTTAGGTGAATGTGTACATAGTATTCAACCCACCAAGAAACCAAGGCTTCGTGCTGCTTTAATAGTTATTTCTGTTTATTATTTAGTTAGGCAGGGGAGAGAAGGCTTGGGTTGGAGGTAATCGGTACCTTAGCCCCGACTCCTATCACCACCTACGCAAAGGCATAAACCAACCCTCGAAACTCCCATCTACCATACTCTCTCCAACGCTAACATCGTCCGATTGTTAACGGAATGAAGTACCAACACCCCACCTTCAATCTCCCACCCACAAAGTCAAGCCCAACGGGGAGACGGACACGCAGGGTCCCATCTTCACGCAGGACACCGAACACTACGCGTCACTAACAAACGCACTAAACTAGCCCTGTAGCATGCAGAGTGGGTTGCTGCAGGGAACCGATTCCGGGATGTCGATCGGGGCCCCAGCCAGCCCTGTAGGGTTTTTGTTGCTGACTGAGTTTGTGGGGTGGGGTAATTATTTAGGCAGTGGGTGAAGTTTGCGAGACACCACAGCACCAATGAAGGAGGAAAAGATCGAAAAAAGAGAGGATAGGGAACAAAACATTTGGAGGCCTTTCTGATATTAAAGGTGTTGATTATTTCGAGTCTAGCAAACTCCAGATAGCACAGCTAAATCTGTGTCGTTAGCAAATGGGGGGCTCTGATTGCCTGGGTCTGGTGTCCATCCCGACCGATGACCAGTCCCCTTTTCCGTTCCGCTCCGTTCCGTGTTCAACTCCAAAACCCCGTATGGTGCAAATGCTCAAGAAAGCAAACCCGCAAAAATAGAAGGCGTCGACTACGACGTCAAACGCTCACTCAACCGGAACATCACCCTCGGCGCGTCCACCACGTTCCATTGCTCCCCCAACTCATTATCCCCATAGATTCGCGCATTCCCATCCTTCAACGGCCCCCTTGGTAACCGCCACCGGAGCCCCTCCTCTTCACTCTGGAGCCACATCCGGACCAAATACCGTGGTGATACTGCGCTGTCCTCAAATGCTTCGCGCGAGTGGAGGACCCCGTGGTTGTTGATGAATAACATATCCCCGCGTTGCGCTTCTAGCACAATTTGATTCTCCCGCGCCAGAGCCTCGACCGTATCCAGCGCGTGTCGTTGGTTATCGCTGAGCGGGGGCAGACCGGCCGCACGGTGGACCCCATCGAGGCCGAGGAGAGGCTCGCGAGCGAAATTGAGGATGATGCGCTCGTCGTGGTGGTGTAGCAGTGGGCGGGTCGAGGAAGGTAGGAATTTGCCGCGGCTGTCGAAAGACCAAATCGGCTGGGCGAGGAGTTCGCGGAGATGCGGGTAGGATCGGGCAAGCGCGTTGTAGACGGTCCAAGCGGAACTAAGTAGGTTGCGGCCACCGGAGGAAGCGTTATTGCGGGTCTGTAGGGCGAGAATATCGCAAAAAGTGTCGGAATGGAAGGTCTAATTAGAGGGTCAGCCTTGTTAGGCCTGGGTCAGGCCAGACAATGATTGGGGATTCTTACCGATGCCCTGGATGAATATCGAGTCGGGCGATCTTCTTGCGGCGTTGTAGAGAGTTTGGCATCTCGAATATGCACTGGTATCTGTTAGCCCAGCTGCTCCGAACGCTAAGAGTCGGGATAAACCCACTTAACATGTTCCCGTCTTCGTCCTGCCGGCCTCGCCTGGCCCCGATATAGCTCGAGATACCAAGGAATATGATAACATTTTCCTCTGGTGAGAAATCGTCCGGCTCTATCCCACGAACCACCGCAAAACCCCGCCCCGTGTGAATATCGACCGCTACCTGCCGGAGTTTTGGCCCAAGTGTCGGGAGTGGAAAAGTGTCTGGGGTGACTTCGCTGCCGTAAAGTTCAAGATCTAGCTCCGTCAGCTCCAGGTTCCGGACCACAATGTCCCCATGGGTGTTTGTACCATTAAAATATTCCAGCCCGGCTCGAATTTCGCGAAGCTCCCCCTCGTCCAGCGTCAGGGTGAAATCGTCCTCGGAAGTAAAAGAGTCTGCCCCCCAGCACAGCTCGCCATTCATTTCGGTCGGCCATTGTTGTGAAACTGGAAAGTACTGAGGATTCCGATCTGGTTTAACCTCGAAGTTGCCCCAGCCCCCTTGTGCTGGTTGTCCCAGAAAGACCGTTTCCACGCCCATCACGCAATTCTGTGCAGACCCGTTGCTTGGGGACTTTCGGTGTTTGTCGAGGTGCTCGAGGTGCGTTCAAAATGGTGTGTGACCTTCCAAGTTCCAGTTCTGGCTTTTGTTGTAAAGGAGAAAACTAAATACCAAATGCTCCAGATGCGCAGACAAAGCAATGTTTGGATTCAACACCACCTCGGGGCAACGCGCAAGCCAAAACTTCCGAACAGTACTTCGTGTGTTCGTGCCGCATTCGCGAACCTGCACGATGCGGCTCAAGTTGCCGAGCGGGTCCCTCAGGGTCCTCCTGTTCTTTTTTCCCCTTCTCACCACTCCGCGTTGTGTTGGATCGGAGGAGGGGCGCCTTCTGCCTTCCTGCAGGCTGCCCCGAGATCACCAATGAACCATTCCCAATCCGGGCCATTCCCCTCATCCCGAAATGCACCATATGCAGGGTGATAAGAGCCATAGTCCTCATTGGCGACAACCTCGATTTTGTCGACAAATCCGCCCCAGCCCTTGGGGTCGAGACCGTCTTGGTCAAAGTGAGGGGCAGCGCCTTTTTTAAATTTCCACAGGCAGAGACGCCTGCGTGCCACACAGACACACGCCCTTTTCCCATCGATGCGACCCTCGAGATGGTAGAATGGGAAAGCGATCAGGCCACCACGCTGTCGGCGGATTCAACCGGCGGGGCATGTTCGAGCGTCGCGCGTGGGGTCCAGTCATGGTCGAAGAGTTGGCTGGTGTACCACCACTTTTCGTGGTACAAATCGCTGTTGTTGATGCCTTGGAAGGAGGGAGCTGTGCATAGGTTGTGCGCGGTCAGTGAAATTCTCTTCTGCGACACAAGTGTCACAAGCCTTGCGAATACCGGGATGACATGATGAGGGGCGAGCAAGTAATTACCTTTGTGAACCACCACGTCCCGGCATTGCGACATGAACTCGCTTTGTTCCGCATCCAACCGAGCCATCCTGCGGACCCTCGGAGCAGTCCAGTCAAATCCCTGCGTGAACAGCTGCTGGCCCTTGTAGCAATAATGGAAATGCGCGAGGATGGTCTTCGCCCCAGAGTTGGTCGCCCGGACGAGCGGCATGTCCAGGTATTGTACCTAGTATTCATCGTCAGTGGTGAGAATGGGGTGGTGTACTGGCGGATCAAATACCTACCTGTGACTGCCTGCGCTTCGCAAATTGCCTTTGGAAGAGCATTTGCATCTCGTAGTTTTGCAGCAAAATAAACGAGGTTAAGAAGGTAGCGAACCAATCCTTGGGACTGTGCGTGTTCAAGGTGCTCTGGAGGATGCGGAGGACGTCCTTTTTGAAAGGGATCAACACCCGCTGGATAATGATGGAGGCGAACTGGTAGTCAATGTACGGCGGGGGCGAGTCAAAGTCCTTGTAAAACGGATCCTTGGGGTTCATAGCTTGGAACTCATTGTCCGCCCAGCCACTTTCGGCCCAGCATCGCCACTTTGATTCGATAAACCGGCACGCTACCCATAGCCTTAGAGTCTTCCTGAGCATTTCGTTCTGTCCCTCCAGTTAGCAGTTGGGTTCAAGCTCTGGCACGGCGCCGGTGACCTACCGGAACCGGAAAGACCGAAGCCCTGTACGCGGCCTGGAAAATGTTCCAAACAAGGGGATCCGTGTCGTCCAAGTATGCGGCCATGTACTGTGTAATAGATCGTTCGATGTACTCCGTAATGGCCTGTGTGACAGCATCGGGGTCGGCGATGGCCCATGGAACGGCATACATTGGGCGGCCCTTAAGGTCGAGGTCCGTCGTGTTTGCAGCCGGAATGAACTCCCGCAGTTCGACTTTAATATGCATCGACCCAACCTGGCCGAAGCAGAGAATTTTGGGTTGAGCGTCTGTCCACTGGCGTTCGAGATGAAAATCCCCGTAGTGAGGGCCCACCATGGGGTGACTGCGGTAGAAAGGCATGTAATCAAGGCCTGTGCGGAAGAGGGTGCTGTCCGTGACCATATAGCGAAGGCATGGCAGTCGGCTCATACGGACCGTCCTTTGTTGACAGGTGAGGCAGGGACCACGGGGGTTGGTAGGGTCAGGGATACACTAGATCCGTTAGCAACTTGAGGAAGTACTTTATGAGATCTCTCACTCACTCTATTTCGTTGCATCCGGCACCGAACGCAAGCATGAAGCTGGCGTGTAAGGTGCGTGTCAATCCGCTTACTACCCTCGTAGGGACTCCGCTTCTTCTTAACCCGATGTGAGGAGTTATTTGCGGGTGTAGGTCCTGTTTGCCGCGGAACCTTCGGTGCGATCTTGTGATATCGTTTGTCCACAGACTCGAGGGACGGAGATGCATTGCCCATTGATGCTTGTTCTGGTGATGAGGAGACGATGGCCCAGCTTGACGACACATCCTCGGGCGCAATATCCTGGCCACCCCCAGATATGTAACCACTGGCGTTTTCAGAATAAATGTCCATACCCTCTACTGATACGTAAGAAGCGTCGTCCTCTCTTGGGACCTGGTTGGCGAAGTTGTCGTCTAGGGTGTAGTCATGATCACCAGCGCCGCTAGAACCCCACAACGCCGCATCGCAATCATACGAGGTCGTATGGGGATTTAGAAGAATCACATTTTCGGTGCCTTGGTCTTGCGGGCCGGCTGGCGAGGGAAGAACCAACTCAGATGGGTCGCTGCTGGCGCTGCCCAGACGGAGAGCTGAGATCGCCGGGCTAACTAGCGCAAAGGAATCGAGATCGAGGTCTGTAGGCGTTTGCAGCGGGCTGGAAAAGGCATTACTGACTTGGAAAAGGGGGGAACGGCGTTGGGTTGGCCGGTGTAATGGTGATGGCTGAGGTGAACTGCTTGCGGACGCGGTGTCCCTGCCATGCACACGGCTCTGTTGCAGCAACTCGTCCACCGTCACGTTCAGGAGACCTGCGACGCGCTGAATGTCGGCCAAATCCCTCCCAGAGAACTCCATGGTGGCAGTTTTGGGTCCGTTCGAAGAAGTCGGCCGCGAGTAACGATTCCTGGCCCTTTTTGCGAGAGCCGGTTTCTTGATATGGTGCAGACTTCGATGCTGTAGGTTTCGATGCTGCGGCTCTGAATAATACTGAGGCCCTCCTCTTAAACCGTCCTTTGAGGGAAAAGTGACGAGGGGCTTGTGCAACGCTGTGGCCCAATCATGGCTTGCGGATGGCGGCCAACGAAACCGATCAATGAATGAGCCAACAGCATTGCGGCTGGAAACCGATGCAGGCACACCAAACCGGCCGCCTGTGGAAACCGCCACCACAGTCTGGTCGTGGCCGGTTTGGGCCATGCGCGCAAATTCCATCGCAGCACACATTTTGACGGCCTCAGGAAAGTTTCTCGCCACTGGTTGTCTCACTAGAGGTATGGGTTTCTGGAAGTTCGGCCTATGCGAAACCTCTTGCCTGTGGGGGGCAGGGCTGGTGAACCACTGGGATGAGGGCCAATGGATTAATGTTGCGGATTACAGGGGCTCAATTGATTGTCAGGGCGCTGAGGGTCCAGGCTGTCGTTGTGTTTCAGTGGGTGGGGAGCGGTACGGCGGCGTGGAGGCCTCTGTCCGAAAAATGGAGTGTCAAGTTTTTTGTCCCTTGTGGCCCTCAGTAACCATGTTATAGATAAGATATAAATTGGTAATTGGATCGAAAATGAGATTGAAAGTGAGGTTGAAAGTAGGATTGCAACTGCCCTCGTGAGATGATGGGCAATGGATCACTTACCACAGGGTTTTTATTCTCAATGTTTCCTGGCAGCTGGCGTAAAACCCTACTAGAGAGGGGTCGTGTCTGTAATTAACATCCACGTTCGTCAGAGCAGGGACGAACGGAAACGCAGGCCCCGGAAATGAGACCTCGTGATAAGAAAGTGTGAGTTCCAAAATAGGAACCCTTACAGGGCGTCGTGGCCCGATAACGTTAACTGGAGTTCTCTTACCACAATGGGCGTCTTCAAGGGACGGGCCGAGTGCGGGGTCTCTCGCGGAAACTCAATTGACTTTTTCGGTCCGCTTGGCCTTGACTCTTCGATGCAGAAAACGTGACGGTAATTAACGACAACACGGTCTGTCAAAATCTTCAATTAATCCCCGACTTCTCACATGAATTGAGACGACGTTGAATGGCACTCACCTTGCACAGTGCCGGTGTCGGTAGTAATTCAGGAGCAGGTGATCTGACAACTTGGTGTGAGGCGCCCAGCAATAGACGCGTCCGTCGCTCACCCCAGGTCGATCACCGTTTTCATGGAGACATGGTGTCCATCTTGGAGGTTTCTTTGAGGGTCCGGTGAGTTGGAACAAAATAGTTAGATAAACGAGGAAGAGAAAACGAACAATGGGTCAAGGGAGTGAGGATCCCCCAGGAGAAGAAGAACAGGGAGAATCCGGGGTTGGAGAGATGCGGGTGCCCCTGGATTTTGGACACGCAGCAGATCACGAAGAAATCCCGCGACAAGCAACGCCCATGTGACCACCTGAGGTGCCAGAGACCCAGCTGCAAGGCAGAAACGGCCGCTGGCCTATTTTCATCCCGTTCCTTGATTTGGGGACAAAACCTGGGGTTTGTTCTGTTGCCCTGACGCCCCTGCTCTGTCCGGCGGTATGGCGCCTGCCTTGTTAGGACAGATCGGTTGGCGTAGTCCAATGAGAGGTAGTTATTTCTCGCGGGCCCGTCTCTCAACGCACCCTATACGGCAGGGGCTAACCGGTCGCGGCCGTCAGACTGGGTGGTTTTTCTTGATTTTAAGCGCCGTGGGGATCGGATTTTCTCAATTGCCATGCCCAAATGACCGCATTTCTCCCAGAGGAAAGGGTGAGAAGAATGACGTTTTTCCCCGAAATGCAGGGACTTCCACACGTGCTCTGGATCTGTATCGCGAATCGTTGTTTTAGTACCACGCTCAGCCGAGACAAACACCAACGGATGCTGAAGAATACCAAAAGACGATCGCACCAGACGAGTTTCCCTCGCACAGTGGTGCTTGCTGCTGTGTGCTTCGCGGGTCACGACCCTCAGCTCTTGTCGCGCGGCATAAGCATATGATGTCATCGCTAGTCTTTTCAACAAACTCTCAGGACGACGCCTCTAGAATGACGCACATTGAACGACGCATCGTAAGTCCGCTCTGAAATCACAACCACGGGAGTAACGGGCAACAAACGGATTCGTCCTGCGATACCATAGCAAACCACAGCACAGCAGCATCAGAAGGCCCTGTGACGTCACAGCTTTTGAGGGTTAGGGTTAACAACGCCGATCCTCAAGCAGGCGACAACCATAAGCGCCCGCCGCGGCCCAACTCAGCCCCCCAAAGTCGTCATTCCAAGAAAAATCATAACCTTGGTTTTCTTCCTTGCTGACATTTCCCGTGCGTCTGTTCCGATCTCCGGCCCCGACGCACCTTATCGGTTGGGCGCATGCGAACAAATATGCGCCAATCATGCAAGGGGCCAGAAAACCGATCAGGCGGGAAACGGTGTAAGTCGTGCGAATCGTGTAAATCATAGAGCCAGGTCGGGAGAAAAAAGTCACGTTGTCTTTTTGGGCCCACCGTCCTCACCGAGGGGATCGGCTTGGTTTTGGGCTGGGATGGGCATAGTTGGCTGGGTTGGGCTGGCCGATGTTCCGGTCGGCTCGTATTTTGGGATTTCTCGTGGGGGAATCGAACGTTTTTTTCTTTCTTCTCAGGAGCGTGGGCAACCGATCTCGGGGTTGGGGGGCGACTGACGATAGTTTCGATCGTCGGTTGGGTGGAGGACAGGAAAGAGATAAATACTATGGGGTTGGGCACAGGGAGATGAGAATACAGAACAGAAACACAGAAATCATCTTTCTTCACGATCTTGTTCAACTCAACAGCTAGCACCACTCTACGTCATCGTACCTCGACTTGTTCCCGTCTTGCTATCGTTAAGCGTCTCGCAACACACACCCGAGTATGTCTGACAACGGAACCACCCAACAACACATTATCGCGTTGCTTCAACATACGGGCGTCTCGCGGTCCAATGGTCCGTACACATCGCTGTTGCGGTGTAACGGTATGGTCTCCATCAACAAATACAGACGGGGTTGATTCTAATCTTGTCTAGAATTCGGTTGGGGAACTTCGACTCCAGCATCGTCTTCCTCGCCTTCGTATTGGACACAGGGAGCATCGGTAGGTAACTCTTGTTTGATCTCGCGCGATACAAAATGTCAACCGTAAAAAACGTAACTGACCAAACCACGCAGACTGCCACAACCAAGAGCAGCACGCCGGCTCGCAGTTCCCAGGCAACGGGAACGACTAGCATGACGGTTCCCGAGAGGCAGAGCTGACAGATGCGGATGAGCCGGAGGCTTACCTATCACTGCTATCATTATCATTGTATTTATCAGAGTTTTGTTTGCATAGGGTCTAGCATTGGGACACATAAGGATATGAAATTACGCATGTTTAGTAATGGCGACGAGAAGACATTATCGCCCTTTCCCTTGTTACTAATATTTTTGTGCATCTCCATGTCCAGAACACCGTCTTCTTGCGGCTCCATTTTAGTCTAATTACATCTCACAACTGTGATCCCTCTCGTTTACTAACAAGATCGCCCCTTTAATTCCTAATTCCATCTCCATAGCGCTGTGATGTAATTTCTCTTGTCGCTTCAGTCTCAGCGCAAAACTGCAGCATTTCCGCATAGTACACTTTTCTCTGACCCTATTCAGCCAGTTCCCGAGGTAATGAGAGCACGGCACGCAGGTACACATTCCCCCCTCATTCCTCCTTACCCTCCTTACTCTCATCCTTAACCGTCTTCCTCTCCCTATCCCTCCTCCCCAGCTCCCGTCGATTCAACCCCCAATAAACCCCCAACAACCCCCCTGACACCAAAAACCGCCACACCCCCTCCACACCTTCCCCTTTACCAACCACCCTCCCCCAAACAACCCCCACATCCACCACCATCCCAAGCAGCAACTGTCCCTCCCCTGTCCACCTCAACACCCTCCTCAGCCTCTCCGTATACCGTGGCCCTGCAACTCCCCCAAAATAAGCATACATCAACGCGTGATGTGCCGTATTAGCCGCTGCAAACCATCTCCACCCTTCACAGCTTTCGTCGGGTAAGACGCGGATGAAAGTCAGCCAAGGGGTGGTAAGGTGGTGGAAGGCGAAGTGCAGGTCGATGGCGTGGTGGGTGTGTAGGGCGGTTACGGAGAGGATGTCGGTGTATTCGTAGAATTTGGAGAGGTGGAATGTGTTGCGGGCTAGGCGGTCGAGGTCGAGGCCGTCGGAATTCAGACCGTCCTGGTAGGAGGATTGGAAAGAGATGAAGAGGATGAAGAGGCAGAGGAGGAGGGAGAAGAGGGAGTAGATGCGGTTGTGGTATTTGGTGAAGATTGGGGCGATGGTGGTGGAGGGGCCGTGGTGGTTGATGTAGAGGGAAGTGAGGAGCCAGGTGGTGAGGTAGACGAGGGATTGGAGGATCATGGTTGTTGGGGTGAAGATGTCCATTTTGGATTTTTTGTTGCGGGCTTTGGCATGAAGTGAATGTTGGGTTGACGAGTTGATGGTTGATGGTTTCTGCGTGGGTGATGTCGGGGTATTAAGGGTCAAGATTGGTGAGTCATGCGGGGGTATTAACTCCGGGTGGGAGGCCTGGATGGTCCTTCGTATCCCTCGTATTGCGCCCGAGTTTAACAACAATGAGTGCCGTATAAGACGTGGAGCAAAACGGGAAGAAATCCGCTCAATTCTGCTTCGTCGCTTTTCGACTAACGGCGACCAACTCCTGATGCTAGCTAAGGCCAACTAATTAACTCCCAGATCAAGTCACACAGAATCCCGACTAAACATGCTCGCCATGCACCAGATCTCCCTTGTCCCCCTCGCTCTCGGTCGCCGAACCAGTCGGCTGCTGGAGAATATTCCCATGTTCCCGATACGCCCGCTCCATATCCCACACAAACGGTTTGCTGGTTGAGAACAACACATCGATCGACTCGAGCGACCTGCCCGCGGTTTCTGGGTAGACTGTAGATCGTTAGCTTCATCGCTGTCTTGTTCATCGGCAAAAGTAGAGAGGAACGAGAAAAGGGAGAGAAAGGGGGGAAAAAAGAGAAAAGAAAACTCACACAAATAAACAACCGGCACCCACAACAAATTCAACCCCGCAAACAAAAAATACGTCCTCCCTCCCAACTTCCCCAACATCACCGGATTCACCAACACCGTCCAACCCACTCCAATCGCCCACCCCGTAATCCCAAACCCATTCCCCTGCGCCCTCATCTCCGACGCCCACATCTCCGTCGGCACGAGGAAAGCCACGGTCCCCCACGTCGCGGCATAACACAAATTCATCAGAAACAACATCGCCACTGCCACCGGCGCTAACGTCGCTGCCTTCTCCGGCTGCGCCCCGGCTGCTTCGTACACGCTGGCAGCGATGAGGTTGACGATGAATAACCCGACGGCACCACCCATTAAACACACCCTCCGCCCGAGGCGATCGACAATCTGCGCGGAGATGATAGTCCCCAGGATACCCACCGTGCTGAGTCCGCCAGCGAGACCGTTTTGCGTGAGTTCGTCGTACCCTGCTGCGGAGAGGAGAACAGGGGAGTAGGCGGTGACGGCTGTGATGCCCGTCCAGGACGCCATGATTTGCAGCGCGAGACAGAGCCAGGCGCGGCGGCCTAAGTGTTGACCTGCATGTGCGGGGCCGGAGCGGCCGGCGAGGATGCGGGCGAATTGGAGGGGGGAGGAGCCGCTTTGGGATTCTTTGTTCTTGGTAGCGGCGGTGATTTCGAGGAATTCCCGCTCGACGGCTGCGGGTTGGTCAGGACCGCGGATGTGGTGGAGGACTTCACGGGCATCGTCGAGACGGCCGACAGACGCGAGATACCGTGGGCTGTCGGGGAGGAGTTTGATACCGGCCAGCAGAATCAGGGCGGGCAGGCACTGGAAGGCGAGGAGGAAACGCCAGCGGAGGTCGGAGTAGCCGTTTTGGACGAAGGCTAGGCCGAAGGAGAGCCAGTAGGCTACGGCGATGCCGAGGTAGTTGGCGATGAAGACGTAGCCGAGAAAGCCGCCGCGGTGGGTGGCGGTGGAGGTTTCGGCGACGAGGACGGGGGTGATGCCGGTGAGGGCGCCGGTGCCGATCCCGGTGATGACGCGGGCCACGATGATGAAGTCGCTGGATTGGGTCGCTGCTTGGAGGGCGCCGCCGATCAGGGCGAAGACGGAGGCCATGAAGAGGCTGTTGTTACTTGATTAGAAACTGCAAACCAACATGTAAGAGAGAAGGATACCTAGAGAAAAGAAACTCACCCGTTAATCCTCCCAACCCGATCCGCCGCCCACCCCCCAGCAAAACACCCAAAGATACACCCCACATAATACACCGACACGATCCCACCTTGGTGTACCGTGTCCGTGACCTTCCCATTAGGTTCACCAATACCAACTTCTGTGACATACCGCGGCGAGGCATTCACGCCGCCCATAACCCCCTGGTCGTATCCTTCAAAAAAGATGCTGATGAGCGAAAAGGCCTGGATCGCGATGTTGAGCTGGACCGGCGAGAGCCGCTTCCAGAGGGTTGTGTAACCCATGGCGGTAGTATGCAAAATGAACGCCTGCAACAACACTGGATTTGAGATGGGAGGGTAACAGTCTGTCAAAACGGACGACCATCCCCAGTTTATGTATCCCCCGCGACCTCGTGGCGTTGACACTAAAACCGCGTCGCTTAGCTAGTCCTTGATCCGCTGCCCCGGATACCATGACAAACATGTCTGCCACGCGAGTCAGCCCCGGCTTTGATGCGCCCCAGAGAAGCCCCGGAGAAACCCCAGAGAAACTAGACCCCAAACCCCAGAATCCGGATCGGTACCTGAGAGTGTGGAGTAAGTGGCGATGGGGAAGAAGGAAATGCCCGCGTAGCCGCTTAGCCGTGTTAGCGTGTAGCCGTGTTGCCGGCTGTCTCACCGTGTCTTGGCCGTGTAACCGGTTAGCCGGCCGAGGTGAATATTCGGTGAAACCGAAGCCACAGGTTTCGAGAAGGAAACATGGACATTACTAAAAGTGGCGTTGTCTTTTTGTAGTTTGCGTGGTGCGGGTGACTAAACAAGAGTCCCGTCTGAGACGTTGAAAAGCGGCCCGATCCGCCGTGCAAGTCTTCACCTTCACCAACTCTAAACGCAAACCTCGTGCTCATTCTCAACTTGAGGTATCGTCGACAGAATGGCTCCAAGCGCTACAGCAAACGGCCATTCCGCCCAAAATGGCCAACCGGCCGGACAGCCACTCGATCTCACCGTGCTGGGCATGAACAGCGGGACATCCATGGTAATTAAGCACCCCCCTTAGGTTCAACACCCTCTCTCATCCCTTGTAAACAAGTTACAACCACCAGAAACTAACACATTCCCCCCCCCCCAGGACGGCATCGACTGCGCCCTCTGCCACTTCCACCAAGAAACCCCCTCCTCCCCCATGCACTTCACCCTCCTCCAGCACGGCGAAATCCCCATGCCCGCCTCCCTCAAAGCCCGCGTCCTGCACCTCATCAAGCACGACACCACCTCGGCCTCCGCCCTCTCCGAAATCAACGTCCACCTCGGCGAGACATTCGCTTCCGCCGCTATTCAATTCTGTGCCGACCACAACCTGGACATGAAGACTGATCTCGACGCGATCGGGTCCCATGGTCAAACGATCTGGCTCGCTAGCATGCCCGAGACCCCCGGGGTTCCCAAATCTGCGTTGACCATGGCCGAGGGGACGATCATGGCTTCCCGCACGGGTGTGACGACGGTCACAGATTTCCGTATCTCAGACCAAGCTGCCGGTCGCCAGGGTGCACCGCTTATCGCATTCTTCGATGCGCTACTCCTCCACCATCCGACCAAACTCCGCGCGTGTCAGAATATCGGTGGCATCGCCAACGTATGCTTCATCCCCCCCGAAGGGCCGGACAGGGCGTATGATTTCGATACCGGCCCCGGCAACGCGTTGATTGATGCCGTCGTGAGACACTATACCGACGGGAAGATGGAATATGACCGGGACGGGGAGATGGGGAAGAGGGGGACGGTAAACCAGGGGATGGTGGACCGGTTTTTGGAGAGGATTCCGTATTTCAAGTGGGATCCGCCCAAGACAACGGGGCGGGAGGTGTTCCGGGATACGTTGGCTGATGATTTGATCGCAGAGGGGGCCGAGTTGGGGTTGTCGGCTGATGATGTGGTTGCGACGGTCACGCGGATCACGGCGCAGGCGATTGTTGAGCATTGGCGGCGGTATGCGCCGAAGGGTAGGCAGGTGGATGAGGTGTTTATGTGTGGCGGGGGGGCGTATAATCCGAATATCACGGATTATATGAAGGAGCAGTTGCCCGGGGTGAAGATGTTTATGTTGGATGATGCCGGGATTCCGGGGGGTGCCAAGGAGGCTGTGACGTTTGCGTGGCAGGGGATGGAGGCTGTCGTTGGGCGGAGTATTCCGGTGCCGGATCGGGTTGAGACACGCCGGCCGTATGTGCTGGGGAAAGTTAGCCCGGGGGAGAATTATCGGACGGTGATGCGGAAGGGCATGTTGTTTGGGGAGGGGAGAGCGAAGTTGGAGTCGGTCAAGGAGATGGTGAACTATGTCGACGGGAAGGCGTTTGATAATAAATGGTAGCCTGTTAGTTTGGTATTGTATTAACTCAAAAAAATGCTCAAAAAGATAGATAATTGTTAGACATAGAAAATGGCCAGGTCCAGTCCACCAGAAACTCATCAGGCAACTGAAACTGGGGTGATAAATCCGACAGTCCGGGCTGCCCCCATTCGTCGGAGGGAATCTCCTGCAGAGCTGGTCCAGGGCCAGCAGCTTCTGCGACACCGGCCTGGTTCTGAGAAGCTTTGGTCTGCATGTACTCCTCCAAACGCACCACTAGCCCCCGAAGTCTTTGTCCCGCCCCCGCACTCCGGTGCAGAAACGCCTCGAGACTCTCGAGTAGATCAGCCATGGACAACAGCAGCTCTCTCACCCGCCGGCAGGAGCTCTCAGATAGCCGCCCCTCCATCACCGATCCCAAAATTGTGCCGATGCCGCCGATGTGGTAGATGAGGGGCGTGCTGATGGCCCTGAGGTACGGCTTAGGCACCTGGTGGAACGTCGCAAGGACGTCGCTGACGACCGAACACTTGGTCTCGATATCCGCGCCCTCTTCCAGCGACAGATAGACCATCCGCAAGAGCGCCATGGTGGCCTGGATGTTGGCGCTTTGGAACCCGTAGATGTCTCTTGCCGGGTCTCCTGTAGCAGGCTGGAGTTCCTTAAAGACGGGTGGTAATGCCGAGTAGAGCTGGCTGACGCGGTCTTGACTGGTTAAAGAGAGAGATCTGCCGCCCATATTACGGTCTCCCGTGAGATTGAAGCTGGAGGACCGCGACCTCAGCATGCTGAGATTATGTTCAAGGATCCGGTAGAGGTCGGTGGTGAAGTTCCAGCCCACAAACCAATTAGCCCCATCATTTGGATCTTCGGCATTAGTGTCGTTTCTCCCTGAAGGGTACTCGACCGTTGCGTGACTCTCTTGGTAGTGTATGCACCCGTCCCAGACAACGGACGAGTACACATCCAGCGTGTACATGGACCAATACTACCCGTCCATCAGCGCAGCCCTTGGTTATTATCCCGTGGTGGATCGACTTACCAATCTCCTCCGTTCCTCCCTTTCCGACGCCCCGATATCCTGCGGCCAATTCGACTCATCATGCCACTGATTAACAGCCAAAACAGTAAAATAGTGCCCCATATACATCTGCATCGCCCTTAATTTGGCATCCTGCAAACTCGCCAACGCCAACAGCGCATAACCTCGGAGGTGGTCAAAATCCCTGCAATGCAAGATATTCCTCGGCAGTCCTTCTTCCGCGGCCGCAAAGAACATCTCCGGGCACATGGCGCCCAGCTCTTCGGGCTGCGGCCGGGACGACGCCAGCGCGCCGTCTCGTACTCTTGCTAATGATAGCGCGCAGGCGGCCATGATGGAGGAGAAGAAACCCCGGTTTCGGCTGTGCTCCAGCGCGTTGAGTCGGCGCTCCAGGCGGATAGGGTCGAAGAAGGGGAAGCTGCCAGTTGATGGTTAACCGTTTTTGCTGTAGTCTAGAAACGGGTTGAATTGCTCACATTGGGTAGACAGTTTCATGATACACAGCAAGCAGCGTCCGTACGACCGGGGTCGCAAATCGCGCGAATTCCCGCCATGCTGGACTCAGAGGCTCCGCACACCCTGTCTCGGTTTGGGCGCTATCATCGCCCTGTCCAAATCCTCGGTGGTCATGATTGACCGCCGGATCCCGAAAGCCAGATGGAATTTGGGGCACAATAACCCGGCTCCGATCACGAGGCGGCGATTCCGGATCCGTAAGCTGCCGCTGCACGGGCCGGGCCGCATCGTGCAGAGAGCCAGTCCCCCGTTTGGACGGCCGCGAGTATGTGCATCGGACATCAAAGTCCGTACAATTCTGGCATCGGCTTGGGTCCAGGGGGTTCTCCTGGCATTTGATGCGGCGCTTGTGGCAGAAGTCACCTGAGAATGTCAGCTCTTCAATCGTAGGAAAGAATGTGGATAATTATCAATGGAGAATAAGAATCATGGCCCGTACATGCTTTGGAGTTGCGGAGTAAGCGACGGGGCATTTGTTATGATGTATCTTGGATCAAAGTGTCACCAATGGTCAGTGTCGTGTTACTGGTGTGTTGTGGAGGAGAAGGCCTTGCGAATTGGGGACGGAGTGAATTAATTACGGGGTAATTACATGCCAACGTGATCAGATCGGCCCGTGCACTCATTGTGCGTGACTGACAACGTTCCCGTCTTGGGTCATCCTGTCCTCCTTGGCACTGCCTGTGTTGCACGTTGTGTGTCTACTACAGTTATATGGCGAGACCTTTGTAAATATGTTCCGGAAATGCCACAGTGCTGTGCTCGGAAAACGGACAGTGATTAATTAATGGCGGCCGACAGCCCCCGGGAACCCATGTAATTACTTACCCCCCCATGTGTATTACCTTGATGGGTATGGGTGGGTAATACCTTACCCAAATCATATCGGTCATGGGCAGGAGATACGGGTAGGAACCCATTTCTTGGGCAGAAAGCCACAAGAACGGCATGCAATTCCACAAGGTTGGCCAGAACAAGCTCACTAGCGCAGGGCATGGCTCTTATTAGTACACCAGGATAGAAATCTTTGACTTTGGCTTTCAGGCTGGCCAGCTCTAGTTATGTGCTGGAGGGAGGATACGGTGTTCGTCAACGGAGACCCTTGCAAACGAGCAACCGTCTCATACCGGGAATCAAATCCGCCAGGCGAAAAGTGTTGATTCAAACCCTGTTCGAGCTGCCTCGTTTCCCGAGCAGCACGGATTTGATCCTGCTTCTCCTTACTCCATAGCTTGGACCGGTGCTTCCGCCTCCTTTCCAGCCTCTTTTCCCGCTTTTCTGCCGCTTTAATGTCAGGGTCGACATAAGGACGAACGGGGCAAGTTGCGATATCCCGTAAGATATCCAATACCTCGTCATCTGGGTTTTGACCGACACACCGCTTCACTGCTAAAAGGAGAAGAGCCTTTAAAGTGAAGTTGGCATCGTTCCCAGCGACGTGTAATCTATTAAAAGGGCACCCTAACACACCTAGCAGGTCGCCGAGAGAGCCGCTCCAGATCTAGAATACTTCATTGGCAATACGTGACGTATCCAAAATCCTAGAAGGTGGCCGTTCAAACTCGAACCCCAAAGCCCGTAAAGCCTGGAGCTCGTTCAGAATGCCATGGCCAACGAGTACCACGTTGCGGTCTCGAGGAATGTGTGATTGAATGGTTTGTAGCATTGACGATGATGGAATCCTGATTGTCTCTCCAAAGAGAAATTTATTAGATGCTTTCGTGATGTACGATGGTGATCCCGCAGCAAAGTTTAGAGTTGAAACGAGCTTTTCTGGTGAGACCTGGCGAAGGTCCTTGGTATCGAGAATCGCAAATCCGACTTGGCTATTGTCTTTCTGGGCGAACCCGCTTTTGATGGTATCGATGCCTTCAAAATCGATAGCGATGATGACGGTATCGTGTAGTGCTGGTGATTTCGGGATAGAGTGACTGAGCCCTAAAATTTCAAGTACCATGGCGAGCCCATGCTCCGTGATACGTGGGAGTGCCGACAGGACGGCTTCTGGCTCCTCCATATAGGGCTGTTGGTGGTTGCCCATCGATAACAGTGTCCGTCGATGGCTGATAGTTCCACTTGAGTCTCTGTCGTCCCCGAATTTTAGCAACCGTGGGAACCAAGCGAGGGTCACAGCAACTAGTTATGTGGATGCAAGATTCAGGAAGGTCAGGGGACATTCCATCGGATGGCAACGCACAGAATAGCACGTGCGCACACCTCGCTTGAAAGGAGATACCCTTCCATCCCGAGACTCTGTGCAGTCTAACCCACTCTCCCACTGCCTCGCAACCTTATGGTAAAATCCCTCTCGCTAACCTTGCTCACAACCATGTAAGAAAGGAGACGGAGGCCATAGCTTCCCTGGTTTGCCTGCCTTGGAGGCATCACTTGTGTCTACCGTAGTTGTATTGCGATATTTCTGTAAGTAGAGATGTTACGAAGATGCCACATTGTTGCCTTTCAACGACGGAAAGTAGGTACATACCTGGATAGGTAATCAAGTAATTAATTACAAGGTGTTCACATCTTGGGTCGCATGTCACCCTTCAACAAGCCCCGAAAATAAGGGCAGAACAGGAAAGAAAAAATGAAATGAAAGAGAACGAGAAAGAAATGAAGGCAGAACGGAAAACGAAACACGGGCCTGGATTGCCGTAATTACCGCCCGGGCGGTTCAGTATGCAATCACAATCGAGAACAGCACGTCGTTGTCAGGTACCTATGCTAGCTTTCGATTGAGCAGTCCGGGCAGGCAAGTGAGCAGCCTCCGCAGGGCTAATGTAACGGCAATTCAAGTGTACCTCAGCTTCGTTAGGCTCTGAAAAACGAACCGTTGCTAGGTCGGTCCCCTTGTAAACGTAATTATGGATGTACTTGATTGCTTTGACTGAAGCACTAATCTCCACATTGATATGTGCCATGTATTTACGGCGGAAGCACGGGTCAAATGAAGGACTTGGATCACGCCGGCCCGGGCACTCCAATCCACACGTCCCACTACCACGATGGTGCCGTCGACGGGAATAAAGAAGAAACCGGAGCCCAAGAAAAAGGCGGCGCACGCGGACGCACTTACGCCCACCAACACTACAGCGACAACGCTGCCCCCTTTCTTCGCCCGATGGGCAGGGGCAGGGCCACTGGCTGTACACAGCCATGTAGTAAAGGCCCCAGACAGTCACTCATTACCGGCCCTACACACGTCAGTACGAACAGAATATACCGGCATCTCGACATTGTGAGATACTAGCATCGTCAGAGGGCGGCAAGAGTGTGGTAATGACAATTGAGAGCAGAGTAAGATGGTAATGGGATGCCCGTAAGGATAACGGAAGAGAAAATACCAATGGTGACCGAGGGCTCTCCCAGCTGGTCTCAGACAAAACCGATTATGACGGAAGAATTTAGAAAGCGAGAGGTATACGAAGGTCAGGACTGTTAGTACTTTGGTATGTTCCACTGAATGGTGATCGTGACAGGGGTGGGAATGTAGCCCTGAGGTACAGTTCGAGGATGACACGACCCTGTTTATCGGGTACATCGACATCCAAGATCACCATACGTTTCAACCCAGTGAGCTTGGCTGATGTTTTGGTGTGTCTCGCTATTTCCGGGCGCCAAACCGCGGTTGCCTTCACCACCGTGAGCATGCGCCTCCAACGCGGGTTCTCGAAATAACCGGCTTGTAAACGCTACAAGAACTGTGGGCTGATGTTGAGTATGATGGTTCTTGAGCGTCAGGTTGATCCTTTGTGAGAGGAAGGGCGTAATCTGGTACATTAAAGAGGCTCAATTAAGAATTAATAAACTCGATTGTGACTGCATTTCTCGTGTCAAACATAAGCTCTTCTTTTGGACATGGACGACCGCACGGTTAAGACTGCCTTTCCATGAGTTGGCCCAAGGTTCCAATGCCCTGGTCGAATAAGTCTTTCCGTGGGACCTTAATTGCAGTTTGCAATTCACACGCTTGGGGGCAAGATCCTCCAAGCATCCTCTTAGAGGCAAGTGTGGTCTAGAAGTTTGAGTGGACGCGCCTCCTACTGGAGCATGAGATTGCCAAACTGCGTGGCTTCCCCCAGCAAGTCTCATGGAAAGAGCGTTGGCTCTCCCACACTGATTTCGTGTCTCTGGAATTAATATAAATACCCCAGCTCCCTCCACCTCACTTCACCTTTCACACCACCAAATCTCAACCACTTCAGATCTCGCATCACCCAGCTCATTGAATCCCAAACCAATTGCACCACCAACACCGAAACCCAACCATTCCCCCCCTTCCATCCCTTTTTATCTCTCCCACCATTGCGCAATATCATCGCCGCAATCAACATCATGGATTCGGATTCGGACTACCCGCGTGATCCGGCCCCGCATACTTCGTCAGCGTCTTGTTCTCTTCCAGTTCACTATTCGATTCCTAGACATTCTTCTCCCGATACAAAATCCCCTCCGATACGAGAGCGGCAACTGGACGGGCACGACAACTCACACGGCACTCTGGCTCTTACCCAAGAAACGTCCCCCCTTGGCGGTGCGCCCCATGCCACAATGGCATGATCATTGTCGTGCCATGCAATGCTTTCTCGCCCAACGAACGCTCTTCCAGGCACATGACATTCAAAACGTGCTCCGCGCCGTAACGGTGTACGCAACACATCTCCATCTAGGACCGCGGTGGGAGTTTGGATCATTGGAGGTTTTGCTATTGCCAAAGGGAGAACTGGCTGGGTTTGGGGAGGAAAGTGAAATGACCACTGTCGAGTGGGTGCGTGGTTGGGGGCTATATCAGTGTGGCCTGTTTGAGGAGGGCATATCAGTGTGGCCTCTAGGAGAAGGGCTTGTCATTGGTTTCAGGGTGGGATCTGAGAGGACATGTACCGTTAGTCCCTATGTGATCGTCATGGGACATCGGTGGAGTGCGTGGTTGGGGCCAATTCCACGGGTAGAGAAATCCACGACAAGATTGGGAGGACATGTACCGTTAATTCCTTAGTAACAAGCGGTCGGTGAATGGTTTGGGCTTTTTGAAGGACATTGCCTGCTTCATATCCACGTTGACTTGTACGATACTAAAATTGATGTTTTCTCTTTGAACTGTGCCGCAAAATACAATCCCCTTTCACTCGTTAACCCATGGCCGCCCTCTCGAACATCTCGGTCTCCTCCCGGCCTCGCTGCGCCCACTCTCTCCCCTTTTCCACCTCCCCTGCGGCCCCCCATAACCGGCCGAGCACTTCATAATGTCCTCCCAAATGCGGCACCAGCCCTTCCTCGTCCACCGCCTCGACAGCTTCCGAATACAGCGCCACAGCCTGCTGCATATCCTCTTTGCGGCCGCGCGACACCAGCTCGATAACTTCCTGGCCGAGACGTGAGACCTTCTCGCGGCGCTTGTCGGACGCAGCGAGGTCAGCGGGAGGCGAAGTGCAGAGATCGCAGGTGCAGGTGAAACCCCAGCCGGAGAGGAGGTTTTGTTGGCGGATTGTGGAAGGGAGGCCGAAGGTTGAGTCTGTTTTTTGTTTAGGTCTTAGTATAAGGCTTATGTTGTTTTATGTTTATCATGGGGGGATGGGAGAAATGGGGTTGAGTAGTAAGAAGAGGAGAGGGAAGGTAGGAGTAAAACCAGGGAGGAGGGAACATACAGCTGATGGTGATCTCTTCGCCGGGGAGGATGTCACGAAAGGCCATGGCTGTGTTGGAGAGGGTGGTTGAATTGAAACGGGTGACGGCGCTGGTGTTGTCTGTTAGTATCACTTTTGCGGGTGGGAACATGCGAGAGGGGCATGTGGGAAACTGTGAAAGGGGCAAGTGGAAAAACTGGAAAAGGGGTAGTTTAGGTGGGTAGTAAGCTCACCTTGGTTTACAGGCGTGGTTCATCCTCTGTCATGCATCGCGCATTAGCCAACTCATCCCATCCCACTCAATTAGGTAATTAATCCATCCCAGAAACAGTATAAACTCACCGCAATCTTGGGAAACAGCGCCATATACTCCCGCCCCTGCACCTCCACCACAAACGAATTCGTCTTCATCACATCCTCACTAACCGGCACCCTCTTCTTCCTCTCCTCGTCCTCATTCTGCCTCGCCAACCCGAGTACCTCCTCTCTGCCCCGCGTAGATAACCGCCCAATCGCCTCAGCCATCAATTCGCGGCCCTGGGCCTGTTTGACGTGTCGCGGGAGTTTGGTATCGGCTAGCACGGCCGGGTAGTCGATCATGAAGATGCGGCCGCGGGGGATGGGACGGGTGGCGATTAGGCCTTTGCCTTTGTTGGGGAGGTCGCGGAGTTCGTAGGGGAGGTTTTTGGAGTCGGGTTCTTCGCTTGTTGGTTCTCGGGTTGTTTTTTCTGCTGTTGTTGTTGTTGTGGCTGATGATGATGATGATGATGATGATGATGCGGCTTCGGGGCTGAATAAATCCGGGAGTGGCTCCAATGCTCCTGACAGTGATGCCGATACTAACATGTCTGCTACCGCTGTCACCGCGGTTCGGGACACTTCATCATCGTTATCCACCACGGTGTCTTCGGTGGTAATGGCATACGGCCGAACATCGATGACGCTGAGGCCGCGGTCCGAACCGTGGAAGCCGGCGTGCGTAAAGATGCAGTAGTCGGTCTTTGGGAGACAGTACGGGCGGGCGGTAAAGGGATGCCAGGGGGGTGGGTCCCCTGAAGAAGGGGCACAACTCGGGGTGGTGGTGAGGTTGAAGGACGAGGGTTGGAGAGGGCCGGGCAGACAGGTGGTCCCGAAGAGGTATTTGGGGGGTGCTGAGGCTTTGGCTTGGGATGCAGAGGCGGAGAGAAGGAGGGAGGTTGCGGCGAGGCTGGAGAGGTATGGTATTGATGGCATTGTAACGGCAGTTTGTTTTCACCACTTTGTACAAGAACGTTTCTCCGAAAGAAAACAGAGAACACCACGAACCAGAAGAAAGAAAACGAGCGGAAACCGGTGTCTATTGAGAAAACGAAACTCTTCAAGGCAGGAACAAATAAACCGAAGAAAAGAACGCAGAGATAATTAAGAAGACAAGAAAGGTAAAACAACGGCCCAGAATGCAACAACGCCTTGGATCATCGACCTCCTGAAAGAACACCATTCCTCGTTCTGCGTGCCAGAACGGAAGCTTGACATGCCAATGCTCTCTTGTCAAGTTTTTAGTCAATTACCCATCCGAACCGACACTCCTTTGATGATCCTCCCATTCCCAGCACTCAGAGTGGATCATGAAACCCACGGCACGGCAATGCCAAGTCCTGGGCAGCGGACCGGGCGGCTCGGCGACAGCTGGGCGGGCAATTGAGCCGCCATGTCGTGTCCGAGGTGGAGACGCCGGACGGTTGAAACGGGCAATTCGGAAGAGGACTGGGTTTTGTCGCTGAGAGCAGCGAGATCGTCGGGATTGGCAAGAGTTTGTTCTGGAAATCTTCAGGGAATGTTCCATGTTGTTCCCTGAGGTTTCGCGGAGCAGATCGGATACCACAGTTATTGAACTCGACGATGCCTGTGAGCCCGTCAGGGACCGCATGTGTCCCAGGCGGCCGAGAATTTCTGACATTCCAATACTCCGGGACAATAGGGAACCATTGTTGTTGAACGTTGGCGCCCTTACAAAACGCCGCAGGAGGGAGGTATTCGCCGGTTGTCGAGATGCAGTTTGGATAAGCCCTGTTTTCGGAAGTATCCAATCGCATAGTTGTCGGCATGCGTTAAGCGAGTGCATTCGAAAAAGGAGGTCCTCCATACGCCCGAATTCGTCGAAATTCCACTTGCTCATCCGGAAGATATCGTCAACTTCAGGGTTTTCGAGGCACGGAAACCAGGCCATGAAGATCGGTTTTGTCACGCCGTGAATGCGCTTTGAACCCATTGCAGGCTCCGATTTCATGAAGAACTGGATTCCGAGAAAAGAAGCGCCGAATCCAACGTTGGCTAATACGTTGGGGTTCCCCGGCCGGTCGTTGAGCCTGGAGGAGGCGCATGGCGAAGCTTTACTCTGCGCGTGCGTTGGCGCTGCACCGAGGGCCTGAATCAAGATCCACTTGGCAAGCAAGGTGACTGTTGTGGTTGTACGCGGGAAGGGATTTGGCCATGTTCGGAGGTTTGGTGGCGACGCGGCGTGATTCGGAGGCATGAAAGCGTCTTCGTATAATAGCGGGCATACGGGGTGCCGAAATCGATTGAGGTGGCGCGGAAAGATGCGGGTTGTTGCCAGTGCATCATGCAAATCTTGGTCTGAAGAAGCAATCTTGAAAGGTTGAATGCATTGGTAAGTTTTCAGGTGTTTGTTAGGAAGAACTGGTGCCTTTAAATATTCAGGAGTCGGTCGGGTTCACAGCGAGACGACTTATGCTGGGTCAGGAAGGCATCACGGAGTAGATGGAAAGTGGTCAGGGGGTTTGCTCTTGCTGCTGCGGGATGTTTCCCAACAGGCGCGCTCGACTAGGTAGGTTCTGCCAGAGCAACCGTGTTGTTGTTACTTCCTTATGACGGAGTAAGTCAGGTCTTCATTGCCAGATATTTTAGAGTGTTGGTCATTCTTTCTGCGGTAGTGGATTCGAGTCGGCAGGTTGAAGGGTTGCTTGCCGGCAGGAACCTGGACGTCATAATTTCTTTTGGTCCTTGGTGATGCTTTCTGCATTCTCACGAGGCGGAACGAAAAGCCGAACATGTCCCATCCAATACAAGCCCATTTATTCACCTGTCCAAAATCGTATCATTCGTATTGTAGAGTTGTTAGCCATAACAATGATGAATTATGCCTTTGCCACGGGTTGGCGTGTGTTTAGTGTGTAACATTCGAACGCTCAGCCCCTCAGCTGTTCAGAGCTCCGCCAGCTGACGGCGAACTGCACTCGCTGATGCTAGCAGCAGATATGGAAGAAGTCGGAGGAATCATCTATCCAGCTGTGACCCGTGACTAACTGCATGCAGACACCTCTGGTTGCTGAGGTATGGGATCTCACTTATCTCTGGAGTTACGGGTAGCTTCACCACCTGGCTGGGAGTGACATGCAGAACCAAACCATCCACACAAGCTCTGGGCTTCTGAGATAGCTAACTACCTAGCAATAGTTCGTATATTTCCTGGTTGGAAGATTTGGTTATTAAGTAATTACCGAAACATTAAACAACCTTTTAGCGATGGTAAATACATGAGCTTGCTCTGAGAATCCTCATGGAATCTTCGGGAAATGTTTCACGGTGTTCCCTGATGTTGTGCGATGTAGGTCGAACAGTGCAGTTTTTCGAGCTATGCTCAGAGTCTTAACTGCCGCTTTGTCGGCGATGAACAAGCTTGCTTTCCCGCTTCCCTCGGAGGATGTACCGTGTAAGTGTGGCCCCCACCCGTTACCCCTCAATTTACTGCCGGTAGCTTATGTCTAGTTATCAGCAATTACACCTCATCACAGAGACCTGCCAACACACTAAAACGAACCCAGGGGCACCAGCCACGGGACCACACCTTAGCCATGCCGCTGTGCCAACGCTGCACTCCCCTTACCGTCAACGAGCTAGTTGAGAATGATGTCTTCTTCCACGCCGACATGGGCGCTCTCAAAGCAAGCGCAGAGCAAGGCTGCGAATTCTGCTTACTGTGCTGGGACGCTGTGCACACCGCGCACGAACCCCGGGTGGCCAGGCTTATCCATGGCGAATCGGCCTGGATGGAGGGGGAGCCGTGGACTCCAACCGTATGGCTCCGCGGCGTCAACTTTTATCACCACGGCGTCGCCGGCGCGGAGGTCGCGGTCACCTGCGGAAAGCTCATCCACGGAGGAGTCGGGGAGCCCCAACCGGGGTCCGAGTACAATCCAATACCAACGGTAAAAGGGAGTCTTGAGGTATACGAGTATGATCAGTGTCACATATCGTATCGTAGCTGGTATTACTTAACTTGAAAACTAACGTTCCTGTTGGAAGACTTCCAGGCCAACCTTCCAAGTTCCAACTCCGCGGGCGTCGCAGCACCGCCGATTGCAACCCGGAGCTGTACATCCCCTTAATTCAAGATTGGATGTCTCACTGCTGCACGCATCATCAACTTTGCGGGGGCAATACCCCCCTTGATATGCCCACAAGGGTCATCGATGTGGGCAACCATGGCGCCCCGATCACGCCTGTGCGTCTGGTGACCACGCAAGGGCTGCGTGAGCGCTACATAGCATTATCCTACTGCTGGGGGGCCGATACCTCCGGTGTTCTCACTCTGAACGCCAGCACCCACGCGGCCTTGGCCCAGGGCATACCGGAAACACAACTAGCCAAGACGCACAGGGAGATCATGTCTCTGGCTCGTGCGCTCGGCATCCGCTTTGTATGGGTGGATGCGCTGTGCATCATCCAGGGCGACGCCAAGGACTGGGAACGGGAATCCAAGGCCATGGCTGCGGTGTACGGCAACGCGACCCTGACCGTCATCGCGGGGCGGTCCGCGGCGACAAAGGACGGCTTCATCGCCAACCACTACGACTCTGTCGGCGCGGCGCAGCGCCGGCCGAGCCCTTGCGTACTGCCGCTGGATGGCTCGGTTGATTCTGGTGTACTGGCCGTCGGGGCCTGTCGATCTGTTTCCTACGGGCCCGTGTCCGGGCGGGGGTGGTGTTTCCAAGAGAAGATGCTTTCCCGGCGGGCTGTTGTATTTGCAGAGCAGCAACTTGGTTTTCGTTGTGCGATGCAGTTACTGTGGGAGAACGGGTTGGCCAACCCAAACCTCGGGCGTCCAGGGTTCCTCCAGCACCCGGGGTCGTCGACGGCTATTAGCACCAGCAGAACCGCGAAGCGGCCTGCCCACCTTAGTGCCCAGGACGAGGTGCTCAGGGATTGGTATAAAATTCTCAGCCAATTTTCCGTGTGTCAACTATCCAACCCGCACGACGTCTTCGCAGCCATCAACGCCGTCGCGCAGCAGGCATCCCGTCTTCTCAACTCGCGATATCTCGCCGGGATATGGGAATGCGACCTCGTCCGCGGCTTGCTCTGGAGACCGGCCCATCATTTCACAGCCGAAATCACCATGAGAGCACCAACCACACGTCCCAAACCGTCCAAGTTCACCACGGGAACGGGCCCCGTCGTCCGCGCACCTTCGTGGTCGTGGGCCGCGGTAGAAGGGCCTGTGGCGTTACCTTTGGGGTCGGTTGGGTTTACACCGGGCCTGGTGGCAAGGCAGCGAGACCCGGCGTATCCGAAGATCCGCCCGAAGCATCTGGATCCTGTAAGGTGGTCGGTCGATGAGAAGTGTGGTATTGACGCCCTGCATATGCCGGCATGTGAGCTGCAGATGGTAGGTCATGTAGCCAGGGTCCGGGTACTTACAGAGCCGGTGATCGGGTATCTTGAATCGGGAATGGGCCCAAAATATATCAATAAACCGCGGGCGGTCGCAAACGGGGTACTGGTTGCTGAGCCGATCGTGTGTGGTGGTACGGTAAGGGGTGAACCCTGGGATCAGGTTGTCGGCCTGGGATTCTTCGATGTTAAGGAGGAGAGAAATGGGGTTGATTACGCGTGGTGTCTCCCAGTTGTGCCGGACTTGGGACTTTTGTTAGAGAGGAGGCTCGATGGGAAGTTTAGCCGGCTAGGCTTTGTTTACATTCAGAAGTTAAACTGGTTTCTTGAGCAAGGGGAAGGGGGAATCTGTTTATGTTAGAGTATCTATAGGCTCGTCGGAAGTGCTGGTTCCTTGGACAATCAAGCTACTTAAGTCCGTAGGTAGAGATGTTGTTATGGGAAACTTGAGGCCACCCGCTCACCAAAAACAATAGTCCATCTTGAATACACCAAATCACACAGGGTTCAAGAGAGCAAAGTAGGTGTAGGGAAAACAGCGTGTTGATCGAATTGTCTCAATTGCGACGCCACCTCGTGCTGGTGAAAGTATTGCTCAACCTTTGCCTATTTTGACGACAGCCGTGCTTTCATCATGCACCCATTTTTATATAAACCCATATGATCGAATACCTCGGCTCAAAGGAAAAACCCCGAATATTTAATAATTAGTAGTCGGCTGCCGTGCATTTCTAGCAAGGACAGCCTAAAGAGAATCTCAACAGGCAGAGCAGGCTTCCGCGTAATGCTGACTAGAATGGGACTTTCGAGGTCACCATCTCTCTCACCAGCCGCTGGAATACCTCGACCTCCACCACCGCGCCAAAACTACCCCAAAGCTACGTTAGCCTCGACCGGCTTCGCTTTATAGACAGATCAAAGGTGGCCATCAACATACCCATGACACTTCGCAGCATCGCGCAACCTCTCAGCCAGCGCCATCAACCCCCTCAAATCCAAGTTCCCAAGCATCGGCTTCCGCTGTATCTCATCCCAAGCTTGGATGGGCGTGACCTCCGTTTCGCTATTCGTCACCACCTCCGGGGCGAGCGTGAGCAGTCGGTCGAGGATCCCCGCAGGGGTGTTCTGTACCGGCAACAGAGAGGAGCGCTTAGGCGGTGGGGTGGATGAGGATGATAGGCTGAGGAGCTGGGAGGTAGCCGTTAGGGCGTGATTGGAGGGCTCTTCGGGGGTTTTGGGGTTGCCGTGGATGTGGCCTAGGCAGGGTTCTTCGATTCTGGGAATGTGCGTTAATGAGTTGATCTTCCATTGAGGAAGGGGTTTCACGGCTGTGGGTAAGGTTGAGAGGAAATTAGGTGCATACTTGAGGACAAACTTCATGCCAAGGGTGGTTTGGTCGAACTCGCAGACTCTGGATGATAGTGAGGTGTTGTCGTCTGGAGAAATGCTGAAAGGCGACGGCAACGGCGGCGGCGAGAACGTCGATGCCTGGGGCCACTCTGTGTGGGTGTAAACCTGGGACCCATCATGTGACATGGGTGATTCAGATTGTGTTAGCTGCCCTGGGCTGGCACCGTTACCGTTGACTCGCGAAGAGGAGAGCTCAGGAGTTGCGATGCCATGTTGAGCGAGGATGCGCAGCAACATCTGAACATCATCTTCAAGATGCTTCTTCTCAGCCAATATCTGGCACTCGCGCAGCCGAGAAGTTTTGACGTCTGTCTCGAGGGCCTTCACATAACGCGTCTTGCGCTGGCGGTACACACTATCATGATGATGACTCAGCTTGTGTTCACGTGTGGTGGCGTGCTTGTCGGAAACGTTCAACGGTTCAGAATTTCAGATGTGATGTTGGAATCAGTTGGGGGACCCACTGTTGTGCCCTGCGCAGTTGCTCGCGCCTCTTCTCGCCTGTATCCTCCTCCTTTGGCCGCCTCCCCGGGTTGAACATGCGGAAGATGGAGCCTTTGGACGACATCTGGGGCATACGTAATTCGTCGTGGCGCGTGAAAATACAAGTACAGTTTCGACAACTGGAGATAGGTTTGGAATCATGGATTGAACGCGTTGTTCAATGTTGTCATCGCCGAGTTGGAAACAAAGGCACACATACGCAGAGACGATCCTCGGATCCTGACCTGGGGAGAGCCGCATTTCCCCTGATGTAACCCTACACAGGACAATAAGCGTTCGCCGCATCCAGGCCCCCTGCTTGTGGTTGTCCCGGGTCGCTTTGTCCAACGTTTGTTATACCTGCATGAGGCAGTTAGTGGGCCTCCGTCAACCAGCCCATCGGACGGCCGCAACGTGGATTCTCGGGAATGCGGCCCCTTGTGACGAGTGGCTTTGGTGATTGGTGAACGCTTGCGTTCCATCTGGGGAATGAATCCTTTCTTGATGTCCTCCGCAGCGTTGGAGGCTGTCCCGCGCGCTAGAGCCAAAATAGGAAATCTTGATTACACCTGAGGCGGCCGGGGTTTCCACTGGCCCGATGTTGAGACGTTGAGGCTTCAATTGAGCGCTGTTGGGTCGCATCATCTCATGTGCTATACATAGAATTGCAGCAGACTGGAAATCCAGTTCATAATTTAATTCCAGGCACGGCCCGGGCACCGCCCTTCGCTCCTCGAATCGAGATCCCCTTGTCCCGGGCTCGAGACTAAACAGGAAGTCTTGATAACGTTCAAGAAGCTCTAGGCATCATGACGAAGGCCCCATGGTCTCAATGGGTTGAAGGGTAGTAGAATACTTGCTTATGGTCAAAGGTGTATAAAGATGTTGGGTCCAGTCTCTCAACTTGACAGTCATCAGACGATTGACATCCATTGCGACAAGTGCACTCCGACAACTGAGTCCTGACTTCTCTCCGATTTTCCATCCCTTCCCACCCAATTGCGAATTCCAGCCCAAGATGCGCTTCACCTCCGCTCTCGCCCTTGGCAGTGCTCTGCTGCAAACCCAGCCAATTCTTGCCCATCCATCCAGTGGATGCGGCGTGCGTCGGGCCGCCTACATCATCACCAACGAGGAGGAGAACTCGGTCGTGTCGATTCCCATCGCCAGCAATGGCTTGCTTGGAGAGGGATCCAAAATTGCGACTGGTGGCGCCGGTGGTATCGGCATCAGCGGCGCTACGGGCCAGCCGGCCGCTGTCGACGGACTCGCTTCCCAGTCCTCCGTGACCGTCGCGGGCTCGGTAAGTGGTGGCTGACGTGAAATTGGGCTCGATACATTGTAGACTTGTCACGTCTTCTAACACGACCTGTAATTTCATCAGACTCTCTTCGCCGTCAACCCCGGCTCCAACACAGTCACCCAATTCTCCATCAACAAATCCGACCCAACCAAACTAACCCGCGTCGGCCACCCCGTCAAGGTGCCCGGCGAGTTCCCCAACACCGTCGCAGCCTCAACCAAGTACCGCATCGTCTGCGTCGGAACCTCCGGTGTCATCAACGGCGTGTCTTGCGCGCCCTTCACCCCGGCCGGCGGCATCGGCACCTTCGACGCCCTCCGCCCGTTCGACCTCAAACAGACCACACCACCCGTCGGTCCGACCAATACCGTGTCGCAGGTCTTCTTCTCTAATGACGAGCGTACGCTGTTCTCCATCGTCAAGGGTGACCCGCCGCAAAACACCACGGGCTTCTTGGCCGCGTTCCCCGTCGAAGCCGCATGGGGTCCCGGGGCCAAGGCCTCCGTTAGCGCGAAGGGGACAAGGTCTTCTCCCGAGGGAACTGCGGTCCTGTTCGGCTCCTTCGTTATCCCCGGATCCAGCGATATCTTCGTTACTGACGCCTCGTTCGGTGCGGCTGTTCTGTCTGTCGGGACTGATCTGAAGGCTACGACCAAGGGCCGCGGCGCTATTGATGGCCAGGCCGCCACTTGCTGGTCCACCTACTCACCGGCCACCAAGACAGCCTTTGTGACGGACGTTGCGGTCGACCGGCTTGTCGAGGTGTCTGTCACGGACGCGTCCATCCTGAACGTGATCGACCTCAGCGCTAATGGCCAGTCTGGGATGATCGATCTCCGGGCTTTGGATGAATGGATTTATGTCCTGGCCCCGGGGAACAACGTGACTGAGCCTGCTGTGGTGGTTGTTGATGCTACGACCCGCAAGCAGGTCCAGGTGAAGGGGCTGGGTAGCTTGGGGGTTACTGGCAGGGGGCAGGGTTTGGCTGTTCTGGGTGCTTAAGCGCTGGGGATGTTCCAGATGGCGCGAATTCTGGCGGTTTAATGGGTTTGCATGATTTTGTTTGTGAGTGTAGGAAAGGTAGATGGATAGTACATAGTTAGTGTAGTCACCAATGTCACAGGCTTCCACCTAGTTCTATAGAGCCTTATTAATTCGCCTGGCGGTGATGACCCTCAGCAAGCTATCGACGCCCAGCCTCTTCCTTTCCAGTCGCATGAATTTGAGGGCATTTAATGCCATCTTGAATCCATCTTCTTGAAGAAGGTCCGCTAGCTCAATCATTCGGCAAGACACAGCTCTATCCTCACCGAACTAGTCTCGCCGCTATGCTCAAACCCGTCGTGAATTTCTTGGAGCCCTTTCCGTCGAGTCTCATAACTGATACCAGCTTTGTCGTTTGGTGAACCTACGTTCCTTGAGTCATCGCCAAGAGGGTACATGTAGCGGCCGGTTTGGATGCTAGTGGGCCATGAAGCCTTGTTTAACGCCGCTCTCGCAAGCTCAATGAGCATTAGGTCGCTCCCTAAGTGGGGTTAGTTGCAGTTCTACAGAGTACCATCATTTCTCATTACCCTTTGCTCCTATCAATGTGCTAGCTATGGGCCGCACTTCATCTCTTCCGCTGATTCTTGAGCGGTATGGCATCTGTGCGACTAGATATGGACTGTTGGTCTCGCTGCAGAAACTAATCAAGGGTAATACAAACCTTACATGGCAGCACAAGCTGAGGAGCGTGGATAATAGGCGATATGAACTTCTCTGCGATCGTTGGGAAAGTGCCAGCTGGTCTGCGGCTAACGTCAGTGTAATACGCCAAGTTATGTAGGCCGGGCTTTTCTTACGGGCTTGGATCATCGCGATATTCCGGGCCAGCTTCTCCGTACGGCATGATGAGGATGGCGTTGGAAAGGGTATCTGAGTCTGGGCCCAGGACCAAGTCGCTGACCCAGTCCCTGAAGACCGCAAGCTCCTCCAAGTATGTCTCGTACTCTTCCGGGGTGACCTCTTTCCCGATACCCCTGGTTTCTTTGGTTAGGACTATACAGATAGACAGGGCGAATACGACCTTACCATCGGAAACGGACAACCGAGCTGACAAACGCGTCTTTGCCAAACTTCGCTCTGTATTCAGCACGAAAATCATCGAACCCATGATAATAGTCGTAGCATAATGCCCAGAACGCACTCTGATTTGACCATTAATTGGTAGCAGAAACAGGAGTAAATTGGAGAAGCATACCTTTTCGGTGTACTTCAGCAATGGCACACCACCGGCTTTCTTGGGGGGGTTCTTCTTCCACTCCTCGGCGAAGCTGAATGGGGTTCTCTTGACTCCTAAAAAGTCTTCAAGGACGCCAATGAATTCCTCCGTTAGAGCTTGTTACTTAGTATTGGCGAGAGGATAGAATTCGGAGGGGTAAAGTATTTTTGAAGGGAATCTAGAGAAACTATGATGGTGAACATGCAGGTTGGTGTTTACACTGAGCAGCGAGAAAACATACCCGGTGCCTCCGCAACAGTTGGAGAGGGGAAACTTCGCGATTTAAGAGGCGGCCGGGAGGAAAGAACTTTAAACCAAGTGCCTCAACAGTAATTGGTACTGTCCTCAACAATAATTGTACTGTATAGGAGTTCGTTGGCGGTCCGCTGGTTTCCCGACCACATAATATTCGAGATCCACAAACCGTTGATCTCAGTAACGACATTTTGAACAGTGCAAGAAAACACCTCCAGATTCACACAGGTCCAACAACAGCATAATGCATTTATCTCGCACCAAATCTTCAATAACGTTAGGAATAATTTGATCAGTTTACTACATGTGGGAGGCTGCCTTTATCCCCACAGCCTCATACTGAGGTGGGCTACGGAGTTCTACTGAGTGAATCCAGCGCTTTAAATCCAGTTGCGGTTGCCAGAGCCCCGCGGTCGGATTTGGAGTGGTTCACTGTGTGCCAAGGAAGGGTTTAGGGTTTAGGGCGGTGGGTTATTTTCTTTTCAAACAGTGCTCCGTGGTTAGCGGCAACGGCCTCTGCCATCTAGGTCGACGGTCGTTACCAACATGGGCTCGTGTTAGAACACCGTGTGTTCCAGTTGTGGCCCTTTGCTCGAAGATCTACGAACAGGCGTGCTTCGATGCCAACTAGGAACGCCGAATTGTAAAGGCATAGTTAGATCAGGCTCATTTGATAAAACAGCTATATGCAGCTTGTTAGAATATACATATTTGTGTTGGTTATAGAGCTAGGATGGCAACTTACACCTACGCTGAGAAACGGCAGGCCTCTCCAAGGATCGTGGAACCTAATGCTGGCGCCGAGTAGGGTCTGGATGAGCGGTTCCCCTATTAGCATGCCGATTTGTTGAACGAGGAATACGGCGCTGTAGAGGGTGCCGCTGTGGCGGGTGTCCATCCATGACGTGGCGAGGGATACTGGTGTTGAGCGGGCACCAAATCCGAGGCCGTGGATCATCGTTGCTCTATATGGTGGGAAATGGTAGAGAAGGGGGATGGTAGGGTAGATCTACCTGTAATAAAAAACGCCGAGTTTGTAGCGAAGGCGAGTAGAAGCGACTCGGTGAAGAGTAGTGCTAGGCTTACTTGTACAATCCCAAGATTGAGGGTTTGAACTGAGGGCCTGAAGCGCTGGGTAATGAAGCGGATCAGGGCAGGCATGTTAATGAAGAACAGGAGTAGGTTCACAAGGGCGACTTCGCTAGGTAATGAGGCCATTTACTAACTTCGTGGGTTAGTATGAAAGATGCCAAAAGAGCACGAAGTTCGGATTTGCCCTGGACAGGTTTCAACCGAATCGAGCGGATGAATATTGTATGAGAGCGCGAAGAGAGTTGCCCCTGATCGTGCTAACGAAAAAGAAATAGCTCTGGCTAGTCACATATTGCGACTTAAAGAAACGAATTCGACGAGTCAGTATTAATCAGCCGAGGTATGAAAAAAATGCGAGGAACGTTGGGGCTTTCTGGTGAGCCAACTACGTCTCCGGTTTCGCGAGTATTTGCTGCTATCGGTACCGAGGATGCATCGTCTTGAGGCATAATCGCAAGGAGAGGGAAGGCTGAGAACAGCAAAAGATAGCTGATGATGAAAGGAAGCGGAGGCCGGATGTCGGCGGTAACGGACGACATCACGGGAGGGATAAGCTCGCGGAACAGCAAGCAGGAGTAGAGCTGGTAAAGGCCCCGGGTCCTTTTGGATGTGACCGCGATGTGATATGCATGGGCGGACCCGATCGGACCATACCTCTTTTCTTGGGTGCATGCCTTTGCGACCATGGCAGCAGGCAGCATTTCGGCAGCCTATCGTCCTCCTCCTATTAAATCAAGTCCTGGCCACGCCAGAGGTAGCAGAAGATTAGAGAAGTGAAGAAGGCAATAAACAAAATTTAGTTGGAAGACGGAAGAGGCCCATACCCACTTGATGGGGATTACAGGGCCGTTGACTACCTTGCTTTTAGTTCCCTGGGCACAAGATGCAAATGGTCCGGATCGTTTACCGATTGCCGATGTCCATGTAAGACTCATTAACATGCCCATCAAGATGACCATAAACAGCCCCCGGTGACCTCGATGATCAGCAATACGTCCGATGGGCAAGGCAACGATAATGACTGTGATACATCAGTGCCAGTTCTGAATCTAACCGAATATCTATGGGCCGTACCGGCAAGAGTCTCAAACGAAGTCATCCAGCCTCGGACTTCAGCCAGAGTCCGTTGGATGGGCAGGATCTCGCAGAGGTCAGGGATTCGGGATATCCCCATAATGGTATCGCATACACACGCCTTGCTCTTAAACAGACACCATGGAGGCCGTGATGATCATGACGGAGAGCTGGCATAAAAGTTCGAGTGCAATACAGTATTTGAAGGTCGGGGAAAAGTCGAGCCAGGTGTCCAGGATCGGGTGTGATTTGCAATGGTTCTGGTCGTCGACCATGACATCTGCACGAGGTCGCGAGCCGAGGAGCGTCCTTTCGCTCCGTTAATGAATTACCTAAATCGGAACTTCGCAACACGGCAGTTCAGTAATGCTAGGCCAAGGAACTCCGAGGAACAAATTACAAAACACCTTCTTGGGGCGACAAGTTGCTGCGACCGCCCTCGAGAGGCTGCGAATCCGTGGACATCCAATTAGAGTGTCGCTGTGAGGCTCCGGATCAGCAGAATGGGAGAGATTGGAGAACTGGTGTCTGGGGCTCACAGACAGTTCTGGGTTTGAGGCTCTCACGCTCTAAGGCTCTGTACCTGTTATGACTATGGTTATTCTCATGAGTTCTGATTGGTCGATTTACCGTGTGGGGCTGGAGTGACATGGACCCTGATAAACAATGGGAAGGACAACAAAACGAGAACGCCAAGGGAATAAAAGGAAATAAAAAAGCGAATGAATTACGATAACAAGGGGCATAGTAACGGGGAAAAAAAAATACAAGAAAAGGAGACCACCGTACTCTTACCGATTGGAAGGACAACCAAATTCTGTAATCCATGTCGTCGAGGGCCTAGAAAACATCAGGTGGGGCTGGGAGATGCACGGGCCAGCTCGTCGATTTGACATCAATGCGCGCATCTGGTTGGTCAGAGTCACTCGATCCTCATCAATCTTGCGAATCGCACATCACTTTTCAGACGAACTGCTGGACAGCAGCCGATCGGTGTTCCTTGTGTCTCTCTTCTTTGCTGACGAATTATTTTAATACCATTATTCCCATCTTCTTCTAACGTGCCTGACGAAACGGCCGGTCAATTGGCCGGCGCCCTGCGGGAATAGCGTCTCCCGTTGCGATTCGATGCTGCCCGCTGCAGCCCGCCTCGGGATCGAGGCGATTGTCTGTCCCACGGAGTGTCCCTGAGAGACCACACCGGGCGTGTAACCACCGAATCGCGCTTCAACGATGCTGTCGCACCTCCGATTCCACCGGCGGGGGCCGTCGACCTCGAACCCGACATCCCCCCTCCCGGAACAGGCCCCTGCGTGGGATGCGACGGCTACCGCTGCGGCTGCTGCTGCACAACGCGAGCACCCGCACCAGTCGCCTCACGACGTCTCACCGCGTCCCGATGCGCGCCAACGTTCCCCGAGTTCCTCCAATTTCCCGCCCACGCTCCCGCCCATAGCCCGTGTGGCCTCCACCGGCTCCGACCACCTCTTCGCGCCCATCCCACACGACGATGCCGATGCCCCGCCTCCACAAGAAACTCGTCCGCCCCCACCTCGCTCTACTTACGACGAAGAAGCCAAGGCCGGGTTTATTGGAGGCGTGGCGCTAGAGAACTATCGAAAGGCTGTACAGGCACCGCAGGCCAATGTGCCCGCTGCTGCTTCGACGATGGCCGGTCAATTGCCGGACACCCAGCTCTCGCGTGCGAAGCCTCCGCCACCGCCAATCGACACAGGTGTAGCCTCTCGACCTCCAATACAACCCTCTCGGCAAGCCAAGTCGTCTTGGTTCTCGACACCGACCGATCTACATCTAGGGCAAGGGGCGGCTAGCAAGCGGCCTTCAGGGACCCGGTTAACGAGTGAGCCGCCGCTGGTGGCCCAGTCGGAACCACAGAAGGGCCGGAAGGGATTGCCGTTTTTGAAGAACCCTATGACATCTCTCTTGATGAGGAGGAAAACGGCCCAGTCAGCTGCCGACACTCAGCCACCAGCCCCTACCTACGACCCGCGCATTAAGGGTACGAGGATCCACGACTTCAGCGCCCCGAGGCCAAGGAAGACCGTGTCAAGCGACGGTACGTCGTTATCGACAGAGGGCACCAGTTCGACGCCGGCAGCTACCGGTGATGGGGTAACGGTCCTCACGCCTACGGAGTCTCCAGGGGGCGTGGATGTGGCCGGAGATGGTCAGACATTTCCGGGCGCGCCGGCAGACCCTGGACGCAAAATCTCATCGGGAACCGTGCCCTCGGAACGGTCGGTGTTGCTCGCCGCGCCGAATGACGGGACTAGTGTGCGTACAGCATCTTCGACGGTTTCTCGCGGCACACAGACCGTCCCACAACCCACCACAGGATCGGCCTCGGTGCGAACGACCGCTTCTGGTCACCTCTCTGCATCTCGGGTGTCACGCCAGGGCTCTGCCGCTTCGGCTATTCCGAAGCACATGAAAAGCACATCGTCAAGATTTAGCTTCGACATGATCGGCGCGGCCGAGGAAGAAAGATTGTTGGAAGAACGGCATCGGCAACGTGAGCAGGAGAAGAAAACGGACGGCCCAGATGGTCGGTTCGATGAATTTGACGACGACTTCGATTATGATGCTATGATGGATGATGATGGACTCGAGGAGAGGATTCCCGGTGTGAATGCCGACTACGAGGAGGAGGACTATCTGGACGACCCCGAGGCGGAATTCGACCCAGACAATGACCAGGAAAACTTTGCCGGCTTTACCTTTCAACGGTCGAACCCGGTGTCGTCAATCACGAGCCCGATCAGCACCGGGATGCTAGCGACGCCTAGGGATGCAGCCGGTAATGTTGTTGGGTTTGCGATGACCAAGGACCCAAGCCCTGGCCTTTTGTCGCCCAATATGGAGTTTCTCGGCCCCGGTACCTCGGAGGTGAAGGAGCAAGGACCAGAATACAATACGAGCGATACTGTTGGTGACTTTGCACCGAGTCAAAATTACCCCGCGGCTAGTGTATCTCAGCCACCCCTACGATCGCACAATGACGATATTTACTTTGATGACGGGCTGGCGGATGAACTGGACTTTGAGCACGACGGCACTGTGTTTGACGAGTCGATTTTCGACAACAACGACACCGACAAGTATGGACGGCCGATCCCCGGCGCATTTGCCCAGGCAAAGGAAGCGATGCAAGCCGCGTATCAGCAGCAGCTCCAGCAGGAGCCGGAGCCGGAACCGGAGCATGAAGTGCAGCTACCAGTGCCAGAGATACACGACAGCCAGCCGCAAGAAGAGCCCCAACAATTGAAGTCACAGAAGCTGCCTGATTCGAACCGCGGCTCCGATATCACAAGCGGCTCGGGGCAGTCTGCGCCCGCTCAGTCGACGGGTCAAACATCAGTTAGTGTTAGACTTCCGCAGGACGTGAACCAGGCAGAACACGAAGACCTCTCGTTGTCACAGCAGATTTCGGAACCAGGCACCGAGGTCCCAGGCCAAGATATGATGTACCAAGCCGCGTTGGCGGAAGCGGCGCAGATGGCGGCCGCGTCGGGCAAGTTCTTCCGGAGCACATCGCCTGATGTACTAGCCGGGCTAAAGGATGCCCCTGCTGATGAACTTGCGGGCTACGAAGATGAGGACCCGAGTGGCGGGTACATTGACGACTACGCTGACGACGATGTCGAGAATAATTTTGATGACTTTGACTTTGACGATGACGCGATCATCGCCGAGGCAAATGCTAGCGCGCTCGCCAACGACTCGGATGGATTTTACGGCCAGGAGTTCGGGTTCTACTCGGCCCCAGTATCGCAACAGCCCAGCAGTAATAGCCACCAGCCGTCCTCAAGCGGTGTCCTCACAACGGAGAACCTCTTCCAGTACGGCGGCTTCTTCGGCCCGGCCAGCGCCAACATCAACCGCAGCGCATCAGGCCGGGTCGTGCGCGAGCCCAACCTCACCCCCATCACAGAACGCTCCGAGTACTCCAACCGCAACTCCATCATGAGCTTCACCCTGCCCCCCGCCATCAGCAACGGGGGCAGCGACCGCAACTCGCTGACCTCGCCCGGTCTAGCCCAGTTAGCGCTGCTCGCCGCAGATGACAACGACAGCAACATGAGCCTGACGGCGCTGATGAAACTGCGGTCGCGCGCCTGGGGCGGGTCACAGCCCAGCTTGGTATCGTCGCGCGAGGGCAGCCCGCGGTCGGAACGGGCGCCGATGCAGATGCCGCTGGACGGGTCTGCGGCGGGTGGTTCACCGTTTGGGACTGTTCCGGCGCATTTGGCTGGTCATGTTCGTGTTGGGTCGGGGCTGTCGCTGTGGAGCTGTTCCGAGGATGCGGAGGATGCCAGCAACGCGAAGGGGGCTAATGGCTTTAGTAACCCTGGGCTGGCCGGACCGTTTCCGTCGGGAGACATCCTCCCCCCTCGACCCGGGAGTGCGGGCGCTGCTGTCAACGGTAGTGCCGGCACCAGCATCATGAACGGATTAAGCTCTCTCCCGCAGCGACCACACTCGTTATTCTTACCACCCCAAACTCCGATGACTGCACCGTTACCAGGGACCCAACCCCCCGGCATGAACCCCCTTACCTGCTCCCCGGTCCTCGAACGCGATGAACTCGAGCCCAGCCCGACGAGCCCCGTGCCCGACGGATTCGCCCTAGCCCCAGCCCTCCCAGTCCGCAGAAGCGAAGACCTAGCCCGCGAGGCTACCACCTCCACCGAGTTGTCGCAGCATCCCCCGCAACAACAACAGAGTCCGCCAGTAGTCCGCCGTGCAGCGGGCTCCGCTGCTGGTATGGGTCACCGACATAAGGGATCAGCGGATAGTATCTCGTACCGGAAGGACGAAGAGGGCGGGGAGACGAAGTGGGTTGTGGAGCGGCGACGGACGAGTGAGAGTGGGGAGGTGGAGATTTTGGGGAGGGATGTGCTTCAGGGGGGGAGGATATAATCCCTAATCTATGGACTTGGGTTGGGTCGAGCCATCGAGGGGGTTAAAATGTGGATGTTTTGGGTTATGAACAATGAGAGAGTTGGCGGGAACCATCGATTATGAATTGCGAGGGTGGACTTGGGTCAATTTAGGGTAAAATGGATGGGCTTTTGGTATATTATACGGCGTTTGCCCCGGGCTTGCTATCGCCGGGCAAGGGGTAATTTTCGGAATGTTAGAGGCGTTGGGTTGCTTGGGTTACTTACGGCTCTCACGGGCTGGACATGGGATCCTGTTAAATACTACATTTGTCCTGAGACAATTCGTTTCTGTTGCGTCATGTTACAAATTGGATCTCGAAATGCATTTCATTGTTTAAGATGTCGAGATATTCTGCTGTGGAACGAACATTCCTCAACATCAATCCGCTTCTTTATCATTTGTACCTTCCATCCTCCTCGCTGGATTGGAAACTGTGTTCCTCCAATCATTCTAATGGGACTTGAACCAACAATACGGAAAGGTAACGGTGAACAAGAGCTGTTAAACGTTGCGGGATTTGTGGTCGGCCCAAGGTTACCCCGTAATTATTTGCCGCTAATCCTCTCTTGTTACCTACTCCTGCAGGAATTGTCAACTGACTCAACTCTAACTGTCCACTTTTTAAACGATTCGAGGTCTCAATGCAACCGCACCTCCTCGGTGATACCTTTTGTGTTGTTGAAGCGTGTTGTTTTTGAAGGCCTCGTGATACTCTCATACGCCTCCCATTCAAAAAATTACGTTTTATTGCACTCTTCATGCCCATTAACAACTTCAGTACACCCCTAGCCATCCCCTCTTCATAAAACCCAACCAACCCACCGAACCTTTTGTCAGACTTTTTCCTACCTAACCCTTCAACATAATTACCATCACAATGTGGTCCACCCCCTCCTTCGGCGGTTTGAGCGGTTTTGGCATGGGCGGCACCCAACGCTGCAGAGGCTGTGACCACCCACGGCCGCGATACACAGGGGGGTATGCGTCGGTGCGCTCGAGTCTGGGGAAGATGAGGCAAGCGGCGAAGTGGGGATGTGAGGTGTGTGCTATTTTGGAGAGGGGGGTTGGTATGTATTTAAGGGATGTGGGTGATGAGGTTGAGGTTCGGGGGGAGGTTGAGAGAGAGGAAGACGAGGATGATGATGATGAGGAGGAGAAGGACGTGGAACTCCAGTTGGACTTTAACCTCGCTGCATCCCGGCGGAGTTTAGAAGTGGTGCTCATCGGCAGGGGTGTGACGTTAAGTTTCTTTGCCTCGGAACGTACGTTCCCCTTTCCACCTCCCTATCCTCCTCTCAGTACCTACCTATCTAACACGACTGTGAATTAGTAACACCCTACCTAACAACCCTCCTCCCCGACCTCCCCCTCGGCCTTCCGATCCCCCCAACCACCTCCTCCCCGACCTCCCTATCCTGGGCCCAACGCCAACTCGCCCACTGCCAAACCAACCACCGAGCCTGCAGCGCCTTCGCTTCGGCCCCCCTTCCCAGCCGTGTCCTCGACGTCCTGCCCGCAGATTCCCCAGATTCTGATAACCCCCCCACCGTCCGTCTACATATTTCTTCCCCCGGTGAATCCGCCCCCTACCTAGCACTCAGCCACTGCTGGGGCCACCGCCCCTTCCTACGCACCCTCTCCGGCAGTCTGGAGGAACATCGAGCCGGGATTGTCTGGGAGAGGTTACCGCGGTCTTTTCAGGACGCGATTGAGTTTACGCGCCGGCTGGGGGTCAGGTATCTGTGGATTGATAGTTTGTGTATTGTGCAGGATGATGTGGAGGATTGGAGGGTGGAGGCGTCGAGGATGGCGGGGGTTTATCAGGGGGCGGTGGTGGTGCTTTCGGCGGCGAAGGCGGAGGGGGCTTATGGGGGGTTGTTTGCGGGGGATGAGGGTGGTGAGGGGGATGATGAGGGGGGTGATGGGCGAGAGAAGGTAGGGGGGAAGGTGTATGAGGTTGAGTTTACCCCGGGGGAGGGTAATGATTCAGGTTCGGAGTCGGTGAATGGGTCTAGCGATGGGGGTTCAGGAGCTGCGGCGGATGATGGCCAACAACAAGAGAAACAAACAATCTACCTCCGCCGCGCCCTGTCTCACCCCCATCGACTCCTCTCCCCCTACCACGCTTCGGCATCCTCCCTCCCGATTTTTACCCGCGGCTGGGTCTTCCAAGAGCGTTTTCTCTCGCCTCGCGTGCTGCATTTCGGCCGGGATGAGCTCTCCTTTGAGTGTCTCGAGGCCACGGTCTGCCAATGCAGTCCGGCGCCTGTTCCGGCGAGTGTCAGTGGGGATGATGGCAGCAACAGTCTCATGCCGGCGTGGTACAGTGATATGCTGGACCATACGGCTAGGCCGAAGAGGTATTACTCGCCGCTGCGGTGGAAGCAAATACGACAACAACAACAACAACAAAAACAACAACAACAAGCTGAGGGTAATACAAGCAATGGGAGTCCAGCTGACCCCCTGGCCATCTGCTGGCGCCGTCTCGTGGCAGATTACACCCTCCTCCGCTTAACCCACGATGGGGATATCTTCCCGGCTGTGTCTGGCCTCGCTCGGCGGATGCAGGAGGCTTTACTTCTCAACTTTGAGAATCCCAACAGCAACACGAACAACAACAACAACACCGACGCAGTAACCCCTGACCCTGACCAAAACCCAAAACTGTTAACCAAAAACAACCCCCTCGACTTGGCCAAACCCCATTACCTAGCCGGCCTCTGGTCCCCCACCCTCCTCCGTGGCGATCTCCTCTGGCACGTCGACCTCCCCCCCCTCGGCTACGGTCCCAATCCCATTAACCCCCCCAACCACCCCCTCACTGTACCGGAACCAACCCCAACAACCCCCCGCTGGGGCCCATCCAATATCTCCCGCCCCAACAAATGGCGCGCCCCCTCCTGGTCTTGGGCCTCAGTCCGCGCACCAGTGGGGTTTGTCAACGTCCAAGAGGGGGTTGAACCAAGCTGTGAAGTGTTGGATGTACGGTGTGAACCGATAGTGGAAGGAGGAGATGAGTTGGGGGAGTTGAGGGAGGGGGAAAGTTGGATGGTTTTGAGGGGACGGGTTGTTGGGAGTGGGATTAGGTTTGGGAAGTGGAAGGGGGGAACTCAAAAAGAAGAAGGAGAGGATATCGGAGATGGAATAGAGGGAAGGATAAGGAAGGAGATACAGCCGTTTGAGGTGGCCGAGTTGGAGGTGTTGGATGGGGGGTATTTGAAGAATCTGTGGATGGACGATGATTGTCAGGGGCTGGTCAAGAAGGATGGGAGTTTGGAAGAGGTGTATTTGTTGGTGGTCGGTCGGAAGTTGCCTCGGAAGGAATTGTTGTGTTTGGTGTTGGCTAGGAATGACACGGGAAATGACGGGGATACTCCACCGACGTACCGCCGGATCGGGCTGCTGGAGGTGTTTGGGGGCCCGCCGCGGCCGGTCGCATGGGGATGGTTGCATGAGTTGTTGGGGAAGGGGGAGGATGCTGTTTTGAGGGTTATATAAGGTAGGTAATTCTGGTTGGTCAAAGACGAAATGGTGTAATATCATCATACAATTCATGTCATTCTCCCGCTGTCAAAGGTACGGTACAGTACAACCCAAACTCCTTGTTCCTATCCTGTAGCTAGCCCCTGTCCCGACTCTTGTTGCCAGTCCCAGACATAAAAACCCCCTCGCCATTCCTACCTTTGTCGTTTATGGTACGTATTGCCGTGGCCGCATTTACACTCCGGGTCAAACCGGGGTTCGTAGTTCCTGGTCCTAGGAAAAAACGACCTGCAGCTGCAGGTATTCCACACGGGGTAAGGGTTCCCCACTGAGGCGCGCGGATGCTCATCCCACCAGCGCTCATGAGCCGGGTTAGGGACGTACTTGAAGGTGCATTCTCCAGTGTTGAGGTCGGCCATGTTGGTAGTTGGTTGTGGAGAGGGGCGTTGGCTTGGAGCTGGCTGCTTCTAAGGCGAGGATGGAGGTGATTGTTGCTGTGGGTTTGTGGCAATTAATTGCTTGATATGATTTGAGGTTGAGGATGGTAAAAGAAAGGGGCTCTACAATGCAAGTCCGGCCCATCTTACACACAAAAGGTCAAGCCATTTCATCCCCACGTATTAGCATTATTCACATTACATCCACCCGTTACAAACCCTCCAAAACGAAACAACACAACCCTCGGACCGCGACCCGATTCTCAACCCCTATCTGTCACCGTGGCCTTAAAGCGCTTGCAGAAGCAGGTGAGAATACGCCGATCGTATGGATTCAGGTTGCTCCCAACGTTCGCGGCCTGCCAGAGCTCCCAAGCCTTGTTGGGCTTGCCAGTGTCGCAGCGTCCAGCGTTGCCGTTGGGCATGTTGATGAATGGTTGTTAAGAGGGTTGGGTTGGAGCTGTTTGGTGGGTACTGAAGTTGGCAGGTTAGATTGGTAGACAGCGAGGAGGGTATTCAAGAAGGTGCTTACAAGTTGAGGAAGGACCTGGTTATTATTATAGGGACCGTTTGATGTGATTGATGTTATCTTGCTAAGAACCAAGACGGAAGTACGATCGAACTTGATCCTTATATACACAAAGTCAAACTATCCTACCTCTTCTTCACAGCACATCACATCCACCTATTACCGTAAACACTTCAAAACGAAACATCGCAGCCATACTCACTTGCCGCAACCCGGGGCCCGGGACTCGATTCACGACCTACATCCGTTACAAAAGGCCCCCAAAAGCATTAAGCGAAGCCACAGGTAGAAAACGGCCTGTTCGGTCCTGGCATTTGGGTTTAGTGTATCCCCAGTCCACATATCTGGCTGGTTGTTGGGCCGTACCGTCGTAGCGTGTAACGACAAAGCGTTGCGGCACAGCCAAAGCTGCCAAACCGGTATGATTCAGATCTCGGATTGGAAACAAGCTTTCGTTTTTGTAGCGGCACAGCTGTGCCTTTGGAACACCAGAAAAGCCTTTAGTGCCGTTTGAGGCCGTACACAAGGGCGAAGGGATACGGCGCACCCTTAGTGCCACAAGGGCTGGATGGATTTGGGTTTTCAAGTCCGTATTATGCAAGTGGATGTCTGCAGTGTCTCCACGAGAACTTGCAGGTCTATAAGTTGTAAAGGGTCACAGCTAAGTACAAGATTATATATTACTGGAACCTGTTGTAAGATATCAGCCCAATGTCGCCGATCGAATTATATACAATGTACCCTGTAGGTCCTCCATCTGACGATACATAGCACAGCCGACGTCGAAGTAGTCACCCGGCACCTCATGCCACTGGCCAGTATGTACAAGATTATATATCTAAGATCTGACACTACGGTTTACTGGTCTTATTTTACAACTTATGCACGGATTCGACAATCGAAATCCCATTGAGCCTTTCTCGCGCCAAGCGTGCACCGTCAAGGATAGTAGGATAAAAGCGTGCTTATTCCAGTAACCGACCGGCTCAGAAGTGTCTGTATTTCCTTTCTCTTTGGACCTTTTCGAGCATCTAAAAAACCCCTCTCTGCATTCTGCCCCAGCATCGGTTCCTCCCAAGCAGTCCGTAATCAGATCAAAAGACAGAAAAAAACTCCTTCACTCTTATATCGCCATATGGAACTTATTCTCATGGCCGCAGGCACGCGTCATCTTGTCCGTGCCGGGGTACTTCTTTGAATAGGCCGTGCAGATGCAGGCGACATACGGGCAGAACGGGTTCTTCAGTGTGGTGCTTGGGTTCGCAGTGTTCCAGAGAGCATAAGCCGGGTTAGGGTTCCACTTGTAGTCGTAGTGTCCACTGTTGGGCATGTTGAGTGTTGGTTTGGGGGTGTTTATTGGTTCCTGGACCTGGGTTGTTAGGGTGGGGGACAGTGGTAGACAGCGAGGGAGGTGGAAATACAAGGGGGTGTTAGAGAGAGTACTTACAAGTAAGTAAGGAGGTTGGTCTTCTCGTAGCAAATGCTTGATGTGATTGATGTTGACAGGACAGATAACTACAATCGAACTTTGGTCCTTGTTATATATAAAGGGTCAACCCAATTCATCTTTCACTTTTATCTACTCCCATCACATCCACCGATCACAAACACCTCGCACCAAACATCGCTGCCCACTTGCCCTGGCGCAACACCCAAGTCATCACTCGATCCCCATTCGCATCCGCTACAAAACGCCCCAAAAACACCAACCGAACCCCGGTCCAGAAAGCGCACTTCTCGGTCCTGGCTTTTGGGTTTATCCCCCAGCCGGGGCCCAATCCACGTGTCCGGCCGGTTTGTTAGGTCTTACCGTCGTAATGTGTAACGACAACGCACTGCGGCACAGTGAGACCAGTCTGGGTTAGATCTCGGATCCGCAAACAAGCTTTCCTCTTTTTGAGCGGCGCGGACCGGACTCTGCTCCGGGTGCGTTTCGGGAGTGGAGCCTGTGGACACCAAGGGAGAAGGGAGGCTAGGATACAAAGGGGCCTTATTCCAGCAATCGCCTGAACGATTTCCCTTCTCTCTCGGCTTTTTGAAGAATTTGACGAATTGTGTAACTATCTAGATCTCGCTAAAGCGCCAGGTTCTCAAAATAAAGTTAGTAAATCTTGGACAAGTTGGAACCTCTTGGGGTTTAACTAGTTATTTCATATTTCCTCTTCTCTGGTTCCTATAATCGTTTCAGGATGAGCAGAGACATTCTTATCTGCATTGATAACGACTGCCACGGTTGTGACGGGGTAGTTGATAATATATCCAACTCCTGGTTCGACTGGACAGTTCAAACTACCGCTCCTCTTTTAGAGATCTTACACAATATTCCGTTGACCGCACGTGTTATATAATTATAGTCTAGATATTTAACTGTCGTCACTACCTATAACACTATACATCTTTAGGTCTAAACAAAGACCTATGATCTCGGGTTTTCTTCTTAATGTCTCTTTGAGTCTTTTTCGACGGTCTTATTAGCTTCCCTCGAAATAGTGAAGGGCATTCTCTCCAAAAAAAAAGCAGTGGCAGAAGTTGTTTTGACATATTACAGGGTAAGCAAGCAGCTGTCAACACTGGTAGTCCATCGCTTGAGGTCAACATAACCACTAACATAACTGAGACATCGTTCTGTTCTTGCATCAAACAAACTCTTTGCCACGGGTCGTGACAGTGTGAAGTTCATGGGCGCAATTCCTGGTTACCGAAACTGGACAGTTCGAACCCCAGTCCTCTATTAAGGTGTTACGTACTGGTCCATTGCGCCCGCTACCGTGACAAGATCGCTTGTTTATCTGGCCCACTCGCACTCGATTTCAACTTCCATGCCACACAGACCCGGCCATTTCTTTTCTTTCTAGTTGGCGACTCATTAGTCACTTGGAGTCAATCTTACTGAGTGGCAAGACTAGGAATAAGCTGAGCAGGGATCAACCAGGCTATATTCTACTGAACCATACCCGCTAAAAGCGTGGTCTCTAGATCCTATGTACCTATCCAAGGCAAAATACAGCCCAAACCCCTGGTTCCCGACCCGCAGGTATCCCCGATTCCCTTCCCCTTACACCATTCCCCCCAATCTTAGACATCCTAAAACCCCCTTATCCCAATCATAATCTATGTGGCCATATGCGACTTGTTATCATGGTTGCACACACACTTCTTGTCCGGCTTGGTCGCGTCCTTGGCCTGAAAGGCCGAGCAGGTGCAGGGCACACGCGGCAAGTGAGGGTTCAGGCCGTTGCCTGGGTTCGCACGCTTCCAGGCGGTGTGGGCTGGGTTGGGCTTGCCGGAGGTGCAGCGTCCGGTGTTGGCGGGCATGGTGGTGGTTTGTTGTTTGTTTGTAAGATACTAGGAGGGAAGTTGGTGTGTGAGTCTTGGGGTGATGAACTGAAAAGGAGGGTGAGAGACAGTAGAGGGGCTGCACTTACGGCTTGAGAAGCAAGTTGTTGATATTGTAGTAAGTGTGAGATAGAATGCGAGGCTGAGAATGAAAAGTCCGACCTAGGAGATGTTTGCCTACTCTAATATACCTATGTAAACCCTGAACTATTTCGTCTTACATCATCATGTTCCCCCACGATGCCCTCTCGTAAAAGCCTTGTGCTGTTTCCCTGCTAGCCTTGATTACTATCTAGAAAGCCTGGGAATACATTCAGACGGCCGCGAAACGTCGCAGCCTCATTCCCGTTCCGCAACGTTCAGGTCGCGGCCCCATGCCCGATTCCCGATCCACACCATGTGCATGCCGATCGGTCTGGCGGCGGCTTTGGAATGTATCCACAAGACCGGGTGAGTGTAGACAACATGCAGCGTGCCGGTCGGTCTCGTGTAATTAAGACCGGCCCGGTCGTTGGGTCGTACCTTAGTCCTTACTTGAGCTTAGGTAACATGTAACGGTATACCCCATAGCGTTGCGGCACAGCCAGACAACCGCGATGCAAATCTGAGATCTGCAAACTACCTAGCTTGGTTTTTTCTATTCCAAAATCCTGCATCCTACATCCCATGTTTCAACACCCACGGTCCCGAAGTTGCAAAACGTGTCTGCCTGCGCCTCATTCCGAAGTGCGCTTATAGCCAACCCCACTTGGATGGTTTATATATGTTAAAATTACTCGCACATGTAAGCATAGAAGCTATTGTTCACTAATTAACGGAAAAAGTGGATCATCCCCAGGCACAGCTCACAGCCTCTGCACGACATAGGACGGTTTAGGCTGCTGTGTCAGCATAACCTCTGCCTACTTTACTTTCTACCTTAGGCGCTTAGGTTGGTAGAATTACCAAGTTTCCTTAGCTCTTACAGTGGATATTTGTCAAGGTCTTAAACAGAGTGACGTCGCCGGTGGAATCCCCATACGAGTCCTGGCCGTTTCGACGTTTCGACATGTCGATCTCGGTCAGGCCGGAATTTTGGATGGGGTTGTGAAGTCATTTTTTCCATTTTTTGTTCTTCCATTCTCTCATCCAATATAGGTGAGTGGAGGATGCTAGAATCAAACAAAGGACATGAGCGGAGTGCAAATGAGCAATCCCCTGCTCATCAGAAACATCGACCGCAGCGACCGCTTAAACCTGTATAGCCACGTCCTTTGCGACTATATCTTCACACAACTGTCGTACAATGCAACAATCAACAAACTAGATACCCCGACCTCACGACTAATCCAATATACACCGTCCGACCAACGCACCCACGCATACCTCGAAAGAAGCCACCCCCTACTTCCACAAATCCCTCCAAAACTCCCTCCACCCATACCCCTTCTCCCTCCCCTCCTCCACACTAACCCCCGACGTCCTCCCACCCCCAAACAACCCACCCATCCCCCCTGCCCCCGCTCCCCCCTTCCCTATCTCCCCCCCACTCCCCAAAGGCCTAACCTTGGAGTTACTAGCCCTCTGCCGAATCTCATCCGCCACCAGCGGCGCTACATCAGCGTAGCACGCGTCGAGTTCACGGTCGAGAGAGAAGTAGGGCTTGCGGGCTAGTTCGGGGGCCATGAGGTTGTAGGCGCGGGTTAGGGTGTTGAGGTTGTTTATGGAGAGGGTGAGGTAGCTGGTTTCGGCGGCGTGCCAGGTTGGGTCGCGGAAGGGGTGCTGGATTTGGGGTTCTGGGTTTGTTTCTATGGGAGTTGGGCCTGTGGGTATTGAACCTGGTTTTGCTGCTGCTGTTGTTGTATCTGCGGCTTCTGTTGTTCCTGCTGTCTCTGCTGTGGTCTTCACTGTGTTCGCAGGGCTTGCGGCCGTCTCACCCGGCCTGCGTGCTCGCGGATTATACACCACTTCCGCCGCAGCATAAGCTTCCGCACGCGCGATCTGAACCTGCAGCGACCCCCCACGCGCCGAGATCATCCGTGCAACATGGCGCTTCCACTCATTACGCAGACGCCCGCGGAACGTAGCCGCAGCCTTGGTCAACTCCTGCTGCTTCTCGATCCAGGGGGGGACCATGTCCTGGCGCTTGATCATCTTGTTCATGATGTACTCGGTCTGGCAGTCACAGTCAGAGACATCACACTCACTGCACGGGCAGCATTGACAGGGGAAAAGAAGAACAAGGCCTCACGGTATCAATAAAAGGATTATCCGCCCTCCTATCCCTCTCGACCCCCTTCCCCCGGGGTATATCCTTAAACTGCCCCCTCGCAATGGCATCCTCGATCCTCTCATTCGCCAACGCGGCCAGCCCCGTCACAGTATTCGGCATGGCCCTGGCCCCCGGCGCAAACCTTTCGCGAAACTCCCGTCTCAACTCCTCCCTCTCCTTTTCACTCAGCCCATTCTTTTCTCCCCCCTTCACTTTGTTTGTCCCTTTGTCTACCCCCATCCCAGCATAAGCCATAGCCTTCTCCCTCGCCCCGGCAACCCTCCGTCCCACACTAACCCTCCCCTCCCGTCGCAACCGCATATCCACCACCACAGCAGACCCCGGTTCCGGAACCTTATATTTTCCCCTCAACCCCGGCGCCAACGGCTTGCGACCATCATCCAACATCCTTAACACCACATCCCCCATCTCTTCCTCCCCCCTCCACGGCGTCGCACTCGCTATCCCGCGCGTTCCTTGCCCCGCTGACTCCGGCAGTATCCCCCCTTGCCTGCCACTGCTGTCAAGACCGGCCTCGGTCAAAGCGGACGCGTGTTGGGAATCGAATGAGGCGGTGGCGACTTTGGAGAGGAGTTGGGCTTTGAGATCGGCGGAGAAGCCTGTGTCGTTTAGGATGGAGTTGCGGGTTGCGGGGGATGAGGTTAGGAGGGCGTGTTCGGTTGCGTGGAGGAGGCGGGTGGTCATGGTGCCTGGGGAGGGGTCTACTTCTGGTGTTGAGGCTACTTCCGGATCGGGGTTGGGGCTTTTCTTTAAAGTTGCGGTTGGGTTTGGTTCTGGGGTTGGGTCGGAGCTTGGGAACGAGGCCCGAACTTGGGAATGGGACGAGGAGGTTTCGGAGCGGGAGGAGGAGGGGGGGGAGGATTTGGGGTCGGAGCGGGAGGCATTATGTTGGGGAGTATTCGCTGTGTCGGGGGATTCGGGCGAAGTTGGTAACTTTGGTTTTTCGGCGGTCGCGGGGAACAATGAAGAGCGCGAACTGGAGAAATAGCGAGGGCGGGATGGTTGTGCACGCAAGAGCGTTTGCTGTCGGAGGGTGCGGGCGCAGCTGGCGCATATATACGGTGTCGTCGCCATCGGTCTCGCTGAGGTTTGTCGCCATTTACGGAGTACGGATATCGTGGTTCGGTGGAAGCGGACGCGGGCGAATTCGACGTTCGGGTTGAACGGAAGCAGAAGCGAGGGGCTGCCGGGATAAGCGCGGGTGGGTACGGTAAGTTTGGACGTTACACCAGCGCAGGAAGATGGAATGGCCCTTCATCGTCTGACTACGGATACCCGATATGCACGTGTTCGCTTACTCTCGCATTCGCGATCCGTGTCGCATGAACGTACATGAGTTCTAATAAGGAAAGAGTCCAGTTCTGAGCGTTTCAGGACGGACGGTTAACGCGTTGTTCGTTCATGAAGAGCCAAGCTTGGCCCCTGTAGTGTAATACGTAATACATGTATCGTAACATGAAACTCTGTTTGACTCTCTTAAAAACCCAGAATAAATAACAAAAATAATGCCAACCGTCTTATCCATCGTAATGCAACCGCCCGCGTGTATCCGTACTATGCAAATGCCAATGTTTCGCCCGAATCCAAATCCAAATCCAAAAAACCAACCAAAACAGGCAAACACCGAAACCGTCAAAATACAAAGCCGACCCCAGATACCCAGTAATACACGAATCAACACCGAATTATCCTTACAATTAACTCCCGTTCAACGCATCACGCATAAACCGCACCCTCCACCCACCTCCGACTCTCCCCACACTCCCCAACCCGTCTCCCATACTCTCCGACCACTCTTTTCGACCCTTCTCTCTTCGGTACTTCCCTCTTCAACCCCTCTCCCGTTTTGTCAACCTGCCCAACCTCCACAACCCTCTTAACAACCGCACGCTCACTCAACTTACCCCCCGGCCCCCTAACAAGCGCCGGAATCTCCAAAAACTCCCCTTCCCCCTCCAACTGCACCCTAAACCTCCCCACCTCCCTAAACCCCAACCCCCTATACAACCTCATCCCCATCGGGCTCGCAAACACGGCCGTATACAACCCGCCCAATTGCCGGGCCGTCTCAATCCCCCAGCGCGTGAGCGCGGTCCCGGCACCGCGGCGTTGGTAGGAAGGGTGGGTGAGGAGGATTTTGAGGAAGACGGAGCGGGCGTAGTGGGGGTGGGCGTCGAAGATGAGGGCTTTGTGGTGGGTGAGGGCGGCGCGGAAGGCGGTTTGACGGGTGAGATGGCCGATGGCGGTTGGGGGGTTGGGGTGCGTGGGGGATGTTGGGGAGGGGGGTTCTGGAGAGATTTAAGTTTTAAGTTAGAGGTTGTTTTGGGAGGGGGGGTATGGGAAAGGAGGAGGGAGAAGGAGAACATACCGACTGTGCTCGCCCGCCGCCCTTTGTTGGGCAATTGCACATCCGCCGGCAAATCCCAGGCACTAAACGCCACAACCCGGGTCGAATAACCGTCCCTCCTACTCCCTCGTCCACTGTTGTGTCCGAGTCCATGTCCATGTCCAGTCTCCCCCTCGCTCTCACTCTCCGTATCCTCCCTATCCACCGCCATCTCACACACCACCACGGTGCTACTCTCCAGATACTCGGCGCATTTCCGCCGGCACAGCGCGGCAAACTCGTCGGGGTACAGGTGCCGGTCGGGGAAACGGTAGGGGTAGACTGGGTCCATGGGCGAGGCGCCGATTAGCACGGCCGTCATGGCCTCGAGGTCGGCGGGGTGTGCGAGGCGGATGTGCATGTTGACGTCGTTACGGTCTTTTTTTATCCAAAAAATAAGGACGAAAGGGGGGGTTTTCGCAGGTGGGCTGGCTGGCTGGTTGGGTCGAGAATTCTTCGAGAATTCTTTTGAGGGTTCGGGTTGGTTGCTTTCGGTCTGGAGTGGAGTTGTGGTGGGTGCGTGTAAGTGAGTAACTGGAAGAAATCGACAGGAACAACCGACTACGTGTCGCGTCGTTGTCGTGGACTAAAAGACACCTGCGGGAAGAGGCAAATGGACCTCTACAAACAATATGCACCCCTCGAAATCTCGCATTGTCTCCCTGCAAGCCCAAGATCGTGGGGAAAACCTGGGAAAACCCAGTTTTGTCTTTGTTTCGATCCCGGGTCGAACCGTGACCTCATCTCCCAACCAGAAAAGCCCATGCCTTGGAAGCCAGGCTTGGCACGCCGTTTTTGGAAAAACGCCAAATGACCCCCGACGGCGCGATTGCGCCAATGACGACGATGACGTCGTTGCAGAGCCAAGCCGGCCAATGTGCGTTCAGCGCTGGGGGAAGCCCGAGAGCTGATTGGCTGCCTAGGGCGCCGAGCTGGGTGGGGCGAGTTCGCCTTCCCGCCGATCACACCGTTTTGATTTCTTTTTTTTCCTCCCTGTGACTTTCTGGTCGCTTTCGGTGGATCGCCACGCATCGCGTGGGGTTGCAACCGCCGTTGATTGCTCATCTCAACTCCCGACCTCGCCCCGCGCTGCAGGGGATTCTTCACGTGTGCATGTATTCGTATTTGGCTGTGAATAGTGGCATCACTAATTGAGTATTTGTTACTTTTCGATTCAGTTTCTTCACAAAACAATTGAGACGGAATATGATAAAGCGCAGCAAGAACATAACCGAGGCATGGAAACAGAAATCATCAATGACGCTGCGGACTTCCAATGCATGGAAGTGCCGTGACACTCAACGTCACTTTCGAGGCAACATTACGTTGGGAAGGTTGAACTGCATTCACACCGTGCCGAGTACGATTATGATCCCAATTACTCCAATTTCTCAATGTGCTCGATATGACAAAGGATGAAATAAGGGAATCAATTATTCCTGCTATGAATGGGACCAGTTATACTCTGACAATTATACTACATCCACCTCCACCACGCTCCTCTCGCAAGACTCCCTGCCTTTCTCCCCCTCCACCCGACTGTCCAACTCGGCCACCCTCTTCGCAAACTCCTTCTCCTCCTCCCACGTAAACGGACTCTCACTGGCAAACAGAAAGTCAATCGCCTCCAAAGTCCGCCCCGCCGTCTCCGGAAAGAAACAATACACCACCGGGATATACGCAAACATGGCCGCGCCAAAGACATAAAACGTCTTCTCGCCAATCCCCGCAAACATAATCGGCACCAGCAACGACCCCCCTCCAAACCCAATCGCCCACCCGGCCACCCCAAAGGCATTCCCCTTCGCTCGCAGCCACGTCGGGAAGATCTCGGTCGGGTAGATAAACGGGATCAGCAGCCACGACGAGCTGAACAACAGCACATACACAAACACCATGGCCGCCGCCGCCGTGCCAAACTGTTCCTTTTGGTCGGGATGGTCCAACGCGCCACGGTTGAGTCCCCCAATGGCAAACAACACCGCACTCAACGCCACAGCGCCCCAGTACAGCGTTCGCCGTCGACCAACACGGTCAATCGTAAACGCCGCAATAGCCGTCCCCACAATCCCAACCATATTCATCAACGCCGACAGCCAGTTCGCCTTAAGGTCATCAAACCCCGCCGTGCGAAAGATGGTCCCCGAATAAATCACCACCGCCGCAATCCCCGTACCATATTGCATCAACACCTGCAACCAAAACGCCAACTGAATCCTCCTCCCAATATGAATATCCCCCGACCCGGCCGTGCCCAAAAACATCCGCACATAACTCGCACTCCCCCCCTCCGCTTCCTTCTCCATCCCCACCACCGTCACAATCTCCCTGTACTCCCTCCTCACATCCGGATGCTCCGGGTCATCCCCGCCACGAATCTTCGCCAAAATCTCGAGCGCTTCGGCGCACCGACCGACTTTAACCAACCACCGCGGCGACTCGGGAATCATCAACGACCCCACAAACAACAACACCAACGGCACCGCCTGCGACGCAAAACAAAACCGCCACCTGAACGCCCCATCCCCCAACTCGGTAAAACTCGTGCCCAACCCAACCCAAGACGATAAACTAATCCCCCCGAAATTAGCCAAGAATGTCAACGCGATGTTCTTGCCCCGGTGGGCCGCGGGGGAGAGCTCGGCGGTCCAGGCGGGGGCGATGACGATGATGAAGGCGACGCCGCAGCCGGCGCAAAGGCGCGCGATGAGCATGTGCGCGAGGTTGATGGCTGTTGATTGGAGGAGGACGCCGAGGGCGCACCAGGCTATGGCTAGGTGGATGCCTTTGATTCCTTTTTTTGTCATATTGTGTCAGTAACTTTGTCGGTAAGTGTTGGGAACGATGGGGATGATGGGAGTGGTGATACAAGGAGGAGGAGGCAGGGAGACGTACGACCGTGTTTATCGGAAAAGTGCCCCGCCCAAAAGGCGCCGAGGAGTGAACCCGCGTAGTAGGTCGCGACGATGCCGCCTTGAAGGGAGGGTTTGATGACGTTGCCGTGCTCGTCGGCGAAGCCCATGCGTTGCTACCGATGAAAGTCAGACCGAGCCATAGTAGGCAGACCAAACGGATGCTGGAACGACAACATCAAGCAGCGGAAGCAGTAGACGTACACCATACTCAGGAGCCACGTTGACAGCACCCATGACACCCTGACTCATGCCCTCGTAGGCAATGGCCAGAGCGGACACGGCGATGATCAGCTTGAGCAGCCGCGGCCCGGGGAGGGTCTTCCAGTATGGTTGGTTGCGCCCGAACATGGTGGCGTCTCTGCTGTTGAACTAAGCAAAGCGTAACGAAGGAGGGAATGGGATATTCCACAAGAGAGGTTGTGATAGGTACTTGGGGGAAGATTAATTATATACGCCTCCACGTGGCCTGTCAACTCGCGTGGCCTTTCCCCGGTTTCATCATGGTGTTTGATCAAATCCGGGGCAAAACCTGGGGAAATACTTGAATCTGGGGAATACCACGGGGTTACATGTCATGTCCCGGCAACCCGGCAGAACGGATGCGTTGTGGAGTCGGTACTCGTGTCGAGTTTCCTTTCCCAGTTTGGTCATCCACTAATTGCCATGCACTAGTAATCCAATTGCCACTAGTGATCTGCGGAGGTATTATAATCTGGGCTTGTCCACGGCTGCAGCTCGGCTCGAGCTCGAGACGAGTTTCTGTTTTTTTTTGCTTTGTTTCGATCCGGACTCTACGCGATGGGGAAACAACGCTCTCGAGACGGCTGGTAAGTGCCCCTCTGCGGACTGTGGAGACTGAGCTAACTCGTGCAGTCTGACCTGCCGGTCTCGACACGTCAAATGTTAGTTTCTGACCCCTTTTCCCACTTTGCGTTGTACTGACAGACCAGGCGACGAGACACGCCCCATCTGCGGCAACTGCCGCAAGTCGAATCGAGACTGCCGTTTGGTAGAGCGTCGAGCCGAGATTCGGTTTCACAACGCCCCCTCGACACGCGCATCACGGTCCAAGACGCCAGGCTCGAACCGGGCACTCAGCACTTCCAGCACCAGTTCACCCCCCTTCACCAATCCCCCTTACACCAGCCCACCCATCTCCATCCCACAGCTCGTCTTCGCAGACTTTGCGTCGCCTGACTATCCCCCGAGTCTCGGCCCGGTGGACCCTACCCCAACTTCCCCAGTTTCTGTTTCCCCGCACACCACCCGAAGTCCCCCTGAGATCCCCAACATCCCCACCCAACATTCCAGCCAGCACTCCCAACACACCACGTCAACCCCAACCATAACGCCAACCCCACCAATAACCCCAAACCCAACCCTAACCCGCGCCGAGGCATCCCTCCTGCACCACTACACCACCCACCTCGCCCGCTGGCTCGACTGCACCGACGCAACACGACATTTCACTCTCCAAATCCCAGCCCTGGCGACCACCCGGCCGGTGTTGTTGGACGCCATCCTCTCCTTTGCGGCACGCCACCGGGGGGATGTCGACGCTGCTGATGCGGCGCATGAGAGGTGTATTACGAGGATTATTGTTTTGTTGGATGAGCAGACGAATAGCAGCAACACCAACGACAACAATAACGAGGGGGGTGATGATGAGAGTAGCCCGGTTGGAAACGAGGAGAACGAGAAAGAAAAAGAGAATGCTATCTTGCTATGTGCTATAGTAATCCTCCGCGTCTTTGAGCAACTGACCGCCGGCAGCCAACACGCCGACCGCGAGCGGCACCTCGCCGGCTGCGGCGCGCTCCTCCAACAACGCCAAATCTGCCACGCCGCGCCCAGCGGATTGCACGAGGCCGCCTTCTGGGTGTACATGCGGCAGTGTTTGTATAATGCTTGTATTCATCAGCAGGCGTTGCCGGCGAATGTGGAGGGGTTCTTTGAGGGGGCGTTGTTACCGCCTGTTGATGATGATGGCACGCCCGCGGGGGCCGCTTCGCGGGGGATGATGGGGGAGGAAGGGAGGTTGAGGGGGGAGACGGCGTGGGCGAATAGTATGACGTGGATTTGTGCGAGGGTGGTGCAGTTTTGTTTTGGGGGGGATGATGCTGGGGGGAGTATACAGAGTCGGATGGCGAGGTGGGTGGAGTTGGAGGAGGCTGTCGAAGGGTGGATGAGGTTGAAGCCGGGGGGATTTGAGCCGGTTTGGCAGGGGGAGAGCCCGGAGGGCGACACTGAAGAAGAAGACGGGGTGCCGTGGCCCGAGTATTGTTTTGCGGCGGATTGGCATGTGGTGGCTTTTGGGTTTTATCAGTTGGCGAGGATCTTGTTGGTGCTTTATAAGCCGAGTCCGAGGTTTGTCGTCAGGAGGGTAGGTGGGGGATTACGGAGGGAAGATGTAAGTTCCTTGGACCTTACTCGGATGGGTATCTGCAATCGAGGAACTGGGTAAGCTAACGAAAACAGGCCCTGATATTACAACACGCCCGCGCGCTGTGTGGATCATGTAAGAGCGAGCCCGGCAATGTCCCCGCGAGAATCACCCTGTGCCACAGTCTGTTTCTCTGGGGTGGGTTGTTGGACGACCCGCGGGAGAGAGCTGGCGTGGTGCAGCTGCTGGAGGAGTTGGAGCGTGATCATGCTTGGCCTACGGCGTGGATTATATCGTTGCTCAGGGAGGAGTGGGGAACTACCGATGTCAACTAGACCTTAGTCAAATCTGAACGTATTGGATGTATCTCGTACATTACTCTACACACTATGACTGCATTTAATCCTATCAACCGTACTTTGAACCTACTAACGAAGGCGCCATATTCTCTCCTAACGCTCGCAGTAAACACAGGCTAGTCTGAACCATCAGAAAAACTAATCACCGCATACCTCCCATTCCTCACCCACTCTCCCCCCGGTGCCTCCCTCTCCACCCTCTCCAAAACCTCCCCATCCACCCCAACACAAACATCCGCCTTATTCGTCCTCAAAGCCAATATCTTCATCCCCCCTCTCCCCAACGACCCAATCGCCTCCCGAAAGGGAGTCCCATACCCCCACCTCCGATCCCCCACCAACTTCCTATAATTCAAATCCCCCTTAAACACCACCACCTCACTCCCCCTCAACTCCCCCCACAACCCCGGCGCTCTCCCCTCCATCTCCTCAAATCCATACCCCGTCGTCCAAAACCCATCCTCCTTCACCTTCACCTTCCCCGTATCAAACCCCTCCCTCAACCGCCCCGCAACGGCTTGCACAGCGGGGTTGGCAATCATGGAGGTAGGGAAGAGAGTGGAATTGGTGAGTGCTGAGAGGAGGACCGGGATGTCGTGTGGGAGGACGTCGGAGACGAACCAGGGGATGGATTTGACGTGTAAGGTTATGGTGGTGGCGAGATGCAGGTCGAGGAGGAGGAGGGTGTGCAGGAGGTCGGTGAAGAGTTCGAAGCCGGTGTTGTCGAGGATTATGGCGATGTGTTTTTTGGGGGCTTCTTCTTTGGATTGTTGGTGTTGAGATTGGGGTTGGGCTTGGTTACGGGAGAGGTAGGCCCAGACGGCGGGCAGGTCGTTGGAGACGATGCGGTCTTGGTTTTGGATGGTGTGTGTACCCTGGAGGGACTGCAGTTTGGACTGGTCATTGATGTCAGGGTGGAGACTGAGGTCGGTTGCGTTGCCCCAGAGGGCGATGGAGGTGAGTTCGGTGAAGGCAAGTTCTGCTGCTTTTGGGTCCGGGTTTGTTGTCAGGGACTCAGCGAGAGACATGTATCGCTCGGATAACTCCTCGACAGCGGCGTGGGAAGCGAGGAAGGCAGAGAGTTTCTGGCGCGCGAAGATGTCGTAGTTGCGCCAGAGCTGAGAGCGGGCGAAGAGAGTTTGGACAAATCTGCTCAGTTAGATTAACCATGGTCTCACTAGGGGGGGTTGGCTAAGATGGGCATACCGATAAAGATAGCACTCGGCAAACATCCAGGGGCAGTTGTGCCAGGTGATGTGCCCGAAACCGGCCAGCTGCGCATTGTAGCCCTCGATATCTGCTCCGCCGTCTGAGTTCAGGGGGCTAGCAGCAAAGTCAGCCGACGATTTCAATCCGGAGAAGAGGAAAAGAACACCAAAACAAAGATACGCACTGCAACGGCTTATCCCCCATAATCTCCTCCTTCATGATCCGCAGCGAGGCCTGGATACGACGGCCCTCCCCGACGTGTTCTGCGTTCTCGGACTGGCTGAAGGTGGTCTCGACGTCGTCAATCATGGTCTGCATGATTTTCGGCCACCGCGTGAGGGCCGTCTCGCGCGCCATTGTGCCTTCGTCTGAGGTCCATACCTCTCTGGGTGTGAGTTTGGCTGGCATCTTGAGAGTAGTTGGGGATAGAAGGAATATTGATGTTTGCGGTGTTTGCGACGGAGTTCATCTTACGTATGGAAGCGAATAAATAACATTTTTAAAGTGAATGTATCTATGCATCGAGTCAGGCCGACAGGCGATGTTCGGAGAGTGAGCAGAATCTCACTGTGTTGTTGTATAATTAAGTGATATTCCCAAATAGGAAATTCGTGTCGAGGTCTCGTCTCGAGACGCGACTCCACACTTCGGCTTCCTTCGAAACTTCGGTATCCAACTCGTCTCGAGCGAATCTCCACCTCGCCTCGAGAGTGTCACGAGTTCCATTTGGAGCTTCGGCTTTCCATCACCGATGCGTGGCAGTGAAGTCGCAAACCGCGACGGCGTCATGCCGGGTATGAAAGGGGGAGATCCCCGGCCGGACGAGGGAGGAACAGATGAAATCAACCGCCATTCTCCCACTTGAGTGACCTTTCTCCCAAGTTCAACATGCCATCAGCAACCATGGGCTCTCTCCCCGATACCGCGTCCGGTCCTAACACCAACGGCCATGGCCTAAATGCACACACTGTTTCCAGGCCTGATGGGTCACTCGACCTCACAGTGCTTGGAATGAACAGTGGCACTGCCATGGACGGTATTGACTGCGCTCTCGTCCGTTACCGTCAAGCATCGCCATCTGCTCCATTGCACATGCAGCTTCTCAAGGTACGTCTCAGCTCTCTCCTAGTCTCATGAATTAGAAACCCTCTAACAGTGTCAGTACGACGAAATCCCCGTCCCTCAAGAAATGAAGCAACCCATCCTCCACATGCTCCGCTCAACCTCCACCACTCCCTCCGCCCTCGCCCAACTCAACGTCCAACTGGGCCACATGTTCTCCACCGCCGTCCACACCTTCTGCACCACCCACTCCATCCCCCCCTCCACCATCGACCTCATCGGCTCCCACGGCCAAACCATCTGGCTCCTCAGCATGCCCGCCCCAGGCACCTCCGAAACCCGCTCCGCCCTCTGCCTCGGCGAAGGGACCATCATCGCCGCCGAAACGGGCATCACGACCGTGACTTCCTTCCGCCAGGCTGAACAAGCCGTTGGGAGGCAGGGTGCTCCCCTCGTGGCGCTTATTGATGGCCTGCTGCTGCACCACCCGACGAAAACTCGGCTGTGCCAGAATATCGGGGGGATTGCTAACCTCTGCCTGATCCCGGCTGATTCCGCCGGTGGGGTGCATGCCATGGTGGACTGGGACTGCGGGCCGGGGAATATGTTCATCGATGCTGCGATGCGGCATTACACGGCGGGGGAACAGGAATACGACCGGGACGGGATGTGGGCGAAGAGGGGGACTGTGCATCAGGCGACGGTGGATCAGTTTCTTGCGACGAATCCGTATATCAACCACGCGCCGCCGAAGACGACGGGTCGCGAGGTGTTTGGGGATAATGAATGCCATGAGCTGATTGAGGCGTGTGAGAAGGCGGGGTGTGATAAGTATGATGTTGTCGCTACGTTGACGAGGATTACGGCGGAGAATATTTTGTATCAGTACCGGACTTTTTTGCCGCGGTACGGCTACGGCTGTGGTGGTGGTGTTACCGACTCGAAGGTTACGCAGGTAGACGAGATCTTCATGTGTGGTGGTGGCGCGCGCAACCCAGCCATCGTCGACTACCTCCGCAAGCAACTACCCGGGGTACGTATCTGTGCTTTGGACGAGACAGGCGTGCCGGGGGACGCGAAAGAGGCTGTGAGCTTCGCCCAGCAGGCTGTGGAAGCGGTACTAGGACGACCTGGGCTGGTGCCGGTGAATAGTGATTCGTTGGCGTTGAATGGGATTGGGGGGAAGATTGCGCCGGGGAAGAGGTGGAGGGAGGTGATGGGGATGGGGGTGGATTTTGGGAGGGGGTGGAAGGGCGAAGGGGGGTTGCTGCCGAGTGTTACGGAGATGGTGGTGGATGGGGGGGAGTATTTGTGGGATTAGTTTGTAGTTACTGATAATGGCCTTTAAATACAGGGAGAACCCCACCTTAAAAACATCCCGGTAAGGGTAAGAGTACACCTCTTTGGAATATTAACAAGTTACAGCCCGGATATTTACAATCTAGACTACTTACATTTTGGTCTTTGTAGAACCTTAACAGCACTTGAGTAACGTTGATATCTCCTTCGATCATTGGATGTATCGGTGGCCATATATTGAAGAATAGCATGTTATACAGGGTTCGTAATTATGTGAGAACCTGACATGTTTTCCTTCTCTATATATCTAGTTACATATAACGTATCTTATAAGCGAGTGACGTATATAAGCGAGTGGCGCACTGATAAGGGCTCTACTGACATTCAGTTGTCACACTAAGAGCTAATTCCCGGTTTAATCCCAGGTGTTAGTGCTGTAGCAAAATTTCAATGCAACCCTTATCAGTGCGTCACTCGCTTATATGCGTCACTCGCTTATAAGATACGTTATCTCATGTAACCATTTTGCTTATTTGTCGATTATCTCTGTATTGCTCTCTATTCCAGACAGAACGGATTCCCCAAAGGGGACGGGGCGCAGGAATGCATGACTTGCAGATTTCCTCCAGTTCTTGCATGGATTGGGGTGCAATCTTGCCTGTCGTCTCATTCACGGCATACGAAAAGTAGTTATATGTCCGGGCTTCAGCGTCTGGGTGAATGACAAAGTTTGAACTGTCGAGAGTGGCGGTGGAGTGGTCCGTGATAATACTATCCTAGAACTCTTCAAGGTCGTTATCCATATTGTAGAATGGATTCAAAGTGATACTTTGAAGGTTAGGAATTGGGAATGAAAGGCAAGGGAGTGTTGCTTGGACATATGGTCGACTTAAAAGTTGGGTTAGATAACCTGAGTTGCTTGATGGTGAGTGAGCAGATAAACTCGGGGATTTTTGACATGCCCCGTGTTTATATATTGAAAGTGAAGCTTTAAATCCGAGACTTCTGAGATATTATAAATACCACGTACTGAGGGAGTGAAGAAGGCGACCCTCTGATGTTTGTCGAGGATCGATTGGATGTCACGGTCAATGTCGTGTTTTTGGTGGAGTTGTGGCTCAAGGGGCGCGACATTGCCAGTGTTGCTGCTCTTTTTGGCTGATGGCGGCTCAGTTTTTGGTGTTGTGGTTGATGTCGTGTATCACAACCATCACCAACCTCACACCAACTAGCCACCCACCTCGTCATTACCTACCAACCATTGCTTCACACTTACTAGGCTACGTTGGAGCCGATCGCACATTCAGTGATACAATATCCCTAACAGCCCAACTGGTCGGTGTGCTGTACTGGCCTTATACTTAGTCATCACCGTATGCCATCTTGACCCCAGTTTGCCCATGATACCACCCGCCGAATCACCCGTCTCCTGACCTCTGCCCAGCCAAGCGCCATACCACGATTATCTGTTTGAGTTTGCTCGTTGTCTCTACGGTCTTGGCCGTGATGAGTCCGGACGCCCGATGCCAACGCACTCTCGGGAGCCAGCCTCTTTGGGCATATCCGACACCCAGGTGCCTCTGGACCTGGCAGCCCAGAAGTGCCACCTGGCAGTGTACCGGCTTACGCCCCCGTGCGTCCGGCACATAAGGGGTAGAGCAAAACCACACCTCTTATCGGTATTATCGACATCTTCCAGTGACGGCATGATAGACGAATCAGTCGTACCTACCCACAACACCAACATGCCTCCCATGCCCATCACCCAGCCTCTTCCCCATCGGCGGCCTCCTCCCCATCCAACACCACCTCCACAGCGGCGTGCCATCCGCATCCAAAAACGGATCATCCACCAACGCCGGCCACTCCAACGGCTGCGCTGCCTTGCTGAAGTGATCAACCTTCTTATCCTCCACAGCCCGTCTCTCAACCCACTCGCTAAGTAACTGGCGGTACGCCTCGACGGGAGAGTCGAGTTTCGAGTCCGGGTGCTGGTCCCAGGTTTCTTGGGACATGATCTCGGAGGCGTCGAGTTCTTCGGGGTAGAACTCCTGGCGGAAGCTGAATTCGCGGGTGATGAGTTGGTGGATGGTGAAGATGGTGAATTTGACGTCGTTGCGGTCGGGGTCGTATTGGAATTCGACGTTGTTGGCTTCGTCGCCGTCCCAGCCGAGTTTGGCGGCCGAGTTGAAGTCGAAGAGTTGGAGGTTGTCGGTGGTGGGGTCGATGAGCGGGTTCCAGGGGCAGATGTCGCCGTGGACGATGCCGAGGGTCAGATTGAGGTAGTCGACGGTCTAGTGGGGTTGGTTAGTGTCGTTGCGGGAAATATAAAAAAGGGACGGTGGGGGACTGACGTTGATGAGTTGCTGGAGGTACTTTAGTTTGAAGACACGAGTATCGTGGGGATCGGAAGAGCCGACTACAAGGGCACCGTGTTCATCCAGTGTCACTTGCGTGACGTCTGGCGGGATGGTGTCGATGAACTTGGTGAGGGCCTCGTAAATAAACTCGTCCTCGACGTCGCGGGGGATGAGAACGTCGAGGGAGCGCCGCTGGTCCCAGTCCCAGATAACCCATTCCTGGACGCCGGCAAGGAAGCGTGGGATGACCTGTGCATAATGGAAACGTTCGACGGGATCACAGTTTGCAAACCAGTGTGTGAGCCCATGATGATGCCCACGCGAGACAAACGGTGAAGGTCGTGGTTGTGGGCCGGGCTCTGTTGGTGTTGCGTTGCTGGACCGTTGCGAAAAAGAAAAAGAAACAAGGAAAAAAAAAAGGGTCGGTGGTTTATAATGTGTATATGTGGGCGATGTGCTGTTTTAGGTGAGGTTCTATGTCAGGTGATCGATGTTGGGGGCGGAAATCGGGCAGCCGAGACCTGGAAGGGAGATGAGGCCTGATATCCCACCGCAAAAGTCTCTCGCGGTCGCCTCGTGGCTCAGGTATAGACGGCGTTGTTTCACTGTGGTGTGGTTAGCGTTTAGCCTTCAACTCTCCTCCCAAGATGGCGCGCTGCCAGGTGGCAGTCCCTCGCCGCTCGGTCTGGCGGCACCTGGCGGCGTCCTGGCAAACCTATCCCACTCTCGGAACCTGCATATAATTAATCGAGGAATTAGTTAATAATTCCTGGGTTACACGGCCCCCAACCAGAACCAATCGCCAACCTTCCACTGCCTATCGATGCGGCAGACGGACGGACAAGTTAGGCCCGATCCGAACGGCGCCAGAATCACGAGACTTCGAAGGTTGTCTGTCTCCCTAAGCAGCCGCCGTTAGCTTCCGTTACCAACGTTCAACGTATTAACTCGGATCCGTTCCGCAATATGGAGAGTCTCAGCGATTTCTAGCGTGATATTATCGCGGAACACTCCGCCACTGCCCTCGATGCGTCAAACTTTGTCGTTCAACCCGGCACGGAAAGCCGGGCGTACAACTGCTTTGCGTATGCCGTCAATGAGGACGAAAAAAGGCTTACGCCTCAGACAATGCAAGAACTTGACGGTGTCTGTAAGTGGTATATTCCTGCTCCCCTCTTTGGTACCTTTATAATGATATGCTGACCAATCTGCCTTGCTTGCACGTCTTAATGAAGTGAGAGTTCCAGCAATGTTACATTCGCTATCTCGGGCAATAACCGATGACCATGACGAGGTGTATCCTCGTCTTTGCCTCCTCGTGCTTCGGTTATAGGGTGCTAATGTATTGTTGCTGCGGAGTTTCTGCAACCTCCCGGGTTGATTGATGTCGCCGCCGGTTTCTTTGTGCTACAACTAGGGTTCTAATTGAGGTAGGTAGCGGAGGGAGGGTGGGAATCGGGGGTTGCAACAAACACACTTCCAGGCAAGTAACGATCCATGCAATGGCTGTGATGCCACTTCGTGATGCAGAATGCCCCTGTAGGAACCGGAGCGAGCGCAAGCCAGCTATACAGACTCCATGTTGAAAACATTTGAGTGACTGCCGACATTGGTGGGTATGCTTTTGCTCCTTCCCATACTCACGCTCGAGCACCTTGCTCGAAATGGCACGGCGGATTCCACGCCGGGCTACCTGTGCTGGATTAGGATGTCTGCGAGCCAGCTACTTATTATAAAAGATCAACCTCATGGGATGTGTTCTCCAGACTTGCCCTCTCTATACTTTCCTTCAGCAAACATGGTCACAGGACCTGCATAATTTCCACCTCACGCTGTGACAGAATATACAACGGGCTCTATCTGTGCTGGCCCATACATACAGTACTGTAGATGGAAATTACAGAAACCATTCTAGGGGTGAAATCGGCATCCGCTATGTGCTTCGTCAAGAGTTTGTGTACTGACCGGATAATGGATTACCTGTATCCTGGGTCTGCGGCTTGGAGACGTCAGATACCCTGCATCTGTAGGAATGTCCAACAGGCACTGGACTTGGGATCACTTTATCATAGTTGTCAGGGTGAACCCAGCACTTCCAAGACCTACCGAATTCGGTCGCCTCTTCGATTCCGGAGAGTACTCCGACGTGAACTTGGCGTGCCAGACACGCGAGCTCCAAGTGCACAAAGTCGTCGTCTGCACTTAGTCAGCTGTCCTTGCAGCAGCCGTTCGAAGCCCTTTCCAGGTGTGTCAAAGTTCGGGCGCAGGGGAGTCAAGCGTTGAATTCGTAATTATACAGGAGGCGAATTCGGGGGTAATCATCATAGAAGATGTGAGACGGAGGGTGGGATTCCCCTATACAGGCGGTTATGATGCAACTTCTCGACAAAGTGAGGCCGCTGGTCCAATGGGCTCCTCGGAGCTGGCAAACAGTTCACCCGCATAGCATACCGTTACCGGCTGCTGGGGGCGGTGACGGTGTACTTTCGCATGTGAGCCTCAATGCAATCGCAGACTAGTACGACATCGAAGGTCTGGCTAAAAGAATGATGTAGATGGCCAGCTCCCATGGGTTTCCTGAGATTCCATCAATGGTGGTGGCGCTTGGGTAGAACTATAGCTGAGATAGCTCGTTGGCGCGTATCTCTCGAGGGGATATGAGGATATGATCCCTTAAGCATGGTCAACCTGTCACCTAGTTACGGCTACAACTTTTGCGCGTTCGTTCTCTCTGGTGAGGGGCGAAGCTGGGCCCCTAGTCATGGCTAATACCTAACAGACGCCATCAAGATGGCAATGGACGCTGCAACCACCTGGGCAAAGGCAAAGGCCACATCCCAGTCAGCTCCAGCTCCCCTCGAAAGAAGGACAGCAAACCAGACAACAGCAATACCGAAGAGACCGACTGAAACGAAATACGGAAGCTCCAGCGTGATTCGATCCCTTTGCCAGCCGAGAACAAAATGCAAAGCTCTGATTGGAGTCTTCCCAGTCCATAGTTCGTTCATCACTGGCGTTTCCGCCTTGCCACTTCCGCTGTTAAATACAGATCAGCCACTCGAAAATCTCAGTCGTACTAGAGGACTTACAAGGTAGGGTAAATGCAACCTTCCTGAGCCATTCCTGACAAAGTGTCCAAGCCGTTAGCGATGATGGGGTCTCGAGCGCACTTGGTCAATAAATCCTGCAAGTCTATGCGCCGAAAACGTTCCTCGGCCCTCTCAGCCTCCTCTGTGAGACAATTACAAGACGAGTGCTCCATTTCCTCGAGACATTTCTCGGCATGTACAATGGAATCACACCCTTCATATCCATTCCATTCATCGGCGACTGGTCTCTTCTTGATCGCCTCCTGGCAGTCCCTTTTACTTTTTTCAATATCGATTGGTGTCATCAGACCATAGAAGCGTCCATCGTGACTCATTCGGCCATCAAAGTTAAACTGGGTTACGGCGGTTGGTAATTAGAGATTTCCGTCAAAAATGAGGCTAGGAAAGGGAAGTAAAGTGTCCATGGACATACCATGACCTCAGTGGCCTTCACCACGCCATACCACGGGAGCCACCTCTTCCACCTCCCCAGATATTGGAAGCATACGTCAACCATCCTGATATATACTGCTCTGTCGTCCTCGACAACAGCGTCCCATGGCTCAAGTGGGTAGTAAACTGGCGTTGATTTTTCATTGACCTCGTCATCAAGAAAACTCCACTTAACTCTCCTAGCCCCCGTTGGTTTGAGACATGGCACTTTCACGACGTACTGCCCGTCTCGAGGGTGTTCGAGACAGACGAAGCAGACATGTCCGGATTTTTCGAGCGGATTCTTGGTGTAATATAGGTGCGGCAGTAAAGGGTTGGGTAGAGGCGGCGGTCCGCATTTTATCTCAGACACAGCCACTGATCGTTCGAGATCAAGCGCGTGCCGATTTGGAGGAGTCATTGTAGTGCTCCGGGATTATCAACTCAGCAGAAGAAATTAGGTGAAGATCTGAGAAGTGAAAAGGAAGGGAAGTCGATTGCCCAGCCAAAATGCTCCCATCGGTTAAGGCTCTCTGGTCGGGCAGCACCTACCAGCCCAAAAAAAGCGACCTGCGTCATGCAAGTGTAACGTCGGCTGGCAAACCATGGAAATCTCCTAAGCCTCGTCCTGTCAACGGAATGTCCGCTGAACTCTCGGTGTATTTTGCATGAACCCACTCTCGGCGTGCAGCGGATTTCCGTGAGCTAAGGGTATTTTCGAGCCATTACGAGGCGTGGGAGGCGGTGAATTTTGGGGGATCTGAAGACTTGAAGAGGGTGTGGGCAAAAAGACCGGGGGCGTATTCCCCGTTGGATGTGACCGAGGCGGGGATGTCGCTTCTGATGGTGAGGCTGCACCAGGTCCGATGATCTGGAATCGTTCCAAGTTCTTACACGTTTTTCTTGTCCCTTTTTTTTTTTTTGGATAGGATGCAATGTTTGAGAGAGAACACAAAGGCCGCAGTATTTCCCATCAACACATGGGGGCTACGTAAGCCAAAAAGACCGTGCGATAGGCGCGTCTTTTTCCTTTATACACTTCGGTCCCATCCACCCGCTTATACAACATGCATCTACTTAGATCCACTATCATGGCCGCCCGCGAGATAATATCCCTCCCATCCGGCGTCTCCTCCACCTCCGAACTTGAGCCCCTGCATTATCTGGTAACTATGGCGGGCGCGAGCACCTGTGCCTTTGGTAACGACTGTGCTGAGGATGGTGTTGGATGCGGGGGCGGACTTGGACACGAAAGACGACGCGTTGGGGGTGCCGGCGGTGTTGTATGCGGTGCGAGCGAGAAGTAGTGCCGTGTTGAGGATTTTGCTGGAGAGGGGAGAGAGGCTGGCCTTTGTGCATCAGAGCGGTGCGAATATACTTGTGTGGGCACCGTGTTCTATGTAGGGTAGTGGCTCAGAGTACGCATTCTTTGGGAAAGGTTATCCTTCATCGCGCCCTGATTTGCTTTCGCTACCCATCTCTCCGAGATTTATTGCCTCTGGTAACATTCCTGACACTCCTGCGACTTGGCAATCATGGAGACTCTCGACGCGATCCTCGTGAGATACGTCGCCCAAGGGGACGACACCCGCGACAAGCTTCTTGGGGCAGCATTCGTCGTCGTTCACAGCAATAGTAAACTCCAGCCACCAGTCCAGCCCCATCCCCACCCCCTTAACTGACAACTCACCTTCTTAGAAACCCTCTACGAAGGCTCCACCGGCCGCACCTCCATTCCATCAAACAGCACCCCCTTCACCCCTTCCTCCCTCACCTGGGTCGCCTCGTCCAGCAAAATCATCACCGTCCCCGCCATCCTCACCCTCGTCGAACGCGGCCTCTTCTCTCTCGACTCCGACGTCCGACCCCTTATCCCCGAGCTCGCCGCCCTACAGATCCTACGCGGTTTCGACCCCACAAATGGCGCACCCATTCTCGAAGACAACGATACCAAAATTACACTGCGCCACCTCCTCACTCACACAGCCGGGCTAGCGTACGACCTCGCCGACCCGGACTTAAGGAAGTGGTCAAAATCGATAGACAGGACGGACAATAACCTACACCACACACTAGCGGGCTGGACGACCCCGTTAAAGTTTACCCCGGGCCAGGGCTGGCGGTATGGCACGTCGATCGATTGGGCGGCCCAGCTGGTCGAGCGCGTGACGGGCGAAACGATCGGCGTATACCTTGAGGAAAACATACTACGGCCGCTCGGCATGGCAGACACCACGTTCCACTCCATCTCCAAGCGCAATCTCGGCAAGGCAGGCTGTACGCTGCGCGACCGCGGGACGGGGTCGCTACAGATGCGCCCGTTGCCGGTGCCTCTGGAACCGCCGGTCGAGTGCGGGCGCGGGATTGTGGACGACGGTGCGGGACCACGCACGGATGTTACGAGCGTTGCTTTCCATTTTGGAGGGGCAAGAAGAAGGCGGGATTCCGCAAAAGGAGACGGTGGATGAGATGTTCCGTCCGCAGCTGAACGACGTGCAGCGGACATCGCTGCAGGATAGGGTAAACAATCGGCACAATACGATGATTCCGGAGTTTCCGCCGGGAACGGTGGTACAACACGGGATCGGAGGGGTAATGAACGTGGAGGACGTACCGGGGAAGAGGAGGGCGGGGAGTATGCATTGGATGGGCATGGCGAATTGTCACTGGGCGAGTTGCTATGCGCGCGGTCTTTGGGACAAGAGACTGACGGACTGACAACGGGGACAGTGGATCGATAGAGCGACGGGGATTGCGGCGACGCTGATTGTGAATATTTACCCGTTTCCTAATGCTGTTTTTATTAACCTGTACGACGAACTCGAAAGAGCTGTATATGGAGAGTTGTTGGCCGAGCTGCGGAAGTAGATGAGTGGAAGGCGTGGCGTTCTTTGGATGATCATGATATTATGAGCTATTAGAGGTATGACTGATATGAACTATATGACTTGTATGAGAGGGAATTAATAGAGAGACAATGGAATTGCCGAAAACGGAGAACGTAATCGAAGGGGTGGAAGCTCTAGTCATAGCTCCCAACATGTGTCTGGTAGATATCCATATACTCATACCTTATCATTCACCGGCGTGTTCCAGGTGGAAGTTGGGGATACCTCCAAGCTAGCCCATAATACCATGTCTGACTGAAAGGTAACAAGTTGGGATGATGGGATGATGTTTACTCAAATAGGGGCACAAGATTCTGCGGGGTCGCATGTGCCGCCGGCGGGATATCTGTGGGTCGAGAATCCCTTGTAATTAGCAACCGCCGTCATCGGCAAATTTAAGCTCTACTTCATCTGCAACTAGCGAGAGTGACCTTGCACAGTACAGCTCTCCGTAGCTGGCGCCGCAATGAGTACCTGCCACAGATCCGCACGCGCTGAGTACCCTGGCCAGCAGCTGCCAACTCGTCTTACAAGCCTCGTCCGCTCCACGTGCCGCATAGCTCAGTCTTGCCTTTTTGTCCACCAACGTCACGGAACGGCGCACAGCCAGGCTTGCAGGAGGGTTGTGGCGGAAACCTTCCAGAACACGCAGCTGCGTCACGCTAAGGTCTGGCCCTCTACAGCTCAGAAGTATCTGTAGTGTTATTACGGCCGGGACATGGGAGAGGTTTGGCTTGCTTGTGGCACGCCTGTGCCGACGACCTAAGGGGCTTTTTCACGATATCTTGGTAAAGTTATTGGCCTTGCTAGTTTCCATTTTTGCAGTTCTCGCGCCGAACTGTATCTATGGCAATGTTAGTGGTGGGACGAGAGGACCTCGAATAGAATGAAGGGTGAAACCAACCGCTCGCTTCTTCTCCCTCGCGACGCCCTCCGTCCCCAGCTCGAGAGCTAGGAGCCGGAGAACCCTCTTGACCGCCTCGACACCAGAAATGTCCTCCCCGTTGGCGAAGTCGCATTTTTCCCAGGCCGGCGTCTCGATAGCCCACCGCACTAGGCGCTCATCCAGGTAGGGGAATCGTACTTCTTTCCCCCAGTGTGCCATGGCGCGGTCGTCTCTACCTAGGTTTCGCTTCGCCACGCGCCCGATGTCGAGCTTAAGCTTGTTAACCAAGCCGGCATGGCCCTCCCTTGAAAAGTCCGTGGCATGCCGCGCGTATCCACCAAAGAGCTCGTCAGCCCCTACCCGGAGAGAAGAACTCGGGCCGGTGTGGTGTACTGGGCCTCAGGCGCTCCGGCCTCAGCGCATAACCCCTGGCCGCGCGCTGCAAAATACAGAGCATACGCTTTCCAGAGGTCCATCTCTGTGTCGTGGGGGTAGATTAGAGACACCACTTCCTTGCGATGCGCCAATGTCTCCGAGTATGGCACATTTACCTGTGTCAAAACCGTTAGCGACTTCTTGGTGTCGAAGGGAGACCTCCCCTACCGCTACGAAGCGGAATCGTCTCCCTGGGCATGATTTCTGCAGCTCCTCAACTGACTTCCGCCCTGTTATCCGGTCTGGGCAGGATTCGTACGGGTTGACCGGACTGCCTCGTGCCTCTTTCTTAAGCTAGGCCACTACGCGGGGATTCTCGAAGGCAACAGTCAGGAGATCGATGCCGTAGCCATCATCCAGCAGCTCGCGCGTCAGCCTTGCGAGGACCGAGCAGTCCAGGCCGCCGGAGAGCAGCACGGCAACCCTCGTGTCGTCTCGGGTGTCATCCTCCATGGGCGGCTTGGGGATGTTCCAGACACGGAAGCGAAGTGACTCGCTCAGCTGCTGCCTCAGCGACCGGACGGACGGTGAGGAAGCGGTCAGACAGGCGGCCTTAGGCGGTCCAGATACATTGAACACGCCGATTCCCGATATCTAGATAAGTAAGTTTGATGGACAACGCACCTCGAAGTAGAAGGACGACGCCGCGCTACTCACCAGATCGCCTTGGCCGTCAGCTTGCCAGTCGTTCCGCGAGACAGTAAGAGAATTCCCTGAAGTAGCACCAAGAGGCCGGTGGTAAATGCCACCCAGCTCTACTTCCTTCCAAGCAGGATCGCAGGACTCCGGAACGCTGGAGAGTATGAAGGTGCCGCTCGCCTCATCCTGGCAAAATACAAGAGACCGACGTCCCAGTCGGTCGCGCCCGAAGAAGAGGGTTTGCGAGGGTTTGTCGAAATATGCGAAGGCGAAGGGGCCTTCGACGGAACGAAGAGCATCAAGAATGCCGCCTCTGGCATCCAGCGCAGCGCCCGAAGCACTGGCTCCCGCGAGTAGGCCGAAGATAGCTTCGCCATCGTTTCCCTCGACCTCGCGCCCGGCGATCCTCCAGGCCTCTCCATTCCAGCAGAGAACGGACCCGGTCTGGGAGTCGTAGAAGGGCTGTGCCGTGAAGTGGTTCCCGCGGAACGCAAGCACGGTTGAGGTGCAGGTCAGAGTCTCCGCGCCAGGTCCGACATGCGCTACGATGCGGCCCAAATGATCGGGCCCCCGATTGCGCAGCCGGGTGGCCAGGTCATGGCTGGGCGTGTGCGGGGAGCTCGAGGAAAGAACAACGTGAATGCCGCACATCTCGCTGCGCCTAGGACTCGCAGACGCGGGCGCTGGTAATGGTCTTTGGTCTTTGGGTTAGTGTCGTGTAGAGTGCGTTGTGCGATTGGATTGATTTGAGTAAAAACTCTGCCAGCTGGCTGGGCTTTAATTATCTCAGGAGCTTAGACCAGTTGGGCGGTAGTATGCAAAGATCGATACCTCTCATTTAACCCTCTGCATGTTTCAGATGACCTGAAAAGTTTTCTACTCAAATTAAGAAGTATCCTGTCCTACTGTGTGAACTAAGATGGAGCAGATTTATACCTGCTTCTTTTGCCTCTGGATCTGCCGGTTGCGTTATATTTGCGGGCATCGGATACTTTCCGTGGTTATACCCGGTACTGTGCTAGACAGCTGCACCCTTCCTCTTGCTTTGATCAACCCCAGACGGCGCCATCTCCGTATAGGAATACCTAGATAGAAGTCCGGCTCCAGAGAGCTTCGGCTATCGACTTTTCTTCCCATCTCCGCCTCTGTACCCAGTGCCGTCCACTGCAGCTTGTGTTGCAGACGGTGAGCTGAGCTTCGATAACCCTGTATCAAGACTGCAAAGCAACCGCAAGAGCAATAAACCGGCCCTATTTCCCAAGAATTTCGAGCCTTTCGCTTTAGTAATAAGGTTTAAACACCAGCTAGCTCTTAGCCGTAACGGAAACTCCTTGTACGTGTATACTGTGTGTACCTACTATAAAGTTATCCGGCCTTACGGACGGGTTTTCCCTTGGACCTACCGGCGCACACGGCGACCCCCACAGGTCGTCACAAAGGAGCTTTTCGACGTCATAACTGAAGAGAATAATTAACTATGGCGATAAATAAGGTGTTTTTGGCAACATCCTTGTGGTACGCAGACGAACTACAGCCAAGATGTATGCTGCACTGTCGACAAAGAAGGATGAGCAAATGTTGGGCTGACAAAGCTGGAATCCAATGGCAGCGCGAGGGTGTGTGTGGTTGCGACCAACGTCATGGCAGGCCTCAGTGCAGGACGGAGAAGTAGCTGCCCACCGTCGTTCCCAATGTGAATGCCCAACACATTCGAAGCGTTCTACAACGCGCTGCTCGCTTGACTGCCAAGGAGCTTTCGCAAAGTGCTCATTCAGAATGGACTTGGTTCCTAGCATCTACAACCACTTGGTCCTTCCCCCGAAGCTGCCAGGCCGTGAGGAAGGTACTACCCCCGAGCTATCGCAGAACGTCCTGACCCGTCTGATTGACGGCTGCCAACGCCTGGTCTCGCTCGCCCCGCACACACTGTCCAAAACATTCGAAGGGCTTTACAACGCGCTGCTCGCATGCCGAGAAATCAACGGTCGGTCCTTTGTCGACAAAACGTCGGCGCTGAAATATTTTGGCAACATTGATTCCTGCGGTGTTCTCATCTTCTGGGTTACTGAACAGAATGCTGCTGTGCTGGTTTACGCGGCCAAGAGGCAAGTTACCTACCTACCCTTGCGCCGCCGACAGCGGCTTGATCGAGGCGAAGGGTTGCACGTTGCTGACACGCAAGGCATTTTGTGCTTGCAGGCCGGAAGAAGCGGTCGTTTTTGAGGCCTTCGAGGCGTCCGCCCCTGCGGAACATGTCCTCGGTGCCGGCAACGCCATGCAGCGGGATTTCCCTGGTCGCTGCGCGCATTTGTCGACCCAAGATTTCGCCGACTTGTCGTTCCAACAGCAATTGGCTGATTTGCTCGAGCAGGCCAGCATGGAATCTTTGTCTAGCCTCCGCGCACACGCCCGCAAGGCTGGCGTCGCGGTGGCCGAGTCGCGCGACACCACGGATCCCGCCCTCGTGACGCACATGCTCATGCCGCTGCTAGAGACCATGGGATGCCAGGCCCGCGTCCCAGTCCTGAGGAAGCGGGTGAGAGACGACGTCAACCTGAAGAACGCCGACGCGCCGTGGCGTCGCCTCCCCTTCTGGCTTGTTCTGCGCGTGGGAACTCTGCGCCAGCTCTGTCATACCGTCGGCGACCATGGGGGACGCGCCTGTTACAAGTTTTTAATGTGTGTCGTCCTCGCCCAGCTCCTTCAGGACTGCGCAGGGCGCGTGAGCCCAGACAAGGTGCTGCTTCTCCGTGCCAAGCTATGTCGCCGTATGGCCAAGCTCGAGATGGACAGGACCGCGGCCGAGGACCACCCGGAGGGCCGCGAGGTGTACGACTGCCTGTTTACCGCCACTAAAAAGGTCATCGACGATGTTGTGAGAGAAACCACCCACCGAGTCGAAGCTGTGTGGAAGCGCGTCCAGCGGGCTTCGGTTCCCCAGATCCCTCGCCTTCCCCTGCGGGCGACCGGTGACGTGCTGCGGCTTTCCCTCCCTTCTAGCGGCCCTTACCTCGACCGCTTGCTTCTCCTTAAGCCTGCCCCAAAGCAGCCTCCCGCCGAGTTGCTCCAGCTGCCTCGCCCGCTCGATGTGGGGATCCAGCACGTCCAAGAATTCACGGGCCGCATCGCGCTGCTCGCCAAAGCCGAACGACGTATTCAGCAGGCATCGGACGAGGAGGCGCCGCGGATGAACGCGACAACTGCCCTTCTAGAGTCGCGTTGCCTCGACGTGGCCAGGCAGATCCAAAGTTTCGTCAGCGAAATGGACCCGGTGTCGGAATGGGATCCCGAGCAAAACAGCGCTCTGGCGCTATGCGTGTTCGAGCTTTGGGCTCGCATGGACTCGTACGCCGTAGAGGCGTGTCCTCTCCTCGCAAACTATCGTCCAGTCTTCCCCCCTGAGCTATTGGACGTGCTACAGCTACCTACGATATCGGGCATGCGTCGTCTGCACAGAGTGCAGACCCATCTCGTACGGCGGCAGCAGCTGCCAGATTCCAGCGGCTTCACAAGGCTTGATGGCCGCAGTGCTTCTAAAGCGACACATGCTGCCACTATCTTCGATCGCACTGGGGACGGATGCATGGCGGCGCGCTTCGTGGCGAGCTCGAGCGCCATGCAACGACTTGAGTCATGTATCCAGAAGCAGACGGACGACGCCCGGCGCGCCAAGGAAACGGAATGGAGGCAGAAATGCCACAAGTATGACCAACTCAGTGAGGAAATACAGCAGAGCATATGCGTGTGCACCATTGACGAGGACGGTCGGAAGGATATTAGCGGCTGCCGTCGGTGCCACAGGTGGCGCACTAGGCAGCGTTTGGGCATCACTGTACATGAGGACTACCTGCCCCCTCCAGGGTCGCCCGCACAGAGGGCTGCCGTGCTGTTTGAACTCGGGCAGCCTGAGTACCTTTCGGCATACCGCGACGCGACTTGGCTCATATTCATCACTCTGGCGCATCCAAGCCGACCGGCTCAAACTGCCTCACCCAAGAAGACGCTGGGCCAGATCGACGTGCTGGCACGCCACCGCAACTCGCGACAGCCGCCGAGCCGGATTACTCTGGGTTCGAGGAAGAAGTGTTTCCGCCAGACGCACTACCGCATCAGCTCTGCCCGCTCCAGCCTGCCCGAGGTACTATTACCGTTGGCCGCCGAATTCGAGCTGTATGATACGGCGGCTGGTGTCTGGGTGCGCGAGCTTGACAAGACACCTACTCTGCAGCACCTGTGCGGAGTCCAGCTGCCCAGGATGCTTTTTTCGAGCGCTGTCCTGCTTAACTGCCGTCACCCAGGCCCAATCGTGGAGGGGCCTTCCTCTTATCAGATTCAGGCAAACCGGACCGCGTGCCCTCCTAGCATGTCGGTCCACGAGTTCTCCGCGTGCCAGAAGCTGCTCGGAGGCATACATCGGAGATGGCCCAACGTGCTGGTCGAGCTGGGATCCATCAATCTCAACCTTGGGAGTGAGGAAACAGCCCGGCTCGTTTGCCAGCTGGCCATACAGGCTGGGCCGCGGGCGAAAGAACAAGCCCAGGGCGCGAGTGGCAGCCATGGGGAACTAGAGGCAGGAGCGGAAACGGAAGCGGCCTTCTGTTGGAGAGCAGCGCACGCCATCTTTAGGGACGAGCCCGTGTTTGCCGAGCGCCTCCTGGAGCAGATTGAGACGCGGCTAGCTACCATTTCGTCCAATTGGCGGGAGACATGGTGCCTGGAGACCCTCATGACGCTGACTCTGCGGGTATTTTACCTCTCCGCAGACTTGCGGAGCAGAGAAAAGGCAGCGGCCGCGCTGGGAACCATGCGAGAGACAGCGCTAGCTTGGATCGTCCGGCTGCGTGACGAGATGCAGGCCGCGACTGACGCTGACGCGGCCGAGCGTACAGCTGGGTACGCCTTCTCCGCAGCCTTGCTGAGCCGGCGGACGCTCACCATTACCCACGTAGAGTCCGGCTCACCGCTCCGGGCCGACGAGCTGGCGGCCTGGGTAAGAGCCTCGGTGGCGCTGCAGGAGAACCTGCTGGTTAGCGTCGACAGGCTCCCACCCGGCCTGCGCGCAATGCTCGTCCGTGACACGAAAGCGGCGCTACGAATGGAGCCTCTGCTTCGAGCGGCCGTTAAAGCCCACCCTTCGAGTGTTGGAAGTGCCCTCTCCGACACGCTCCCTGGTCTGCTTGGTTATGCTGCAGCAAAATTGGAATGGACATTTCTCTCCTCGCCTGAGGGCGATTGGATCCGCGCCGAAGGAAACGAGGTACGAACGGCGGCGGGCTTGACATACAACGGACAGGTAATTCATCTTCATTTGGTCGAGGGCCACCTTCTTGTCAATGGTCGGCCCCGAAGGCGGTTGCCGGCCAGCATTCGTAACGATCCAGATGTTAAGGAGCTATTTGGGAACCGCCATTTGCTTACGTACCCCTCTGCTTTACCGGGCATGACGCATCAGCTCGTCGGCTTCCACTACCAACAGACGGTCCACTTTGGCACTCGTAGTGGCCAAGCTGTGGTGATTCAGGCCGTGACACGCGAGGGTGCCCTCCTTGAGTTTATCCCTCGACGCGTCTTTTACGGGTCGAGCGTCGAGAGCAACCAAACCCCCGCCACTGTTAGCAACACGATCAATGTAGATCTGCCCCTCGGGCTTGTAGAAAACTGCTGCCACTGGTTAAATATGAGCACGGGACAGGTCGAGATCCGCCGCAAACCGGCGATCTGGATAGCTCGGCAGCGGGACTGGGCCCTGTATGTCCCGGAGCGCTACGCCCAGCGGGCTAGCGTGCGGCTCGTTGACCCCCACTCATCGGTGTTTCGCCAGATGGCTGGTATGCTGGCAGGGTTCGAGCAGCCTGAGAAGCTGACCGTCTTTCAGCCGCTGGCGCAGCGAGGGCGGCTCTCGGTCGAGATGCGACACCTTGAGCTCTCGCTATTCGTCAACGAAAACGGCCTGATAGAGTTCCGTGAGCTTAAGGCCGAGATGGACCCTAACCAAGACGCCGGGACCTGGTACGGCCTTGAGGGAAAGATCGTGCTACGGAACACGGCCAACCCAAGGAGACGCAGCGTCATCGTGCCCCTTGGTGGACTCAGCGCACGTCGCCAAGGGCTTCATGTTGCGGTGCGGCTTAACGAGGGCTCGGCCGCATACGCCAAGTTCGACATTGACGACACGCTTGGCCGGCTGTCGTGTCCGCCAGAACCACGGCTCCTGTACACGAAGGCGCTATGCCACGCCCTGACGTCCTTTTGTCTCCCGGATCCTCTAACCGGGCGGAACGGAACTGAGGAGGCCATTCAAATCCTCCAGTCACCAGCCGCACAGCCCTGGACCAGCCTCGACGAGGACTCGAAGCTCGTTCTCGAGCGGTTTAGGGAGCTGCTGCCGGCCCGAGAGTACTACCCACCCGGCTTGAGGCGGTTCCAGACCGTGACCTGGGATCGCCGTTTTACCACCACGATTCAGCACGACGGCTTCGATGCCGTGCTGCAGGAGATCTTTGACAAGTCTGATTGCCTAGCAAAGTTTGAGGACAAGGGCAGTGGCGAGGACGGCAACCATGGCGACGAGGAGAAGGAGGAGGAGAATACGGGCTCAGATCGTCATGCACCTCTGCGGTTGCGTGCGGCTTCGCGGCGCTGTCTTTACGAGCGCCGGTGGGCAAGCTCTGATGACGATAATAACTCGGACGACAACAAAGACAACGAGATCGACGCTCCCTATCACGGTCGAGACCTGGCATCCCGCATCACGCCCCAGAGCCAAAACGTGATGCAAATCGCAAGGACGATCTACCAGCAACCGTTCTCCATCCCTCCACATCATAGCGGCGACGCCGCCTCCCTGCTAAAGGGCTGGCCACGCATCGGCGGATTCTCGTCGCCAACAGCAGCAGCCGGGGGGCGTGGGCCCCTGATTGCCCGGATCGAGACGCCCATCGGCGACCACTGGGCCGAGCTCGTCCGCTTCTGCCAAGCATCTAGAGGCCAACGCACAACCGTCCTCTTCCGCCTAGCGCTACTCGCTTTTGCTCCCGAACCGAACATGGACGCCATCTACCACCTCGCCGCATTTGCTTGCGTTCCCAAGCTGCGACGCCTTGAGCCGCCGCCACCATGTGACGGCTACTGGGACCTTGGCCTACAAGACCCGCCTTCAGTCGAGACGCTCGAGATGCTCATCGCCGCGGCCTACGTGCCGCTCCAAGTGCCGTCCTCACGTAAGACAAAAAAAGCGAGAGCTAGAGCTGAGCTAGCCCGTGTGGAGCACCATGAAAACTGCGCGGTCGAGGGCAGCAAAATGGCTCGTATGCTTCGTGACCGGTGGGCCGCGCCATGGCCGGCTGTGACGAGCGAGGTGATGGCAAGCACGTCGTCGATCAGATATATACGCGTAGCTAGTGCCCTAGAACTGATCCGCCCCGAGTGGGAGCACAGGCGCCGCAACCGGGAGTTAGCGAGCTACGTCGGCCGTGTCCAGGCGATCCTCAAAGACGTGCCTCGGGCGCCGTCGGCGCTGTTCGCGTCGTCGGTCGAGTCTACACCGGCAGAGCCAGAACCGTGGACGGCCATCCCGAACAATGTCTGCTGCTACCATAAAGCTGTGGTCCCCCCGTTGTCGGGCCAGTTGGTAGCCAAGCGAGGCCCTGCTCTTGTCTCCGTTCCTGCGGCCGCCGCTCCGCTGCTCTTCCTGGAGAATGCTTACGAACAAAGCGAAGGTGAACCTAGGACGGGCACTCCTCGCGTTGCGCCCCACTTGGCCTCCGAGTTGATGCGTATCTTCAAGCCGTTCGCAGAGTCATCCGACGACCTACGGACTCGATATGGCCAGGATCTGCTGGAGAGCTTGACGGCGCTCCAAGCCGAAGCAGCCAGCACGGAGTCCGTGACGAGGGCGAGGGCGCGGTTTGCCGCCTCAGGTCTCAGTCTCAGCCTCAACGCCGTCGATGCCGCTGCCGACGAAGCCCGTGGCTCCATGGCCGATCTCGGTTCCCGGTTGTGGGAGGCGCTCGCGGCAGACGACGCGCGGTTTCCGTGGCTCGAGCACGGCGGACTATGGCCCTGCGCAAACACGCCCACGTCACTGCTCAGCCTGCTACGCCATGGACGAGAGCGGCGGCGAAAGTGGTTTGGCCCAGGCATGAAGACGGCTCTGGTAGCGTACGGGCTTGCCGTAGCCCGCGTCCAGAAGCTGGAGCGGCTGCGGTCAGCCTTGTGTCAGAGCAACGAGCGTGCCATCGGCGAGGAGCTGCGGAACCCGGGCCACGAGAACTGGGACCCCACCGAGCACACGGCGTGGCTGCTCATGGAGCTGGACGGCGACTTTCTCGTGCGCGCTGAGCAGGTCGAGGTGGCGCGGGCCATGATCGCACCGCGGTCCGGCCGCAACACCGTGCTGCAGATGAACATGGGCCAAGGCAAGACGTCATGCATCGTGCCCATGGCCGTCGCTGAGCTCGCTGATGGCGAGCGTTTGGTGCGATTGGTCGTGCCAAAGCCGCTGCTGCTACAGACGGCACAAACAGTCCAGGCCCGACTCGGCGGCTTGGTCGGCTGCGAGGTCCGCCACGTTGCTTTCTCACGCCGTACGCCCACGACACCGCCCATGCTCAACCTGTACGAAAGCCTCCACCTTCAAGTGTGCCGCTCGAGCGGCCTAATCGTCACCACGCACGAGCAGCTGCTGTCGTTTAAGCTCGGCGGGTATCAGCGCCTCGCCGACGCGGCGGCCGTACCCGCTGTCCCCGCCGCCCAAGCCGAGGCAGTGTCGAAGCAGGCTAAGAAAAGAGCGGCAGCCAGAGCCATGGCAACTGCGGCAAAAGCCCAAGCCGAAGCCGAGGCCGCGGCGGGCAGGATGATGGCGTTTCAGAACTGGCTCGAGCACTCGTCGCGCGACCTCCTTGACGAGTCTGACCATACCCTGGCCGTCCGGACGCAGCTCATTTATCCGAGCGGGCCTGAGACGACGGTCGACGGACACCCATTTCGCTGGCTGATCGCCGAGGGTTTGCTGGCGCTGGTGGCGCACCACCTGCCTGCGCTGCAGCGACAATTTCCGGGGAGCATTGAGGTGGTTAGCCGGCCGGGCGGAAGGGGGTCGCTGCCCATGGTGCAGTTCCTTCGTGAAGACGTCCAGGCTGCGCTACACGACCGCATTGTGAACGACATCTGCGCAGACCGGGCTTGGTTCCTGCGTCCGTTTTCCGCTGGTCATCATCAGCAGCGCGGCACCGCCGCTGGAAGGGCCCAGGAGAGGCGTCGAAGGGCGGTTCGGCGGGTGCTGTCCGAGGAAGACGTGAGCGAGGAGCTGCTGGGCGAGGCGGCCGCCGCCTTTGATGACGCCGAGTACGAATCCGCGGCCAAGAAGCTGCTGACGGCACGGGGGCTCCTAGTGGGTCGGATCCTAGTGCTCTGCCTCGGCCGGCGGTGGAACGTGCAGTACGGGCTCAGTCCAGTCCGACATCCCATCGCCGTGCCTTTCGAGGCCAAGGGCGTGCCGTCGTCGCACGCCGAGTTTGGCCACCCGGACGTCGCCATCGTGCTCACCTGCCTCGCTTTTTACTACGCCGGCCTGACGCTCGCCCAATTTCTGCAGGGCCTCCAGCACGTGTTAGAGAGCGACGACCCGGCTGCGCGGTACGAGCGGTGGATGGCATCGTGCGGTGGCGCCGACGACAGCCTGCTTCCTCGAGCGTTGCGTCGATGGAACGTTATCAACGTTGATGATGCAGGCCAGGTCGAAACGCTATGGCAGCACCTGCGCCATGCGCGCAATGTCGTCGATGACTACCTCAACGTCTTCGTCTTCCCGACCCATGCGAAGCAATTTAGCCTCAAGCTCCAGGTCTCGGCTTGGGATGTGCCTCTCTTCCCCCATCCTACTAATGAGTCTGGGGGGCGCGGGGCGAGGACCACCGGATTCAGCGGCACCAACGATAACCGCATCATGCTGCCCCTGACCATCCTCCAGGACGACCTGCCCGCCCTTCGGCATACCAACGCAGAGGTGCTCTCCTATCTCTTACAGGAGCGCAACCGCGGGTACATGGTTGCCGTCGACCCGCAGGGCCGGCGTCTGTCCGAAGCGGGGCTACTCCATGTGCTTCAGGAGCACGCCATCCGCATACTCGTCGACGCCGGCGCCTACATCCTCGAGATGGACAACCGCACCCTCGCGCAGAGGTGGCTACACATCGACTCCGGCGCCAAAGCGGCCATATACTTTGACGCCTCGAGCCGCGCTTGGGTCACGTACCGCGGCGTCACCAAAGAAGATGTCCCCTTGCTAGCTACGCCGTTTATCGAAGACCTTAATGAATGTCTGGTCTACCTGGATGAGGCTCACACCCGCGGTATCGACTTAAAGCTTCCGCCCCAGGCACGCGGAGGACTCACACTAGCGCTGGGCCAAACCAAGGATTTGACAGTCCAGGGTAGGTGGAAAATTTCATATCCCTTTGTGCAAAATGGCAGATACCTTTGCCTTTGCTAACAGTAATCCGACACAGCTGCGATGCGCCTCCGACAGCTTGGTACGACCCAGTCAATAACCTTTTTCGCGCCGCCCGAGGTCGACCGCAGTGTCAGATCTCTGTGCGGGATCCCTAGTAATACGGACGCCATGGTTACTTCGCACCACGTGATCCGCTGGCTCCTCGAGCAGACATGCCGTGCCCACGAGAGCGTGCGCGACCTGTACCTTTCACAGGGGATGGACTTTATACGGCGGACCGATGCCGCCTTGCGGTACCCCAATGCAGTGTCGAACAAGTCGCAGCGCGCGGGGCTCCTCGCCGTGCTGCAGCAGTCCGACACGCAAACGCTAGAGCAGCTTTACGGGAAAAGCGCGCGCGGCACTGCGGCAGGAGAGGCAACGCTTCAGTCGCTTCTCGATCCCCCGCCAAGCCCTACGGTGCCTCCTCAACTCCAGGCGTTCTTGGACCAGCTCCGAGTCGTCGCCGATGGAAGCAAGAATAGCAGCAGCAACAGCAGCGGGAGCAAAGGGCGAAGACAAGGAGGGTGGAGATTTCAGATGGACCACGCACTGGCCGAGGTTGAGCAGGAGCGCCAAGTCGAGGTCGAGGTCGAGGAAATGCGTGTGGTACAGAAGCCGCCGCGCTTCCAGGCTCTCAGCTTCCCGGGCCTACATCCCGCCATCAGGACGTTCGCGCGCGATGGCGTCCTCCAGAACGCCGTCTTTGACCATGCCTTTGCCTACCTCGGCAGCACGGGCCTCGGCCGCCAGTTTGGCGTGCGACCAACGACGTCGAGGCTTTTTGTCTCGCGCGAGTTTAGCAGGATCGTGAAGCTGCCTCCTAATAGGAACTGCGATGACGGATTGTTAGTAAGTGTTGTGGTATCCTCAAAAAGAAAAAAGTACCTAATTACCTACACAAATGCTCACAAGTGGGATAATCGAAACAGCGCCCCGTCGAGTGGATCATTTGGAGTCCCCGAACCCAGACCGCCTTGGTCATCATCCCCGAGGAGGCCGAGCTCGTCCTACCCATCGTCCGAGTCGGTGGCGACAACCAAGCCAACCGTCCGGCCGCGGCGCACCTGATAGCCTATGCCGCGCCAGTGGCCAAGACCATGCTCGCGTTTAACAAGCTCACATACTACAGCGTCCCTACCCTATCTGTGGACCACGTCGTCCCAGACTGGTTCCGTGTCGAACTTGGCGTGTTAGCCGGTCGGCTCTACGCCGACGTAGGCGAGTGCGCGAGTCTAGCCAGATTTCTCCACTGCTCTTTTTCGGGGACGGCCGGTGGCGATGATGAGGACCTGGACCTCGAAGAAGACGGGACTGAGACGCAGACGCAGACGCAGACGATGCGTCATGCGGAATCAGACAGCTTTGTGGAAAGTCCTGCTGCTTTTCTCTTGGAGTGGCTCGGTACCCGGAGAGGCGGTCAGGACGTCTTGCAGACCCCAGTGGGTTATGTTTGCACGGGGAGGGCGTTGAGGGAGGATTTCCAGTCGACAGTGTGAATGGGTTGTCTGTGTTCTTGAGTTCTAAGGCCGAGATATCTATCTGCACTAAAGCAGGTGAGAAGAAAAGTATAACGTATATTATAAGCGAGTGGATCATATAAGCGAGTGGATCAAATTCTCAC